AACAGCCACCATCTCCTGATACTCGGCGTCAGTCATTGGGTCAAGAGGTGCATTCAAATTGGCGTTGATCTCTGCTCCTATGTTTGGCATTCCATCATTGCTGCCATCAACACCAGTTGGCATATCCCCTGTAATGGATCGCGCAACTGCTCCTCCACCATCTGTGTGCTTCACAGCGGTGACACAGAGATCAAAATGCCTGACCAGGGCTTCCAAAAGAATGGCCATTTCTTGAGCGTGGGCCTCCAGTGATTGGATCTGACCCGGCATGGATGACAAAGTGAGAAGGCCGGAATCGGACGCAGATGACGAGGAAGATGTGATTGATAATCGGGATGACGCCAACTTGGTGGCTGTGTGGTAGTGACGAAGCGACTGTCTGGTGGCTTGAAGTTCGTCATCAAAATCACGATTGGACGTGTCCAATTCGGCGCGCGCTGTGTTAGTGCGGTCGATAGATGCTTTCAAAGAGGCATGTAGCTCTTCAACACCCCGCTCATCGACAAAGTCATGTAGAGACTTTTGCTCTTCATCACCAGGTCTGAATGACGCATGAACGATAGTCCCGCGGAGCAGATCTAGCGTGCTTCTGAGCCGAGCATCAGCAGCATCCAGGTTTTTTAGTGCCACCGAAAACTCCTCACGACCTCGGTATGATATCTGCTCGACCTCGGTACGAACGTCGTATAAAAGCCGGAGTTGTGCATTGAGGCCTCGGCGTAAGAAACCAGTCCGGGAGCACACAACAACACTCTTCTCCAGTGCCGTGTGTGATGCAGTGACTATTTCATTGGCTCGCCAGACATGAGTAATGGAAGAGAGTGAACGTTTGGCACCCAGCAGATACGAGATCAAAGTGTCAACCTGGGGTAGGGACTGCTGGGTCCCATCGTTGAATCCAGCCTGCCGACAAATAGACGAGGAAGAGGACTGGGATGACGCCATTGATGTGAGTCAATTAATAACCCTGTTAATGGCGCATTCGGACTAAGATAAGAAGAAAGACCAGGATGATGAAAGGAGGGATTTCTCAGGGGCGAGGGTGAAATTGACACAGCTACGAGGGAAATGGGGTGCTTGCACCACTTTCACTTCACCGAAACCCTAGGACACTTCAGTATAGTCCTATATTTGACAAACCAGACTGTTGTAGACTTGGACAAAACTGGAAGGGGGAAATGGCTCGTCCATCAACCTTGGAGCTGTTACCAGGCACTCGGCACAATAAGCTGGGGCTGGGCTCCACAGGGCCAAAAGCACGAGCTCCAGCTCAGAAATGATTTGCAAATAAAGTGATTTTTTTAAAAAAACAGCTTACCAGTAGTTATTTAGTTCCAGATGTCTCGGTCGAGACCGGATTCCGGTACGTAAATTGCAGACACGGCAAGCCGTTCACAGAAGGTTTAGATAGACCAACAAAGCTGGGGACAGTGGGTCTCACAAAGGGTGTCGGTGTGAGACTGCCGGACTAGTCTCAATCGTCCAGAAGATAGAATGTCCCCGTTTCACCCCAGTTAAACTAAAAGATAGCGAATCAGCCTGTCGGAAGCGTAGGAAGTGATCGATTGATGTGCGACAGCGTGGAGATGGCGCAATACAGTTTATCACGTGCAGCCTCACCGCCCAAATCACGTATTTGCCGCTCTGCCGCTGTCACGCAATCCCCGGACTCCATCGATGGCGATATCGAAGAGACACATCCAGATTGTGCAATTTTTCCTGGACTTTGAATTCTTCTCTTTTAAAACACTCCGTCGATCCCATTTTTACTTTCCCTTTATCATTCAAGGTTATTTCAGTCAAATCTCGATAACGCTCTTATCTCAATATTCCTCCCAGGGTACTCATATCGCCCGAATTGATAGCCCTTACCCCCTCCTGCTTGACTCTCCGATACTGGGGAAATTTTTCAAGGACCCTCATCGCAAGATTGATTGAAATCCTTTCTCCGTGCTCCTTGGTCTGAATAACTCAACTTAAAGACCAGCAAAATCTACAAACCGACCGGTTCTTATCTTGGTGCCACATCAGACGCGACCGTCTCTGGCCCGAGCGGTCGGCACTACCCCCCTTCCCCCAACACCGCGCGAGACCGAATCAGTCACCATGGCCGATACACCGGAACCCTCGTCCACACAGAGTCTCGTCGTCGCAAATTCGGCGGTCAGTGCGAACGCCGACTCCAACCGCTCTATGCCGCGCAACGACACCGGCAACACCACACAAACCCTGGAGGAACTAGCGAGGCAAAATGTGGCTCCGTTTCTCGCAAAATATCAACCACGACAATATGCGCCTTTGCGCTCGCAAGTTTCAAGTCCATCCGAGCAACATCTAGTGAATGCCAGCTACTGCTATCGCCATCAACCGGACTCAAAATGTGGCAGACGCCAAGCTGATGAACAGTCGATGACTCAGCTGCAATCCGATCTCAACGTGCTTCCTCAAAGTGACCAACAGGGTATTTCCCATGTGTGGTCGTTGTTCTCCGCTGCTCCAGCGAAGCAGCGAACTCTCATGCTCCAGGGAATTCTGGCGCAGTGCTGCTTCCCCCAACTATCCTACATCTCCGCCAGTGTCCGCGAACTCATCCGGATCGATTTCCTCGCCGCCCTCCCTCCCGAGCTGTCCTTCAAAATTCTCCGTTACCTCGACACTGCCTCTTTGTGCCGAGCAGCGCAAGTTTCTCCCCGCTGGAGAGCCCTCGCCGATGATGATGTGGTGTGGCACCGAATGTGCGAGCAGCATATCCGTCGAAAGTGTAACAAATGTGGCTGGGGTCTTCCTCTTCTAGATCGCAAGCGTCTGCGTGAAGCCAAGCGCGAGATTGAATTGCGCGCCACCAACTGGGGCAACGACGAACCTGCTGCGGGGCCTAGTGATGCTGCAATGGTCGAGACTTGTTCGACAATCGAACCTCCAGCCAGCGGAAAACGCAAGATGGAATCTGATGACGAAATCTCCGGCATTGCAAAGCGCCATTGTGCATCACCTGCCCAGTCTCCCGAAGAGGATGAGAGTTACTTCAAAACTCGTTACCGTCCGTGGAAGGAGGTTTATCGGGATCGCTTTGTTGTGGGTATGAATTGGAAGCACAAGCGCTGCTCAGTCAAGGTCTTCAAGGGCCACAGAGACAGTGTCATGTGTCTGCAGTTCGAGGACAATATCTTGATGACTGGGTCCTATGATGCTACAGTTAAGATTTGGGACACAGACACCGGCGAAGAATTGAGAACTCTTAAAGGCCACATGGCTGGAGTGCGATGCCTTCAATTCGATGACACCAAACTGATCACGGGAAGTCTGGATCGCAGCATCAGAATCTGGAATTGGCGCACAGGCGAATGTATCTCCAAGTACAATGGCCATGCCGAAGCGGTCATCGCCCTTCACTTTGATTGCACTCTTCTTGCATCCGCCTCTGTCGATCGCACGGTCAAAATTTGGAACTTTAAGGACAAGTCTACTTTCGTTCTTCCCCACCCACAGGGAGTCAATGCTGTCAAAATCGACTCAATTTCACGCACAGTTTTGACCGCTTGCGACGATGGCGCCGCACGCCTTTGGGACCTGGACACCAAGGCTTGCATCAGAGTCTTCCATAACCACATTGGAGCTGTTCAGCAAGTTATTGCATTACCCCGAGAAATTGAACTGGAGAATCACCTCGCCGACTGCGAGAACGACCACATCAGCACATCTTCTCAAAACGGCGACAACATCCTGAGCACACTTTCCCCTCTTCTCGAGGCCAAATCTCTGTCTCTCCAGAACTCACCATTCGGCTCCTCTTTTGACCAGGATCAAGGCCGCGTGGAACCCCCACGCTACATAATCACCAGCGGTGTGGACACAACCATCCGATTGTGGGAAACCAGCACCGGAAGATGTCTTCGTACCTTCTTCGGCCATCTAGAAGGTATTTGGGCTCTTTCTGCCGATACTCTGCGGATTGCGTCCGGTGGCATGGATCGCATGGTCAAGATCTGGGACCCTCGTGTTCCTACCTGCCAGGATACCTATGAAGGTCACAGCGCAGCTGTCAACTGCATTGGCCTGAGCGATAGCCGCTTCATCACTGGTGGTGATGACTACCAAGTTCGCATGTACGATTTCCGGGCGTAGTGGCCAATCTTTCTTTTCTTTTGTCTATCAAAAGTACCCTTTTTGGTTAGATCTTTTACATTATCATAGGATGGGGCGTACAACTGCGGCGCCACCGTCTTCTCTGTTTTTTTATTATTGCATCTCCGGTGGATGATTGGATACCCTGGCGCATCAAGAACAGTGGCTGGGGCTCAAACACGGTGATTTGACCTCAGATATCGCCACTGACTGCATTGTAGGCGCTACTGGATTTTGCTTTTACTTGTTCTCTGTTATATTTCTGGTTCCGTGTTCATAACAGCTCTTGTTTCCATATGACTATCAATGAATTCGAATATGTATCCCTAAATCACTTACTCCATACAAGCAACGTTCCAAGCAATAGGACGGCCCCACGCGGAGACTAAGACCGTTTGGGATTAAGATGTTAACCTTGAAAGCTTTTTAACTCGAATGGCTTCTACTTCTACCTAGGTACCTTCCAAAGGTTTCTATCCAAATTGATAGTCGGTCCCGGACCGGGCTTTAGCGGCAGATAAACCAAAATATAGAACACATGTGCTATTTTCAAACTTACCCAAAAGGAAAACCAAAGAGGTTCCCTTCTACTATTGGTATTGGGGGACAGGCCTAGGTAATCTCACGGCCATTTTTTGATGCTCCGTGACCGAAGAAAATCGGACCTCGCGCTCCTATTCTTAATTAGGAGGAGCACCATCGACTACTATGAAGGATTAGTAAAATGTTAACCGGTCTCAATATTCATAGTTCATAATCACCATACAACCCTCTTACTCTGTTTCCAACCTTTGTCGACTGGGCCTCTACATCTCAATAAAAAAAGGGGGAAACAATACACCCTGTCCCTCCAACCCAGAACAACTATAACTACTATGGCGTACGCTCGAACCGATATTCAATCTGACTCAGAATGGGCTTATCAAATGGATGATCTCTCATACGGTGAGTATATTGAGTAAAACCAAAGAAATTGAAGCTAATATCAAGCAGGTCGATACTTCGTTGACACAGAAGCCGACTTAGCCCATCCAGAAAAGCTAAATATCGAAGCTGAATATACCTCTGGTTCTAGCTCTTCGAACTCCAGCTCCGCAAACTCTAGTTTCGATCTCCCCTCACGACCTAACGCTCAGTCGGTTGCTGTAACTAGACAGCTCGGAAACCGTGATAGACACTCCTGGGCATATTGGGATAGTTGGAAGCTACCCCCAACAGTAGTGAAATGGGTCTTAGTTGGGTTCCTGTTACTCGCCCCTATAGGTCTTATGATTGTTGGCTGCCTCGTTACTCCCCAGACCAGCAAGGACCACATCGAAAAGGAAAGAGTGGTAAATATCAACACCACGAAGCTCAACTACGAGAATGCCATACACCAACGCGCCGCGATAATGGCTCTACCCGGCAACTCTTCCGGGATCTCTCTGTCTACAGCCACCGCTGTTATTTATATCTTCACGGATCCTGTACGAACTACATTTTTGACCAAGGCCCGTGTCGCTACGTCCACAAATGGTGCCTTCCCCGCCCCCTCTCCCTCTATGGGAGTGACAAGAAATCCAAGCGACACATTGAATACCGCCTCGGACAAATCAACTAGAGAGAGGTTGTCGCATGCTTGAATTGTTGACCTTGTCCTCCGGACTCAAGTGCGAGGAGAGACGTTATAAAACGAAAGAGGTGGCCACAAGAAAAATATACGTCGCGGATTTCGATATCCTACTTAAGCTCATCTCCAATATTCTACCTAGGCCTACTCATCTGCACCCAGAATAAGGGACGTGGTGGCCTGGCAATAGAGGAGAGATGGAAAACGGGGAAATAGAACAACTCGGATCAATTGATATAATGGATAGTCACAGGGTGAGATTTGTGTATTGCTATGAATGGATGGAAATTGTTATTAATTGCGGTATTACTACATTGTGTATTCCAAAGGCTATTGTCTCCTGTTGTTGCTGTTCCCCATTGAGACATGAATACAATTCTATTCTATTCAAGCTTTAGACTTAGCCTTCTGTCAATGGACTGACACTCAGTATTTCAATGGGTGTCATCTCATCTTCACTTCTAATTTTCTTTCAGTTGTACATCTCCAGCAATTGAATGTGTTGATATCAACATTGCAGGTTGTTGCACTGCCACTTGAACATTTGACCATCTATCTCCAGTCGATTTAATCTGACGAAGTTGTGGGTCGATTGCTTCCGACTGTTATGCCCTGGCACTTGTTAGTCAAACCTGACCGCAGTTTCTTCACAGCCCGCAGAAATTCAGCCATTCGCCATGGCATACTCTCCCGAGAGGCTCGCGCGAGCCCAGCAATTGTTTAACAGCAGAACAAGCGACTTCTACGCACTGCCACATCTTGCTGGCCCATATCACTTGCGAGAGCGTGCCACCAAGCGTACCTCTGTTGTTGCGTCGTGGCATGATAACGATGAAGATGAAGACTACCAACCTTCGACTAAGCGAACACCGAGCAAGCGCAAGCTATCGCTTTTCCATGAGGATGACCAATCCCCTCGGTCCGAGAACAAGGCCAGGAGCCTATCTCTGACTTCGATGCTCCGTTCTAGATTGAGCCCAGACATAGGAGAAGAAGATGATGCCCCCCCTTCGACACCCTCCCAACACAGTGAGCCCGACAGCTGGGACAGATACTGGGCCGTCAATCCCGAGACAGACACACCGAATTCACGATACAGCCTTCGACGCCGCAACAAAGAATCGCTGTCAGCGTCACCACAAAAGAAAGACAAAACCAAGGCTGAGGCATCGGCATCAAGATCGACTGGGGATGTCCTGCCTGCTGATAACGACCTTCCGGTGAGAGAGTGCGCTGCCTGTCAGGAGCTAGGCATGGAATGCTCGCTTGTGTCTGACCCTGATCCGTACTCCTATCCTTGCACGACATGCGAAGTGGATGATGTCTTTTGCGTTGTGAGCCCTCCACCCAAATGGAAACGATCATGCGAGCTTTGCAAAGGTCGGAAGAAAGAGCTTTGCTCATATCGCTTTGCTGATTACGATCATTCCCAACCTTGTCTCTCATGCCGAAATCATGGGTTCGAATGTGTTGCTGGACCAGCTAGACACCCACCCTTTGCACTCTTTTCCACGAGCGAACCAAGCGAGCCCAGCAGTTCCCCAAATTTTGATTCTCCTGCAGCCTCCGACTCACCCCGTGGCTCCCCACAGCTCGAAGACCCTGAGGTATCCGAGCCGAGTGAGCAAATCAGTTCCCCGAAGGTCGATTCTTCAGCAAGTTCCACCTCACCACATTCCAAGCCGCAAATTGACGTCGACGAGGTATCTGAACCGAGTGAGCAACTTAGTTCTCCAGTCGTCCATTCACCAAAGACCCAGACTCCAGAGACAAATCCCAGAAAGAGCAATTCTTGGGAGGTCTCATCTCCCTCATTTAGTAACGCAAAGCCCTCCCTTGCTGATGGACTGAAGCCACATGAGGTGATTGAAATCACTGATTCAGACGACATCCTGAAGAAGCCGAATTCACCAATTTATATTTCTGACTCACTTGACTCGCCACCTCGCACCAGGGTCTCAAATACCATTGCTTCACAGCCTGCGAACACCTATCGTATCTGGACCGAACTTGCTCATCCTGTGGTGTTTCTCGCAGATGACCCTTGCGACTGGTGCAACAACTTTGCATATGGCATCACTGGTCTCGGTCCTCGTAACCCAGAGGTTTGGACGGATGGCAAAGGCAAGATCGTTGAGCTCCAAGATGGTCATATTGCCGAAGGAAAAGAACAGAGCCGGATGTGTGTTTCCTGTACATGGAATCGATGCAAAATCATCCAATGCTCCCACGACACTCTCAACCTACTACTTGCGCCTTTTTCCCCGCAAGACGAAGTAAGAAAGGCTACTGCTTCAACACTTCTACATAGAGCAAGTGAAGCACTGACTGACCCTCAGACTGGGGAGGCTGGTACATTTTACCCAAGTCCCATTTATGAATGGTGCAGCCTGTGTCGTGAGCCCGCAGTCGGGTGTTGCCAGGCGGTTCAGCCACTTGATATCTACGCAGATGTGGTGGAATGTGATGAAGAAACCCGTGGGTGTGGACTGATGCTCTGTGAATACTGTCTCGAGCTCACCAAGCGATTCAAGGGTGGCCTCAATGCTGTCGTGGCATGGGGTCGCAATGACTCGTCTCATCCTGTACACTACCGAGCCGATATGGAGTTCATCCTCTCAGGGGCAGAACACAATACACTCTACAAGATGTACATGCAGTAAGATTGATTTACATATTGTCTTTCTTGTTTATTGTGTCTATCTCACCATAGCTGGCCTTGTTTATAAACAACAGCCAAGTTCAGTTGAGAAAATTCAAAATGACCTTAATAATTTCAAATGTGTTTCTGAATTTTTGAACCGCGTGCTACCTAGGTAACAGCCTGATATTTGTTTGCATCCTCTATTCTGTTTGATGAGTCGTGATAGTGAGGGCATTATGCCCTAATTGTTCACAATAGCTCAATAGTACCGCAATAGGATAGCAATAGAACCCTAATAAGAATAGAATCATCCTACAAACAAACAGGCATGTAATGGCGAACAGAATAACTATAGACAATCAATCCCATCTACGAGTCTCTCCCATTGTGTGAACTACTCTGAATAGTCCATCTTCAAGTCTAAGACCTTCACAGCTCTAACTTCTCGATCTTTGTTCTCTTCTTCCCATATATATTCTTTTCATATCTTCTCACTTTTATCTTCTTTTACTCAGGCTGTCTTTTTTCATTATTCACTAATTGTCTTAACTTCATCCACTGACGCTGATCATCTGTATGCGGATAGCCCTGGGTTTAGTTTCCGCTCCGGAAAAAAAAAAATTACTTCGGATTTTCTGCCAGTTGAATTCGCTTCACAACCAAATCCCCTTGTACTTCCACCAAAAGGAAGTAAGGGTGCTGCTTTGATCCCGTCTTCTATTTTCCCCTGGTTGCCCCGAGCTGCGACACGAGGTGCGCAGCTCATCGCCACGACGTCTTCACCAAAGCGACGAAAAGTTTCCCCAGAGCCTCGCACCAGTCCAGGCCTTCGGGCTCGACGTCACGGCCGCTCCGAACCACCACACTCTCGCCACACATCTTCCTCGTCTTCCCGCGGCCAGAGTTCGTCGTCGTCCCCGCCTCGCTACGTGCCTGCGCATCTGCAGTTTCAGTCTGGAAGCCCGCCTGGCCGCTCGCTCACCCCCGCGACCGCGACCGCTGGACTCACCCTCTCCAGCGACCATTCCGACATGCCCTCCGATACTCAAGAGGGTACACCTCCAACCCATGGACGATCCCCTTCTCCCGGCGAGAAGCGCCCGGCATCCGAGATTACCGACTCCGACCCTGAAGGAGGCGTGAGCACTGGCTTCAATAACGCGCGCACATACATTATTCCCCGCACATGCGATGACACAGATAACGAATCTACATATCCCACCACTTCGAACAATGACAACACCGGGTCGGCATCCTCGGCCGACGAGCTGTCCAGACCAGCATCGCCCAAATCAGGCGATATTCCTACGATCGACGAGCAGGTGGCTGAGGTGAATGCGCTGATGAAGGCGCCGTTGAAAGATGGACAAAAGGGCTTTGTGGTTTCAATGGCTTGGCTGAAGAAGGTGCTTGCACGCACTACGGCGCATGCAGATCACACCGACGAAGAATCATTGGAGGGCGATGTTGGTCCCGTTAACAATTTGAACATCATGCTGGACACCGACCCGGCCACGCCCAGCTTCAAAGACGAAACTGGTGAAATATTTGTGCCCATGCGCCCTGGTTTGCATGACGCTCTGGATTTCGCCATAATTCCGCAACATGGCTGGGACCTGATCCAGAAGTGGTATGGCCTCGCCGACCAGTCACCTGTGATCATTCGCTATGCCCACAACACCAACCCCCCGGTGATACCGAAAATATCGAATATGAAACTTATCCTCCGATTTTCACCATTTTCAAATTGGCTAACCCCGCCGCGGGTACCACCCCGACCATCTTGCGACAAACCATCAAGCCATCTGTGAAGATCTTGGCCAGTCGCCAGACGAACTACCAGAAATGGTTGAAGGATGCCAAAGAGCAGAGTGGTATCGATATGTCGACCAAGGTCCGAGTTTGGAAAATTCTCCAGCTACCTCGTAGCACCACTGCATCAGCCTCGGCAACTCCTGCTGCATCCCGCAGTCAATCGCCTGCTCCTCCATTGGCTCTGATCTCGAACCCCAACGACAAGCTTCTTTTCGATTTGAATGCTTTCCTCGAACTTCCAGAGGGAAGCCACCGAGTGTTGCTTGATAATGTGAAGGATCAGACCCAAAATGCAAACTACAACGGTCGTATGACCTTGGATATGGCTGGTCTCGGCGTGGCGAATTGTGTTATTCTTGAGGAACAGGTTGGGAGCTCCAAAGGGGGAGAATGGGTGTCTGAAGCCTCTGCCAAAACTCTCAAGAGTTTGGGTATCCCTGTGGAGCAGCCGAAGAACGATGCTATTACCAAAGCATCTGCCGCTAAAGTTGCACTGAAGAGCACCCAACCGCCGCAGCCCAGTGGCAAATCTACTCCTTCCCAGGGACCCGATCCAATTAGGGGGCTCATCTCTCGAGGTCGGAAGGGTCGACAGCTTATCGTGGGATTGCAAAACCTTGGCAACACTTGTTACATGAACTCCGCGTTGCAATGTGTACGAAGCATTGAGGAGTTGTCTTATTACTTCCTTAGTGAGTATACAAACTTTGCTGTTGGATTCTGCCAACGAGGTCTTTCAGGTGCTAATCATAATCTGCAGGTGGAATGTACAAACCAGAGCTGAACCCTACCAACGTCCTTGGATGCGGCGGTGTTATTGCCAAGCAATGGGCCAATTTACTTCAGGACCTCTACAAATCGGACCCTCAGCCGAGATCTGTCAACCCTTATAGGTTTCGTGCTGCCGCTGGTCGGCAACGTGAAGATTTTGCTGGCTATGAGCAGCATGACAGTCAGGAATTTGTGATGTTTCTTCTTGATGCACTGTCGGAAGATCTAAGCCGCATCGTTGGCAGCAAGCCATCTACTGTCATCCCTGATTCCACCGATGAGATGATCCACAATCGCAAGGCTCTTGAGGATTTCGGAAAGAAGTGTTGGGACCTTTACGAGGCCCGCAACGCCTCCATTATCACCGATCTGTTTGCTGGAATGTACAAGTCAACACTGATTTGCCACAATTGTGAAAAGACCAGCATCATCATGGATCCTTTCACAATGGTCACTGTGCCCATTCCAACGGGCCCGACGCTCATCAATCGAACGATTATCTTTTACCCTCTTGATGGCCCACCCGTGTCTCTGAAAGTCCGACTTGATGAAAATGATACTATGAAAGTCTGGAAGGAGTTTGTCGCCCAAAAGATGGGAATTGATGTGGAACGAATCCTTGCAGCAGAGACATTGCACCATTCCTTCTGGCAAACGTTTTGTGACGATGACGATACTTTTGGCAGTCTACGCATTTCTCAAGAAGATACCATCGTGTTCTTTGATCTTGGTCCTCTTCCTGCATCCACCAATTCTTCCGACTCCCCCTCCAATGATGATGCAGTCATTGTACCCATCTTCCACCGTAAACTTGTTCCACGCAAGAACAAAGAGGCCACTCCTGAACTTTTCGGATTCCCATCTTTCATACGTCTTTCTAGTGAAGAAGCTTCAGATCTTGAGGCCATTTACCGCAAGCTCTTGGCCCAGGCTAATAACATGACTACACGCGACATTCTGGCTGCTGAGGAAAACAGCAATGACGACCATACAACGGATGACTCTGACACCGTTGTGACAAACGAGGATGATGCACGATCAGCAGATTCCCGAATCAGAACATCTTCTGTCGACGGCGAAGATAGCATCGTTGACATTTCCATGCAAACCGAGCAAGTGCTCAAGCCTGCAGAGGGCCCTGATGAGTCGGATTCTGACTCTGAATCTGTCAAGTCCCCCCAGCACCCTCTTGCTGGAAAGATTGCTGCCAGTTTGTTGTCACTTTTTGATGCAAAAGTCATGAGGACCAATGCCACTCTACCCGATGGACGCAATATTAACCCACTCAAAAAATTCCCCCTCCTTTCCTCTCGCATCCCATCTCCTCCCGTTTCTACTAAGGTTTGTTTGTTCCATCTTATCCGTTCAGATTCACCCCGCTAATCTTCGCCAGGAATCCGATACTTCATCTCAAAGCTCCGCAGATGAAAACATCGATGATGACGCCGATGCAGATGAATCAGATCTCACACCAAACTCAGCACCATCGCTCCTTCACCAAGGTGATGCTATCCTGCTTGACTGGAATCCCGATGCCGTGGATTCCCTTTTCGGCGGCAAGCCACGTGACCCCGAGGAGCTTCGTGGTCGCCCTACCTACCTAAGCATCAAGAATGTATTTGATCACTCCATGGTAGTAAGCCAGAAAAAGCCAAAGCAATCGAATATCTCTCTCGACCAATGTCTGGATGAGTTCAGCAAAGAGGAAATTCTTTCTCGGGCAGATAGCTGGTTCTGTCCCCAGTGCAAGACACACGTTTCCGCCACCAAGAAGTTTGAGCTGTGGAGAACCCCGGATATTATGGTCGTTCAACTCAAGCGGTTTAGCCAATTCCGCGGCAGGCACGGACACAAGATCAGCACTCTCATCGACTTCCCCTTCGAGGGACTAGATTTGAGCAGCCGAGTTGAAGGCCCCACGGATGGAAAGAGTACGGTGTACGATTTGATTGCTGTGGACAACCATATGGGTGGAATGGGTGGTGGCCACTACACTGCCTATATCAAGGACTTTGTGTCCGGCGCCTGGGTGTATTGCAACGGTTCGATCCCCCCGTCGATATGCTAATTGAAAGATATCTTACTGACATGAGTTTCAGATACCTCTGCTAAGACTGTCACCAATATGCAGTCCATCATCACGGCGGGTGCCTACCTCCTTTTCTACCGCCGTCGCTCTGACCGTGCATTGGGCAACCAGGAGCTGCGGGAGCTGGTTGAGGGCTACCGGAACGACTCGCAGAGTGTTTCTGACAGTTCCTCCAGCTCTCGCAGCCCTAGTGGTTCCCAATCACCTTCGGAGGACGCCGGTCGTGTCCTTGGCGGCGCATCCCGCAAGGGATCGTCTGCCTTGGCCGGAGCGGGGATGGCACCCCGAGTGAGCCGGGGGCAAGACTCTCTTGGCAATGACCTGTACTCTTCGGCCGAGGAAAGTACTTCAGGCTCGGAAGACGAGGGTAGCGAAGGTAAGAAATTCGGCCTCGAGCACGAAAACGAGGGATCGCAGGTCGACTCCTTCAGCAAGCTCACGGAACCCTCTTGGTCGTTCGACGCCGCTCACGACATCTCACAGATATCTAGTGGTAACGCTGCCACCGAAGATGGCGTCTTCGAGGATCGAAGTCCATGGGGTGATGGCATGGACATCGACCCTCCGTTTCAGTTTGGCCTCACTTCTGGGGGTGAGGGGGAGGATTCCTCCGATGATCTCCCAATCGTGGAGCTGCGTGTGGGGTCCGAGGACATGATGTCCTCGGGCCCATGAATGATACGAACAAAAGAAGAAAAAAAAGAAAAAATAAAAATAAACTGGGGGGGGGGGGAGGATGGGTGTTGTTTTTCTAGACGGAGGATGGGCGAGTGGGCCATACAAAACACAAAATTGATTTCTTGTTTTTCAATCACATTCTCAAAGCAAAGCAAAGCAAAGTGTAAGAGCATGGCCAAATTCAGGCCAATGTAAAAGGAAATGCGAGTGAAGCCGTAGAGAAAGTAAGAGCTTGTCTGTCTCACTTCATCGCTTAAACATCCATCACCTTCCTCAGCGAGGTCTCATACATCTACAACAAATCGGCCGACGATGACCTCGCCTCTTTCATAGCAAGTCACACCAAAATATCTATGGGTTTCGATTCTACCTAAGCTTAGTCTTCATCGGCAACGTCTGCTAGCAATGTCTGTTCATATAGTGTGACGTCATTCTATGTAGCTTGGTGGTCTTGTTCTCTGTTCTCCCATTCTTGTTTACTTATAGCGGTCTAGCTCACTACTAACTGTTTCAAGGTTGCTACGACTTGCTTCACAAGCAAAATTTCATATTTATAATTTATCCGATTCCTGTAATTCCAGCAGCATATGCTGCACCACACGCGTCTTGGGCATTGATCTCTTCTATAGCAATTATGCGCGGTAGATTGTTGGCAGTTTCCATGTTAGTTCAAACCTACGCTTGCAGTGCAATTCCATAGGTCGTACAAGAGGGTATGTGAAGCCAATGAAAGATTGACAACCAATAATATCCTTAGCATCAGTTATATTGAGTCTTATGACTTCAAATGTCCTATATCGAAATACGTGCTATGCAACGCATGTCATCTAACCTAGACCGAGAAACCCTCTTTAGTGACTCCGTTATTAGATGAATAGTATGAACAGATGATTTGTGTTGGGTTTCTATGAAGATTTACCACGTAGATATGTACATAGAGAGGAGAAGGTTATGGCCTTAGGGCCTTGGCCTTTTGTAAGGAAAGGGCTACAATCGCTCCTTCCATATTAGGGCTGAGTGCGTGCGACTTTATCCCCATTAAACAATTACATTCCCAATTGCCACGCTTCACTCAATTCAATCACCGATCCACCATACCTCCACGCACTAATAATAAGATGAAACGCACTGTACCTTCTCCGAAACGTCGGGGACTCTTCAAACATGAGCCACGCCAACTCAATCCTAATATAGCTGAATTGTATCCAGAGGTTCTCAACATCAGTCCTGCCACTGCCAAATCAGTGATCGCAAAGATCAACTCCGAGCACGCAGATAGACACTTGGATTTCCAAAACGCCGGTGACCAACTCGAGCTTCTGAGGCTTGAGATCTTGCGTCTCAAGATGATGGAGTCCATGGATCCCAAGTATCATCCACCTAATGAGGTATCACCCCGACACGCGACTCCCATCTCAACTCAAAGCTTGGGAGAACCTGGTCCCACCGTCCCAAACTCGATGCGAACCTCCATTCGACCCCGTACCGCAGTCCTGAGCGAAAGTGAGATCAGTGTTCTCGATCTCGGTCCCAGTCTTCACTCTCCCCATCTTTCAGCTCGAGTCTCTCGCCGCAACTCTCACTCTGCAAATGCTCATCACGGACTACGCCTCGCCCATACCACTGCTCCCAACTTTATGCTGGGGCCTGGTAGCGACACTTCAGATAAGCCAGCTGACCACCGCCTCCAGACAGATGACCTCGAGTCCGTCGCCCTCACTTCTGTCAGTGGCTCCATCAACAACGAATTCCCTTTCAACTTACGTCAACGCCGCCAGAACCTAGCTAACATCACACTTCCTGGCCCTCATGAGTTTCAAAGTTATCGCGTGAACCGTTCGTCTACCATCAGCGAAGCTACTCAGGGTCTGAGAGATCGATCCAGCTTTGACAATAGCCCTACTTTCTTTCCAGATGAGTCCAGTCGCCGGATTCACTCTCTATCTGTCCCACAATCTCCACAATCTCCGCCCCTGCCGCCCCTGCCATCTCTACGACGTGCTCAGAGCTCATTTAACGGAATGGAGCCGGCATTTTCAGCGATGCGCATTGCGGAGCGGGTGAAACGAAACGGACGCGACGCTGCAAGCTCTCAGGATGCCGATCGGAAGTGAGACACGGGGCGCGGAAACACCGAGATATGAGATATGAGGGTCATTTGATGGCAGGAGAAAACTTTGTGGACCTTGATTCTTGTCTAGGGCACCGTGGAGCAATATCTGAAGCTTTGGGATATGGGGAACCGGTTATGATTTCTAGGACCTTGCAAATGTTTGCATTCGAGGCTCTTGACTTCGAGCCATACATGCGACCTTGGCCATACATTGCCTGTGTAATAGCTGGTTACCATCAAATGAAGTCTCTTTCAAAATGTTTGTGTTGAGTAACTTTCTTGGTTTGTGGATATATTAAGCTTGACTGAGTCCCCATGAGAACAATATCTTAATGTAGTGGTTTAACGCTACATCGGTATACACATAAGCCGTTCTTGGATCATCGTTCTGCGACCGACGCAAAACTTGGGGTTCAAACTGGAACTATCGTAACCATTGTATTCTGGAACAAAAAACATATATCAACTCACTTTGAATTCCTCAGCTGTCCTTTTAAAGTATCTTGTCCGAATTCTGTTCACAGCACAAGCCTCTTCATGACGTAATCGTGAACACCGCCCTGCACCAGCCACACCACGACTTGCCCCCCCGCAGATCCCCAGGCACAGCTTCTCCAACTCAGGTTCCGGTGATAGTTGACCTTATCAAGTCTCCATACCTTCATAATGTGGAACGACGAAGATAACAATCCCTATGGGGCCTTTGGCCAACACCAGTCTGGCCTATCTGACTCCCTCCACTCAGCCGCACTCTCTCCTCGTAAGCTCTCCGCTTGGCTCCTAGCCTAACGCTTCTGCCTTTGCAGTATCTCACACCAGCTAGCTCTCTACGAACATGACTCAACCCCTCCATCTAGTCGCGACTCTACTAGCGAGCCCCCAAATTACATCACCCATCCCGAAGACCTCAGCGATCCCGAGGATGAGGCCGAGTATGGTGCCGCTAGTGAACAATACCCTCGGAAGAGCGTCTATGACAGCCGGATTGAGCAGCTCCTTTACGAAAACCCAGAGATGCCAATCTTGATCACGGATGCTGGGAAAAATCATGAGGGCGGCGGGGGCTTTATTGTTTACACAATTCGGACTGCGGTATGAGAATGGTGCTCGCTGGAGAACTGTACAATGCTGAGTGTTGATAGGATCTGGAGGTGCGCCGTCGATATTCCGAGTTTGCATCATTGCGACAAACCCTTGTCAATTTGCATCCCACCTTGGTCATTCCGCCGATTCCCGAGAAGCATAGCATGGCAGACTATGCAGCCAAACCTACCAGGGCCAAAGATGATGCGGCCATTATAGATCTCCGAAAGCGCATGCTTAGTGTGTTCCTCAACCGCTGCAGGCGTATGAAGGAGGTCCGCGAAGATGGGGTGTGGTGGAGATTCCTTGATCCCAACGTTAGCTGGGTGGGTTCGAGCTGGATGTTCCTTATCAAGGGTTAGTTTACTAACATTTGCGCAGAGTGAGGTTTTAAGCTCCCATCCTGCATCATCGGTCCCAAAGAATAACCTCAAAGCGCCACCTCTTGATCCCGCAAACCCCACACCAGCCCATGGCTGGCTCCCGATTCCGTCTGCATCCGCAAAACTCAAGCCCAGTGGTGGGATTACCACAGCTGGGGGAAACGCAGTATCGCCCACATCACCGAGTGAGCCAGAGGCGCCTTCGTTCCCAGGACCTGAGGTCCTCGGGCGGTTCCCTCCCGAGTCACGCAAGCTTAGCGAGCAAGAACTGGACCCTTACTTTATTAATTTTGAAGCGTCTACGCGGGAGCTAGAACTACTTTTGCAGGGCAACATTGAGAAAGTAAATCGACGAACTCTCTCGCATTTGTCTGGGCTCTCAGCCGATCTCATGGAGCTGGGAGCGCGCTACAACGGATTCTCTCTTTCAGAGCAGTCACCAACAGTTGCTGCTGCCATTGAGCGGATTGGCCAGGCTGCGGATACTTCTTATATTGAAACCGAAGAACTATCCTCGGCTTTGAGCGCGAGTTTTGCAGAACCTATGCGGGAGAGTGCTCAGTTTGCTAGTGTTGTTCGAGGAGTTCTACGATACAGAGTCCTCAAGCGGGTACAGCAAGAGATGACTCGCGATGAGTTGTCGAAGAAAAAAACCCTACTAGACTCCCTCGAGCGCAGTGAACTGGAAGCCAAGCGCATTGAGCAGTATCTCAACCGCACTAGCCCTCAATCTGGAGGGACCAAGCCTCGTTCTCTGTCAACCTCATCCGCCAGCGACGCGGGCAATAGCTCGGCCATGTCAGCCGACTCAGGCCTCAGATCTCACGACGATTCCACCAGCCCTCCATCTGGGTCGCAGACTGGAGGAATCAAGAGGTCTGACCCGTCAGTACAAGGCTCTCCCGCTCATCGGAAGTCATCCAGCGGGACCTTCGTAGCGAACAAAATCTTCGGTCGCATCAGCCATGCTATTCATGGGTTCGCAGATGTGGATCCCGAACGAACACGTCGGGACCAGATTGGAAAAACCAAAGAAAGCCTAATCCAGGTATGTGGACAGTGGAGTAGACTTCTCACATTCCTCAAACTAATCTCAATTTTTAGTTGGAGCACGCATTAGAAGTGTCCGAAAAGGACGTCAAGGATGCGAGCGCGGGCGTGCTGCATGATCTGAAGCGCTTCCAAAAGGACAAAGAAGCCGATCTGCGACGGTACATGGTATGCATGGCACCCCCACATGATTTAAGACTATGACTAATTATGAATTTCTAGGTCGCATATGCTCGTTGCCACTTAGACTGGGCACGGAAGAATCTGGAGACATGGACTGAAGCCAAAGATGAGGTGGACAAGATCGTGGCTCGATAGACGACCATACATCATCCTTATGCTCTGGAGCTTGGCGCTGGCGTTTGGGGAATATCTTTTACTGTTTTTTTTAACTTGCCGCTGAAAATGCAAATCTAGTATATTCAACTATCTGAGTCTTGGCCATTCTGTATAAAGGTAGTAGCCCTGGAGGGCTTTGTCTTACCTATGCCTAGGTACCTGCGACCCTACAGGGCTATATTGTTCGTAAAGGTCTCAAGAGGGCAAAAGGGCTAGCTCCTAGAAGTGTTTATAGTATATCCGTTTTCGTCTTGACGGGAGATGGACACATTCTAGATGCTGACCCATCACTTCCCGTGAGATAAGCAAAAAAGATCGACACTGCAACCGACCTCATCTCCTTTGCTTGTCAACTTCAATTTACTTGTACATATGACGTTAATTGTGCGACTTACTCGGTGGTTAATTGCATAACAGCCTGGTCCGACAGTGATTCGGCTTTTGTGCCACGAATCCTCTGCGAATCCTTCCGCTTCCATCGCGCCAAGGCGAACGATCCATCTGTATCTTCTAGAGAACTAACTTCTTCTCTGGGCATTCCAAAACCTTGCAGGTATGTCCAATTGTGGGCCTCTATTGAATGATCAGTGGACTGTCTCGCAATTCTTTCCCTCCCTGTCCTGCCTGCATCACGAACTCCACCCTACTAGGGTGGCAACGCCGTGTCTCGATTGAAAACGATGAGTGCCTGGATCCATCAAGATGATCGTCAGGGCCGGTCACTTATCACGGTCGATATCGCCGTCTGGCTATCACGATGAATTTCAACATTGGTCTTCTCGGTTTTTCTGGAAACAATTCCCTCGACGCTGGGTTAAGATGCTTCCTTTCCTTGCCTTAATATGCTTCTTATCCGTCGGTCTTGGCGTGAATATCAATCGAAGAAACCAGACCTTTGAACATGACCAGAAGTTGCAAGATCTGGGACATAACCAAGATATAAGTCCCTTTCCTTCTCCTCGTCAGACACAGCAACATACACATGATCCCACTATTCTGCGTGTGGGCGATGAATACTATCTTTATCATGTCGGTGAACACATCCTCATCCACACTGCGCCTCGTATGGCCGGTCCGTGGAAGCGTGTCGGCAGTGTTCTGGATGCCAAGAGTGTGATTCCAAAGGGTGATCGTTCCGCTCCCTGGGCCCCGACCGTTATCGCCGTCGACGGCACATACTATTGCTATTACAGTGTTAGCAAGGCCGGGTGCCGTACTAGTGCTGTTGGCGTGGCCACCTCTAACTCTCCCGGACCGGGCAACTGGTATGACCATGGTTCTGTCATTGAGACGGGCACAGGCAACGAATCGGAGATCTATCCTTACACTGCGTCAAATGCAATCGACCCTAGCACCTTGGTCACTCCCGATGGAGATGCTTATTTGACTTTTGGAAGCTACTGGAATGGAATTTTCCAAATTCCACTGAGCAAGGACCTCCTCTCTCCAGCTAGCACTGCCGAACCCGATGAGCGTCAACTGGCGTGGGAGCCTGAATCGCTTGCCCCGCCGAATCGCATGGCCAACAACATCTGTGGTGACCCGAGCGGCCCCCATCCCATTGAGGGTGCTTTTATCTCTTACAATGATGGATGGTACTATCTCTGGTTTAGCCATGGTTTCTGCTGCAATCTCAAGAAAGATAATCTGCCACCCGCTGGTCAAGAGTAAGTCTTGATAATCTAGTGACTTGTTGCTCTTTACTTACGTACTTCAGGTACTCCATCCGTGTTGGACGCTCTCACAGTCCCCGTGGGCCGTTCACAGACAAGACCGGTACGGATCTTGTCAAAGGCGGCGGCGAACTTGTCTATGGCTCGAACGGAGAGACCTATGCCCCAGGCGGGCAAGCTGTGATCCGTGATGGCGATACCGATGTGCTTTACTACCACTACTGTCCGTTTACCCCAAACCCCCAAACTCCCAAATCCCGTTTTCGAACTGCATACTGACCTCATCACAGTGAACACGTCCGTTGGAATTGCATTCCAGGTAAGCTCACACTAAGATATTGCTAGACTTGTGGGCCACGATTTTCGTGGTTCATGCACCCCTGTAGATCCTCCTTCGTTATCCCTTGCACCATACATATGAACGTCATCAGTATCTGATCTGACGCATGAAACCACAGGATGCTTTCCTTGGATTCAATCCCCTCAAATATGTTGATGGATGGCCCATCGCTCAGGGATGATCTCACTTTCGCACGTCATTCATTTCTCTGTCCTCGACTTTCGGCTCCACCGCTACAGACCCCCGGAATAATCCGCGACCATACTCCACGCGTCTGAATCTGCGTTCAACCCACCCCTTTTCTTTCGAGAATGGATCTCGAATTCTGCACATTTCTGCGTTCTTGTTTGCCAATATACTTGGCACAGTCCATCATCGTCTTTTCCACGTTGATAGACTTGTTTTCATACGCTTCTCGCGACCTCATTGCTTGTACACGTTACCCGTTCTGTTACAAGTTCCTCGTCTGCATTCTTTGGCGTACAGATCATGGATATAGAAATATTTGCTCTTGGTATAATTGATCATATGTGTATGTGAATAGTGATTCCCCTTGCCAATATATACACAATGTTTCTACGAGGCTCTCAGCCTAGGAAGTTCCCTACCTCGCTGATTATGTATTCCTTTCTAATACTGGCAAATCAGAACAACGAGAACAAATTGACATGCGCCGTTCCAATCTAAAAACCAAGTAGATGTGTAAAAACAAAAATCTTCATAATCCAGCCCATAATCATCAACCAACACGTCATGTTTCCATTTCATAAAATTCCTCTCAGTAGTTCCCCGCTGCCTTGGTATGTTACTATACAAGATCCCTTAAGACTTCCGACGCCTCTTCCATGGCCTCCAGCTCCGATTCAACAGCCCTCCTATACGTGAACGGAGTCTCTTCCGACCTCCAGGTTTCTGTTCTCTGCCGTCGTCCGAGGAGGGCGCTGAATCTTCTGCATACTCTAGCTGTGAGTGATGGGAACTCTCGGGGATCTCCGACATTTCTGGTTGTTGTCCACCCTGGTTGTCGAGTACGCCGGGTGCTCCATCCACTACCTCCAGTTGATCTTGTCCAAGATTCATAGAAATTTCTGGCGAGGCCGACTGAGGCTCATGGCGATCACCCAGCAGGTCCGATGTGTCTGTTTGCGCCTCTGGCTGGGCTTGTTCGGCGCTTTGACAAACATCTGATAACTCCGGCTGCTGTTCTCCCTGGCTGTGGAGAAGGTCTGATATCCCATCCCCTACCTCACGCTGATCTTGTTCGAGGTTCTTAGAGATTTCAGGCAAGGCTGAATGATGGTCATTCTGATCGCTCAGTTGGTCCAAGGTCCCTGTTTGCGCGTCCAATTGGGCGTTCTCGGCGCTTTGATACCCTTCCGGCTCCTGTGCCTGCTGCGGTTCAGGACTGACAAACTGCTCGGGTGTTCCTACTGGGGTCTCTGGCTGTATCTGTGGAGGCTTTTGGGATATGTCTGAAAGGGGCGGTGGCGCATCGCTGTTTGGAAGCTCTGGTTTGCCCTCTGTTGCATCAACTACCAGGGGAAGGTACTCGTCTAGCACCGGCAGCAACGCTGACTCTGATAACTCTGTTGCTGCAAAGAGTGGCAAGCGATCAGATGGTCGAAATCTTAGGAACCCTTCAATTATTGGCAGTAAGGGTGCCAGCATCAGATTGTTGGCTTTCTTGTCAAAAACTCCCTTCAGGGACAGTGCTGACGCTAATTTTGTGAGCGTTCTTTGCTGTGAAGTAGTTCCAGTGTGCTGGCCCTCGCTTGATTTGCCATCTTTGGCTAAGGACTCTTCCGCTGTTGGGCCCTCTTCAACTAGTGCTGAAGTGTCTGGCAGAGTGCCCTGGGTAGCTTCTATTTTCTTTGCTCCTTTGTCTGTGTCCCGAGCTTTCTTCGGTGCAGAATTTTGTTCAGAAATCAATCGAAGTTCCTCCAGTTTTGACTCCCACTCAACTGGTAAGTCTTCCACAAACCCGACAATGTTCCTTATATATTCATAGTCATCAGACGAGTCGGGGAATGGGGGCTCATACATCAGGAGCCGATAGATCTGCCGTGAATCGTTCAGTATATGTCACATCGACGAGCTCCGTCCATTGATGAACACTTACGAAACACCCTGTGTGCCACAGATCAAGACGATAGTCAAGCATATCCCCCATGATGCTCTCGGGACATCGCAGATGGACTGGTTGCTCGAGTTTATCTGGCTCCTCTCCTCGGACGAAACTCTTCCCAAAGCCAATCAGACGAATCTCATATTGATCTTCGTCGATATATCCATTCCACTGAGCACTTTGAACAAGCTCTCTTGGAAGCCCTTTACCCAGAGGTATCCTGTCACAGCGCTCCAGTGGAAACGTTCGTGGCGATCCCATAACCTCAAAGACTTCTTTTTCGGTGACATTCCGGAGGCTGTTGCGAAAGGTGAATGCAATGTTTGCTCCATTTATACCTAACGGACGGTAAGTATTATGCCAATGCAGCTCAACTCTTTATTAGAGTTAAGATCATCCACCTAGGAAACTAGAAAACTCACCTCCGTGGCACATGCCCAAGCCGTGCATGAATCTCAAAGCCATGAAAAGCCGTTTGGTAATTTCAAATATACGAGGACATTCAATTTCAGGACAATGCGTGGGGTTGTTGAACTTAGCATCATCGAGTCCGATATGGTGGGCGTAGTTGTTGAAGTCAATATAAGATTGTTGGATCGATTTGAAGGAAGGGCCAACAAGTTCAAGCACCAAACACTGATGTATCCCATTCGGACCCACGAGCACAAAGCTGTCAAGTAACTTAACAATACATCTTGTGAACAGCACACCTTCTGATTCGTCCCTCAAATATTGCAGATTTCGAATCTCCGTCTGCTCCTTAATGTGGGCGGCCAGTATCTTCAAAGCGACCCATTGATATCCGGGAACATGTCCATGGAAACTTTGGTATGTTAGTTACCGTGTGTAGTTCAAACCGAAGGATTATAATACCCAGTATCCTTTGCAAGCCACACTGTCGCAGAATCACCAAAGCCCAGCTTATGGTGCACTGTGTACCGACCATTCTGGAATTTATCCCCGAGACTGACTGGGTGAAGACCGCCAGGACAATACCTGTGGATCCCTTCCTGTGTCAAAAGAAGAAGATCATGTTTAAAATCGCTTTTATCAAAGTTGGGGTATGTGTCAGTCGCCATGGAATATATGGAGAGCAAGTCGAAAAGAAACAAGAGAAAAGCGGGCGATACCAAAAATATAGAGACGAGGGATTCTTTGTTGGAAGGTTCTTACTTTAGCAGGACTTGGTAACCCTAAGTGGTTATATCGTCTTCTTTGTTCATATGAGACACCTCATTTAATTCTTTCATGGCGGGTACTTGCAATGCTCATCACCTGTCCTAGAACAAAATTTGTAGATATCCTTAGTCTCCTATAAGATACAGATTGATCGGGGCACAACACATATAAAAAGAAATATCGACTACACATATATCATGTGTGAATGAACAGGAATCCATAATATCTTGAAAACTCCCCAATCCACGGAAAAGACCCTGGCTTCACCACTTCTGTCTCTCTTTCCAGCCTGAAGCCCGACTACGCGTGTCCTCTGCATCTGAGCCTTGCGCGGGACTTCGGCTGCGACACCTCTTCTCGTTCTCCTCCAGTTCAATCTGCCAGCGCTCTTTTTTCTCTTTTTTCTTCTTTTTTTCCCGATGCATATTGCCATCTTGGCTCCGTGATTCATTACCCCGTTGTTCTTCTGTCTGTCCCCAGGGGTTAGGCCTGTTGCGGCTGTTTCCCCGCTCCCCTTGGTCATTGTGTCCCCAGTCACGGTTGGGGCTTGGTCGTCCTGACTTTCCCTCCGGGGATGCATAGCGGTAACTTTTGCTTTTCCTGCAGTAACTTTTTGTAACATCGTCTCCCCATCCATCGATGCGGTCATGATGGTCTTCATTGAAATGGTGGCTTCGTGAATGGCTGTTTTGCTGTGCACCATCGTCACTCTGACCCCAGCCACCACGGTAATCCACTTCGTTTCTTGACACTTGATCTGGGGACGCCTGGCGCTTGAAGTTATATCCATGCTGATGATTGTTGTTCCTGTGGTCATTCTGATTTTTGTTGTCCCATTGAGGGCTCCGGTTATTGTTCTGATTGTCTCGTGAGTTTCGTCGTGGGGAATGTGATACACTATTTCTCTGCCCTCCGTGGTCATTGCTGGAATTGCTGCCCCAGTGGTTGTTGTTATCATTCTGCTCAGTATTGTGTTGATTGTCCCATGACCTTCGATCATTTACCCAGCCACTTGGACCATGATGGTTGCTCGTTTGGTCATGTTGTCTTTCTGTGTTTCCCTGCTGATTATTCTGCTCGTCTTCGCCCTTGGCTTTGGGAGATTGGGCAGTGGGGGACTTCTGTTGGTTCTGGCCTTGGCTTTTATTCTTCTGTTTCCGCTGGTTTTTCCGATTCTGCTTGCCCCCCTGCTCTATCTGACTTTGCTGTTGCTCTTGCTGCCTTTGTTTGTTTAGTAGCGCTCGTTGTTTCCTTTGCTGCCGTTTGGATAATGGGTTCAGCTGTTGGTTCACCGTCTGAGGACTATGGGTCTTCGCTCGGTTTGGTCCTTGGAAATGTTGGTCAAAATTCGGGACACTGGCAATTATCGGCTGCCGAGGGTGAACATACTGTGTCGGATGCAGGACATGAGATAATCCTCGGGTCTTTGGGCGAACCCATCCGCGAGGGGTAAAGTAGGGTCCAATTACGGGGTTGTGGGATGCATTCGCGGGCTCATAGTTGGCCTGAGCGCGATCCCGGTTTCTTCTGTCGAACATTTGGCCTTCTTGGTGCATTTTAGTGATATGCGATCGATACCAAAGGTAGAAGAACCACACGAAGACTGGCGTGACGAATGCTACCGCCAGAAGAACCCCGATCAGAACGTTGTCCTGCATGGTGCAAGCAGTGAAAGAGTGACTCGAGGTGATGGGAGTGATATCCGTGGACGTCAAATAATGGTAGAATAGTGTAGAGCGCAGGAGAATAAAAAGAGTGAGGAAAATGAAGTGTGTCAAGAGAAGGGTTAATTCAAGACCTTAAATAGGAAGGAGCAGACTCGCAATGGCAAACCAGATATGAGGTGTTTCAATATTCTATCTGATGTAGTTATCTTTTCATTTTCGATTCACATTAAATATCACATTTCCAATCCAGCCTGAATTCTTGATAACCAATCCTCATGGATTGATGACGATTTCCCTGCATCTAAGAGGAATTCAAGAGATTTCCGGAAGGCATTTGGTTGCAACCCCAGGCTCTCCGCCTGGAAGACTTGCGAGCTGAGAGCAGAAGAAATGACAATAATACGGAGACCTAGGTTGAAGATCTCGGGCTTTGAGACCCAACCAAGAAGTCCATCTGGCTCTTTTTCAGAGCCAACCAGAGAACAGAGATGTGTTAGGCCACCATAGGCCCAGGCAGAAGTTTCATTCAAGGAGAGCTGAGTGTACGTCGAGCGAGTCAACCGCAAGAGAGCTCGCGACCAAACCTCAACTTCGCGCGCATCATCAATAAACAGATTCTGTTTCTCCTCCACGAAGAGGACAGTACTCTCTTGGCGATACTCTGCAATCTGGTCCGACACGTCAACTAAGTGACGGCATTCGTCAGATCCACTGATCCTTGGTTCTTGGCCAGTCAAATATCGCAGAACTCGTTGCCCAAGGAGTGCGGAATCTGAATAGTTATCGATGATGAAGTCGGCGAGTAGGGCACTTGCATTGAGAGGCGCCAGGGTCACATCTGCGTCGGGTGAAACGGATGAGTGCGACAAAACCCAGGAGGCAGCTGATGCAGCCACATCACGAATTTCGTCGTCGTCATCATTAAGCATGTCATACAAGACCAAATAGACATCCAGCAGCACCGCATCCACGCATGGCTGGGAACCGGAGGATCTAAGAGCTCGTGAAAAGCTGCCAACAGAGGTAGCTGCAGCAAAACGGGTTGTGAATTCCTAGAAAATGAAATAAATTAGCTCGATGACTCGATTACAGGACAAATGCATGACAAAACTCACCGTCTCCTCGCTCAAGGCAGAGCGAAGCTTGATACTCCAGCTGCGGACATCATCTTCAAATGAGGACACGGCTGACTGATCAACAGACAGCCGGATTGCCAGTAGACAGCCTCGAAGTCGGAGCTCAGCGTCCGTTGCCTCTCGGTTCCAAGTTGTGATATCTGTTTCGGGGCGGAAGCTATTTGCGATAGCGTCCAATGGAAGGCCCATACTTGATACGGAATCAACTTGTGAGGATATCAAGTTCTCCATAATCGAAGCCAAATTGGACGCGGCCATTGTTTTCACATCTGGTCGACTATCTCCCAAAATCACAGACGAATACAAGTTAGCCAACGGCTGTTTGTACTTTTCGTCTTCACTAATTGACTCGTGGAGCTGCTCCAAAATCCAACGAGCGACATCTGCGTCGAAATGCGATACTCCAGCGAAGAATTGTGGGAGTTGCTCCCACTGCTGGGAAGTGAGCATTCTCAATGTTGTGCACCAAGCAAGCGCTCTTCTAAGGAGGGCAGATGCTCGAACAGTGCTGGAGAGGTTCCAACCGGCTTGAGAAGCGTCAAAAACAAATCTCAAAATCTCATTGAGGTCGTGAACCTTGAACATCTCGTTGATAAAAGAAATAACTTGGTCTATATATTGATTAGTTTGGCCCTTCTGTTTGCTCAGATATATGTCCACTTACCCTCGCTCTGTGCTTGGATCGCACGTTCCAGGGTGCCATTGAGAATTTCCACAAGCTCGCCTGCCACAGTCGGCGATTTTCCAACATGGAACAGGACTTCTAAAACGGTGCGCAGCGTGGTGAAAAGTCCATCAAGGTTTGCTAGTAAGCGATTAGCTCAAGTATTATTAGGGGCTGTTCAGTCTACCCACATGTCCAGAAGTCATCGGTGGTGAATGAGTACCGACGAAGGGCATATCGCACACATAACGCAACACCATGAACATAGTTCTCGGTGATCTTTGAGGGAAGCTTAACAAGAGTGCATAAATCATCCGGGATATGTTGCCTAGTGAGCAACGACGCATATACACGGGCTGCATGCTCTCTAACACCCCAAACCGGGCTGCTCAGATGCTCAAGGACTAATCCGCGGAGCATCTCATCGGTAGGATCATCCAAGTTAGGGACTTTGTCACCAACGAGTTCCAGTGCAGGGAACACCCGCTCGGTGATAATTTCAGTGCCCTCAGCTGCTTCACCCTGCGTCGTTGTAAGAAGACCAGAGAGCAGTTCGAGCAGACCAGGGTACTTGGGGAATGTTATCCGGGATCCTGGCTCTGAGCCGGAATTACCTCCGAAGCCAGGCCCAGCGCCTGGAATTACTCGACACATTTTTGTGAGTAGGGCACGGAAGAGCATCAGTCCTGAATTTCGAAGGGCCCAGATTGGCGACCCTAGGCGCTCGGCAGACAGCGTCAGTGCCTTCATGATAAATGGCTCGGTATGGGGGCCAAGCTTCGCGTTGGTGAAAATATCTTTCAGGCAATTCATCGCATGAACTTGGGGCAGTTCTAAGTATTGTCTCTCTTTGTCGTACTCCACGGGAAGGGATGAGATCTCGTGGAGTTCATTAATGGCCTCATTGAAAAATGCAGTCCCGGGGTCAGAGCCAACAATTCCTGTCACCAATGCAGGCAAGCCGGCGGACCGACGGGTGAGTTGGGATGCCGAGTCAAAGATAGTGGACTTAGCTTCCTGATACCAGCTCCTAGGAAGTTCTCGGATTGACGGATCTTTCGAGGCGCTGCATCTTTGACAGCATGTAGCAAACGTCTGCGAGACGTTGGAAAATGCACCTCTATGGCGGAGTTCAGCCAGTTGTGTGAAGCTCACGCCTCCAATGTTTGCAAAATCTGCCAAATTGAGGCCGTGGTCGCCGCTTGGCCCGTAACTAGTGTTTACCAGAGTGGCATGGAGCAAAAGGCTTGCTTCACGAAGAGATCGCCAGGAATAAGAAAGGGCATCCTTGGGTCCCACGTTCAGATCCTCAGTGGGCTCATCCGAGTGACCTTCAGGTGAGTCGATACACAGCAAAGGCTTCGCCTCGAGCCATATCTTATCGCAAATTGCAACAATTCGGTCATGGACAGACCGCCAAGCAGCGGATCCCGACCCATCAGATATCAGGGAGTGGAAGCTTGGCATAAGGACAATATACCTGGAATTGCAATCAGCAATATTATCTCATGCAAGGACCAACACAACATACCTAAGACCGGACGTATATCCATGAAGTGGTGCCTCACGCATGACGGAGTTGAAAAGGGTCTTTGAATTCAGAAGACGTTCCTCAAGCTTTTTCAAAATTGTGTCAACAACTGATGCCTTAGTTGTCCACCAGTCAGAAGCCGGTTGGCCAGAGTTGGCTGGCAGTGCTGCGGAAAAGATGATGTGGTATAGACGAGCAACAGTATCAGCATGATCAGCTCTGCTTGTGTTACTTGCCAGGCTTTCCGCTCGGGTAATTGCATCTGTCAGCCGCATGCCTACAGCTGACTCCTGATCTGTCTTGTTGTGCAAGCCGTTGAGCAGAATCTCTCGAGGGCACAAACTCAAGATCGAAAGCGATGTTTGACGAACTTCCTCAAATGGATCTAGCAGGAGATCAATCAACAAGCGGAGTAGGTGAGCATCAAAAACTTCGACCTGAACTTTCCAAAGATTCTCCATCTCTGATTTTTGAAGCTTAACCTCTAATCGTGGATCAAGACCGGAGTCCAGCAGGAGCTTCAGGGCTTTGAGAGCAGTGATGTGGCGTGGATACGAGGCGGCCAAACGCAAGTCGGTACCCAATAGCTTGAGGTAATCTTTTAGGAACTCCTTGGTTTCAGATTCATTTCTGACCTGACCTTGAGCTGACTTGTTGAGTGTTTTCTCTGTCTTTTCGGCGACATCTTCATCTTTGACAATGCCACCCCTTAGACGAACAAAGAATTTGCGTGTCAGACTCAGAACTTCTCCTCGGGTATGTGCATCAGATTCGGCATGCATAGAGGGGAGTCCGCGAAGGATAGCCTTCGTTGCCCCCACCGTAAATGGCTTGACCGTGGAAAAAGCCGTGATCAACAGCGAGAGAGCCGCTATACGGATATTGGGCTCGCGGTGTAGGAGAAAGTTACCGATAACGGCGCTTTTCATAACCAACACCTCATTTTCGTCAATTTTCGATTTGCCAAAGTTGAAAATATCTGTGCATATTAGCAGTTTCCAATAAACCTAGATTCACGGAGCTACTCACAGTCTTCATGAACCAAGTTGATTTTCTTGCCGATCTGCAGAGCAGCGAAAAGAACCATATACTCTGCCTCAGGCGCATCGGTCATATCACCTTTGAGAAGGCTCTTGACTGGGAGGGTGTCAAGGAAGATCTTGAAGCCATTGGGGTCAATGGTGAACAGAGGCTGCAGGAGCCTATTGGACACATCTTCCAGCGTTTCTATGTTTTGCAGTGCTGTGCGTCTCACTGGGATTACCCACATCGCAGACAGCTTTTCCGGTGAGCTTTCAGCCTTCATCTTCTGGATCAACATTGCCAGCAAGTTGCCAGCAGCCACAGCCATGGTCCTGTTGTTGGTTTGGATCAATAGCCCCAGGACAAAGATCCTTGCTGCTAGTTCATCAGACAGGCTGCCAGACGCAATGTCAAAAGCGGGGCCTGATTCGCCTAGAGACAGAGTTGCGTGATCATTGGCGAAGAGGGTCGGCCATCTATCTGTGTTCTTCAAAAGCCACTGGCGAATCAAGGGGATAAACTCGCTGGGTAACAGGGCATCCTTTCTAATGAATGTCTCCAGAAACACTAGGGACCCCTTGAGTCGTGACTGAGGCTCCCCAAGCACAATGCTAGGAGTTAGGGCATTAATAATTGCAGTTTGAAGGGCTTCTCTTGTCGCTCCTTGGTGACGTTTGGCTAGGATGGCAATGATTGAGGCGAGGAGTTTTTTAACGGGCTTTGGCTTAGCGTCTTCATATCGAGTCAAACAGATATCGAATATTGAAAGCCATGCTTCTTGTGAGAAAATCAACTGTTTAGTTGCATCACATTGTGACCTCGTGGCAGCATCAATAAAAGCAGAGGCAGCATTACACGCCTCTGCAGAATGGGGTGGCGAGATAGATGCTGTCGAAAGTGTGTGAACCAACGACTGCCATACCCGGTTCACCTTTCTTTTGAAATATTAGAACAAAATTGGTTCTTATGAAGTCGAACATATACTTTACTTACTCAGTCTCTTGGCATGTCAGTGTGAATTTCACCAATGGGCCTTTGGCGATATCTCGGAGAGTTTTCTCCGAGAACAATTGCACTTTCTGCGCAAGGTCTTCCATTTCAGTTGATACGACACGTTGCACCTGACATGAATCACCAACATTCATAGCTCCAAATTATACAAGCCTCGGTATCTTGGATAACGGTCCGCGCGAAAGATCTCCCCAACGATTAATTTTTATGCTCCCCGCGATGCCTCAGGCCGCAAACTGATAAAAGTGGGATTCTGTATCGGGAAAAGCGCATATTCATCGGTCAAACTCTTCTCCGCTGGATCACCGGAAGTCACGGGACCGAAGTTTTTGCTGTTCCGATGCCAGTGGAGCTGCGAGCACAGGGTCATCACTTCTTTTCCAGTCATCCGCCCCTGCCTTCTTCTTAGGTCCTTGTAATTTTATCTCCTATCCTCTATCTTATCATACCTTTTTTCACAATGTCGATCTGGGACTCCCTCAGCGGCCGCAAGCAAAACCAAGGGCCCGATGCCTTCGACCCTTCAAGCGCGCAAGATGCCACATCCTTCCTCTCCGAGGTCGCTATTCCCGATCCCTCTCGCCTCCATCCCCTGGCTGGTCTGAACCAGGATACCCTCGATTATCTCTCTCTTGATGACTCCGCCCTTGATAACCTACCCGGCTCCCGATCAGTGCTGCCATCCCGTGGATGGTCAGACGACCTTTGTTATGGTACCGGAACTACCTACCTCGTTGCACTCGCTACTGGAGGCGCATGGGGACTTGTAGAAGGATTGAAAAAGACACCAGCTACGGCAGCACCGAAAATTCGTCTTAATGCTGTGCTCAACTCGGTTACCCGTCGCGGTCCCTTCCTCGGAAACTCGGCTGGTGTTGTGGCTATGGTTTACAACGGAATCAACTCCGGCCTCGGAGTTGTGCGAGGCAAGCACGATGCATCTAACAGCATCGTGGCTGGCGCATTGAGTGGCATGGTCTTCAAGAGCACACGCGGACTTAAGCCGATGATGATCTCTGGCGGCATTGTGGCTTCCATTGCCGGTGCCTGGGCTGTATGTATATCATTGTGGTGTGCTATCTGACTTTTGCTAACTGTGACTCTACAGGTGACGCGAAAGGCCTTCTTCTAGATTGCTAGTATGGCCAATTTTATCCTCCTCCGCTTCTCGGTTATCCGATTCTCCATACCCTCCACGCCACCCTTCAATGACACTGGCGGTTGACGACTAGCCGCCTCGCTTTGTCTTTCCATCTGCGATGTATTACAACTATTTTTTTATTCCCCCCTGTGGGTCTCTTCACTCCGGCGCTTCAAGCATTATGTTTCGCATTTATGCGTGGGTTGGGAATGGGATGTGCAACTGGGTTTGTACTTTGTATTTCTTCTGTGTACATAGAAAAGTCTCTTGCATACCTGCGATTAATTGACTATGGCACATGCAAGTGTCTGTCGGTAACGTATTTTAATGCTGCTAGTGACTTCCAATAGACAATTTCTCATAAATCCTGACCCAGTCTCATAAGTGAGCTTCACATTCCCACTGACATTTTAGCTACAGAATGGAACAATCTTCATTCGGTGGGCTTGGAGGATTGCTCCTAATACCGCAAGAGAGATGCGAGCATGTTCCCTCGGCCAAATGGCCCGTGGACGGCACCCCAAACACCCGGACGTGCAGGCTTCATTTGTCTGATACCGTCATATCGCTTCCAGTTTTCAATTTGCAGATTATATGCGATCATATAGTCTATGGCTAATCTCAAAGAACACTTGCCCCTTACGAATGGTTTCGGTGTATAAACCAGTTAGGAAATCCTACCTATTCCTGTCCGGAACCCACGGCCGTGTCCAGGGGGAGGGCGAGATGTTCGCTCCACTTGCTCGGAATAAGAGGACTGCGATGGTGTCTGCATTATCGTCACTGCTGCTAGAAATTTGGAAAAAAATCCAAATTATCGCGGACCTCTGCAAACAGTTGGGCTACGACTTCTACCGTGCTTTGCACGCGGTTCCCCAGGGTTATATAGCGCAAAGCCATGCGACTAATAGGAAGAACTAACAAGAAAGATCAAACGAAGGACTTCTTTGGTATGCAAAACTTCGCAGTCACTGAGTCTGAGTATGGATCTCTATCACTCGACTGATGAGGTTCAATGCTAGGGACTATAATTGGAGGTATTCATTTGCATAAATTTCCATACCCTGGAGTAATATGTATATAGTAGACCGTAACAAATGTTCGGATCAAGCTTTCCGATTAATCGAAGCTAGTAAGATAGTAAAAATTCTCCGAGAAAGGCTAGCTTACTGATATATATTTGGAACATTTGATTCCCATGTGTACTAAACACCAAGTTTTGATGGAAATATTTCCACCCCTATAAATACACTCAAACACATTTGCATTTATTTTAACACAAGGACATGAGGCTGTCTTTGGTATCCAAAATATTTGCCAGTCAACGTCCGCGTTCATGTGGCGTCGATCAGGGACCGGCGACTGCCGAGGGGGCAAATGGGGAATAATTTCGGTTCGCCCGCGTTAGAGCTTTCACCCATCTCTAGATCCTTGGCGATGCCAGACATATCACCAAATAATGCAAAAGTACCCAAACTACGCACCAAGACTTTCACTGGATGCTGGACTTGTCGAGACCGACGAGTGAAGTGTGACGAGGAACGCCCTCACTGTCGGCGGTGCCAGCAGAACGGTTGGACCTGCAAAGGGTATGATTTACGCCTAGGATGGTCTCGAATCCCTGGGGGCTGCTCTCATCGACGCAAATTGCGATCCCCAGCACCAGATATGGACCATGGGTTGTCATCTGCTGCTGTGACGGCACTGCTGATTGAATTGGATGGGTGCTCGGGGGACGGCTCCGCCCAACAACGAGGTCCATTCTCGGTGTTCTCGGCTTTTTCAAGATCTGAGACTCAAGATGCAGGCCGTATTGATCTATCCAACCCAGAAGATGCACTTCCAATCCAACATCTGGAAGATACACATCATAACTCGTCGGACTTGATTAACTCACCAGTTGGCGATAGAGATGGTGACTTGGCTTCACCGAGGCCAACATGGGATAGATTATCATCTACTACCGCAAGATCCCCGTCTGAAATTCAGGAGGAATCATGCACAGCATTACCAAAGCTCAATCATCGGGTTGATGACATCTCTATCAACAGAATTACCCATGTCATTCACCACAAAAGTCCCAAAAATAGGCTGTCAGAACCAAGCGACTACGGCAGACCTGTGTCAAATATTCGAAGCAATGAGAGTGTCCTTTGGAATTCCATGAGTCCATTGACTCTCCCAAGAGCAGAGATTGAGTTAGTCCACTACTGGGTTGTTTTTCTCAGCGGAAACATGCTCCTAATCGACACCCCGGACAACCCCTGCCGCACAGTGTTTTTACCTCTAGCTCTGAAAGGTCTCGATGCCTCTCCAACAGAGCCGAATATTCATCTCTCCATATTCCATGCCATTTGTGCCTCCTCCGCCTTCAGCCTTTCCCACTTCCGCCACGATGCGCGGTACCACTCCATCGCCGTCCACCATGACCAGCTGGCCCTGCGTCATTTGCGAGGAAGCCTGCAGCGGGCTAACTGCCTAGATGAGCCATCATTAGCTGCTGTACTCACTTGCATCACGGCTGAAGGTATGTCTGGGCGCCGTAGCCGATGGAGAGCACATGTCGCTGGATGCCTTTGTCTCCTAGAGAACGAACTCCATGGCGACTGGATCCAAAGTCCAACTGCTGCTAGGATGATCCAAAGTTACTTGGCTCTTTCATCACTATGCAGTCTTCCTGTGCCCGAACGGCTCATGTCGCTCCTCAATGGCCCCTCCGATTCCCATCACTACCTAGAACAATCGCATGGAATTACAGTACCACTGGTCCAATTACTCGCTCAAATCACCACCCTTGTTGAGTTCCAGACACAGCTGCCTATCGAAGAACTAGACCGACTCGAACTTCAGCTCTACTTGAACTTTCCATCCCCATGCAACCCAGACGCCCCAGGTTCGATCATTGTCCAACACGCTTTGACCTCATTCTACTATGCGACAATTATATACTTCCGCCGTACTTTGCGTGGTACAAGATTGAGCGAAGTACAGGATTTGGTTGAGAAAGCAATCCACGAGCTTGAATCCGTCGATGCACTCACGCGTGAGAAGGGCGGCCATTCGTATAATTGGGCAGGCTTTGTGATTGCAGCTGAATGCGAGCGGCCGGATCTGCAAGATCGCATGTTGGCATTCTTTGGCCGCAAAAGTCGGCACGGGATCCAAAATATTAATGTACTATCTGAAATTGTTCAAGCTCTGTGGGACCGACGGGCAGCAGCTGGATCGCACGTCGATATACAGTGGAAGGATATTGCAAGGGAAGCTGATTTTGACATTATGCTTGTATGAATGTAGAAGCATACATGTAATCACTAATACGGCACATATTGATGTTAGATGTAAATATATTAGGGCCCACAGAACAAGGAGCTAAGCCATGTGCCCCAGGTGGAGCCCAAAGTGGGTACCCGAACCCTTCCCCAGACTCGGGACAAAGGGCTGAGATGAACATCGACCTTAAATATCTCCAAATAAAAGTCACCGGAAAGTTCATTTGCATTCAATTCTATAAACTGACGCCTATTGAAACCGTTGACATGTGAAAATGTCCCCTTGTTCACAGAATGGCCAGTGCATTAGGAGGGCTCGCAACAGCACCAGGAAAATTTAGCGGAGACGAAGTAAGCAAGAAAGAATACTGCCTACCAGCCCTACAAGCATGAGCCAGCGCCTTCAAATCCCAAAGCTCACCAAGCGGAATACCCAACAAACTAAGACACCACTGATGCAACACAAGCTCATGGGTAGGTTGCTCAACACCATCGAAGATAGGTGGCATAGCCTCAACAGCGATGTTATCACTAGCGACAGCAGCGAAATGCTTATCCCAAAGCCAACGTGCCATTTTCTTGCTCCCCTCCAACCCGCACATCTTTCCACTCCTCATTGCAGCGCCCTGCTCTGTGCCAGTCATTTGACCCAACGTCTCTGTCACGCCGAATCGGATGAGGAGGATATCTCCTACTTGGAAGGTTACCCCCTGCCAGAAAGCCACTGCTTCTAGCTCAGCGGCCCCGATACGGAAACCGGAGAATTGGTCGTAGCTTATCCCGTGGCTCTGCGCATAATCCTTGAAGTCGATTAGTACGCCTCGGCCTGTCACACAGCCGCGTTGGTGCCAGTCTATTTTTCTGCGTTAGCCTTTTTCGGTATCCAGGTTGGGTTGAGTTAAATATTCTTACGATCTAGTGTTGGAAGATTCTGGGAATATTTGGGAGTTTGAAATGCTTCGATTGTTGGGTTTGCTCCGTTGTAAGCGAGGCCGGTTGGGTGGTGCATGAAGTGAACTGGTTGGGAGTGAATTTTTTTGGCTCCAAAACCCAGAGTTCTTGGACGCACCGAAACTATCCCATTGACTACTGGCTTGGGTATTGAACTCGACCTGGAATCAATTAGCTCTAGTGGGACATAGAATGACTAGACAGCACAGTACCTCATCGTCAAACCCAAAGTGTCTGCCAGATGCTGGGTCTTCCAACTTCATGACATTATGACAGAGGCCTTTTCGAAAGAATCCGGGGATCTTGATGCTTCCAATGGGCCAACTAGACTAGTGGTATTAGGGTTCATGTCTTGGAGATTGTGAAGGGCATTTCACTTTAAAGAAATAGACACGCCTTGGCGAACCTCCGCAACAGCATCCTTGACGACTTCTGGGGTGAGCAGATTCAGGGTGCCCAGGACATCTTTCTTGTCATCTTTGTCGAAGATGCCCCATGCACAACCTTGCGGCATTCCCCTGACAGGAGGGAGATCATCGAATTTTGGAAGAGATGCCATAGGATGCAGAATAGAAAAGGAGGTCTGATTTAACTGATTCAAAGAATAAAAGCCGCAAGCCGAGCAACCGTGTGATAAAAACGGGCTGTCACTCTCCTGGGTAGGGGGACCTTTGTCGGATAGGTATGAAACAAGAACTCGATTGTTTTGATTATGCCCATCAGATTGTCAGATCAGGTGGATTTGAGTTTTGCTTTTAATTGCCTAAATGCGTGACTGCCCAAGTGCCCAATTGCAGCGTTCAGCATTCAGCGTTCCGCAGGAGAGATCGAATGCAATACTTGCCTCGAAGGTGTTACCTATCTCTTCCTCCTATCCTGTTTTCATGATTCTAAAAAACGGACTCAAGGTTACAAAGAACATTTGGAGGATGTTTCAGTCCTACCACAGGTAGCGCAGGTCCAAAAGCAAGCCTTGCACAATGCTGCGACAAGGCACTCCCGATTAGGAGCGATGAGAACCGCTCTAACCTACCAGAGGATGTGGAATGCCAGATTCGCTAAGCTCCTGCACTAGATAGACATAGCCTGGTCATGTACCACTGTTGCAACAAAGCTTTTCTTCATGATAATGGATACAGTCATTATTCATATCCAGGAGTGGTTTGGACGTCGTTCCAGGTGGAGCAAAATGTGCAAGCCCTCATGGAGGAATTTGCGCTAAATTCGAATTGGCTCGTAGCGCCCGTGCGCGTCTGTAGCCCTGCAAACTATACGGGACAGATAGCTTCATTTAGATGTACTGAAAAGTGTCAACCGTACTTTTGGCTGATATGAAATATGTACGTATGTTCACCTCACTATCAAACTGGGTAGCACCCATCCGACTCAGAGAAGTGTGATGTGCGCAAATAAATAATGATTTCACAAATAATTACCTGACATAGGAGAAGAACATCCCAAAGGCCGCACTTTAGTGCCCGTAATAGCGCTTGTTTATATCAATTGGGATTCCAGCATTTTTGCTCTGAGGCTCAAGGTTCACTATATAAAGCCCCACCGTGGTCTGGCCGGATCGGGGTTATCGGGTCGGGTTACGTGCCGATCCCTTCCCAGCCACTTTATTCCAGCAAATGGGCAAGGCGCTGGGGTGCACACAGTGCCGATCGAGTTTGTTCGTTTCCACCTAGGTTGGTTGATTGGTCCTTATGTACGTACGGAGTAGTAGTTGAAGTTGGCCTCAATGAAAGGATGCAGGGATCTCCAATCCCAACACCCTGAAACATTCCCGGCATAACCTCGCTTAAGCCATTGCGGCTCCTGCGGAAGAGGCGCTGAATAGCAAGGGGGCACTATGTACATATGCTCAATTAATTGGAAGGGTTGGATAGCAAGTTGGCGAGGCGGCTGATTTATCCCGAGGTCCGGAGAATGAGATACAACGGGATGGACCGGGGCCACGTCAACTCTCCGGAATGGAGAATGGGTTGCCTTCTCGGCTCGTATTTGCCGAGCCAGGATTGCAACCTTGGAAGTGTACACAGTATATACAGAATGTCGGAGTGTCGTCATACGGTCAGTAGTCATGCCAAGGCGGAGGATCGCATAGTGCATCGGATTTGGGTTCGGGGGCAAGCCACCGCCAAAGCTAAAAGTAGGTATACATATGTACCGTACAGGACGCATTTGGCCCCTACATGATTGCAGGTAAAGCAATTCCCGGCCCAGCCGCCGAATTATGGCAAGGAGAGCAAGGGTTGAACACCGAGGCATGTAGGAAAGAGAAAGTTTATTACTATGTACGGAGTAGGGAGTGTATATATGGTCTTCGATTGGACAAGATGATACTACAACATGCACAATCTATACCTGAGGCCCACAGAAAAGTGCAGATGATAGGCATACCACCTTCCTCTTTTGGAACTAGAAAATACACCCTGAGCAAACATCTTGGGGGTTACAGTATCAGCACAGTATTAAAAGATATATAAGATCAGATTGCATACATCAAATTGTTTCAAACTCCATGTATATTAGACTTGAATTATAGAATAATATAATCACCTGTCTGTTAGATATCTCCATATTTTTCCATATTAAATTGCAGTATAAACTCAAGTAAACACTGCGGGGGGACACATGGGAAGCTAACCATATTAGGATCGTCAGCTGACTAGTCCCGATTGATTCTGGTTTTTGTTTTTTTTTGTTCTGTCCTTTTCGCTGCATCGCCCCAGCCATGGCGTTTTCCCTTCCTTTTTAGTGTGTTTTAACTCGTTCCTTTCGTTCTTTCCCCCTTTTAAATCGTGTATGTGGTCCCATCTTCTATACAACATAGAGAGGTGACCCTTAACGGGTCTTCTCACGCCAAGGCCATTTAGGTCTGGAGCCTTGGGTTTCTTATCTGCCATTTTATATTGATTTTTATATCTTGTGACTTGGACCCCCCCACACCCCCGGAGGATAGAATTCAACGCTCCCGGCCTTCCGTTTGCGGCCGAGTCATCCTCCCCCTTCCCCCCCAACACCTTTTCAATTCTGATATGTCCGAGTCCGGCTTATCGACCATGTCGACAATGTTTCAAGATGCAAGCGACAATGAACATACTAAGAAAGAGAATGATGGGCCTCTTTCAGTAGACGAACTCATACCTTCCATACTTAATCCCGAATCGCCACTGCCGTCTCTCCAGATTCGCACCGATCTATCCAGTATTGGTCCGTCCAGTTCGCGAGACTCCGATCCTTATGCTTCGACCAGTTTGTCCGGAAGTTATCCACGTCGTACCCCGAGTCTTCGTGCCCTTTTCGCCCCACCTATACACAGCGCCGGCTCCTTGTCTCCAGGATCCTTCATGTCCTCACCTCAATTGAATGCTATGGGTGACATAACTCCATTACCATCGCCGATTGGAGGAGCCGCGCCGTGGCGGAGAGCTGATGTGCCGTCGTTGTCTCGTTCTTCGTCGATGGCGTCGCGCAACGGTTCCAGTTTTCGCCTGAGCGATTCATCACAGATGCTTGGGCCACCCGTCATGTCCCGTTCGCGCGCCAAACCATACACCGGCATCGATGGCCAGGGAGAAGAGTCATCCGTGAACAATCGGCATCGTCGCGACTCGCCCTCGAAGCATTCTCATTCTCGGAACCGCAGTTTGAGTGATTATGCACCACCCGGCCGGGTCTCTGTTCCTCCCCGCCCGATTGCAGTGTCAGGGAATGCCGGGCTTGGCATTGCCCCCTCGTCGAGCATAGACTCGAAGTCTAATGGACTTCATCGCGAGCAATATCTCGCTGTTCACCGAGGTATCACATTGCCGACCGTTCGTCCTCCCAGCCCGCCTCGCAGTAGTGGCAGTGGATGTAGTGACAATGAACCCGTCATCCGTCACCCTGCGCCCCTCTCCACCCCCCAGGAGATATATTCTGTCCGGTCGGTTCGCACAGAGCAGGCACGTATCTATCAGAAAGTTCGGGTATTGGGCCAAGGCACCTTCAGTCAGGTCAGTCTGGCAGCACGCGTGGAACCTATTCCCGCCATGCCTTTGTCGCCGGATGGTGATGGAGCTGGCTCTTTCCACGGGTTTGTGAACAACCAGAAGCTGGTTGCCGTCAAAATCATTGAACATGGACCCGCTGGAGGCGCGGATGAGGGCCGACTGGAGATATCACTCAAGCGCGAAGTAGAAATCTTGAAGTCGGTCAACCATCCGTCCCTCGTCCAACTGAAAGCATTCGGCAGCGATGAAAAGCGTGCTTTGTTGGTTTTGGACTATTGTCCTGGTGGAGATTTGTTCGAGTTTGCCACATCAGGAGCTCCTCGTATGGCCCCGGAGTTGATCCGACGTATTTTTGCCGAATTGGTTGATGCTGTGCGTTATCTGCATGCTAATTATATCGTTCACCGGGACATCAAGTTAGAAAGTGAGTCAGGTTTGCCAAAATACTGCACAATATGCTGACCATCTTTCTAGATGTTCTGCTTACCATGCCCGCTCATGTTATGGATGATGTGCAAGACTGGCGTACCTATGATCGCGCCGTGGTCACCCTCAGCGATCTTGGACTGTCACGACGTATCCCTGAACCACCTGAGAGCCCACTGCTGCAGACCCGATGTGGCAGCGAAGACTACGCAGCCCCTGAGATTCTGATGGGTCAGGCTTACGATGGCCGCGCCACTGACGCTTGGGCGCTTGGTGTTCTACTCTATGCCATCATGGAGAATCGTTTGCCCTTTGACGTACTCCCTGGTACTCGCGGAGATCCTGCCAAACTTCGTGCCCGGACTCCGCATCGTATTGCACGTGTTGAATGGGCTTGGTATAGATATGCCGACGAGGACGAGGAATGGGACCCCGAGAAGGGCAAAGGACTTGATGGGGCTCGTGACTGTGTGGAAGGTCTTCTCAAGCGCAACACGAAGCGTAAGTCCCTTGATGAGATCGCTGCTATGGATTGGGTGCGTGACGCTATCGATGTGCCTGGCGGTCTGAAACGAGGCGACAAAGAAGTGCCATAGAGCCGGTCTCTCCCATGTGCATTGTTGCCCCGTATATTGTTCTTTTTCTTTCCTTCTTTCCCTCCCCCTTTTGTCTAACATCCCTTCATTTCCCTTCCTTTCATGACTCACATACCTTTTCTCTTATTTATTTTTTATTTTTATTCACGAGGCACGATGACTGAATGAGTCATTATGTGGATTGAATTTTATGTTTTTATGGCTAGACCGGCTTTTTATACCCTTTTTTACATACTACCTCTCGGAGGTAAGATATGGAAATACAAGATACGTTCCCCTCTGCCTTGATCTCCCACCTTGCCCATGTTACTCTTCACAGACATGCGGCAGACATCCCAATGGGGGATGGTCACGGTGTCGTGACCGAATTACACGTCTATGTCACATAGAGCTGGACAAATAGTCACTTAATTATTTTGACCGCCATGGATATCAAATCTGCGTGACCTGGAAATTAACCTTGTTCGTACGTGTGATGAACGACTATGGAGGTCATAGGGACTCACATATAATATTAGATTCAATGAACAATCCGGAGCTGTGGTCTGCGAAGTCATTAACAAGCCAGCAACTGGATATCCATCATATGGGCTGGACAGGCTGTCGGGAATATGCCGAACAAAACCTCGTGTTAATGGGAAGCAAATGACCTCAATTTCAGCGTAGATATTCTGAATTTCATCCCATTTCGAATTTTGATACTTTCTATATTTCATGAGGTTCTTCTTGTATGTCCAAATTTCATGACGTCAAGCAAAAGATGCGCAGCTGAAATGCTTTTCTTCACATGCGACCAATCGTATTTGTTGTGGAGGCTGGGGGCTGTGCTCGTACAGCCTACGGAGCCGAAGTCGAAAACCTGCAGCTGCAAATCAGAACGTGAAGGACCTGCATAACTCCTTTTTTTTTTTTTGCTTACATCGATATATGTACAAGGATCGAGGCTCTTTAAATTCCAGGGGGGTAGACATTGAAAGGTACACGCATTCCACACACTGAATTGGGATATACGCCATGGTCTTTGGCCGTTCAAGTCACTCAAAGAGACCGCCATCTCCAAAACCGCCGCCGAAACCACCACGTCCAAATCAGCGACAGGGCGCAATAGGGGTACAGCAATATGTCCATCCGCCATATGCGTCACCGGGGGCGTATTCAGTCAACACATTTCATACACCTACAGTCTCATATCATCCAAATATGGCAATGTCTACGGTGCATCTACAACCTCAACCAGCACCACAACCACACTATCCTCTCCCAGGAGCTGTAAACTGTCTGCCATGGAACCCTCAACCACCGAAACCCTCAAAATGGACGTCATGTACGAATCTGAACCAATCGATGACCAACTTAGTATCGCATACAGTCGACAAAACCAACGCCACGATTCTTGATCTCGAGAATTTGGTCCGCCAGAGTTTGGGCGGCGGCGCAAATGTCAAGGAAGCGACATCGCGGTTATTAGATCAAGTTATCACCTCGATCGATCTAGGGTCGTTTTGTGGGAGAGAAAATGAACTGAGTAAGTGGTATAGCTCCGATCGTATTATCGAATAATACTTACCAGTGGTTATAGTTGCTGCTTGTACAATTCCTTCCCAGTCAGACGAGAAGAAAGATCGCCGATCACAGCGGAAAGGAAAAAAGCCAACAGGGTCTGTGGATTACTTCTCCAAGGTGTACCTGTATGCCAATTCGCGATTACCTCCTCACTTAACACCACTGAAATTGTAAGAACCTCCGATCCCAAGGTACTGGCCCAATTTCCTGATCTCGAATGAAGTTATCCTCCAACATATCCCCTCCTCCAACTCGCAGCCAAGTACTCGCGCCGTGTCTACGACAAACCCTCAGGCCGCGAACGACATTCATACGTGAACTCAGATTGGCTACAGGGTACCAAAGCCATGGTGGTCAAGTCACTACCACTCGACGACATGAACACGATTGTCTTCGCCATACGCGGTACGCAGAGTTTCCTGGACTGGGCCGTGAACGTTCACACGGCACCAACACCTCCCATCGGCTTCCTAGATGACCCATCCAACTGCTGTCACTCGGGATTCCTATCCGTGGCCCGAAAAATGGTTGCCCCCGTCGCAGCCCGACTACGTAGTCTTCTCGAAGAAGATCCCTCACGCATGTCCTATTCACTAGTCTTCACTGGTCACTCCGCTGGCGGGGCCGTCGCCAGCCTGCTATATCTACATCTCCTATCCGAGTCACCAGCCGTGCAATCCGAACTTACTCATCTCCGCGGCTGCTTCAAGCACATTCACTGTGTTACATTTGGTGCTCCGCCCATCTCTCTTCGTCCGTTACAGCTCTCTCTTACTGCCCGGAGATCAAAGTCCATATTCTTCGCTTTTATCAACGAGGGTGACCCGGTCTCCCGTGCCGACAAAGGCTACTTTCTCTCGTTGCTAGATCTGTATGTTTCGCCCGCACCGGGGTCACTACTAGCCTTGTATGACAGAAAGAAGAAATCTGCTCCTATATATTGGAGGACCCCTTCATCTGATCTGTCACTCGCTGGTCGACTTGTTCTTCTTCGTCCACGAGATCAATCGAGTGGCCGTCCTATGATTCTAGCACCACCAGTCCCTGGTGGCCCGCCTGCCCTGCCACCGCGGGAAAATGTGGATGCTTGTGGGATTACAGACCATGAGCTCCGAGGTGTGGTCTTTGGTGACCCCGTTATGCATTTTATGGATTTGTATTCCCATCGCATCGATGCCTTGGCCAGAGGTGCCTTGAAGCAATAATGATGTATCACAATATGTATCGTGACTTCATGTACTGATCTTATGTGTCAATTAACAAGTTACCGAAATACCCAATACCCATTTACTGATTTGATGTTTGCAGCAGCTCTGTTCTCTCGTTAGGATTGGTTATACTCATATTGAATTAGCCCTCCAATAAGATCCCGCTCCTTATTACATGGAATACTTTTGTCTTCTCACTCCCCATGTGTCGTCTGCAATTGCTGCATTTTGAGACAATGTTCTGCGTATGCCTTTGTTGACCTAGTGTCAAATATTCTTTTTTTAGCCCTAAAGAAACAAAGGGGACTAAAAGAGCAAAGTCTTGAAAGATCAATAGTATTTTGTAGTCTCCAATTTGGATTTCTACTTTTGCAAATGGATAATCATCCACTTGGTCCTATACATAAATCCGCAAGCCGATCTCCAGAAACCTCGAGTATACTATACGGTGTCCGTGTTCCTTCCATTGACTTGAACCAGAGAAAATTACCCTCAAAATGTGCGTACAGACTTATGATGTGTGGGCGATGTGCAACTGCATTCATTTCGGACGAGTTCAACGTTGTGAAGAGTTCGGCGTGCCATTTTGCCAACGAGAACGATGCACAGGACGTATTCTACGAGTTCTCAATATTGGCATCATTGGAATTGCTGAAGAACGGCTTCATCAAAAGGCAGGAATGTGCCCGGAGTGCTCGGAGAATTTGTATCGAGAGATGTGGGCGCTTCGTTGGGAATGGACGTCTCGTCAGAGTGAAGAGTGGGCAGCGAAACAGCGCGAGAATAAATAGAGATACAGACACGACAAATTGAAAGAAACGGGCTTGTACTATGCAAAGTTAAGATGCTGTCTTAACTAAATACTCCTAAAATACTTTACAAAATATGTTAATCATGCTTTGATTCGATATCTACTGCTCAACGTAGTTCTGAATGTAGAAGACTATGTTTATCACAGAGCCTCCTGGGAGCGATATTCTCCCTTCTTTGCAGGACATGGGCTCTGTGGGTTCCGAAACACATTGTCTGGGTCGATTTGTTCTTTGATCTGCTGCAGTCGGGGGAGATTGGTGCCCCAGTATGCCTCGGGGGCGTTGCTCATAAGAGGATCAACGTAACCCGGGTATGCAGTGCAGGGAAGGGTGTCATTGGTGACGATCTTATTAAGCCCATCAAGGAAGTCGATCTGGTTCTGGGAGACGTGTCCAAAGAAATTGAGGGTGTAGGACTGTAGCCAGATGAGGACATCACGGTGGGCGTAAGATGTAGCGTTAATTGGGATGTCGTTGGTGTAACCTCCCTGAAAATCGAACAACAGGAACCAGCCCAAAGTACCTTTGTTGACGGTACCAATGTAATCGAACACTCTGTCGATAGTCTCCGGGGTCATCAGGGTCTGGGGCGTCCAAGAAGTAGACTTTGCGTAGAAATTTGTTGGGATTCCAGCGCCCAACTTCAAAACAATGTCTTGGGCCCAGTGGGCGACAATACCTAGCCAGTCATCAAAAACCAATGCACTGCCATTTGCACCAGGGAATTGTCTGCCAAGGTTCATCTTATCGTACTCTTCCTTAGTGCCAAAAAAGGTACCGCTGATTGCCATGCTGTGCTCAAGCACGGTAAGCGTAGATGCCATCTTTCGAGTCAACTTCGGGTCCGAAACGAAAGCCTGCCAGCTCTTGAAGAGGGCCGCCTGCTCCTTGGGGCTGCCGATTTCCAAGCTGTATGCATACTGCACCGCAGAGCCAGGCTCAGGCTCAGTTCGAACCTTGAACTCCGTGACGATACCATAACCCGAGGCAGCACCTTTGATGGCCCAAAAGAGGTCCTGGTTTTCCGTGTCAGAGGCTCTGACAATGCTCGAGTTGGCGAGAACCACTTCAACCTCCAGGACATGGTCAAGTGCGGCGCCAAATTGACGGGAAGTCGGGCCAAGACCACCAATTGTGAAATGTCCCCCCGAGCCCACTTGAGGACAAATTCCGTGAGACATAGTCCGTCCTCCAGCATGGTATAGCCGCTGTGTCACATCGCTCAATAAATTTCCTGCCCCAATTGTAGCTTGCCAGGTTGTATTGTCCATGGAAAATTGTAGGAGATGCTTCAAGTCAATCGCAACAGCACCGTCTGTCCCTCCAAGACCTGTCACAAATTTCAGTCAAATCACTCTGCGAAGAAATAATTTTGAAATCTCACCGTAATTGCCATAGCTGTGTCCTCCACTTCTGGCCTGGACTGGATATCCGTGCCCTGCGGCACACTTGACAATAGCAGCCACCTGCTGAGAAGAGCTGTGATCTATGAGCAAGGAACATAATGAATCATTTATCTTCGAGGATACTCACGTGGGAAAAGCCATTGCTGCTGGAGTAACGGGAATGTTCAGGTTGTAGCGATTCACAATGTGATCATAGAACAGATCCCCGGCAAAAGCAAAGCTTCCCGGGTCTGTCAGAGCATTCTCAAAGCATGATTTCAATGCTGCATTGGGACCAGCAAAAGGCACCGATGTGGCTCCGACTGCCAGAAGAAGGAGTTGAAGAATCATGGTTGGTCTTGGCAAGGTATTCCTTGAGTATCTACAAAGAGGAGAGGAAGGAGCTGAGAGATAGAGAGAGAAAGGGAGAGAGAGATCAGGGACCGCCTCGCGTAGTCCAAACGGAATCAAACGAGTCAATATCATATCAGATAGGACTGGGCGATTTAGTCTCAAGTGTCAATGCACTTTCGTTTGCTTATCTCATAACGTGAATGATCCATGGATCTTAGGCTTGACTCTACGAACCAATCTTGGAAGAGTTGGGCTAATTGAAAACAAAGAACTGTTCCAAGTCGAATCAGCATGACACTACGTTGAAGATACAAGTTCCAGGTACATCCGCCTCGGCATATCGTAGACTTAATGCTGAAGACACTCTTCTTATACCGCAATTTGCCCCTTATACAATGCTTCGTACCTCGATAGAAACCAAGACCCAAGCCCAGCTCTATCCTTTACCGTCAATCTCGTGCCTAGTTAACCTAATTAGACATGCAACCCGCATACATGCAATGCAGTCAGTATTGGCGAGAATAGGTTGGGCCCACACAATGCTTTTGGGTTAAATATCTAAAATATACCAAAAAATCCTATGTATGGAGATCACCATGTCCGACGACTCTGACTCCACGCTCTGGAGAACTCCTGCTTCTCTTTCACCCCCAAGCCAACCCGCTTGACGCGGCCCAGGCGGGCGAGCGACTCCCCCACGTTATCCAGCAGCGCCTTCTCGCTCGCCGAGGCCTGTTCGCCTTGGCCGTTTTGATCCAGTGTGTCAAGGTAATTCGTGCTATAGGTCGACTTGCCAGAGGAAGTGGTATCAATGGCATTTTGGCTATTTGTAATGGACTCCGCGATGCGCACTCTGATGCAGTGGGTCGGCTTGCTAAGCAGCGTCCACAGCAAGCTCATATAACTCCCCGGGAGGGGAGTCACAATATCCATGGGCGTATAGCGCAGACTGACGGGGAAGATCTTGGTCTTGGGAGGTACGCCAAGGAGCGAGTTGCTCAGAGTCAAGATACCGCGACCATTGGTGGTGGTACACTCTGGGAACAATACAATCGGTCTGTTTGGGTACTTCTCGACCAGGGTCGAGATATCCACCATTTGGGTACCAGGGGATGGCTGCGTGGCGGGGAAAGCAAAGGCTCGCAGAACGGCCTGTAGCAGAGAGATGCGCTCGACCTGACGAGTGTTGGGATAGGATGCTGTGAAGATCGGATCGAAGATAGCTGCCAGGTAAATGGCATCAATGGGTGATGTGAAGGACGAAGCGATGACCGAGCCGGGCTGTGGCAGACGCGCTTGCTGCTGCTTCAAGGACCTGTGTCGGAATTGTTAGCTATCAGCGGAACAGGCTATGGTTCCAATGACGTAGAACGAACCCTTTTCGCACTCCGTCTACTTGGAGATCAATCCACCAGATGCTCGGAACTCCAAGGATACACCATAGAGCAGCCTTTTTACCCAGCGAGCCGATAGGAAGCCATTGTAAGATAAAAAAATAGCTAAGAGTGACGAAGATGAATAGCGGGAGGCGGAAGCAGAAGAGGATGATACGGAGGGGTGCCTGGAGACCGAGCGGTTCAATGGGGATTGGGAGGAAGGGCGCAATGCCCGAGCCTGGGAGATGTCAGCATAACTATACTTGGAGGGGCTGATTATCACAGTGGAAACTCACCTCGATCCCGGAACTGAGAGTATCTCTCCATCTTGTGTTATGACGGCTGTAGGCAGAATGAGCTGTGGTACGGGCTCAATTGTTAAAATGCCATGCGCTAAGCAAATGTTTATTTAGGAGTGCGCCGGCAGCACAAGTTGCGACTGACAGTGAAATCGGGTTGACAAGCTGGTGATCTTCACATGCGACTGGAGCTGTCACGTGGCATTATGCCTGAGGCATCAAGGCACACTTCTTTGTGTAAAGTAGTATAAAAGTTGCAGGCGAGCGAGTCGACTGGTCTCCGGATTCCAAGTCCCTGTGCTATTTGTGTGATAATTTTCACAAGATATATGTATAATATAATATATACCCAAAAAAAAGAAGGGCTTTGAGTGCGCACGGAAGCTATGAGTGGTATACAAGATCTATAGGATTACGCCCTGTCATCCCCGTCATAATCATCCACTACAAAGTCCGGTATCGGAGGGCTTGGAGGCAGTTTGAAAGTCCAGATAGCTATTCCGACTAAGCAGAATAGTGTACTGGTCATCATCCACGCGAGACCAATCCAGACCCCACCCAGACGCAGTCCAATCTGGAAGACGGTGGTGATGGATAAACTCGCAACCACATTTCCCAATGACTGGATGATCTCGATCGCAGTAAACAAGCGGGCGGTCTCATCACGTTCAACCAAAGTGGTAACGATGGAGCGAGCAAGGAAAACGAAGCCCGATCCTGAGGTCTGGATGACCATGCTGGGGATCAGGGTCGCGATCGTTGGAGAGAGGCCGATTCCGAGGGTTCCAATTGTAAGACAGAATATACTGCGGCGCGCGAGCCAGAGGTCTTTTTCTGTCGATGAAAGTCGGTGGTTGAGGACTCGGCTTTTGAGGAAAGGCAGGCCGAAGAGGAACAGCGGGATTGACACAGTGGGGCGAGCAGACACCAGAAAGTTGGACTGTGCTAGTGTCCATGAATAACGTGTCGATATATATTGGGTCAAAAACCAGGATGAGCCTCGGCTCAAACGGTAGACCAGAAATGCACTGAGAAGGAGGAGTACTGGTTTTCGGTTGAGGATGAACCGGTAGGGTTTGAGGTAGAAGCGGTAATTTGCGCGGAACTTTGCGAGAATAGATTGGTGGGAGTATGACGGGATGCTCCATGACGGCGGTTCGTCCTCATGATCACCATTCATGTCGGGTGGTGCTCGATGTGGTTCGGGTTCATGTAAAGAATGCTTTGGTCCAGTATCATCTGTGAGATCTGACAGCTCGACATTTGATGTTTCGGTTTTCCGAGGTGGCAGTGCATGTTTCGTTTCCGGTAACACCAAGATGAGCATCATGCCGGCCATTACAATTCCGAATCCAATCACCAATGGTATCCAGGGATTCAAGGTCATCAGATAAGAACTAACAGCACTCGAAGCGAAGTCGGCGCCCATCGATACGATGGCAAATTGAAAGAAGATGCCCGCTCTATCCCACTCGATTAGCATCTATAAAACACGCCCAAATTAGAGGAGAAGCATACCTTTCTGCCTCGGTGGTTACATCGGCCATCATAGTCCAGATAATCGCAAACGACACAACTGGACCACCCCCAAACACCCACGACAAGGCGGTAAACCAAAGCGCGCGCAAGGGAAAGAAATCTGAGAACCACAATATAACGAGTGTCAGGAGTGCATTCAACCCAAATCCGGGAATAGACAAAGCGAGTGTGGATTTGCGGCCACGACGGTCTGCCAGCAGACCATAGGGAATCGCCAAAAGAGCGCCTGAAAAACAATTAGAAAATATTCTAGTCCTGAAAGTTCAAATCAACGTACTCAGTGACCCATCAAAGAACATATGGTAACCTTTCACGGCCGCCAGTTCAGCCTGCACCTCGCCGATCTTACACATGGCCTCGGGAACTTGTCCATCCACGCCGATCTTAGTCGGATCCACACCCGCAAAATACTGGCGACAAGCGATAGACTCCATGATCCGGACCATCGGGCCCTCCAAGAAAGCGAAGCCGATTTCAACTGCGAGAACCATGGCGAATAAGGTCGCCTTGAGGCGAAAACTGATGGCGCTGGCGGAGGCATTGGCCTTCACTGGGCGGCTACCTATACTGGGCTTGCTATGAACATGTCGATGGGCAGGGCCGGGGATGCTTGGATCGGGAGACTCGAGGAATGGGGCATCCTCGCGGTCCTCGCGGTCGAGAGACTCATGACGTATGGAGGCCATCTTGGTCTGTCATACCGTCAAGGGTATATATAAAAAGAAGGTAGTCCGATCGGGTATAAATGAAGGCAGAATCAGATCATTGCTAGAAAGCTAGAAAAGAATGAGAAATCTGTCCTACGTGAGGCCAAGTTGCCAATCGTCGCAAGCGAATCCGGCACGGTGTCTTGGCGGGTTCTCGTCCCAGGGGTTAGGGGCTAAAAGCCGAACTAGTGGCCGAGTACTCCGTACACGGGTGCTATTCTTATCTATGTATCATATTCTTATGTACGGAGTATTTGATTCAGAGAAATAGTATACCGATACCTAGGTATATCCCTTTATATACGGGAAAAACCCTTCCTAATTACAATATCCTGCCTCTTCAAACAAGCTTCCCCGAACTTGTACTACTGCCGACAGCTCTAGAAGGAATTCATAAAGAATCACCACGTTAGTCAGTACATGACCAAGAGTTGCGACTGGAGCATCCTTGTTATCTTCTGAGCTCGAGGCCCCCTCCTCGGCAGATAGAGACTGTGGATCCGCGGGTGCCGGCGGGAACGGCGTGGAAAGGCGCTGACGAAGAGCCTCAGCGGCCACGGCCCGGGTGTTCAAGGATCCACGCGATTCGGAAGGAACGGAGGATCCATCCCGATCTCGACTAGAAAACATAGAGGGCGAATTTACTGGGTACGGAGACCGGCCACGGGAACCTAGGGTAGAGGCATCCGGTGAACCAGGATATGACGGGCGCGAGCGGTTCACTGATGCTGGAGGCTCCGAGGGCTCTCGTGAGCGGTCCGGCGTCTGTGGGCGATCTTCCTGGTGCAAAAGTTCACGTCGGGCAGCGAGCAGTACATCGAAGTCCGGGAGTTCTTGTTGCCATTGTCTGACCTGGCTTACAAGTTTTTGGAGCGCTAATGTCAATGTCGGAGCAGCTCCAGCAGGCCAAGTTGGTGTCTGGTAGGCCCGACGAACGTTTTCAAATTCGCCGTCGGTTTCTTCGGAGGTTGGGGCCTCGTATTGGTTGGGATCAACCAACACCCACCCGTCCAAGGAGAAGAGATGTGAGGATGCCAAGCTCATGAACACACCTGTTAACGCCAGATTGACAATGACACTGTTGGTAAAGAAAGATTCAAGACACGTGAAAAGGGCCTGCACTATTGGATCGTCTTGCTGGAGCTGTAATGGTATGGGTAGGGTCTCCTCGTCTTCCTCCATCGAAGAGATGGGCAGGCATAACCGGGATTCAAGCACACATGTCGCATCTGCAACATAGTTGTCATACGACTCATTCAATGTGGGGTCATCGACGAGGGACGTTCCCATGGCCAAAAGTTGCTCTAGCTCGGCATTCAAAGCGCCAACGGGGCGCTGATGTACGGGCTGAGTAGGAATGGTATGGATTAGTGCCCGCGCAAATAGATGGTGTCTTTGAAGAACAGTATTTAAAAGGCGTAGTGTTGCTAGCACCGTCTGACAGTTCGAGGACTGGAGTCCCAGTAGGGCCAAATCGCGAAGATTGAAGAGTGATGGTGATGGCTGAGCCGCTTCAGAGGCCAACGCAGCTAGCACATTGAGCGATTTCCGTCGGCTTGCGGACATGTCGATTTGCTCCCCAGGCTGAGGGGAAGATGCTAGTAAGAAATGTAAGATCCGATGGACCAATTCGCCTTGATCGATCGAGTCGAGGATGCGGCACATGTAGGTCAGCACCGCTGCTGTCGAGCCACCAGCTACATCTGATGATTCTAGTAAGGAGGGGTACCTGTAAGAGTCAGCGATGGATCCATTCCAGAGGGACAAACGTATACTGACAAAAGTTGTTCCAGAAACAGAACCTGGAAATGGTCTAGCAGGGTATCGTTCACTTCGGCCGATTTGCAATGGTCGATTGTATCCTGCCAAAACAACAGATATGACATGAATGCATCCATTGTCTGACCTAGGGTTGGTTGCAAGGCGGTCTCTTGTTTGGCATGATCAGATAACGCAATAATGTGAGGGACATTCTCGTCCTCGTCGGTGGGAGTAAATGATAAGCTTATTTCCATTAGTGTACCGTCCCATAGCGATCAAAATACCAAACTTACTGTCCCAGCTGGCTGTATAGTGCACCCAATCCAGTGGCCATGAGCGTAGCCAGGTCACTCTCGATCAGCCACTTCTCTAAATTCTTGGACCGCGATGCGCTTTCAATGATGTAGAGCAAACCCGTACGGGCAAAATCACCAGCACGTCCGTCGTGATGGACATAGTCCACCAGCAGATAGAACAGGGGGAATTCGTCCTTCCTCGTAGCTCCTGCAAACTCCGTCCCACTCGGGGCTTGAGAATCGCTATCCTGGGCGGTCGGTGTTACCCGAGGCACAAACCATGCGGGCAAGATAACAGGCCGAAGACGAATGTTGTTGGAGATACCAAATAGCAACTCGACGAGTCGGCCCTCGATCTCATCCGAGGTCTTCTCAGCGCGGCGGACCAAATCCACCAACGCGCGGGCGAACAATCGGTTGTCCACAACCCCATCCACCTCCGCATCAATCAGCGTGTTGAAAAAAATCGTGGCTGATCGGATGACCCCTTCATCGTAGAAAGAGAGGGCAAGCTTGGTTACCGTCACAAAGACCTGGGAAGATGCTGCATAGGCGACACAGGGGTGCGGTGCGGGCCCGCGGGCTTCCTCGCTCAGAATCGAATTGAGTCGTTCAACGTACGTCCGCGCGTGGGCAACTGATTGTTCGCCCGAAGGGGTATTTGTTGCACGCCATATTTGCTATCAATTGGATTAGTTGGGATCCTCGTGGAAGCGGGCATAGTCGGTACCTGGAGGGCATTGCAGGCGCGCTTAAAGGCAGTCAGCCGTTCCGTGGGCGAGGTGGCCTTGGAGGATTTGATGGACAGCGCGCGCGAGCCGCCGATAAGACGAGACCACTATATTCTATTAGTAGATATTCATAGAGCAGTAAGGGGCACATACAAAGTCCATTCTGTGAGGACAGCATGATCTCACAGAGTGAAAGTGATGGGGTCGAGGATGAGTGGAGACGGTGTTTATCGCGTTGATCGCCGCTTTACAACAAAACCATCGACTTCTAATGTACTTACTACATGCACATTTGTACTACATGCACATTCGAGATTTATACAGTTACAGGTATAGGTATTCGAGTTCAAACAAAGAAAATTGCCAGTTGAAGTCCTGTTTGGATAAAAAGACCGTGCGTGTATGGGGGCTCGAGTCATTCGAGCCCGAAAAACTAAAGATATTCACAGAGAAATGCGCTCCCAGATCTGCCTCCCACTATTTAAACGCCTAAAAGAAAATAGAAACCCCCATGAATTTATGCGCCTGATACCGATCCCATCTAGCACGTCGTCAAATCATTTACGGGTCCACCTCAATCACTCTCATCCTTGGGTCGCCGGCCCCCCCGCTTACGGCGACCCTCATTCTGATCGCTCCCATCGTCTTCGTGTTTCCGGCTAGCGGGTTGATCAGGAACCTTCGAGATGATGTCGGCCAAGAAGTCGAGTACTTCATCCTTGGCAACGGCCTGTTTAAGATGCGAGGCCGTGACGCGCTTTGAGTTGCGATCCTTGGCTTCTTGTGCCGCCTTGGTGACGAGAGAGATCATGAACAGTTCGAGAGCCTTGGCTATAGGGGAGTATCGGGTCAGAATCTCTTGCAAAGCATGGAGAGTACGCGCCAAGGAAGAACTTACACACAGCAATCGGGGTTACTTGAGCAACCTTGCCGACATCCTCATCGGCCTGCATGATGCGCTTAATGCGCGCCACGGGAAACTTGGTCTTTACTTCAATCCCCACATTTGGAAGCGTCGGCGGCATCTCTTCCTCCATCTTCGGCGCAACAACGGGGACTGACGCCATTGCGATCGGCTCTGGGATTGCTTCGGGCATTGGTTGGATTGCTTCGGGCATTGGTTGGATTACTTCGGGCATTGGTTGAATTGCTTCAGGCATAGGTTCGGGGATGGGGGTGTGGTCAGACTGAGCAAGACGGCTTGAGCGGCGAGCCATGTCCGAGTCGTCTGGCTGATATGGCGGTACGTACTGTTGAGACACGCGACTTGGATTTGGGCGTGGGTACGGTTGGTATGTGTTGAAGATTGGTGATGTGTAAGAGGTAATTGGACTCGGAAGCACGTGTTGTTGAGGAGGAGGAAGAGAGAAATCAGGAGAGCGAGGCCGATAATTGTCCTCTGTCATGGTCAAGGGAAAAAAAAAAAATTATTAAGTGGAATCGCGAAAAGTAGGTGGCCCAAGCTCCCTGGAGAGGAGAATCCAACGACCCGACTCGGGCGCCGCTGTCCTTTTTAAATTCCGTCGTGTGTTTTTTTTGTAATGTTTTTACCGGCTTTAGCTGTTTTGGCTGTTTTTTTTATTTAACATTTTTGGTCCTTTTTTCATCTTGTCTTTGTTATATCTTTCTTCACCTTTGAACATTTTGAACGTTTATTTTATTATACACCTTTTCTTCCCCTCTTGTATTCTCATATTCTCTCTTTGTCTTATATTCCAATCAATACATGGAATACATCGTAGGTGACCTCCTTTCTCCCCTCTAGGCACCCGTAGAATACCCGATGACGATAAATCCAAAAACGTCGAGTTGAATCAGATGAAACCATAAGCGTATCGCTGTTTCTTCTGTGAACACCAAAAATAACTTGATCTAATCTGAGGGGTCTCATCACTACAATGCACTTTGTTTGCTCCACGTCATCCCTTTTCTCTTACTTCTCTCTGACAACGTAACTTCGGCGAAATAGTTTCTCCGACCAATTTCAAGCATCAACCTCTACACTTCTTACCGGACATTGAAGCCATGTCACTGAAGCTTTTTGTCTAGTCAGGGTCATCTAATATCTCCAGCCATCTCCAGCTATGGCGGTGGCGGATGTGCCCGGTCTCATGGACATTGCCAGGTACCTACTTGCATGCCGATCAAAAATTCGGAATGATGCTAATGATTCTGCAGTACCCTGGCCCAAGATGAGATCCCCTTTAAGCTACGATGTGCCATCTGCAATAAGCTGGCAGTAAATGCATTTCGTCTCCCCTGTTGTGACCAGTCTATCTGCGAGACCTGTATGTTGGATCCAATGTTTCGCACCTGTCGCAAATGGTAGCTAATCTGATATCTGCTCTAGGCCAAGCCTCCTTGTCCGATACATGTCCTGTCTGCACACATACCCCTGTCTCTCCCGATCTCTGCAAACCCAACAAGGCTCTGCGGACCACTCTCAAGGCTTTCTTGCGCACCGAAGAGAAGAAGCGGGAAAAGGACCGCCAATCTACGGCACCTCCAACACCATCCATTGTCACGCCTGCAGATGCAAAAGCCCCTGTCCAGGATGCAGTCCCCGATCAAAATGGGGCTGAGACAGTGATATCTGTGGAGACCAACGCGCCTGTCCCTCCAGGTCCTACGGAGGCCACAGAGTCAAAGCCTCAAGAGCCGGGACTAGATACACCGGCTCCGGACACAGTTGGAGAGAGCATTCCAGAGCCAAGTGCACCAGATTCGGCAGATCAGCCAGCTCAGGTAATTTCCCCCTGCTATTGTATACTCTTAAATTTTTCTAAGCTGACTCGTGTAGCCTGAGGCAACTGGTGATCAACTCAATGGCACCGAACCGGCCCGTGAGTCCACGACTGAAGATGCCGCAGTCAACGAAGCAGTAAACGGAGAACCTGCTCCCACGCCTGAGGAGGTTCCTGGAGAACTCGGTACCAACTCGTTGACCCAAAACATGGCCGGAAACTTCCCCGCGGTGGGCTGGAACGGGAACGGCATGAATCCTTTCATGGCCGGCATGTTCAATTACCCGAATACGATGGGTGAGTTCAATATTACCAATACTTGTCTCTTCGACGTCGCTAATCTCTGTCAGGTATGCCCATGGGGATGGACCCGATGGCAAATCAGGGGATGTACGGAATGAACATGACTGGCATGGGCATGAACACTGGGATGAACTACAACGGGGGCATGTATGGATCCTTAGGATGGGACGCATCCCAACAGAACAACAATATGTGGCAAGGCGGCCAAAATAAATTCAATCCAAATGCTTTCGCAAATGGCACGGGTCCTCCTTATGGAGGAGCATTTGGCGGGTCTAATATGTCTGCTTACCCTTCCCACTCAGACTATCAGTCCGGTTACTACGGCGGTTATGGCCGTGGTGGTTACCGAGGTCGCGGCCGTGGCCAGTTTCATGGCTCCGGTCGAGGTGGCTTTGGACCCATGCAAGGTCATTACCGTCAGGGTGCTAACTCGGGATATCCCAACCAGAACCCAAGTGTGCCTAATGGTCTGAACGGTACTCCAATGGATGCCCAAGGTAATTTCGAAACAAATGAGAATCCAGAATCAGGTGAAGCTGGACCAGATGTACCGGGTAATCCAGACGATATCCCAACAGGCACGGACCAACCAAACCAACCCCAAGGAATCCCCACCATTGACAGCCTGGATAATTCTGTACCAACTGGCCCTGGATACGGTAGTAATGGGTATGGCCAATACAGATATGGTCGATACGGACAAGAACGGGGGCCAGGTGTCGAAGGCGCTCCAGCGGCTCCGCGTGCCATGCGGCAGGGGCTACCCAATACCAGTGTGTTGCGACAACGTGGTTTCCAGATTCAAGGCCGAGCCAGTATTTCTGGGTAAGACCTTCCCTCTTTTGTCCTTTCTTGTCTTGGCAATATAAATCCTAACTACCAGTAGTGAACCCACTGAAGACGATCACACCAGGGCCACATCCAACGCCCTGTCCCAACGTGCGCAGTCTCGATCTCAATCACCCTCACAGAACCCAACTTCTCGCCCCCGTTCGCCATCTGTTCATGGTGCTGAAGACGACCGTGAAAGTCGGCGTGGGGCAGAAATCAAACGCCCAGATCGGGTTGATGAGCTACAATCCGACGCCCGTCACTCTCGCTCTCCATCCCGCACATCCTCTCGTCGATCCTCGCGACGCCGACATCACGACAGTGATAGGGAGCGAGATAGAAGAACCAACCACCGTTCACAACGCTCTCGTCGTTATCGCAGCCGTAGCCGCAGCTCAAGTCGAAACGGCGATTCCCGTCCCTCTAGTCGCCTAGAAAAGACCTCAGAGAAAGATAGGCCCAATGGCAGGACCAAAGCGTCCTCCGAAGGCCCAGAGTCGGGTGATCTAGCAAACCGAATCAGCAGCACCTACCGCTCCACTAAGGGCAGAGGGAGCCGACGCGAAGGCGACAGATCACGAGAGCAGGACCGAGATCTCCGACGCCGAGATCGTGACCGTGACCGTGACCGTGACCGTGATCGTGATCGTGATCGTGATCGTGATCGTCGTGGCAGAGACCGCGATCCCGATCGCGAACGTCGCCGTGATGGCGACCGCGATAAAGACAGAGCTTCAGAGCGCGACCGAGATCGACCAAGAGAACGTGATCATGATCGTGATCGTGACCGTGATCGTGATCGCAAGCGCTCTCGCCGCGATCGATCTCCATCTGCCATCGGCGGCGACCATCCTCAGGCCCGTCGTGTGAAACGTGGCGATGAGGACCATAGTAGGGACACGAATGAAGGCTCAACCAAGAGGGCCGAGCCCGATAAAGACCCTTACACCCTTGAGCGCGAAGCACGCAACAAGGAGCGCCTTGAGCGTGAGCAGCAGCACCGTGAGAAGGCCAAATCTGGCCGCCGCCGTGATAGCCGGCAGGACCGTGTGGTGGCGGGCCGTCGCATCAACTACAAGTACGAAGATGAACTTTAAGCTTGGAGTTTGATTTTTTTCCTTCCGTACAAAACCATGGGGCATGGCGTCAAGGGTTGCTCTTCCACTTTCTTGCATGTTATTTTCCTTGAGCTAGTATGTGAGCTTGCTCAAAAGTAGATATGGGATTTGTGTACGCTATTTGAAATGGCTTCTTATGAATAGAGAGAGAATGCAACTCCAAGTGATGAAAATGCATTTTCTATTTCAATCTCTGTCTTGCTGTGTTAATTCCTTGTTTGATAAAGAAATAGAAAATAAAATATCTTTCGCTCAGGCCTATCACTACAACATATCCATGTGTTATAACTTGCTCACTCCCAAATTTTTAATACCGTCAAGTACAATTGATGTGAGCAACGCTTTCAACTCAACTGGGAACATAATCCATAATTGGATGGTCCCATACACTGTCGTAGGCACTCGAAGTAGCTTGAAGGACGAACTACCCTGGCTATTCAATGAACATGATATCCAAATTTTGATTTCAAGGGCAAATGTATTGACAATTCCGCTAAAAAGAAACAAAAATAATTTATCCACACACAGCACCGCCTCATATACGTCAAACACCGTATGATTCCAATCCGGAGCATAGTCTCCTAATGTACCTAGATAATATTTGACCAACCCGGCATTTTCCAGAGACTCAAATTAGGACCATATTATTTAGTTCAGTTTGCTCTTCAATGCCTCAATCTCAGCAGTCAATGTTTGCATTTGCTGTGCCTGGTCGGCAATAGTCTTCGTTTGTTCGGCAAGCAAGTTCTTAATCTCTTCGATGTCGTTCTTGGCGATGGAAGTGGTGGGCGAAGGGGCTTCGCTAGTGGGTGATGGGACAGCAGGAGACTAGAATAATTAGCAGCTGGCACAACCAAACGAATGTGAACGGGGAATAGGGAACTTACAGCCACAGCCACGACGGGTTGAGGCTTTGTCTCAACCTCCTTCGGCCTCAACGGGCTACTGACACGGGGCGAAGCAGACTCGGCAGCGACAGAGCGAGTGGGACGCTCAACCGGCTTGGGGATTTCCTCGAAGCTCGACTCGTCATCGTCGGAGATGGTAGCTTCCTCTTCACCATCGGCAAACTTGTTCACCATGGCGGCCATTGAAGCACCCTGTTCCTTCATCGATGGGGCGGGGCGCGCAACGGGCGTAGGCTCAGAGACGGGCTCCGGTGCGGGCTTTGGAGAAGCAGGCTCAGAGGTCTTGGGGGTCTCCTTGGGGGTCTCAGCAGCTTTAGGTGTCTCGGCAGGCTTGGGCGCAGGTGCATCCATGGAGCCGGTTGGCTTTTCCTCCACTCCTGTCACCTCCTTGATGCCCTCACCATCGAACAGGCTCGCCATGGAGATCTTGGGAGGAAGTGCCTCCTTACCACCCAGCCATTCAGACGAAGACATGGCGGGGGTCACTCCAGCGGTGGGCGGGTAGATGTCGTCCTGGAAGTTCTCAGACCGGCGGGGGACGATGAATGAGACGGGTTCGATGTATTGATCGTTGACGGTCTTGTAGGCACGAGCGACTTCGTTCTCATGCATATTCACGCCACGCTTGGGCATGAAGGCGACTCCTCGCTGGGGGTCGGCAGACTTGTGCTCAGAAAGGAATTCGAACTTGTCATTCTCAAGCTCGAAGTATCGGATGTTGCCGTCACTGCTGGGTATTAGAAATTGCGACAGCAAAAGGATTCAATCGTGGACACTCACCCTCGTCCAGCCAAGTATAGCATGTTAGTTCCATCATCCCAGAAAGGCATGCATACGCCAGAAATGGAATCCAAGGTCTTGAAACCGTTAATGGGTTCCCGCACAGCACGGATATCCCAGAGCGCCAGCTGGCGGTCGCTCATCTTGGAGAAACCGGTCGTCGCGATGCGATCACGCTCTCCCAGCCACACAGCTCGGCTGTTCTTGGCACCGGTGTGGCCATTGGTCTCGTGAGCCGGACGTTCCTGTCGCACATCCCAAATGCGGAGCTTCTTGTCACGCGAGGTAGTGACCAACAAGGAGCCGTTGGCACTCCACGACTGCGACTGCACAATATCGCCAATGTTCAGCGTGAGCTTAGATGCACCAGCTTCAATGTCCCAGATCTTCACGGTATAATCGCCCGAGGCCGTTGCCAGCACGTTTTCTGCCGCGGGGTTGAAGAGCACGTGGCCAATCTTCCTGCAGGGAGGGGTAAGCATAGGGCGATAACGGGTTTGGTCAAGGGTTCATACTTGGGATGCCCACTCAATTTGCCAATAGGCGCAAGGTCCTTGATGTCGTCCGCATCGGCCTCAGGACGAACGGTGAAGTTCTCCGGAACCCGCCAGAGAAGAACCTGGAATTGGTCAGTCGCAAGGCTAATAGCTGTTGTTTGTCGCACTATACCTTGCCGTCATCGGATCCAGAGGCAATCAGGTCGTCATTGAAAGGATTCCTGCAAGGATTCAGTGAGCTGCAGCGCGGGAGTTCTAGATTCAAATTCCTTACCAGTCGGTGTCCAAAACGACGGCAGTGTGGCCTCGGCACAATGGGATGCGCTCCGGGAGCTTGCCCCGTTCCTCAAGAGGGATAATCGCAAAAGCTCCGCCACCACCTGCTTCCCAATTGACGGCAATATGTTTCGGATTGACCTAGATGCACCGTAAGACCGGGTTCGCCAGTGAAACGTCAGGGGTGATGCGGAAGGCATAACACGCACCTTGAGGAGGTTGGTATCCCAGGCGTTTCGGGAGACTCGAAGGTTATCGTAACATTGATCCTACAAAAGTTAGAATGTGAGATCGGGGGGTATAGGAGGTAGCCTTTACCTTTCTCGTCGATCGCCCGAAGACGTGGCCTGTAAAGGTCAGCGGGGAGGCGCATTTTGAATTATAGATGTAACTCACGATATTTGGAGGAACGAACAAAACGCCCGGACATGATTACCAAGTGTTCAAACGAAGACGTAGAGACAAAAAAATGTAGCGAAAAGGAGTAGGTGAAAGAGACGTTGGAGAAGCTCAAGCAACGGGGCTACTGGGGCCGTTTCGGGAATCCAAGTGGAGGCAAAGAACGCCCCACGAATACCAACTAATTTCGGAACAGGCTTCAGGAATCAACAAAGAATAGTAAATGTTTATAGGACATTGTACAATCTGAGCTTTTGTATGTTCTTTCATTTTGAACACTGAAGCCTTGCATCTTCGGTCTTGGGATGATCACGTGTTGTTTTCAAATACCCGTCCTTAGTAATACAAATACGACACAGTTTAAAGCCATTGCCGGATTTGCACTAGCGTGATACATATGCCTGAGTCAGCCATTCTTTGTTTACTTTGCATTTCGGTCCCTCCAGAAACCAGTTTGCGCTCATTTGATACTCATACTTGCAAGGTTACTGCCCATACCATCCATTGGCATGTCCTCTACCTCTTCTTTTGGTCCTGACTTGCTAACTTCAAGTCCCAGCGGCCAACACAGACAGTGGCTGGACGTGAGCTCATCCTTCTCGCCCGGATACTCTATTCGCCGGTAACCTGGCGATCAACAAATCCCAATATGGAGGGCGAAAACATGGTAAGCAACCCCACTTTGATTCTCTGTTTTATCGGAGTACATGGGATCATAACTGATCATCTTCAGACCCGAACCACCAGGGCGTCTACTCGGACGCGCCTGCCACAGGCTGGCCTACGTGAGGCTAGCTCCGCGACGACCAACTCGCGCTCCGGCATCATGGCGCCAGGTACAATCGCAAACAAGGCTATGAGCATGTCGCGTATGGAAGATCTCGAATCGTTGGCGCAACATGAACTGACAGCGCCGAAAGCAACCCGCCCGAAGACCGCCAACCCGGAAACGAGGAGACCTGGACCCGTCACTCGACAGGCTAATACCACGACCAAGGCGCACAACCGGGGCAATTCGTACTCATCTTCAACTATGTCCCGACCCACCGCACCTGTGACTCGCCCAGCGAACGGCTCCTTTTCCTCAACTGTCGGCCCCGGCACGCGCCCAGCATCGGCCATGTCCCGGTATCAACCATCCTTCAACGGCCGCAGACCTGTCGGCGCATCGATTCCGCGCGCAGCAAGCGCATTGGATACCCATATGGAAGACGCCTCTCCTAGTGTGCTAGGAAAACGAAAGGGTATGCTACAATTTCCCTTATTTCCCAGTCGTATCCCTTCTTGTCCCGTTGGAACCGTGTCCCCCGGATTGGCTGAGGGTTGGAATGGGATTGGTGAATTGGCCGCGCTCTCTCTGTCCGAGAAACCTGTCCCTTTTCCAAGTCCTTCCAACCTAGCAACTGTCCCCGTGTTGCCCAGTACCCCATTTCGGAATGTTACCACCCCAGAGTCACCCGGACATGTGCAATCCTCCTCGTCATCTTCTTTTTTCACAGTCCCTACTGCACCCTATAGAACCCCGTCACATTCCCAGCGACGCATTATCAAAAAATCCTCAAATTCCGCGTTTTTGACCAAAGGGTCTTCGATCAGAAGTTTTGACAATATCACAGGTCCGGAATGGGATCAAGATTCCCGCGAAAAGAGTATGGAGGGATTGATGCAGACTTTGCTGGCCCAGGTAAATCAGCAAGGCCAAGCAAGCTCTGGTCTGAAGGAGACTGTTGATCTCTACAAGACAAGAAGTAAGTTGAGTTGCATAAGAACCATGCTAAAACAAGTCTAATCTTTTCGTCCAGTCAATGACCTCGAAAAATCTCGGGATGAGGTGAAGGAACTCAATATTACCCAGCGGGTGGAATTGGATTTACTGCGAACCCAATTACAGGCCGCTGAGAAGGGGCGTAAAGACGACAAGAGAGATCATGAGATCGCTTTGGATGATCTTTACCAGCGCCAGCGCATTGAATTGGACTCAGTCCAACAACAAAGCAGGAAAGAAATCGACAACATCACTGGCCGACATCAAGAGGAGGTTCGCGACCTGAAAAGACGATTTGATCGCGAAGTTGAAGGCGAGAAAGCAGCACGAGTAAGCGCGCTCAGCAAGCTGACTTCCCAATCTGCACTTGATATCCAGAATTCCCAAATTGAATTGGAGAGGAAGGATCGCGAAATCACATCATTGCAAGATAGGCTACAGGCCTTGAAGGCAGACCTTGATCGCGAACGAAGAACTGTGCAGGAACTCAAACTCAACCTGGATACCGCAAGCAGCAACAGCGTTACTCTAGAGTCATCAATTCGTGCGCTCAAGGCACGCATTGAATTCCTTGAAAGTGGACGGGAGGAGCAGTCTAAATCCTTTGAGCGGTGCAATCGGGAGATGATGGATGCATTTGCCGAGACAGAGGCGATGAAGGAGAAGCTGCGTAGGGAAGAGACGCTCCGACGCAAACTTCATAACCAGGTGCAAGAGCTCAAAGGCAATATCCGCGTGTTCTGTCGAGTTCGCCCTTCACTTAGAAGTGAACCTGCCTCCGATCTCACTCTTATGCAGTATCCCGATGAAACCGGCGATGCAAAGGAGATCAATATCCTTGGCCCCGAAGAGAAGAGCAGCCTTGGAACAGCTACCCGGAAGAATAACACTTTCTCCTTTGATCGTGTATTCAATCCATCCACCCAGAACGCCGAGGTGTTTGATGAGATTAGCCAGCTTGTTCAGAGCGCTTTGGATGGTTACAATGTTTGCATTTTCTGTTATGGCCAAACTGGTAGTGGCAAGACGCACACAATGTCATCGGCCGATGGCATGATTCCCCGTGCTGTTCACCAGATTTACGAAACCGCGCAAGGTCTGGAAGAGAAGGGTTGGCGGTACTCAATGGCCGGTAACTTTGTCGAAGTTTACAACGAAAACCTAAATGATCTCCTGGGCAACCCGGATGAATTGGACAAGAAGAAGCATGAAATTCGCCACGACATGCAACGGGGCAAGACTACTATCACTGACATTACAACTGTCAACCTGGACTCCCCAGAGATGGTTGAGTCTATTCTCAAGAATGCGGATGCCAACCGCTCGGTAGCAGCGACCAAGGCCAATGAGCGCTCATCGCGGTCCCACTCCGTCTTCATTCTCAAGCTCATCGGCCAGAACCACATCACTGGTGAACGCAGTGAAGGCACGCTGAACCTCGTTGACTTGGCAGGAAGTGAACGCCTGAGCCACAGTGGAGCAACCGGCGAGCGTCTGAAAGAGACTCAAAATATCAACCGTAGTCTCAGCTCTCTGGGCGATGTGATTGCAGCTCTCGGCCAAGGCAAAGAGGGAGGTCATATCCCATACCGAAACAGCAAGGTATGTTTCTTTTTTACTCCCATTTCTATTTGCTAGATACTAACTCACTGTCCAGCTCACCTACCTGCTCCAGTTCTCCTTGGGTGGAAACTCCAAGACCCTCATGTTTGTTATGGTTAGCCCGCTTCAGGCACACATGTCGGAGACCTTGACCAGCTTGAAGTTCGCCACCAAAGTACACAATACCCACATTGGCACCGCAAAGCGACAGGCGCGTGTTCGTGATGCCTGATTATGATGATACCTCTTTACTTTTTTTGTATATATTTTGTTGGCTTTCTCTATGGGGTAGGGGTCTTTGACGATCCTGTCCTCTACCCTGGCGTCTTGGCCGGGCTCATTGATGTTTTTTTTTTCTCCTTTGTCAAAGCCTTTGGAGATATTCGGTTCCTGTCTAAGCGTGTGATTTACTATATGGACAATGATACATTTGGTTTAATCAATGCACAGTAGTAGGCTCTCAATGTTTTTATCTGTTTGGTTGATATTGCGAGAGAAATCCTAGTCTCCCTTGTGAATAAATTTACGGATATCCAATATCGTCTGTTCCCTTTTCTCAATCCAAGGGAAATGTCCACATTCGCCATAGGTAATCAGTCGGGCATTTCGAATGTCTTTCACCGTCCGTTCCGCAATCCCTGTTCCACAGATCATATCTTCACGGCCGAATATCACAAGTGTATCTGCCTGTACATCACCAAGCCTCTCCACCATTTGCATTGAATTCTGCAATTCCCTGTCACACCGACCCTGAGCTTGGTAGCACCAAACTGACAGTTTGCGATCACCAATATCACGCAGTAGCTCTGGTACGTACTGCTGAGGATCAAAGAAGTACAAATCCCACATGCCTCGCACTGACTCCGTAAATTCTTCGTCGGAACCAATTTTCCGATCCAGCATACTGTCCCAAGCATCCTGGTATCGAGGATCTATGCGCGTCGCTTCGAATTGCAACAATCTCTTATCCTGAAATCCTACTAGTTGGTGATCGAGGAGAATGAGCTTGCCAACGCGACTAGGATACATCTCTGCATACCCCAGCGCAATTGCTCCGCCGTTCGAGTGGCCGAGTAAAACCGGATATCGCTCCAGATTCAGGTGTTGTCGGAGATCCTCCAAGTCGGAGGCAAGATCGGGCATACTGCTCATCTGAGATCTGAGTGGTCTCGATGATCCGTCCGTTCCGCGAGAATGGAAGAAGACGACAGTATAGCCGCTAATGTGTGCGCTATCGGTGTGGTCTTCGAGTCTCCATAACTCTTGCACTCCATTTTGAAGATATTGAGATCCTAATCCCCAGCCAGGGCATTGAACAACAATAAGATTCTGTGAATCTTCCTTGTCGGTAGATGGACGATGCACGACATATTCAAATACCAACTCTTTTGCTGGAACACTAAAGGTATGGGTTCCTGAGTGGAAGAATTTCGACATTTGGAAAGAGTTTGACAAGTAGCATCGATATCCTCAAGTCTTTATAGGTCGTATGCAATCGAAACCAAATTTGTTCCATTCATAGCATGAAACTGTGACGTCATTCGGAATACGACTATGTTGAAAAGGGAGAAACAGACGGGAATCAAGAATTGTATAATCGGGGACTAGAGTTGACCAAAGTACTTGTCCGCCTTCTGCTTTACCCATTGGGCCTTCTCTTTAATAACAGTGGCGTCCAAAGTCCCCTCCTCACAGATATACGCATCTATGAGTTCAGCCGGAACCCATTCGAAGTAGATATTCTTAACCTCAACTGCGTAATTCATGTTGCCTCGACCAGCCGCTTCAATTCCTCCAGTAAGGATCTTGACTCCTTTCATGCCGCTGTCCGCCCAACAACCCAACAGCTCTTTTGGATCATTCTCTTCGGGGCTATTATTGCTATCGGCGCCAGGCTCGGCCACCTTCTCTAGCTCACTGAGAACCAAGACTTTGGCACCAGGACACACATGTTTGGCACTCAGAACAGTTGGCAGAGATCCAGTTTTATTGCTCACTGAGCCTAAATCTGAGATCTGGTCGGCCCCAAGCAGGACGAAGTCCACTTCCTTGCTGGCGAGGGCAGCGGATGCATCGGTGTACACAGTTAGTTTCAGATGTTGATCGGAAGATGAGGGAAATTTTGACTGAAAGGCAGAGAGGATGGAAGACGCCATTTTGACCCCTTCACAAAGCGGACGAGATTCTAGGATCCTAAGGTCCAGGTTAAGAATTGGAAGGGATGCGAAGGCTTCCAGGATACTATCTCGGATGGTAGAGCTCGATGAGAGGGTGAGGATAATGAGAGAGGACGGAGGCTGTGATTCTGCTGTAGGCAGAATGTTGGATTGAAGATAGGTCCCAAAGGAGCGTTTGATGTGCATAGGCATTTGTTTGCGCTTGTCCAAATGGTGGTCAAGCAAGGCCAGCAGGCGTTCCCGTTTGGCTTTGCTGTCATTGGTCTCATATACGATCTCTTCCATGTCGGCGAACAATCCTAGAAATGCATTCAAGGTCGCTGCCCCCATGCTTTCTCGTCCATTCTTCCACAAATGCCATGCAGCCATGCGAGCAGTTTCCCACCACTTTGTGTCAATGTCCTCGCTCATCTGCACGATAACGTCTCGGAAGGCCTTGAGCGCAATCGAGGTCAGCTCGTGCGATCCACTCTGATGATCTGCCTTCAGTTCTGCCAGGCCTGCTGTGAGTGCCTTGCTAGCGTGCTTGTTCATTTCACCTTCAAACCAGACTCGTCGCAGGCTGTCTTTCAGACGTGGCACACCGAAGAGTTTCTCATCATCCTTGACTGTATCGAGACCAAACCACTGCCAGCTTTCGTGCTCCCAGTCAATTTGAATACCCTCCTCTCCACAACCACCTTCACGGTGGTCTTTGAGTCGGAATAGGAACGGGAAAATGGTCCATTGCCGACCGACAGAAGGATCGGCAAAGGTGTATGGTTTTCCTTGTCGCCAAAGATCAAGATCTCGTGAGGTGAGAGTAGTCTCCTCGTTCAACTCCCGCCATGCCGCTGCTACCGGCGTTTCATGACTCTCTATACTGCCTGAGATGGGAGCGAGGTGGTGTCTTGAGAAATCAGTTATTCTGCGAACAGTCAATAGTAAAAGCGCGGCTCTGGGATACGTACTGATATGTCCTGACTTTCTCGCTTCGCCGGAATAGAGCGACTTTGTTTTCTCCTGCATTTGAGTAGATAAACGAGGACACCACAGACCTCTGTTTGAGCTCTGGTTCGCTGTTCATGCTTCTTGCAGGAGGTAAAAGATCTGGAGACAGGGAGGGTTACGTGTAGATGTAGATAAGCTCAAAGTTTCGGGATATCCGCAATGCTGTCACCATTGCATCATTGCATCGGATCGCATTGGCATCCTAAATGGAATATTTTTCGAAACACGAACTTGTCTCATTATTTCTTGATAAGCTAGTATTGGCTTCCAAACGCCAGTGACACCATCGTTTATTATATATCCCAACGTCAAAGTGATCCAAAACTTCAAGATGCCTACTCTCACAGGGTCATGTATTTGCCGGAATATTGAGTACGAATTGAAGCTTGCTTCAAGTGATGATGCGAGAACATCTCTCTGCCATTGCCGCAACTGCAAGGTACACACTTGAAATTGAACAGGGATGTCACTTCGCTAAATATGAAATAATTGAGCAGAAAGCTTTTGGAACTAATTATGGCCTGACAGCCAAAGTGCCAAAGGACACATTCAATCTCACCAAAGGGACACCGAAAGAACATGTCGCAGATAACGGATCTGGAGCTGTGATTCATCGAGAATTTTGCCAAAATTGTGGTAGCTTCATCCTAGAATATGGGGTATGTTAGCTTTATATAATGGGTACGGAGATCTCCTAACGAAGAAGTCAGGATGCTGCCAAAGACCATTTTCGCTACATTTGCGTGGGATCCTTGGACGATCCCGAAGCATTACCCCCCAAGGGGGAATTCTTCTGCAAGGCTCGGGCGAGCTGGATGCCGGAGATCCCAAGTGAGTTTAGTATGCTGATCTTCTAGGTATTTTCAACTCTGACAAATATTCGTAGATATATTCCACAAGCAGATGGTAAATGAGTAAATAGTAATGAAATGGATAATGTGTGCTCAGTTTGTCCAATAGCTGTCTAGACACATAGTCATAATAATATACATATCACACTGTCACGCTTCTTACAACCATGTCCGTGGCTAGCAGTTTCTCTCGAATGGTGATCGCATTCAAGAAGTCATTGCTGTCCACCCGGCGATATCCATCTTCCAGCGTCTTCTCAATGCCTGCCCGTAGATGCCGCTCGGCCAATCGACTCCTTGCTTCTAGCGGATCGGAGTCGACAAAGACGCGATAGTCGACAAGCTTAGCAAGTTCACACCAGCCGGGCTCATCAAGAAGCAGATAGTTACCCTCGATGATAATGATCGAGGCATCTGGCGTAATGGAAATCCCGTTCTCGACGGGGTCTTTCGCTTCGTGATCAAATGTCGGTGCCTGAATGACATCCGCCGACGACCAGTTTCCGGAATAGGGAGCTGCTAGCGGTGTCTCGTCGGCCCAGGTGCGGAGCCGAGAGACAAAGGTCACAAAGCGGTTCACGTCGAAAGTCCATGGAGCTCCACGACGGATATGTGCCTCTTTGGGGTTGGGCAGCTGATCCAAAGCTGCCCGAGAAAGATGAAAGCCATCCATAGAGAGTAGGGCAGCGCGGGAAGTCGAGCTCTGATTCAACTGTTGCACTACTGCCTCGGCTGTGGTGGTCTTCCCTGAACCAGGGATGCCTGCGATGGCAACTAGGAGGCGTGATTTGGTATGAGCATCGGCCTGGTTGCGGATAGCATCTGCCAGTCGCCGGTACTCGGATTCCATCTGTAAGTTAAGGTTAGATTGACTACTATGAAGGCCTAGATATGATTCCTACCTTGAATCAATCGCACATGGATATAATCTGATAGTGACGCAAACTGAAGTAGATGCCTCGACCACGGCTGGTGACAATCAACGGATCATACTGCGCACAAGCACAGAGCAAATTCAGCAGCTATCTGGGTATTCTTCAAATTGCCTGATCAAAGTGCAGGGCCGAGTTATGTATGTGTTGGTGGAGCGGGTATCGGGTCACAGTGTTCCGAAGCAACGCAGTGGCTCTCGGTGTTGGCCCGACTCGGCATTCCTCCTCAATTAGGATCTTTGCAAGTGTTTTTTGGGGTAAAGTCAGGAAAAAAAGGGGGGGGAGAAGTGGAGGGTTGATGGTTCATTCAAACCATTTTGATGCCAAAATCATTTCGGAACACAATTTTCCGGCGTTACACCAGTTCATAATCTATGAACTTCAAAAAGAACCTCGTTTGATTTTGATGTAGACTGGAATCAAAATCCAGTGAGATGTGACTTTCAAAGAAAACAAAAATGCCTAAACGCAAAAATGCCCGGGCAAAAAAAAAAAACATGCGCCTCGGACTTTGATAGCCTCGAGACGCCAGACCTGCAATCATGAACGCAAGAAAATCGAAACATCCAAATAAATTCCCAGCAAAGAAAATGCACAGAAAACAGTCATATTTACATTGCGTCCTTGGTCAAAACCTACGTAGAAACTGTTTCCACTTCACGGACTGTTGGCTTCCGGTGTTTTTTCTGTTTCGGGTCCACATAGAAGCACAAGAGCTGTTGTGACCAACAATGAGAACACTGAGGTCGAGTATGATCACAAGCGGTGTGTTGTTCACGACAGGATTTACAGTCTCCCGGATGAAGCTGATATGGCTCAAAATCTGGGGATGTGTCTTGGAACGCCGTACCCCGCCATCCAGACCATAGCCACTGGGAGATGCGACCGCAAAGTCCACCTTTCATCCCGTATGTAGGATCATGGGAAATCTGTCTCAGAGCAGAAATCCGAGTTGATTCTCGATGGATCAGTTCTCTGTAGATCCTGTCAGACTTGATCATCTTGGAACAACCTCAAAAGCCTCTAACCGCTGGCCCTGACTCGCCATTGTGGGAGGTTCACGTTCTCCTTTTACTAGGACTGTCACTGAGGATCTTGATTCATGGCAAAGTGAAGATGAACCAGAAACAATTTAAAAAAAGTCGAATACGAGGTATGTACCCAAGGCATTCCCATGCATAACCCCCTCCGGCCCTCCAGCCCCTGCATTGGAATAAACAAATAACGCACTTCGGGCACTATGCATATGTCATATCAGGCAGCTGAGGAGTCACGCGGTCAAAGGGAGTTAGTATGTTCTTGGCCTTTTTTTAAACACTTGTTTCTGGATCATGTTATCTCAAGAGTAACTTCAGGCAATGTTCGATATTCGGAGTTGTACAGTTCGGAATCACGTTCCTCGACTTGTGAATGTGACGAGTAGTGGAAAACCGTTGAAACGTCATAATTGCTTCAGTCAGCCAACATGTGAGGTAACCGAAAAAAAAAAGCTAAGATGTACTTCTATTGTTCACAATAACTAAGTCAACATGGTTCGGATAAGCGAGGCGATCAAAGATGATCACCGGAAACTGGAATCTTATTACAACATCGTCGTCAACTCCGAAGATGAAGATGAGCAAACTCGATTTCAAAACCAGTTTACCTGGGAACTTGCACGACACGCTGTTGCCGAGGAACTAGTAGTGTTCCCCGCATTGGAAAAGCTTCGCCCCGAGGGCAAGGCGAAGACAGATGATGATCGGCGTGAACATTCAGCGGTAGGTGTATTCTCTATTTAATAGAGAGGGATCCTAACATGACACAGATCAAAGAAATGCTCGACGTTTTCCAGGATCTAAATTGTTCCGATCCGCGCTTCATCCCTACAGTTACAACACTGATGGAAGGTCTTGCCCAGCATATGCAAGACGAAGAAGCAAACGACCTGGTCATACTGGAGGAGTCCCTCAATTCTGATGACAGTGAGAAGTTGGCTGATTCTCTTAACCGCACCAAGATCTTTGTGCCCTCTCGCTCCCATTCATATGACCTGAACAACCCGCAGTATGAGACCGCTGCCGGTCTACTCTCAGCTCCACTGGATCATCTTCAGGATTTGTTTCGAAAGTGGCCAGAGGAGGAAAGCATGCTAAGCGCGCCAATAGAGTAGATATATCAAATGAGGTATCACAGCAATATAGAGATTTATTTGCTTTTTCAACTTCCAGTCTCTAGAATGTGTAAACGCCTGAACGTAATTGAATTCCTATCCTGGATACTGATCAAGTCTGGATGAGTCACTTTCGCTTTGAGTGGTGTGGTGAGATTTGCATTTAGTTCTGGATAGACAATTGTTAGCAATTGACTCAATACTATGGGCGAATTGTCTCTCACCTTTCCAAATCACTTAGACCACTCGGGTTACCCGGAGGAGCCTCATCAAGGTAATGTCGAGGAGTATCCCCGTCAAGCTCATCATTGAGAAGATCTAATGCATTACGCTTGGACTTTTTGGATACTTTAGGATTGTTAACAGCACTGGAAAGTATTAGTAACGGCTATAAAATGCAAATGGGAACATTCAAGCTCACGCTGTATATCCACGCCTCGCGTTCAATTGGTCTTCGATAGATGAATCGAGATCTTTAGCTTCCCCCAGGCTTGACATCATGCATTTAGGTATTTGAAGAAATCTCAACTACCTGACAAAGATACTAGTAGACTTGGTGGTAATTATCAAAACATACGAAGGCGAGGCAAGAGCAGCAGAAAGACCCGGGTTTATAACGTCACATCCCCATCATGATCGGGCAATAGATGCTAGAGGCACCCGGAAATGTCCCGACCGTATAGTTCTAATTACAAATAATGCTTATAATATATTTCAAGACTATCAAGGGATTTATTTAGGGCTGGAACTCTCTAGAAGACGATATCTCATCATAACACAAATGTCATTGATAAACAGCCCTGTATTGAACAAAAGCAAGGCATGTTTAATGGGGACTGCCGTACCTGGTCTGTCCCATATATCCGGTATAACCACCTTGATTCATCAATTCTACATCCGATTCGTCCTGAGTTTTGTGATAACCCGAGAGAATCTTGCTTGGGTGGAAGAAGTTGAAAAGCAGACAGCAAGCAAACATCAACGCCGCATCAAATACATATATGAATGCCTCTTTGCTTTGGAGAAATCCGTCGCTGCCCTGGACATATTCTGCCACTCTGTAGATTGATCGGACCAAGACCAAGACGCTGGCCGTATAAAGAACCTTCATATAACGGGTCCAGGGAATTTGAGTGTCTCCCACAGCATGCAAAGGTGTAGATAGCATGCGGCGATGGAAAACCAAGCAAATAACAATAAAGAAGCCAAAGAATATAATTTGAACAAAAAGTCCGGCAACAATCATGTTGTTTCCGAGGTTTACTTTCGACTTGTCCTTCGCGGTAGCAAGCATGCCACCTCCTAGAAGGAAACACTGTTAGTTAGGCTTGTACTTGCAGAAAGAATCCATGTATCGTACCTCCACTCTGGATGAAAAATGATAACACATCTCCCGTCACAAATATCTTAGTCAACCATGACGGCCTAACTAGGGAACATGAGGCTGCGTCCAGCAGACGAATGATACGGCCAAGAATCATGTATATGGAAGCCGCAAAGAATGCAGGTGCTAACAGGAGCATCAAGCTTTGTGCAATGTACGGCTTGGTGGTGAAATCCGGGGCTTCCTGTGCGCTGGCATATCTTGCCAAGTAGCCGAACGCCTCAACTAAAAACAGTTCGCAAAGATGAGTATAGTATCAAAAGGGGAGAAGCAACAATAAAGGAGTACACACATAGACCACCAATGATAAATGGGATGAAGTACCAGGTTCGGTTCCGACCTAATTGCCAAATATGGATGGCGGCAGTGAGTCCAAAGACTGCTGCAAAAGCGACGGCAGAGCTAGCAGAAGGGTCGTAGTGATATAATTTGAATCCCTCGGCCATGATGAAAGGGCGTAATGTGCAAGATGGTTACGGAATGGTCGATCTTGGAAAGCGGTAGGATTCGAGAAAGACAGGCGATGAAGTTTGAAAATTAAAAGGAGTGAGAAGACCGTCTGGTGAAGAGATTCACTAAAGAGGACCACCCCCTATTATGAGAAGAGCCTTGTTCTTTAAATATATTTTCATGTTGTCTGATATACACGCTGTGCTAATACTTCTCTGCCTTGGAGCTAGGAAATGCTTGAGCCCCACAATTAGGGCTCACCTTTTGTTGAGAAAGCTGAAAAAAGCGACAAGCTAGACCTTTTGAGTATAAGAATACGAACTATCGGAGAGGAACGAAAGAGGGTCAAGTCAAGCTTGCAGTTTATTTTCTGATCCACCTAAGATCGTGGTTTATTGTCCAATCAGACATGCTATGGATCTCCCGAACCAGAAAACGTTACGAGTACGAAATCCTAGTTTGTACATAGTTCTCTACATGATATCTCTTCCAACATTGAAGGTTGCTAAATAACCTTAACGATAAGTTTTTTCTTCGTCGTGTTTCCAATAATAGAGCAAGGAGCGGAATACGAAAAAATAATAGCTCATCTGGAGGCATGCGTAGGTATATTATCAAGTGACAGCTGGTCTATGTTCCTACTGCTGACATTCCCCTCCAGACCACATCACGGAGGATATATCGTTTGCCTACTAACGTACGGTGGTGCACAGCACCAACTGACCAACCCCCCTGCTAATCGCCGGTGTCAGCACCCGCCTAAATATGCCCCTAATATATGCGCATGCACTTAACAATGAACTCGGAACGAGACGCTCGACAGTGAGATAACATTTTCTCAGGTTCTTTCTGATTTTTTATAATTTAATCTGCACCTACACCTTGATTCCATACAACACCCACCATTTTCCACTGGATTGTCGTGAGGATATATATATTGAATTAGAACTTCAAGACACGAAATCCAGGCACTGGATATTAGTAGAGCAATGGAACAATGTGAAGCTTGCAACTGTTTTGCTTCCATGAATACTTAATATGATGCACACAATTGGATGGATATACATAGTCTCCACGAAACTTGATATTCTTCAAGTTTGAATGTTCTCATTAATTAAGTGCAAGCCCACTAGCCCCTAGTGTTGCTAGTCACAAATTGTAAGCATTAGGTATCCTTTGTATGAAGACTCCATATTGAAGGTACATAAGCACAACATCGGTTTTTCTCGGCTCTCAAAATAGCTTGAGGAAAAATAAGAATAGATCTGATACCAGTCTGGTTTAATTTATCCGTTAAGATTACTTCTAAATATATAAAAAGCCTACAAAGCCCCACGTATAAACGTCGGAAAAATTTAACTCTCTTGCTTCAAAGGACCATTGAATACCTGTCAAGGTTGATGCTAACGATTTAGAATTTTATTTACACTATCTTCCCACCCCCTAAGTATTTTGAGCGCCAAGAAAATCGGGGTTATGACCGTGTTGGGCCCATGTACCTTTTGTATAGAGTTGCTATGCAAAAGATACCTACTCCTTGCCATTTATGATCGGGGTGTCCAACACTTGCCACGATTATCACCTATATTCTATGACTAGGTAGTATGTAGTTTCCCGAGATCCTTGAATTATGTGATCTGGTAGCAACATTCCTGTCTATTAATCCAAACAAAATAGAGTCGACCAAAGTACAGTCTAGACCTAAGCGCTAAAAGGGACTTCGGAAGAGATGTAGATCAATGCAAAGGTTGGAGGCGAAGTGGAGAGAGCGGCAACTCCGGTCATAACATGTCCGCGTAAACATTTTCTCAGCTTTTTGACTTGGAATGTGACAAACAAGTGTCGAGAGATACTAATGTGATTATCTGTATGTTTTTACTGTCCTCTCTAGCTTTCTATCTTTCTAGTGTTCTGTTCAGATGCACAAAAAGCTCCTGTTTCACCGTTTGTTTTGGGTTACCCCTCGGGTGGGCTAAGGGTTTCAGGTTGACACACCACCCCCCTTAACCGCCATCACAGCGACTAGTCGATCTTTTTTGTGTTGCTCGGCCTATTGCTCTGAAGAATGGATCATCGTAAGTGGACTTGGACCTGGACTAGAACGCCACGGAGGCCCCTCGCCTCCGCCGTTGTAGCCTATCACAGACATCCACCCACTACCGCAGTCGAAGGTCTCAGGCACTGATGGGTTGTTACTGGATGGACAAATTGATCTCCAGTTTTCAAGGATGTATCTGGCATAATTCTGGATAAAAAAAATATGGGCTTGGGGGGGGTTTGGTGAAAGGTATTTGGGTCAAATACCTCCCACTGTTGCTCCGATATGTTCGACACATTCACATTCCTTTCTCCTTGTTGACAATCTGGAATTGTCAGTCTTTCTTTTAGTTACTTTTCTGTTTTATCAATTGCGCTTTCTCTCTTTTTCTTTTCATTGTTTCCTGGAACTCCTCACAAGCATTCAGTGTTATACGTCTCCAGACAAGATGGTTTCTTCAACACGTTCACTGAGCGCTGGATCGCTGATGCTCGCTTTATTAGCTTCCCCCGTGGCCGCCACAAGTTACTCCCTGGTGGAGACTTGGCAGGGGAAGAATTTCCTGGATTATTTTAACTTCCACGTTGGCTCTGACCCGACCAACGGCTTTGTCAATTATCTCGACAAAGAGACTGCCGAAAGTACAGGCCTTGTCAAGGTCACCGATTCTGGCAGTGTGTATCTCGGTGTCGATCATGCTACCAAGCTGGACCCCAAAGGCAAAAAGGGCCGTGATTCGGTACGCATTGGCAGCAAAAAATACTACGACCAGTCTCTCGTCATCGCCGATATCGCCCACATGCCTGGTAGCGTCTGCGGTACCTGGCCCGCCTTTTGGTCTGTCGGAAGGAATTGGCCGGGAGACGGCGAGATCGATATCATTGAAGGTGTCAACATGCAGGATTACAACAAAATCGTCATGCACACAGCCGGCACTTGCAGTTTGACAGATACCGATATGACTGGTTCGGTGAACGCTACAGGGTGTGGTGAGGATCTAGGCACCGTCGGTTGTGTAATCGAGGGTCACCAGGGCAGTTATGGCACACCTTTCAACAAGAAAAACGGCGGTGTGTATACGCTGCAGTGGACCGATGAATCCCTCAAAATTTGGTACTTCCCTCGAAGCTCGATCCCGCCCTCGATTACTAGCGGCAAGCCCGATGTAACGCAATTTGGTACTCCAATGGCCGTGGTGCAGGAATCGTGCGACGTTGCCAGTTCCTTCAAGCCCCAGTCGTTTATATTTGATACTACTTTCTGTGGAGACTGGGCAGGAAATGTGTATGGTGATTCTGGGTGCCCCATGACCGGCGGCGATGGCTTGCAGAGCTGCCACAACTACGTCGCCAACAACCCGACCAAATTTGCGGAGTCGTACTGGGAAATCAACTCGGTCAAAATCTATCAGACTGGTGTTAAGGGTATTGCCTCAGCTGCATCATCCGAGCCCAAGCATGATACGACTGCTGCTGCTCCGGTGGTGTCACACACAACTGCTGAGACACACGCTACCCATACTACTGCTGTGCATTCATCTGCTTCCACGAAAGATGAGGAAGCTGGAGTAATTCAGGAATTGACTCCTACATCTGTTCCCACTGTTGCAGCTACCACTGAAAGCCATGCCACTGAAGAAGTCGACCACCCTGCCACCAGTAAGAAGACTCGGACTATCACCTCCGTAGTCACTGCGACTGAGACCTTCTGCCCCGAAGACGAGAAAACCTCCGATATTGCCGCCCACTCTGTGGCAACAACTGCGCCCGCTCCGGCTGTACAATCTGTCCAAATCCCAGCCGACGGCCAAGATACCGAGGCAAAGACCTCTGCGGCTGGTGTGGATCCTCTCGCTAACCACTCATCCGTCCCAGCTGGTCAGGGCCAAAATAGCTACACTTCTGCTACCGTTGAGAGCTTCGGTGATTCATGGTCCACGCCTTCTGCGCTCCCCTCTTACTTTGTTTCCTCCGTTCCATACGAGGCCTCTAAAGCTCCGGCCCCTGCTCCTACCGATGTCTCCCCGAAGGAGGCTCCATCCGCTACATCGGGCTTCTATGTCCCTAGCGGCTCTCAATCTGGCTCCAGCCCTGCCTTCACTGGCCCTATCTTCACCGGCGCCGCTGATCGGTTGTCTATGAGCATGTCGGCTCTCTTCTTTGGATTCATTGTTGCCTTTTTGGCTTAAACATTTGTGATAAATTTCGTTTCAAACTGCAATTGGCGGTGATTTTTGTTTTCTTCTTTGTATAGCAGGCCCTAAAGATGGCCGTAGACTTGGTTTTGTTTCAATTCAGTCTTTTCTTTGCCTCCAGGGCGTCATCTTACCTTTTCTTGCACACTCAACGCAATAGCAAGCGTAACTAGTTAATGAAGAATTGTCTTAAAACAGTAGTGATATTCTTTTCGCCAACCATATATGCAGACAAAATTTATCCCAAACTCCACGCTTTTTAGCCCAAAATAAAATGCTTGGCCCCCTATGCTGTCCACCTCGCCAACCAATCTTGAGCATAGCATCTCAGGATTCCATCATCAATAATTCTCAGTCGGCCATTTCGCAAAGTTGCGCTACTCCGCTCTGCTTTCTCTGCAACGAATCTTTTTGGCCCATTCTGTACAGATGATTGTTTCCCATGCATCGTCTCATAATGATGAATGAGCTTGACCGCCGGATTGACAAGTTCCTCACCCCTCGCCTCACTCCGACGAAGTCTCAGCAACCACTCTTCAAAGGGCACAGTGTCGAATCGGAAGCCACACTTTTTCAGAGTCTGTAGCAAAGACGACCAGGTGAATTCGCGAGAATTACACAAATTGAAAACCGAGTCATCGACGTACTCCACCATAGCTGAACCGGACGCCTGACTTTGCTCAAACACACTCGGCGCAGCACAGGTTCTGGCTAGTTCAAGAATAGTGGACGCCAGCTTATCCACCGGGAGCCAAGAACATCCCTGAGATAGCTCAGGCAGTGCACCCAGAGTCAGCGCCGACCGGATCATCAACGGCAGAGCTTCGGAGTCATTCCAAAGGCCCTTCTTCGAGTGACCAGAGACCTGACCAATTCGAAGAGAATAAGCCCTTGCTCCACTGAGTCGCGCATTGCTCACAATCCGCTCCCCAACTAACTTGGACTGCCCGTAACCCATAAAGGCGGAATCTAAATCGACTGGTTCTTCGAGGATCTCGGGCGATCGAGATCCGAGCGCGGTGGAAATGGATGAGCAGAACATCATGACGGCAGGCTCGCGTCTCTGCACACAGAGGGAGAATTGAATCAGATTGTATAGGCCCTGGATGTGTGGCTCGAACTCGGCCAAGGGGAGATTGAAGTTGACGGGCCATGCTGTGTGGATAATGAGCGAGACCGTGTCGAGCATGTGTGTGATTATACTCTCATCCAGAGACAGACCGAAATCGGGCTGGTCAATACGGCCGTTCAAGGCGACGATCTTTGTTATCTGTTCGGGGGACACAAATAGATCTTTGTCGGTTAGAGTGCGTAGTATTGCTTCCAGTGGCGATTCTCGCCGTGTGAGACAGTACACTATGGAGATGGAATCGTCGTTGAGAAGCTCGTGCAAGACATGGGCCCCAATTGACCCGGTGGCTCCTGTCAAAAGCTTGGATGTGTTAGCTTTTGAATCTGAACTCTGACAACAAGATAGTCACTCACCACACTGTTTGACCCCGTGAAAGAATGTGGCTGTGGTATATGCCTCTCAAACATAGAGTATTTCTCGACCAATTCTGTCATCACAGATAAATCGCTCTCGGCATCTTCGCATGTCTCCCCCTTTTGTAAAGTACAGATATGTCGAGCCAATTGTGATATACAGCCCGCTTCAAATATGACATTCGGAGCAGGAGCCTGACTCATCTCAAACTTGAAATGTTGAAGAATGAGACGTCGGAAGTGGATTGCCTTGAGACTATCCACGCCCTCGGAGAAGAAATTGGTGTCGACACCAGATATAGGTATACCAAGTTCGTGCTGGGCTATTTGAAGAAGAACGCGTTCGGTCTCCACGACGTCAAGTAGCAGATTCCCATAGATCTGTTCCTTCTCCGTATAAAGGCCTTCGATAAGTTCGCTGTGCTCTTCATAGACCTGTGCCCGGATCATGGACCCTTTGTCCGTTCGAGCAAACTTGGCGTCATATGGCAATATAGCAACCAGATTCTGAGAAATCTGAGAGAAAGCCTCTGCCTGAGAGTTGGCTTCTTGGATTGTCGGCCAGATTGCATTGAGGTATTTGTCGTCCGAGAGATGGTTCGCTTCAGGATCGTCTGCTCGCAAAATCAATAGCCCTGGAGCAGCTCTGCCTATTCCTACCACAGCGGCATCGTGGATAAAAGGGTGTTGTTTGATGTGACCTTCAATGGGGAGTGGTAAAACCTTTTCACCATTCAATAGATTTATTCGATCGTCCAGTCGTGAGATGTATTTCCATCTTCCCGCAATTGTAGGATGAGGGGTGAACACGTCTTTCGAATGAAAGGATCCTGGTGGCTCGTTTGAATTCGAAGTTGTCAATGCTGGATAACCAGCAAGATAAACGCACTCGAAAAGCGAGTCTGATCCAGAGATAGGCTTCATCCAGACATAAGATCGGATATTGTCAAAGAACTTCAGATAGTTCCAATAAGGATCGCCTTTTGGTCGTGAGATTGATTCTGCGACAAGGCCAGCCTCGGTGCTACAATTTGTTAGGCTTTGTGTGACTCTGTAGGTATCCGCAGAATAGTACTTACAGACCGAATGAGCCTCCAAAGTGTACTCCTTCGCTTACTAGGCGATCGCCCAGCTCGTCGGGACAGGGTGCACCTCCGTATGTAACCAACTTGCACTGCCTTAGCGCTGCGATACCACGGAGATCATCAATTAAGATTTGGAGCATGTATGGAACGGCTGCTACCGACTCTGGTCTGGCTTCTTCGAGGGCGGTAGCAACGAGTTCTGCAGTTAAAGGCAGCGCCGCGCTCCACATATAGGCTGTTTTTCTCATCCACATTGCCTGCAATGCGGTGGACAGGCCATGGAGGTGATACCATGGCAGAGTATTGAAAGAAGTAAATCCAGGACCTCTCAGCGGGTGAGTCATGATCGCTTTGTGTGTGAGGAAGAGCGGTTTTGGGGTGCCTGTCGATCCCGAGGAATGAAGAATCAGTGCGACCTTTTCGGGGTTTCGATTGCGATGCAGAACAAGCGATGACGATTCTAGTTTGTTGTACAAGGAGCATGACAGCATTGGGCGGCAGGTCACCAACCTCCGGCGGAGGATCTCGCCCAATGTTGAGCGGATATTGGGGGATTGGCCATATATGATCGACTCGCAGTTAACCGTTTCTAGCAATGAGACGCAGGCTTCCCCCGATAGTCTTGGAGAGAGCATCATGACAGTATAGCCCAGTCGACTTAGGGCAAAAAAGGTGATCACCATGTTAAGGTCGGACAAAGTGAGGAGTGCCACGATGGATGGGCTTTGCGTTCGCTAAATATTGATTTGTTAGGGTCATAAAACCATACAGCGCAATTTATGACCAACCTGCTTGAATCCATTATCTATGAGCATAATGATAGCTTGGTTTATCATGGTATCCAAGTGTTTTCCGGTGTAGTACTCATAGGAAGCTGCATCATTCTCAAAACGGGGATAGGCAAGAATCGGATATTGAACGGCATCAGCGGCACGTAACCGAATCAAGTCGTCGAGGACTTGAAGGGATCCGAACTCCTGCACTAACGGGTTGATAGTGCTAGAGGGACCGGCATGTGCTGCCTGACTTCCACGTTGGATGCCCATATTGAGTAGAGAAGTATACTAAAACGAGAGGAAATGTGCCACAGCAGATTGATGTTTCCAGAATTATATTGAGGGTCAAGCCGTATTTAAGGAACGGGTGGCCGTTTAGACCGCTAGACTGACCCATATTACCAGATTAGCCTATACTGACTGCATTCGGGATGCCTGGCAAAATAAAGTCTTTCTGCATCGGGAAAGTATACATATCGCACGGATTCAGCCAAAGAGCAAACAGAATAGGATCAGCAATGTACCATGTGATAGTTATGCAGATGCCAACTCAAGTCATCAAGGTGCGATTGAGGAAATAAAATTGTCCTCGGCAACAGTACGCACATACTCCATGTACAACAGCACAATTTCAATGCGCAAGGATTGGCTGAGCGAGTTGCTTGTGTCACCAGCAAACAATCAGCTTCAAACTACAGTTTTCATGCGTCGGGATTCAATAATGGCGTTGCTTTGACGGCAAGATTGGTCTACTCCATATAGTGTGGCTTAGGCTATCAACTAGCAACACCGCTAACTAGTGACCGAACTCCAACTTTTGGGGATAATTCCCCTATTTAGCTTTAACGAAATGCATATATTGTGCATTATCCTCCATCGGAGTGGAATTTCAATCGCGACCAGCGGCATTGGTCACACCGCAGAGCTGACCGAGACACATCCGCCTCAGGTGGAATGGAAATACCGTTGGCAAAGCCCAACATAATTTCCAGCCGTCACGGGACAGAACATGACCTTTTTGATAATGCATCAAGGTGATAATTAACTGTAACATCCCCTGATTGCATATTAATAGTTCTAGATACTGTGCTGGGACTCTGAAACCTGATGTGCAAGTCAGTGTAACTGAGGACGGCAGTGAACGTCAGCGTTCAGTCTGGAACCTCTTAGGTGTCATAGGTAAAGGCTACACAAAACGCTGTGTCCAGATATGCCCTGGTAAAGTGCTGGTTTTGTGTTTTATTCGTTAAATATGTCGTTGAACTACTTGCCGAGGACATTGTAGCATAGAGCCAGTCTTACTCTTCCACCGGTCCTAAATCAGACTAAGACCATTCCAGACAGCCAAGGAGTCAAGGGCCAGGCTCAGCGATGTCTCACTAAAAGCGTATTTTCAGAAGTCCCCCCTACACCCCTAGATGCCAAAGGGAATCACACCGAGTGACGCAACGAGATAACCCTGGAAATGGATCAACTGATAATTCAAATCATCAAGGTCTATATCAAATCGCAGGTGTTTTCCCAGGAACCTTCCAAGGTTGGACGTCCGGTATAGTCTAGATCTATGGTCCAATGATATAAGGGGATCGGGAGCGGGCCGGGAGAAGCATCCGAAAAGCCGGGGAATGCTCTGGTCCAAGGTTCTGATCTATATAAGGGATAAGCGTCCTCGGAAGCCATCCGGGACCCATCTGAAGAATGCTGATCCGTTCGATCGGGTGGAAGATCATTCCATCCTAGGTCCCAGAATAAAAACCTAGACATAGCATTTCAGATATCGGGAATGATCCTGTGGCGTTCCGTTAGAAGGCGAAGTACCCGAAAGTTTGGTTCGGCACAGCATTCCTCATATTGCTGGGACGGTTAGTAATTTCCTCATTTAGATATAATATTCCTGAGATCCAAGACATTTGGATCATACCAAGAAATCTAGGAGGGTATGTGTGTAGGCATCCAGCATGCAAATGATCGAGATTAAGAACCGGTCTACAATTCGAGACAGGGACGTACAAAGAGATTGCAAGACACCAGCCAATTTTATCATCAAGACTGTCATTCCTCTGGGTTGATTGAATTCTCAAGTTCCATTCATGAACCTAAATGCAGAATAACACCGACTGAAACAAAATGTGCTGATCTCTTCAAGCCCAAGACCTAGATGGATTCCTTCTCCGGCTTCCCTTCCAACAATTGCAGGACCCGAAGCCAGGACCGGCTAGCCCGGGCAGCATGTTCCATCGGAACGGCCGGGTTATCGTCCGCGGTGGATCTCGAAAAGACTTCCATACTGACCCACCCAGTATAACCGAGACCGTTAATGCAGGCATCCGCCACCTCACGAATCGGAAGGTATCCGCCCCTATCCTCTTCACACGGAAACAGACGAGCATTCCGCGACCAGGCTAGCAGAGGAGGCAGGCCTAGTGCATGAAGAAAGGGAGTGTGTGGGTCGACCCGCTCGCCGTCGGCAAGTTGAACCATCATTACTCGGTCGGGATCGATCTCCCGTACAAGCCGGTCCATCGATTCCCGTAGATCGTCATCTGCGCTTGGGGGTAGGCGCCCTGTTGCGGAGGTGGGGTCCGCCCAGACTCGCGCTGCTATGTTGAATGTATCAAGGCAGATCCCGAGATTTGGTCGATTGGCACGCTTAATCAAATCCCATGAGTCTTCCCAGGTGTTGATATACGTTCCCCATGCCAGAGCCTCGTATGCGATGCGCACGGGGAATGCGACATCTGCGGCCTCGGCTAGATCTGCTGCGAGACGCTCTCGGTCGGAGGTGATCTCGGAGGCGTCGAGGAAAGATGAAGGGATCAGGATGAAGAGTGAGTCACCGAGAATCTTGCATAATTGAACCCAATGCTTAAGTTCATCAATGCGTTCCGCATGCCTTTTTTGATCAATGAGGCCTTCGTAATGTCGGAACGGTTGGAGAGCTACAACCTCTAGATCACGCTGAGCGCATAGATCTCGGATAGCGTGTGATGCGTCAATCTCGTAGTCTCGAACAGTCCGGGCTGCACCTTCAGGCGCTTGAGCTCGAAGAGTCTTAGCAAGCTCCGCTATATCATCGTGAAAGAGTTCGAGTCCTCGTTGGCCGTTGATGGCGGCCGCATCAAGTTTGGCGATGATGGGGTGTAAATGCGCAACTCCCAGACTGACTGTCGCAATCGCTGGCCTCCATCGCGAGTCAACTTCGGGTGTGGGGGTAATTGAAAGTGAATGCATCGATAAAATGTTTTGGGGATTGATCTGGAACTAACAGTCACTCGTGCCCTCTGACACTCTTTATAACATAAATCACAATCTCACCTCAATATGGGATTTCTGTTTCCGTGCTATATCTCAATTCCTTGCTTTTTCTTTTTCTTTCTCCTTTCTAAAAAAAGGTAGTACAGAAAGCACACAGATGGTCCGGATCCAAATCACACACCGTAGGGTAAGCATGTACATCCTAGATCATCTAAATCGGGACAGAACCTCTCAAATGCGGCATACTAAGACAACGGGCCGAGAATGACTAAATAGTGGGGCATCTAGAAATGATATGCCCCGGGTTTCAGCTGTTTTCGGGGTAAGCTTACCTATATTGCATCCGTCTGTAGTAGGAATGCATCGAACGCCGATGGAAACAAGGGTTCTTACTTTACTTGCCTTGTCCAATGTCACTCGGAGGGGAGCCAGGAACTATAAGATGCAATCAAGATCCAGCAAAATAGTCACTTCATCCTAGCTTGTGCAACTCGAAGCAGTCAATTCCACCCTGAATATCAGCATTTATTCTTCTCGAACAACCAAAATGACAATCACCACGCCCTTTAACTGTTTTGTCAACCGATTAGGCCAAATGGCCTTGAAGGAAGCCTCAGATCCATCTCCACAAGCCCACTTCGAGCTATTGCGGATGATCGACCAGTTGAGGTCTGCAGTGGAAACCCCGACAGAAACCGTGCTGCGTCTGATCTACCAGGTATGACGACGTTCCGCAGACCATAATCGAGTTTATATTCTGACTAGGCTATAGCCTCCTCAAAATGCCGCATTGCGCGTTGTCATTGATTTGGGCATTTTCGGCATGCTTGTGGAGAAGCGTCACAGAGGAACGGGACTCTCAGCCGCTCAGCTAGCCCAATACACGGGCGCCGAACAAGACCTAATTGGTACCTTTTCCTGCAGCGACAGTAGTTCGTCACACATTGTGGATCACACTAACTCGGTGAATTAGTACGCCTGATGCGTGTTATGGCTTCTCTTGGGCTGTGCGTCACACCGACCCCCGATGTTTATGTTGCCAATGACAAGACCTTGGCATTGACTCATCCGATTGGGCGAGACGGGATCCCATGCATGTATGTTGGTGATGTGGTTTGGGCCCTTGCATCTCTTCCCGCTGTCACCCACTGACCATCCGTTTAGTTATGATCTTACCTTTCCAACATTGAACAAACTCCCAGAGTATCTACGGGCTCATGGATATGCCAACCCCCAGGATTATACTCAGTCGCCTATGCAATGGGCCGTTGGACAAAGTCAGTTCGAGTGGCTTTCGAGTCATCCGGAGCAGCAGGAGCTCTTCAATTCGTACATGGCTAGCCGTCGCGAGGGTAAACCGATGTGGTACGATATATATCCCGTGGAGCGACTTTTTGGCCATGCCGTACCCTACAAAGATACCGTCTTCTTGGTAGACATTGGTGGCAACGAGGGACATGATCTCAGCAAGTTTCGCCGGGAATATAGTAGTCTGCCTGGCAGGATGGTGCTGCAGGATCTACCAAGCGTGGTTGAGCGAGTCGATGGTGGGAGCGCAGGAATCGAGGTAATGGGATACAATTTCATGGATCCCCAACCCGTCAAAGGTGCCCGTGCGTACTACTTCCGTTCCATCTTCCATGACTGGGATGACGAAATCAGTCGGAAGATCCTGCGAAATACGGTATCAGTGATGGCGCCGGATTATTCTCGAATTCTCATTGTGGATTTCGTCCTGCCAGACACCGATACGCCCCTGATGCAAGCTTCGCTAGATATTCAGATGATGAGTATTGGAGCGGGTGTCGAACGGTCGGAACGACAGTGGAGAGATCTCTTGCACAGTGCTGGGCTGGAGATCACAGGGATTTGGAATCAAAGCCCTGCAATGGAGTCGGTGATTGAAGCAGTTCCAATGTTGAAATAGAGCAGATAGTGAAATAATTTGACCAGATTTGGTATTTGAATTTTGGTAAAAAAAAGTTGGAAGATGAAATAAAGGAGACGCGTAAAGAGTAAAAGAAATCTAATTATTGTTTTTTTATAAAAAGCTGCCAAACAAGGCTCAACGACTCAAGTATGTGGCGCCTGAAACGGCTGCGTCTTCAACAACCACCGTTCCCTTGAAATACAATCTGTGTGAGTCCAGTTGCTTCTCAAATGTGGTCCTGTATCTTTCGTTCTTCATCAATCCTCCTGCCAACACCAACACAGAGGCCTCAGATGGTTGATAGCCAGTGGCTTGAGGCTTCACCAAACGAGCAAGGGTATCGCCAACAAGCAGAGCAACCTGGGAGCTCACGATAGCTGCTGCGATCTCATTTTTGTCCACCAAGTCGAGGACAACAGGCGCAATACTAGCAATGCGTGACTTCACGCCCTCAGAATGGTTCTGGGCCAGGATATTGTTCAACATATCGATACTGGCACTCTCAGAGACCTGACAGCCCAGCTTCTCCGCGACAGCCTTTGAAAGTTCATCGCCTCCAGTCTTGTCAAGCCCCAAGGTAATATCCTCGAAGACTCCCAGTGTGTGTTGGATGGCTTTCAAACCAATTGTGTAGCCACCGCCCTGATCGCCGAGCATGTGACCCCAGCCTCCAGACCGGGCAGCACGAGCGTATCTCTGTTGATCCTCGGCCCATTTGTATCTCATTGCAACACTACCCGTGCCTGCAATCACCACCAGGACGGACGGCGTACCGAGTGATTGTGGAACACCAGCGGTCAAGAGATCTACGTCGTTGGTTAACTGGAGGTCCTTTTCTTGAGTGATACCGAAAGCTTGTCTCAGTTTAGGTGCTAGCACTCCCTCCAGCCCAGCTCGGTCAATACCAGCCAGTCCGATCCAGACGGAGCTGAAGGATATTTGAAGAAGTTCCTTCCATGAAGACTCTGTTCGTTCCACGTCGCTGGGCAGGGCGTCCTTCAGAGCAGCCTTTGCGGCAGCAAGTAACGTGGAGATGACTCCATCTATATCTCCAATGCTATCGGTTCTGGAGTAAAGTTAGCTTCACGATGTAGGATAAAACTAGAGAAGATAGCATACAGATTGCAAGGGCCAGCAGATCCCTGGCCTACAACGTTGGTGCCGTTGGCCACAGCAGCAGCGCACTTGGTACCGCCACCATCGATGCACAAGGTAAACTTTTGAGTGGGGGTAGTTGTGGGCTTTTGTTCGATGGGCTTCGAGATGGCAGCCAGCGCGTTGGCCAACACTCCACCTGCATCGTCGAAGTATCCCTGACAAGTCTCAACTGATTCCCCAGTCTCTGAGACCAATATAGCCAGCTTGACACTGCCATTGCACTTTGCAAGGACAGCGTCTAGTTCAGCGTCGGGCGCGGACTGGCACTTTGCACTCAACCTCCGCAGAATATTGCGAGATCTTTGCTCGAGCTTCAAATTTGATGCCACGAGATCAACCATCTTGGAATCTCAACATTAGCAGGAGTATAACAGTCAGAGGAAATCACCACATACCATATTTCCGTAAGTCTTTCCTGTGCGAATCATGGTACCGGTACTTAACATATTCAACACCAGCTTGGTGGCAGTACCGGCCTTGAGACGGGTGCTACCAGTGACCACTTCGGGCCCAGACACGGGTGAAATAACGAAGTCTACATCTCCCGAAAGGCCAATCGCGGAAGGAACTGTACAAACAACCGCGATGGTCACACATCCGAGACGCTTAGCGAAAGCAAGGCATCCCATGACATACGGCGTGCGCCCGGAGCTTGCAATTCCAATGATACTATCAATCTCCGGGTTCAGATTGAGAGACTTCATCTCATCTTCGCCGGCTTTGGCATCGTCCTCGGCTCCCTCCTGGGCCGATCGGATTGCGGCATCTCCACCAGCAATCAGACCCACAAACTGGCCGCGAGGGGCGTTGAATGTGGGAGGAATTTCCGATGCATCCAAAATTCCAAGTCTGGAGTTTCATGTTAAATGGTTTGGATCAAAATAGGGTAGCTTGATTCAGGTGACTCACCTTCCACTGGTGCCAGCACCAACATAAATGACTCGTCCGCCTTGTCGAACTCGCGGGGTCAATGCGTCAATTGCTCCCGCGATAATTGGCAGACAAGGAACAACACTTTCGGGGACTTTGTGATCGTCGGAATTAATGACAGTGCACATGTCAAGTGTCGACATGCGATCAATATGCACGGTTCGGGGATTGACCCCCTCCGTTTGGAGTTGAGATAGACTTCCGAGATCCATTAGGTTGTTTTTGAGTGATAACTTAGAAGACGACAAGCTTGAGTGCCGTTTCTTGTCAAAGTTTTATTTATTTTCGCACGAATCAGGGATCAGACTTCTGCAGAAAAGAGAGATAAGGGGGCTTTTTAGACGATTTGAGGGGGTGCGAAGCCGGACCCATTTCTATTTGGCGCTATGCAAGCCGAATGCCTATTATCGCCCCATTTCCCGAGGACGATGCCGATGCGAGATGATAGGATGTTTGTACGTAAGGTGAAGGTAATCCTTGGCTTTCTAGAAACTCCTCAAATGGGGGCGGTTGCAAAGTAGAGTAGCAACGAAGGATCTTACCTGCCGGGGATTGGTCCGGTTCCCAAGCGACCGGGGTGGATATCACACTTCTCCAGACTTTTCCTAACAAGGAGGTAGATGAAGGAGAATAGTGGAGTTATGCTCCGGTATTCGTCGGCCGAGAAATAGTGAGGTCGTGTGATAACGTGGTAAATTATACAATGCAATCTAAAACACATGGATTCACCCCACCTTCGCTACTACTTCAGGCAAAATATCCAATGGATACCCCGACGATAACATGATCCTTGTTTTGGCCGGTTCTCCCATGCAACCTTAGCCCCCTATCGCGTGGGGCCCCAGACTCGATAAGCTGGCCCACACACGTGCAGTAGTCCGGTATAGGGGGAGAAGGGTTGTTGATTCTAACATAAGATCCCGGTTATCCCCCCCTCACCCCGGGACTTTTGTGGGTTCAGTTTCATACGCACACGATGTCGCAAACAGTCGAAGAAGGGCAAGCTGCCAGCGTTGAGCAAAATGAAAACCGCTCAACCTTGTACAAGATCTGGACCGGTTCTTGGTTCCAGATCATTTTGATGAGTTTCATCTGCTTCTGCTGTCCGGGAGTGAGTTTTGCCAAAGGTGATTAGGGAATGCAGAACTAATGGTATCAGATGTATAATGCCCTCAGTGGTCTTGGAGGTTCCGGTCAAGTTGACCAGACCGTCGCTGCAAACGCCAGTGTAGCTCTTCTGTCTTGTACTGCAGGAACCGCTCTGTTCATTGTCGGCCCTATCTTCGATCGTGTTGGACCCCGAGTGTGTCTCTTGCTTGGAGGATGGACCTATGCCTTGTATTCCGGCAGTCTCCTGTGTTTCAACGGTATGGTCAAGCTGTCAACCCACAGTGATATACGCAGCTAACAAAACTCAAACAGCAACCAACAACGGCGGGTTTGTCATTGCCTCCGGTGCCATTCTCGGTGTGGGTGCCTCCTTCTTGTGGGTGGCACAGGGTGCTATCATGACGACCTATGTGCCGGAGTCACAAAAGGGTCGCGCAATTGCCGCCTTCTGGATTATTTTCAATCTCGGTGGTGGTGTTGGATCCCTCGCTAGTTTCGGGCTCAACTTCAAGTCGACGAGCGGCACCGTCAGCGACGCGACATACATTGCCTTGCTGGTCATCATGGCCATCGGATGGGTGCTGGGATTGCTCATTTGCCCGCCCTCGTATGTTAGAGTTGCCCAGTTGAAGGTCACCCCAGAGAGCGAGAAGAACTTCCGCCAGATTATGCGCCACTCTGTGAAGACTATCTGCAACTGGCGCGTGTTGTGCATGCTGCCCCTCTTCTTCTCGGCCAATGTGTTCTACTCCTACCAGCAGAATGCCGTCAACGGTATGAACTTCAACATCCGGACCCGTTCCCTCAACGGTTCGCTTTACTGGATTGCCCAGATGCTCGGTGGTCTCGTAATGGGTCTCATTCTCGACATCCCCGGTGTCAGCCGACCCAACCGCGCTCGCATCGCTTGGGCCTTCCTGTTTGTCACTGGAATGGTCATCTGGGGTGGTGGTTACAAGTTCCAGGTGTGGTCTGATATGCGTCTGGAGCACGGCCTGAAGCAGGATATCGATTACACAGATTCTGCTATCTCAGTTGGCCCGATGTTCCTCTACATCTTCTATGGTGCCTATGATGCGTTGTGGCAGTCATTCTGCTACTGGCTTGTGGGTGCTCAGTCTAACTCCCCGGCCACAGCGGCCGTTCTGGTTGGAGCGTACAAGACCTTCCAGAGCACTGGTGGTGCGATGGCGTGGCGCATCAATGCCATGGGCAAGCCCGCGATGACCCAATTCGCTATGAACTGGGGACTCTGCATGGGCTCGTTGGTCATCGCTATCCCAACGGTCCTGGCTATCACCATGACCAGTGATACCGAAACAGAAACACCAGCAGTCGATGAGAAGGCATACCTAGAGGCAGAGGCTGTCCGGGAGGTGGTCAAGTCCTGATTTTTTGTATGTCAACCTCTGGTTAGGGGAAAATAATCTTTGTCGTCGAAAGATGCATATATGTAAAGTAGAAGAAAGAAACTTGGAAGTTTGACAGTGCAGATCGGCTTGTTCTGATTGAGCCAACATTCAGTTGCTCGTAGATAACGATTAGGGATATATGATTAGGAATATGTACACGGCATGTTCCAACCGAAAATGTAGGGTTTTTTGTATGCCGACCAATTCCGTCTCCAGGCGGTTGAGAAGCCCTCCACTCTACCTTACCGGATGCACTTCTTCAGCACAGCGGTTTCCAGCAGCAACTTGGTATACTGACGGTGTGCCCAGGCCACTTTGTCATCCATGGGGGCACCTTCCGCCTTTCCGAGACCCTGGTAGAAACAGCTCTTCAAACTGAATTCGGCCACACCTTGATCCGGCTTGACAACAGCGGCGATTTCGAAGAGGCCGTCGGAGGGACGGACATCACGGATACGTGGGGAGTCACCGCAGCGAATGAGGATACGGTCTTCGGTCTTCTCGACGACTTCAAAGTGGTCGGTGACGATGGTTCCTACTTCATATTTGTTTGAGAGGAGGTCCGATCGATCCCAGAGGTGGTCGGCAGTCTCGGGGCCACGGTACTTGCGTTCAAGAATGGCTCGTTGGGGAATGTATCCTAAAGAGAAAAGAAACATGTTAGAGTGTGTTATATTGCGACAAAGTCTAGTTCCCCAGTGTAGGACTTACCCATGCCACCCCAGACACCGGCACAGAAGGCTTCCACCAGCTTGCCCTTCTCCTCGATCAGCGAGGGCTGGATCTTGTCCAAAGGAATTCGGCGAACGCAGACATCATGAAGAGTTGGGTTGCGACTCGGATTGAACTTTTTGAAAAAGGCCGATTGGAAGATGGGATCGGAGGTGTCCATGGTCTCAAAAATGTCATTGCGCGTAGCGCCCCAGAAGACACCTACCGAGGCAATACTGCCTGCGACGGTCGTCTTGACCAATTTGCTGAAAATACCCATGACTGAGGAGAGGAAGAGAGAGGTGGAAGTGAGGAGCAAGAAGCAAGAGGGGAGAGCTCTCGGGTACCTCGGGGAAAGCTCCGACTGACTGCCAAGACTAAGGCCTTAGACCATTCCCAATCTGGATTTCAACGTCAACTATATCTACCTCATTTTATATTCCGACAAAATAGAGAATCGTTGTCTATTTTTCTATCATCGCCTTTCCGATATTAAAGATCAAACTTGGTTTATATCAACATCTGCGACTTACTTTTAACGCTCAACAAAGCCAAGTTGGTGGAATGGCTATCACGCTCAGAGAACGGCAATCAGACTGAAGGGAAATCCAGTATTCGACTCCTGGACATGGAAATTTTACTTCCCTCGACTCATTTCACCAACTAGGCTTCAATGCGGGTAAACACAAGTGGCGCGGGAATTTCATCGACAATCGCGACACCCTCACTCATAAATCCTTCAAGAAGAGTCCCCTTGAAATATCATCCACGGACCCTCAGAACGGCCCTAATATTGCAGGTGGCATGTAGAGATATCGGACAAGTTGGTTACTTCGGAGATAATGGTACAAATCGGCACATTGGATGTGTCGCATGAGGACAGCACTACTTGCTACCCTGCCAATGCGTATTCGGGCTACCGAAAACCTGAAAAGCTTTGTTTCTGGCAAGATTGGTCATTATCTCAGCTGTACAGGACCCGATCTGGCACTCGATACAGCGTGCCTGCCATCTAGTGTGGCTATTCACCAGCCATGCCGTTTCATCCTCGGTGGAGAATGCAACAGGGCACTCGCCAGAGACATCCCAGAGGACATATAGAAATACATCTAAAGAGAGCATTCAAAAAACCATCAGAGTGTTATTTTAGATATCCTGTCATTTATGTCATCTTGAGCTAGGTACCTATGTAAATCATGTTGTTGAACTCCTACGTCCGTGAGAACGGAGGCTGCATATGCGGTGGATTACTCTCATTCATCATGAGACTATATAACATGTTGGCATCAGCTATCCTACATTTCCTTGATTTCGGTTTCGGTTCGTGGGATCATTCTCCCAACAACACTTTTCTTTCATGAGGCGGTCGGTTGCTCATCGTAGGTCTCACTGGCCTTCCTCTTGCTTGGTCGGGATTCACGGGTTTATGGGGTTTGTGCGCTTTCGGGCGCCCACTAGCAGCGCTTTTTGAGCGCTAGTGAAATGGCTGTAGAACTGCTACCGCGCCTGAACTCTGATAATGATATCGACTTCTCAGACACTGGTCAGGTCTGGCGCCCGTCGAGGTCATGCCGTTCAATATACCAAGCAGAACGTGACACAGAGCGGTCGGGATCTCCTGAGAACACGATAGTCTCATATGCCGGTATAGCGAGTAGGAAAGGTCTCACTTGCTCTCATTTACTCATGTTTCATTTCAATCTTCTATGTGATGTGCCCAGGATGGCCTAGTCTACGCAATAAGTCCAAATGAAGTCATTTCTCGTCAAACAAAGGCATCTGAACAGACATTTGAGAAAAATATATATTCAGAAAGACATATGTAACTTCCCTTATATCATTTTGAGCGAGATAAATCAGATTATTAACGGCATTCGAGGCTAATATGCCACTGGGTATATATTGCTGGCTAGCACATTTTATGTTCCGCATACGGATAAAGAATAGCTATTAAGTGCCGACGAAGTTATGAGATGTATACTCAAAAGATATACTAGTCTACATAGGTCTCCGTATGCCCGATATTCCGATGCCGACGGTGCTTCGATCGGAAACCTCAACCGACAAATGGCACAGTGGAGATGAAGTAGACCATACAAATTCCGAACCAGAGCTTATATATCCATATCGCCTCAATTTTCTCCGAACCGTTGGGTCTTGTATCCAGAATATGCAAACGCAATGTTCTCTCCACAAACCAATTCCCCATATTCACGGGGCTTATTCCAAATCCGTCTATCAGACCCACCATGTGTCCGTGGAAGTCCCATGTGCATGCCTAAACTTCGATACCTGGATTCCTTTTATTCGCACACATTGTGGAAATGCGAGATATAACCTTGGAATGAATTCCTGATCGGCAATCTCGAACATTTTACAATTTTGCGACTGCCTCTACCGTTGACCATGCCCTATTGTACCACTGGTATACTCCCAGGGGCAACCCCAATCCAGGCCCCAACCCAGGCAGTTGGTCGTCATGAACCATCAATGAAGTTTATCACCCAGAAATTGGGCTTCGCGAACCCTTCGAAAATATATCCAACCGATGACGAGATCTGGGGATCGTCCACTCTCAACCAGTCAAGGGCTGTCCTAGGAACAAAAGCATCTAGGAACAGACCCACCATGCACAGACACAAGCAGTGGTTATTTATTCTGGGGAATCGATGATGTGCTACAGCCTACGAGAGATATAAAATCCCTGGAATCCGTCAGTACAATTTTTTTTTATCAAACAGATCTGGAATCTTTTTGTATACCAGTCATTATCTTCTTTACTTCGTACATACTTCCCTCGCTGTGCGAGCCACCGTTGACCGACAATCTTTTATTTTTTCTATATTTCTGTCTTTTTTTCTATCCCTGTTCAAAATGAAGACCTCATTTGCCGCTCTTGCCCTCGCTCTCTCCGGCTCTGCCGTGGGTGCCCCGTTCTCTAACGGCACTCGCATTGCATCCAACTCTTCTACTGTGTCGACTCCTGTTCATCAGTCGACCGGAGCATCTCCTCCCAGCTCCCTCGCTGCCTTCGCCACTGGATCCCCATCGTCTTCTGCTACTCCCTCTGGATCCGCGTCTTTGACCTCCAGCCCTATCACCGGCGGCAGTGCTGTGAAGCGCGGAGAGGCACTCTCCATCCCGACAGACCTTCCATCCCTGGCTTCTGATGCTCAGTCAGTTGCTGCAGCCCTCGCTTCTGCCGGCGCTAGCGCCCAGAAGCGTGGCGAGTCGCTGTCTATCCCTACCGATCTGCCCTCGCTGCTTTCTGATGCTCAGGCGGCCGCGGCTGCGCTGGCCTCCGCCGGAGTCCAGAAGCGTGGCGAGTCTCTGTCAATTCCAACAGATGTTCCATCTCTGCTGGCTGATGTTCAATCCATTGGCAGTGCGATCGCCTCTGCGGGTGTCCAGAAACGTGCCCCCGAGACCCTTCCTCTCCTGACCCCCACGGGTACTCCTACTCCTACTCCTACCGCTCCCCTTGGAACTGGGCTACCTAAGTCTTCCAACTCTCTTTTCGCTTCCTCTACTGTTGTTGCCTCTCCTACCGGATCTGCTTCTTCGTCGGGTATTGCTTCATCTAGCCTGCTCTGATCTGAGTGCTGCACATTTTTTTCTCCCACAATGGCTGCCATTTATGTGAATAGTAGACCTTGACCTCCACTCATTTTTGGACAGATGGAGTCTTTGCTAGATTGTTCCCAATTGTCGCTCGTTTGAATTGAGGATATATGCTTGTCTTGATGTTTGATGTTATATTTAGTTTTTAACCAGAATGTACCTAGAAGATCAGTTGAAATCCATTAAATATTTCTTTCCCACAGAAAATTCCGGATTAATACGATCAAGTTGATGTGGTATAGTCGGGGAACTGTTGAGGATTGACCCCACGTGTGGGTACTGGCACGGCACAGCCTCACAGCCACAACAAAATCGATTCTCCCCTTCCTTTTGTTTCGTCATGCCTGAGACCCATCTCATTTTCTTGGCTTTGGGCTGATCATTATTTTCGTTCCGGTTTTACGAGCTTTCATGATTTCTTTTTCCCTTCTGACATTTTAGCCTTTCCCTCTTTGTTTAAGCATGGCCCTTGTTTGCGCTAGAGTCTTGTTGAATGGTTGAAACTTGATTTGGCAATGCTCTTCTATTGTATCAAGTACATTGTCCGCCTTCGGGACCTTATATAGCATGTCTGGGAGTGATGGGGCAGGGCGCTGGGCTCGACATATCGGTGAGTGGTGGTTCTCGTCTGATATCTGACACCCCGTCTCCTATCACATCCCCCGTTGAACCTCATGGAGTATACGAGTATATGCTGACTGAGATGTGGATTAGGTCGTTTTGCACCGTTTCGTTTGTTTCGGGTCCGCCCTCAACCTCGTGGTTGGCGCCCAGTGGCTCTGCGCCCGCCTTACCTGATCTCCCTGATATGTTTGATGTTAACGATGCTGCTGACCCTCGAAGGGTTGCGGCAGTATAGCGAGCGCGAAGGAGGATTGGTCTTTTTTGGCTACACGGAAGATATCAACTCCAAGCAATCGTTTGCCTACAACTACGTTCCTATCATCGTGGCCCTCGTGCTCGTCGTGGTGTGGACCGTCACTGATTTCGATGTCCTCCGCCTGGAACCATACTTTCAGTTGTCCCGACCCGAGGGAGCGCCGGCGACCGTTCTCTTCATCAACTACAACTTCGGCCAAACGATTGTCACTCCGATCCATGCTGCACTACGTCGCCACTGGGTGGTGCTGTGGGTTTCCTTGGTCACACTCTCGATCAGAATGATTCTTCCCGCTTTACAGAGTACGGTACTTGAGCTACGCGAGGTGACGGTGGTCGACTATGATACCGTAAAAAGCTGGCCCAACTTGGTGGATCTAAACACACAAGCGAACTGGATCTCAACGCAAGCCAACAATACTATTGATGACGTGCTTTCCTCGGATGGGCAATTGCACCGGTCCCGGTCCTCTGAGTACGCCGTGGGGCCTGTGGAAATACCCGATAGCCACCAAGATGAGAGCATAATATGGACTCTTGATCAGACGCTGTATTGGGCAGAACTTGCGTGTCAGAATGTTCCCATTAGGGACAGTCTCACCGTTGCGATCCATGATCCTGAGGCGGCGTATCCAACAATTTCATGGAAGGCCAGTGGTATTGATCTGGATGATGCATATGGAGGCGCCACAAAATGCGCCCTTGATTTTCAATACGAGAGTATCTTCTTCCCTGCCACCGATTACCTGCAGATACGGTATTGGGAGCCGATGATCAGTGCTGCTGCCAAAGAAGCATTTCCAAACAGAACCCAGGCCTTCACGGGATTTGGCTGCGATCCGTATGATCTATATGGTATGCTCATCGGAGTCAATATGGCCAGTCCACCCTCGAATCCGACCTTGAGTGAGTACTCGGCGTCCGGTGTGGCCTTTGCTTGTGATATCATCTATCACAAAGCGGAGGGTCGCGTGGCCATGCACTCCAACAGCTCCATAATATCTATCGATATCGATCGAGCCACCGAACGTAAGCTCACAAAGGCCGAATTCAACATTGAACACTTCCAAGCTCTGCTCTCTCAACGCGCTCCGTTCACTAGTGACATGATCTTCATCCGGGAGAATGCCACCACTGGGGCTCGCATGGTGACTGAACTCCCTATCATCAGCCAGGATCTAGGCGATATACAGCCTGTGCTGGTACTCGACACATCGACCACGATGACAGAGACCGAATTTGAAAACAAGATTGAGCGGGATGTCAAGCAGGCCTTTGTGCTCACGCTCGGCCGGCTGTTCGACCCCGATAGCACACCAAAGAACCTTGCCGCCTCACGCATGTCGAACCAGGTTGCTATCGCCGTCGTTAAATTTGCGGCCCTGTGGTCTGAGCTCATTCTTGCCCTGGCCACGTTGACCGCGGTGTACCTCCTTTACATGTATAGTTCCCGGGAACTGTTTCTCCAAAGTGACCCAGGATCCATTGGTGCCATGTGCAGTATCGCCGCTGATATTTTTCACCCATCCAACATCCTCGCAGAGCCAGTGGCGGAATTTCATCAATTCTCCACGCGGCAACTTCGTCGTATCTTCAGAAAGGCTCGATGTTACTGGCGAGCAGGCCCTTCTGGCAACAGGCTGGAGATCCTCGCCGAAGATGGTTTGTACCACCCGAATCCTATCCATCGTGGAGAATTATAACTGACTGTATTATTAGGCTCCCCTGTCCAGCTTGGAGAGAACCTCCGAACCCGTGTTGATCCGATGCCTCACTTTCTGGTAATTCCTTTCTTTCTTATTGAATTCTTGGCGCTAGCTGGGGTCATTATCCTCATCGGACTAGTGGTCTCATCTTTAATGCGAAACGGCCGCTTCAGCGACATGACCCAATCCGACTCGAGCGCGTTCCAAGTCGTTCTATCCTTCCTACCCTCCGTTGTCGCATCGTCCGTGGGAGCTCTATGTACCTCCATTCACCGGAACCTCAGTGTTTTGGAACCCTGGGTCCACCTGCAACGCGGCAACGCCTCTGCAAAGACGTCGTTATCATTAAACTATTCGTCGCAAAGTCCGTTCGCCATTTTCTTCAAGGCAGTTCGCGACCGGCATCTCTTGCTGGGTCTTGTATCAATTGCATGCGTCGTGAACATGGCGTTAACTGTCGTTGCGGGTGGGCTTTTCACTCAACAATTGACAACCTCAACATTAGACACCAAAGATTTGTCGATGAATTACAGCCAGTCTATATTTTGGCAGACCGACTTCGCCGCAGAATTCACCGAGTATGATCTAATTCAAACTAGCATCAGCAGCGGAGTCCCTATGCTGTCTTGGACTAGCCCCAACCAGTCTTTCGTCCCAATCCACGTGACCAATCGTAACCCGGATGTGATTTACGGCGCCTCAACGCTTGGTGTTGGAGCTGAGCTCAAGTGTCAGCCCCTGTCATCTGACGCTCTTGTCCATGATATAGCCAATGGTCACCAGCATTGGCGATATAAACTATTTGATAATTCGTCCATGGAATGCATGGCACGCATGCCACCGCTGAAGAGCAAAGAAGAAGGAATTTCGCTATCCATTCACTTCTTGTCCCCAGATGATGTCGATGAATCGGACATTTGCCAGACGTCGACCGTCCTAGTTGTCGGTCGCTGGGATTATTTGGCGGACACCGCAATCACGGATGACAACACAATTGCATTACATTGTGAACCTCAGACAAGGCTGCAACACTATTCTATCTCTTTCGACCAGAAGGGACAGATCTGTCGGCATGAACCTGTTCCTAAAACATCCATCGCCTATGGAACCATGTACGACAATGCAACCGTGAGTCTCGGTCAGTTCAACAAAGTTTTTGCTGCTATTCCCAGCAGCTTTGTAGGCAATACCACCATGCAGAATGGAACATACAACATTTCTTCCTACGATTGGGCAGGCTTCCTTGTTGCTCGGCTCTACGAACGCGAAGACCCCAATTTTGACGCCCTGGACGCAGATCTTCTGACCAACATGACCCAAACTGTATATCAATGGGTCTATAGCACTTACTTCTCACTTTGGCGCGATATTTATCTCGAACCTCTTGCTCACGCAGTCCCGGCCACAAATGCCACCATCACCCGCAGTACTTGGCGCATGGTTCCGTCAGTCCCATCACTTTCCATCGCTCTAGCTATCATTATCTTCGACACGCTAGTTGTGCTTGTGGTGTTTGGAACACGACACGGACGGTTCCAGGGACCCAGAATGCCACGCTCCATTGGAGCCATCATTCCCTGGATTTCGCACAGCCAAATGCTTCCTGATTTTGCCGATACACACAAATGGAGCAGTGCCGAACGGCATGCCCATCTCACATCTCTGAACAAACGCTATGGTTTCCGCATGTTCATGGGTGCTGATAACCGCTGGAGGTTCGCCGTCGACCAAGAAGCAGAAAATAACAACCCTCCCGATTCCCCGGACGGCGCCACGGAAGTGGAAGTCGACAAGACTACCTCGATTCAGCTACAGGAGATCCGGCATCTACCCTCTCCTCAGACGTGATTACTCATTTATGCGCTACGACCTTCTATCTAATTTGAATACCTTATATTATGTTTCGAGGGTATATCTCTATTTGGACATAGACTTTTCTGATTTTTGTGAGCCCCCTACGATAGATCGTTTGACAAGCTGGCGCTTGCTTTGCTCACTTGCATTTTGGACTTCATAAGTCGTGACGTTGTTTTGGCATATTGTAAAAAGTATCCGGAACTCTGCTCTAGGTTCTTTGCAGCGCATTTCTTTTTGCATATCCCCCGTTGTGGGACTTTGTTTGGGCGTTGGGGAGATCGAGAGGCAGTGTCTCGTAACATGCATGGGAGAGATCTTTTGAGGAACAAAAGGATTACATTTATATCAGGATATGTCGAACATCTTGCATGAGCCCTATTTCCTCTATAATTGACGCCGAGCAGAGCCGAGCAAAACGAAAATGGTACAGTGTACGGCGCTACGGATGACATCCACCCTCGTGAAAAGTGGACGACTGGTCTTAATCTCGAGTACGTTGGGACTATCAGGGACGTTTGAAATAACTTCGATCCGCTTTTGGTGACATCGGCGAAATACACACACCTTTCAATTTATGTAACTTCTATAGCTAGCCTTACATCATCGAGCCAACCCTGAATCAAGCATCACGTTTCTTGTTCTACCGCGAGGCTCTCAGTCGACCATCAACAGCCCGAAGAAGGACGTACAGGGTCTCTAAAAAGGGGGCTCGGATGCCAAGCTCTCGAGATTTCCGCACTGGGAATCCCAAGATGACATCGATCTCCATCGGCCGACCACTCTTGCAATCCGTCTGCATGCTGCTTCCAATCCCAGGCATGGCATTGATCTTGTCCATAAGCTGGTCGATCAGGCCGTCCTTCAGCGGTACACCACAGCCACGGGCGATGTCAATGACCTCCTGCATCAACTGGCGTGTAAAAGGCGTCGCATCTTCTGAAGACTTCAACCATGTTTGTGTATCCACCAGGGTGAGAGTAGTCAACGAGTTCCATGCGACATTCCAAACCACCTTCTCCCATCGCTGGATCTGAATATCCTCAAGGACCTGGAACCGAGTCTTGCCATTGCGGAGGAGATCGGCGAATGTTTTAAGTCGTTGTTGCTCGACTTCGCTTTCGACCTTCGGGTTGGGAAATAGGCCGATCTGCATATCCTCGGATTTACTGTGTGAGACAGTTCCGGGGCTTGTCTGTGTGGCTCCTACCCACGTCTGTGAATGTTAGATGGGATTGTGAAATTGACGATGGGACGGTAACCTACCACACAGGTTATAATCGTGTTGTTGGGGAACTGCTTTCGGAAAGGTTCCTCGTTCCCAACGCCATTCTGGATGATGACAATGGTAGTCCTGCTGTTGATGGCTGGCTGTAATTGAGCTACCACTTCATCCTGATCAATTGCCTTGTGGGCGCACACGATGTAGTCCACTGGTGGAACTTCGGCAACGGATTTTACCACTTGTTGGACTGTCAGCAAATTGATTTGATTTGGATCGTCCATAGCTCACATACCTCGGTGTGGACGGACAATATGTTGGCCGTGGTTCTCGCTATTGATGATAATTCCCTTGGAGACCAGCTATTAATACTGAAATCTCTTAATGCCCAGTGAAATACTCACCTTTTCTTTAACGGCCTCATAGTTCGAACGTGCCACGACTGAGAGTCGTACATGGTCAGATTGACTCAGAACAAAGGCATAGAAGGAGCCAATCCTACAGAAGTCAGCATCATATATTGATTTTGAGATATACTGAACTTACGCTCCCAATCCATAGACGAGGACATCGATTTCAGACATTTTGTCCTGGATCAAAAGGGAATTGTATGCTTTTTGAAACTCGACTTCCCCGCATCGGAAGATCCCCGCGTGGGGGTTCTTCAGAGTGGAATGGTCTTGGCATTTGCTATTCGAAAGGGCTTAGAGCTTTACACTGGCTATCAAATGTTTCTCTAACCGACTGGTATTCACCATCTCGGGTCTCAGCTCTTCGAGACTGGCCACCCCGAGAAAAACCATATTCATTTCGATCTCCTGTCGTAGGATCTTAATCATCCGTCGCACCCCCTTCTCGCCGTATCCAGACAAGCTGAACAAAAACGGTCTCCCCAAACCAACGGCAGTCGCCCCTAGTGCAATGGCCTTGAGAACATCTGTTCCTCGGCGAATACCACCGTCAATGAAGATCTGCATCTTGCTCTCAATCAAGTGAGGAGCGAACTTTCGAATCTCCAGTAGAGTCAGAAGTGGTGATTGTGCGCTGTTTATATAAGTGAGTATACCACCAGCCTGGGGAATGGGTCATTTTTGGGAGATATCATACGTGTCTTGTGATCGTCCTCCGTGGTTTGATAGTACAATGCCGTGCACCCCATGCTCATAGGCAAGCACGGCGTCCTCCACACATTGGATTCCCTTCAGGACAACAGGGAGATCTGTCAGTTGGCGAAGCCATGTGAGAATTTCCCAGTCGATCAAAGGAGAGATTGAGCTGGCCATAATCTTCGCTACCCCCTTTCCTTCCGCGGTATTATCGGTAGCCTGAAACACATTAGTACATACAATGAATAACAAGTGACCCCTGACTGGGCAGACTAAATACCGTCACTCTCAGATTGAGCCGTTCGTCCATCTCACGTTTCCCCACGACCGGCGAGTCGACCGTAATCCAAATAGCACTAGCACCCGCTCTCTCGGCTCGCCGTACAGTCTCAACAGACTTCTGAATATCTTTGTTCACGTATAGTTGTTGAAAGATAGACTGGTTCGGCGAGCTACGACTATTCATGACTTGTTCAATCGGCATGCTGGATCCGTTTGCAAGAACTTGGACCAGTCCCTCCATACCCGCTGCAGCTGCCAGTGCACACTCGCCCTCTGCATGGGCAAGTTTTGCAAGACCCACCGGAGAGACGTAAACAGGCAGTGTGGTAGAGAACCCTAGGATTGACGTGGCTGTATTCACAGTAGGGATCTTTCGAAGGATACGTGGACGAAGGGTAATCTTTTGATATGCCAGGGCATTATTCTGTTTGCTGATCTCATCGTCGGCACCGGACGAGTAATACGCCCATGTCGTGTCACGTAGCCTCTGACCTGCAACTCGTTCAAAATCGTGCAGATTGATCAAAGTTTGCAATGGTGGAAGACTGTCATGGTCTGTCTTTGATTGCTTATCATTCATTGCATCCGGATTCTTTTCCGGCTTCTCCAATTCGCCGGGATCAATGTAGCCTTGGAGCGCGGTTTTTGGGAGTGCTTCGCTCAACAACTCTACCGCATGAACAGAGTCGAAAGCTTCAGTCGCGTCTTTACCGGCACAGCGCAATATAACAGATGCACCGCCTGGGTGGGAGTTTAAAAAGTCTACAGACGTCAGCCTCGGCTCGCAGCCCCCGCAGATATTGTGCGTCTCTACCTGTGACATCGTAGACAGCCCCATGGATCACGACCCAGCACGATTCCTGGTTGTCATGTCGGTTGATTTGCTGGCGTGTGAATTTCATCATGGATTCTTACGCCGTGTTTTAAACTGCAACTGCGAGGTTCATAAAATGATGACCCCAGTCATCTCGTGCCCAGGCCTGACGCTGGTGCCGGAATCTACTATCCGAGCGTGGGGGTTCACAACATGCAGAAGCTCTCGAGACGGGGCATTTTATCCGCCTTGGCATTTTATACTTCAAATTAATGTATCTACGAGCATGTCTACTTCTTTTTTGGACTGTGGCTGTTAAAATAACTTCATTCGGAGCGATCATAAACGCCGGCACCGCAGCTCTAAGCTCCCTGGTCACGCCAGTTGCGGAAATGAAATGAAAATGAAATAAGCAACAGCATGTGATACCTCTCCTGCTCAAGTATTCGCAGAGGTTAGTCGAGATCATAAACCTTGAGCTGCTTCATTCACGATCTTCCGACGAGGTATTCGATGATAGTAATCAAAAGAATCACAGCTTGGGAGACAAAGTAAGAGACATTTTCAGCTTACAAAAAGGCTCCATTAGGACTCTTAGAACAAGCAATGGTTAGAAGCACGATTCAAATGTTTCGTTGTATAAAATTTATACAAGTCTGTGTATAGCTTGGCTCCCCATGTTTTTGCCCATGAAAGTGGCCCTGGTTTTCCCACCAATCAACACAAGTAAAGAATGCTTATACTGAACCTCGACGTGGGGGAACTGATACACGGCAATCCGCTTAATCGGACTTCTCCCGAGGGCCCCGCGTGGGATGCTTTATTGTGTGGGGTTGAGAACCTCCGTAAATATAATCTGGTCGCATCCTGGATTTGGTTGCTGCTCCAGGATACAATACCTGATTATTTGATTCATCATGGCCAAGATCAAGTCCATCGAGCATTTCCGTGTAAAGCCTCGCTGGCTGTTTGTTAAAGTCACCGATGATGAGGGCAATTTTGGTTGGGGAGAGGGTACACTCGAAGGACATTCTCTTGCAGTTGAAGGAGCTCTTGATGAGATTATCACTCGCATTGTGGGATACGAAGCGGAGTATGCTTGAACTCATCGTGTCTCATCACAGACAAAGGTCTAACCAACTTACACAGTGACATTCAGCACATTTGGCAGATCGTATGGCGACTCGGGTTCTATCGGGGTGGACCCGTGTTCATGTCAGCTCTATCGGGAATTGACATCGCTTTGTGGGATCTGAAGGGCCGAAAGCTTGGTGTCCCCGTGCACCAGCTCTTGGGTGGTAAGGTGCGCCAGAAGGTGCAGGTTTATGCCTGGATTGGCGGCGACCGACCAAGTGATGTTGAGGCAGCAGCGTGAGTTCCAAAAAAAAGAAAGGTGGATAAAAGAAACAGAAGCTCTAACTAGATTTGTCAATAGGAAAGAGCGAATCGCCCAAGGCCTTAAGTGCGTCAAGATGAACGCCACCGAAGATGTCAACTGGCTCGACTCCCCCGCTGTTTTAGAGTCCTGCGTGGAACGATTAAAGCAGGTGAAGGCTCTGGGTCTCGATGCCGGTCTTGACTTCCACGGTCGTTTGCATAGACCTATGGCTAAGCAGCTGGCCAAGGCACTGGAACCTTACCACCCTCTATTCATCGAAGAACCTCTGCTCTGCGAACATCCCGAAGCGATCAAGCAACTTTCTGAGCAGACTACAATTCCGATCGCATTTGGCGAGCGCTTATACTCTAGATGGGATATTAAAAGGTTCTTGGAGGATTCGTCGGTGGATGTCCTACAGCCTGATATTGCGCACGCGGGAGGTATCTCCGAAACTATGCGTATCGCAAACATGGCTGAAGCCTACGATGTTGCTATTGCGCCTCATTGTCCTCTGGGTCCGATTGCCCTGGCAGCCTCCCTCCAAGTGGCCGTCTCGATACCCAATTTTGTCATCCAAGAGATGTCGCTTGGCATGCACTACAATGTGGAAGCTGGAGATATTGACCTGAATAGCTATTTGGTGGACAAGACGGTCTTTGATATCAAGGAGGGATATGTGGCTGCACCCTGTAAGCCCGGCTTAGGAATTGATATTGACGAAGATCTAGTACGGAAGATCAGCAAGGAGACAGAGCCTTGGCAGCCCAAGGAGTTCTATGGCCCGGATGGCTCTATTCGTGAGTGGTAATAATGACGATACCACATGGATATTCCTGTTATAGATTTGTCCTCCAATGTTCAGTTCCAATGTTCAGTGCTGCGCATTCACCAGCGCGGACACGAAGCAATACCATGATTTGAATGACCAGATACATATGTCATGATTTCCTTTTAAGTCCTTTCGTGGCTTCGAACGACAATTTCTAAGATTGAAGGTGAGGATTTTGTGGCCGCCCTTTGATCCGTATGACATGTAATTTCATCATCTCGATATACAATAACACCCGCAAGAAGTTTCCGTAATAACACGACAGGGTTAGAAAATAATGATGATAGTGTGCTCGCCATAGATATAACTTGTTCTAATGTTGGACTCTCGAATTCCCCAAGTGCTTGTCAAATACTTTCTCTTCACTTGTATTCAATCATCACCATATAAAGAGAGACACCAGCAGATAATGATTTTGAAAGCTCTTCTGGCATTGACAACTCTGGGGTTTGCTGCAGAGTATCCAGTCGTCTCTCTATTCATTCCAAATGCCGACCCTCAGTCCTTGTTAGGTGAAGTTTTGGCAGAGGTTCGTATCAACTGGAATGGTCCGCGAATCTACCAACTAATTCTAAATAGCAATCAGCAACAACTACATACAGTATCAATTGCCCAGCCGGTCGCACCAATAGTACGGAATGTGGCATGGGCCCAGGCCTATTTTTGACCGCAGCCCCAACCAGTGTCGAATATATGATCAGTGCTGAGTCTGATAACATGTGAGTTCAACCAACCCTCAGCTATTGCTGCGCGCTGCAACGGATGGCTCATTTATACAACAGATATAATCACGTTGTCTGTGATATGACCGATCTCCCGACCGGAACTTATACCTGTACAGACACTGTTACCGGGAAAGGGGCCAATACGCCCGGCACCAGCACCTCAACTCTGCCATGGGACCAGATAACGTTGTTGCCGGTTACAATCACTTCCACTGCTAATGCGGTGGCGGCAACAGTAAGCAACGGCAGTACCACTACTCCAGGTACTACTGAAGTTGTGTCGAGTAGCGAGGCATCACCCGCTGCTGCCACCGTCAGTCCTACTCCAGTGGCAGGTGTGGCTGCGAGGTCAAGGCCGACTGGTCTCGTGCTAGCTTGCGGTGCAGTTCAAGCTCTGGCAGGACTGCTGTAGCGGTTGAGCTTGATCCGTCATTTACTGGCATTCCCCGCCTTTCAATATTTCCGACATGCACAAAAGAGATTGCTACAAAATCTAGTTTAGTAAATCTTAACGCTTCATTTTGAACTTAAATGACCATTTCAAAGACCAATACAGCTAGTATTTCGTCTTGTTGCATGGAACACCTATATGCTTCAGAAATCTGGGAACCTATTCCAGCCTATGACAGCCACTCCTATGCTGTTATATCCACATATCGATAATGTATTGAGAAAAATGCATCTCGGCCCTTGTACGAGTCGTAATCAAACCACTCTACAGGCACCGGATGGACAATAGCCATGATCGCACGCGAAACTGCAAAGACCCAGATATGAATCATCTTCGCCGATAAGAGGCGCTCCATGCGTTCCCGTCGATGGTGGAGGTGGGACTGCATTTCCATACTGCGTACAAGTGCAAGGCCCCGGTGGACAGTACCCATAGTTGCAACAGAAGGCACACAGTCCGATGTAGTTATTGGGTCCAGTTCCTGCAATGCAGGTACTACCCCCACCTCCACCATTACCTCCTCCACCCCCGCCCCCTCCACCGCTGCCACCGCCGCCGCCGTTTGGAGGGGAACAAGCTGTTGGAGTCAGAGTTTTAGTAACTGTGACCGTGTTCACGACAGTCGAGCATTGTCCAGGTGATCCAGGTGGCGGTGTTGTAGTCGGGGGGGAACCAGGCAATGTGCTGGTCGTGCTTGTGGATGGAGGAGCCGGGGGCACTGTACCTAATGAGGGGGTCGGCTGACATGTGTGAGCACGCAGACCCTGTGTGAAGGCTGCGAGCCCATCTGGCTGGAGAGGATCACCGAATCCTGCTGGAAGCGTTCCGACTAGAAACGACAATTAAAAATGGGGCAATAACCGGTGATCATATCTTCACGTACCATAGGCGTTGAAGTTATACAAACCACAAACGCAACCATTGATAATTGGCTTCAAACTGGTCCCTGACAGAATAGTCTGACCATCGCGAACTACCGCAAAGCTTTGCGAGCCAACTCCCATCGGGACCTCCTTTGCACTTGCACCTACTGGGGCTTCGTAATTATAGACACTCCCGCCGCTGTTAACCTGCACCGTGGCTGGCGATGTAAGCAATGAGACAACAAAGACAGAATCTGCCATGGATTGCCAGCCATCTGGACGACCCATGAAATAGTTTCCACTCCCATTGTTTGCTGGTACCATGCAAGTATCTGTAGCATCGCAGTCCACTCCACGCGGTGCAGGTCGATACCAGTAGACTAACTCATCCGATGAGATATAACTGGTTGGAGACGACTCGCCTGCTTTGAACGCAGCGATGTATGGTTTTGAAATGTCCAGCCATCCGTCATGGGGCCTGTAGTTATCCGTTAGTTGAGATGGTTGAAATTATGGGATTCTGGCTTTGGAAGAGCGGTTTTGATATTCTCACATGTCGTTGACCCATTTTGAGGCTCCGTCATCAGTATGTGGTGATTTCAAAGGACCAATGTAATGACTCTCTCCGTAGTCATTCCATGTCACAATTTCGATAAATCGTGGTTTCAGCGCAAGGATCTCATTCCATCTGTTAAACCATAGGAGGTCAGATGGGAAATTCCAGTTCTTGCTATACGAGACTTCAGGTCCGAAATGTGTGAAGAACCATGGAGATACAGCTGTTTCACAGTCAGAACCCCAATTTAAATCCCAGCGGAATGGAAACACTCACGGGCAACATAAGCTTTTCCGCCAAGGGCGTTGACATATTCTTGATCCCCATCAGCCACGGAAACACTGTGAGCTGGAGTTGGAGCTTTGTTGTTTCCGTTGTTTGCCCACGCCATCCAATTCAAGAGGCCGTCAACTGTCGAGATGTCTGTCCCCGTAGCTGGGTGGAAATTGGGCGCGAAAAAGATCGATCTTCCAACTGCAGCTCTCAATGCTGCAACATCTATTCCATCCCCGGCAAACGATGAGACGAACACCTTGTTGTCGACCATAAGTTGTGCAGGCTTGCTAGCATACTGGGCAATTTTCTGGCCAACTGCAGTAGCCTGGTCGATATGCCACCAGTTGAAATCGAATGACAAGAAGACTTTCATGTCATTATTGGCGGCAGATTCGTATGCCAGTTGGAGTTGTTGATCAGTATAGGGGTCCACGCCAATGTTTAGAGCAAAAGCATCAATCCCCAGAGACTTAGCACGCTTCATGTCATCGTCAAAGTCCGCCGCACTCTTTCTGTTGCTGACGATTCCAATCTTTCAGATGATCAGTAGTATATCTCCAAAACAATGAGGGATTCGAGGGCGTGCTTACCATGAAGTGGGCAAAGACAAGTCGGTCTCCCGACGACTGTCTTTTGGCAGCACACGTGTCTTGGCCCACCGCAGACACCGCATGCGCCGTCATGGACAGTAGAGTGATGATACCCAAAATGAACCGTATCTTCGTCATGGTTTGTAAGTCCTCTTTTTACCTCGAGTCAATATTTTGGATTCTGGCTTGTGGTATCTCTGTTCGTAAGTATCACGTCTTTAAATATATCTTTGATCCACCAGATGACCCTCGGGAACTTGCAGCTGACCTACGAGGTTTAATCATCAGGATGATGAGTGTGATGTTTGCTAGTTATCTTTCCGAGCCCAATCAACTTCTTACATTCAAGGAACCATGTGGTTGTTAGAAAGCTGTTGGCAAAATCGTATCGTAGTTGCTTGTATGTCTTTGTGTTTCAATTAGGTACAAAGTGGCCACAGGATATTTTCTGGGGTAGTAATGATTTGTTCTATTTTACGTATGCATGCCCATGATTATACAGAAGTAACATTGCGTCTTCCTGAAGCGGGACAGACCTGTTGGTACCATTAAGGATAGATTCAATATGTATATCGTTGTCGTTCTCTCGGATGATCCATCTCTATCCAGTTCCGTTTTACACTGCGCCAGTTGACGTTAAGCATTGCCATTAATAATTGATCCATTGTAGTAACACACCGGAAGACATGCTGAAGCCCCCCCCCCCCCCCCCCCCCCGGAACCTTACGTCATCTGCATTATATCAAACCTCCCGAATGTAACCCACGAATAATTCATATATGTGGATATTTGCATAGGCCATAGCAAGTCCGGGATTAAGCAACCGATCTCCATGATTTTATCTGTATAGTGTGCCTGGTTTTCTTGCTACTATGGAGGACATGTACGTTCGCATCAAAATTTTAGCGAGAACCCACGAGTTGGAGATGCGGGTTTTGAACCGGCATTAACTCAAAAGCCAAATTGCTAAACAATGAGATCTGAATGGAAAGAAAACATACAAAACTAAACTTTTCGGAGAAAACTGTTAATAAAACCCCCAAGGTGCAGCACCCGACCAATATATTGTACCAAGATGTTTCTGGGGTATGGATCTGTCCGGAAATATGTTAGATGAGAAACTCAATGGGTATCAAAGTGACACTCCTTAGAAATTATCAGCAGACTACTTATTTGCGGCGGCGTTAATAACCGCTTGAATTGTGATACCAACACCACATGGCCATATCACAATACCCCCTCATTTAAGGTAATTCCTTCTATATCGGCAGTGGGTACAACCCTAAACGTGCCGCTAACCGACACCTAATGACTCCCATGATGAAGTAGAAATAGGTGTGGCTGTGACTTCATCTCCCATTTCCCAAACCGGCATTAAGCACATCTGAAGTTAGGTGGCGCTCGGGAAGTATTCGGACAGGGGCATTGAGCTGCATCATTGTCCTCCCCGCATATACGTAAGTTATAATCTACAACAAGCGCAAATATGTCCCGAGGTCCTCACAATTGCCAACATGCTTGGCGTTACCGTGATTGGAATACTACTGAAAAGACTCAAGAGACTGCTCAAAAGACTATTCAAAAGACTTTATAGAGAAAATATACGAAAGTGTATTCTAGGAGTTTTAGGCCAATGTAAAATACAGTATCATGGCCTCTCATCATCAAGTGGGAGGACAACCATTTGCTAGCTTTGTACTTCGTATGCAATTATATCCGACAACACGCTAGTTCACTAATCGAGGTTAGCCACCCCAATTGAACCACCCCCAAGGACTTCCCGAAAGATAGTTCTGTCTGAAAGTTCAAAGGTAATTTCTCGAAGGAAAGGCCGACTTGCGATCCCAAATTTTGAATTGCTGCCCTATATATCAGGCAACGATCATGACCTCGGGAGTTCCCTGAAAACATAAACTACTTAATATTGGAAGGTATTTGATCTTTGGATAGCATCGACATGGATCTCTTAGAAATTCATCATAAACACATCTGTTTTTAAACATCTTCCCTTGTATCGTGTTCTTGCATGGCCCCATTCTTAGTGTCTCTCGGCAGCGAAATTCGACATTCTATAAATAGTCGGCATGCAAGGTCTGCCCAAAAAAGCCAAAATGAAGGGGCGCAGTTATGTGAATTTGTAAGGGGAGAGTTATGTGTTATGGTAGTATTTTCGAATCTTTCCAATATGCTAGAGCACAGTAATCATGTAGAAGATGTATATTGAGAACGATTGAGCGTAGAATGTTGCCGTACAAGATGTAAAAAGCAGCCAGTGCCGCGCGGCATATGCGTGTGCAGTTCAACTAAAGCTACTCTAGTTCGCTAGTGGCTGATTCCACATTTACAAAAATAAGTCAAAACATACCTAGGTAGCCTAATTACTAGATCGACCGGGTGTCTACCCAGCCTAGCGCTTCGCGTGGCGTTTCTTTTCTTTTTCTTTTTCTTTCTTTTTCTTCTCCAGTCTATCAATTGCCATCTTGAATTATTCTGATCCTCTTTCCAGGATACCTTTTTCCTTTTTTTGTTCTAAAACTTTCTTTCCCAGTGTGTTGAGTGCGACAACATGCGGATTTCGATATTCGCGCTTTGCACTGTGCTGTGCTCCCGCGTACGCGCCCAGCCGTATGCCTCTGAAATTACGCGCATTTCAGCTACAACAACATCTGTTGAAAGTTTATGGCTACTCCCAGGACCGAGTGAGGTGGCCCACCTCTACGGGAAACGCGGATATGACGAGATCCTCCAGGCCAGAGACACCACTGCGACAGCCGAGTCGACTACAACAGCCGATGCCACAACTGATACAGCCGCGTCGGAGACAACGGAGACAAGCACATCAGAGACAAGCAAATCAGAGACGACCACATCAGAGACGACCACATCAGAGACGACTGCTTCAACAGCGGAGGCTACGACCGCAAGCTCCACATCTGAAACTACCACATCTACCACCGAGACATCAGAGACACCCACATCTACCACCGAGACAACTAGCTCGACTGCCAGCAGTTCCTCGGTGGCCGCCAGCAGCTCCTCAGCTACAACAAGTACCCCAACGTCAGCTAGCAGCACATCAACGACGACGAGTGCTACTGCAACAGCAACCGGCTCCATGAGCAAAGCGGAGCTAGCGGGTGAGTGATCAAATCCATCTATCCTGATACTTCCACCGCACTGACCATACCCAGAATGGAACCACAGGGGTAATATCGCAGCCATTGTATTTGGCGGTTGTTTTATCGCGGTATTCCTCGGCGTCAGCATAGTTTACTACATCCTTGGTCGAGCGAAGGCACGACGGATTGCGGCTAGCCAACTGTCGAAGTCCAGTCAGTCGTACTCAAAGATACCCTATGTGGCCGTACAAGAACCTTCCACTGATCTTGAGGTTAACCGCCCCTCCACACTGTACACCAACAACCCGCAGGAGCAATATAATCATGCGGTCAGCACCCCATCAGTGTCAAATTACAGCGACACTCTCTCCGCGGTCTCTCCGATCACGGCGGATCATTCATTTCCCAGGGATCACATACCGCGAGGACACCAATGAGCAGAACACACATTTGCCTTGAGGTGTCAAATTTTCTCGACCCTTAGGCGTTCTTGCCCGATCTCTTTGAAGCATATCATTTATTTCTAGCGTTGCAGAATAATATACGAATTGCATTGCATTGGTTCCAACCACATACAAAGGCACCCTAGATACGCGGAGTAGTAATATTAACAGTGAGTGCATGAAGACTAAAACAAGAGCTCCAATCATTCTGTCGGCACGGCCGAATTTGGGGATATATATTGTGGGAAAGCGTGCATAAGGTGCTATCATGAAAACTCCAGGATTGACAGAGTCCAAAGGACCACCAGGCCTAAAATAAAACAGATTCTCGGTATCTCACGAGGAAATGAATACTTCAGGCTCGTTTTCCTAAGGCGTCTTTCCTGAAAATTACTCCTTTTTCTAGCCACTCGAGCGAAGATCACATACAAAATCACAGGACCATAAGTGTTTCCACATCAGGATGAGCACCACATAGAAGACGCTCTTCCACCAGGAACCATTCAAGCCAACTAGGTCGCGCACCGCGGTCACTATCCATGAAGGTATTGCGAAGATCAACGTACTCGGGATGGTGTTTGAACCAGCTCCACATCGGTTCGTCGATCTTCTCGGCGAATTGGAATGGACTGGATTTTGGTGTTCCTAGCGACGAAAGAATTCAGGGATTTTGGCAAGAGTTGGCATGCCCATATCAAATATAAACTTGATCACCGAAATACTGAGTCAGTCAGTCAGTTGGCGCGTCATTTAGGTCGTGATGCAGCCGCGCAGCCATCACATGAGCAGCCTGCTTCATTTAATTCCAAAACGGCCCTTTCAGTCCACCGTGGGGGTCGTATCGCCGTTTGAGCTCCCGTAGCTTCTCAAAATTATCGGCATATACCTCAATCCCCTTGTCAGCTTTCCCACCAATTGTAGAAGAAGACGATTTTGCTCACCTTTCTTGGATCATTGAAGTCCTCAAGTGAATGAGTGAAGTACTGCAATTCATATCGTTTATCGTGTCCGCATATAAAGGACGGTGCCGCTCTGGTCTCCCTGTAGGCCAATTCTCTGCTTTCTCTATAACCGCACGGGGCGCCAATCCCAAGTTGCAGAACAGATTGACCGTATGTACCCGGCCAGGCTCGCAGCGTCGGATCTACCGAATGAAAAGCTGGCTGAAACCACGAGATATGATCAGGTCAACAAACGCAGTTTCCTTTAACAAGAACATAATATGGCTACGTACCTTTTGCATGAATTCAATCAAGACATACGTCCCACCAAGAGAAAGAGATGGGTCCTTCAGGGTCAAACTCTCAATCCAGTCCCACGCCTTCGAGATGAGTTGTTCGTCGACCTGGGAAATGATGAGGCAAGACTGGAAGTTTGCAGTTTTTCCTTTGGCAGCTTCAAGACCATCTTAATTATAATGTCAGCTCACTCATATCACAGCATCTGCAATTTCGTGTGTTTACCCCAAATTTGGTTGCACTGTCGAATTGTCATAGATCTGGTTCTATCAATGGCACCTTCGATATCCAAAGCCCAACGGAATCCATCTGTACTTCTCCCGTGTGCTTCTCCATGTGCGTCAAAGACTTGAAGACCAATGCCCGGTTTTGGAGCCTCCCCCGTATAATGACCTTGGCTAAGATCGAGAGGGAAAATGTGCATTGCCATCTTTGGATCCTTGCACTCCGTGGTGAATCTTGAAACGGCTTTTGCAACGACAGAAAAGGCCGACCTTGGGTAGGATATCTGGCCAGAATAGATTTGGTCCGGGTAGGGGTAAACTCGCAGTTTGACCTCTACCAATACTGTATACGGGAAATAAGTAGACAGTCCATCTATACCGATGCGTGAAGCTTGCCTGACCTCCAAAGCTGCCCCCGCCACCTCTTAATGCCCAAAGTAAGTCTGGTTCAGTAGACGCCCACAAAATCCTGCCGTCCGTCAAGACGACTTTTGCGTCTAGCATATTGTGCGGGTCAGCACCAAGGCCTTTTTCGGAAGACAACCAAGATATTCCGCCTGCGAGTATGGAGCCGCCAACGCCGACGTAAGTGCAACGAGCGCCAACCACTGCGGTATTTATTTAACTTTTTGCACTAGATATAGCAGAAATATAGGACGTACCAGCATGGCCAGGGGCATTTTCCTCGATTTTTCGATCAACTTCTCCCCAAGTTTGTCCTGCACCAATAACCACAGTCTGGCCTTCTGCGTTGTATTCGAATTTGTCAAAAGCAGATAACGAGATCAGCACATCGCTGGCAGATGAGGACCCCACCCCAGTACTTCGGACCGCCCAATCCAGATTAGAATTTGATAAGAAAGAAAGTAACGATGCGAGAGACGAAGGCGTGCAGGGCCGAGCAATGATCTTAGGCTTCAAATCTTTCTGGGCCGCCCAAGTGCAGCTCTCTGATGCGTAAAGCGGAGAGTCTGGGTATATTATTTCGGCGGAAGAAAGTGGAATCTCAGCAATAAGTTTATGAGGGGGCATCTTTTTGGTTTTATGACGAGAATTACGAAGCTAAAATGATGACACTGATATACGCCTCAGAGACATTCATTTTCAATGGGAATTCTAACGTGACAGCAAAGCGATAATTACGTCATACTCTGATAGACCAGCCTGTGGAGCATTTGCAAACTATTTTGGGAAATCCTTCCCTTAATCTCGAAGATCCCGGTTATTATCTGAAAATATTTCATTTCTATAAAGATATATGTGATCTAATGGCGTACTATTGGACTTATGCACTCTCCCGCTTTGCTCAAGTTCTCCTCGGTGATTAAAAGCACCATAACGGAAATAGAAATCCCCTAGCGACAGGTGGCCTAAAGTCTGACCTCATCCATATATGAATGTGTTACAATATAAATGGGTGAGAAATAAAATGAATACGGGGTTTTGGCTCAGGCTTCAAGTAAAAGGGGGCGAAAAGGGAGAAAATAATATGAGATGCTGTGACCCTATAATCAACTTCTCTTTGCTTTCTACCAGAGTTACAGATTAATTTTCACGATGTCGTCGAAAACGACTCATGTAGCAGTCACCAAGCCGAGCCAGAGTGGTCAGATCTAGCCGCTAGCGTGGCCAAGACCTGTAAGCTCATCGCAGAGGCTACTCAGAATGGCGCACATTTGATAGCTTTTCCAGGGCGCTGGATTCCTAGATACTCATGTTAAATCTGGTAGGTGTAGTCGAAACTCTTTCCATACACCTTAGTAACGAGTAATTAGCCACCTGGATCTTATATCACTTAAGGTTTACAAGTTAAAAGGATGGTGGCCAATACGGAGAGAGCTGCAAAACCTGTGGAGTAGCCACTGTATGGTTATAATTTTATCGATCACATAGAAAATTGATTCAAAAGTTCAAAGTGTTATATATCCTAGACCAGGATATTAATGCACTAGTCTAGGGCTGTATATGGTAGAGCATAGTCTTCGAACGGGGATGTCGCACCAAGACTGTTTTGTCCATGCTTATATCCAACTAGTTGGATGAATCGATTCTTTCTGAATCATATATTTTATCGAGACGACCATCTTAGAACGATGGGCACCAACTCAAAAACCACCTTCTATCCCGTCGACTTTTCACCGGCTCTGCTTTCTCGTCACCATAGTAGATTGACTCTTTTGCGATATTAGGAGTATCAACGTAACTCTTGCGAAACAATCCAATCGATTGAACCTTTAGGCTAAATTCACCATGTTGATTCCCAAAGAAACTATAAAATTAGCAACCTATTTTCTGTCCTCCATTGATGTAAAGCTTACCTTCGCATCATGATCCGAAACCTCCTTATGTGCGACAAGTCCAATGGCCGGGCATCTTCTACCGCCTTCCCCCGATATGTCGGTCTCAGATCCTTCCATGACATACGAACTTCGCGGCCTGTCTCCCTCGGGCAAAAATCATATTCCCAGACAAGAGCGCTCTGTTCGCGATCATTCGGCCGCCGTTGTGGGATTTCGTCTGCTAGGGAGAAAGTGTATCGTTTTCCGTCCGATGGAACAATGCGTAGCTCAATACCGTCATATCCGCTGAGGTCCCATATTTGTTCGTTTCCGACCGTGCGTTGTGAGGCGAACCCGGCGCCGCCGAGTGTCTCAATGTCGAGGTTGCCGTGAAAAATTACCCCTTCATTGGTAGGCTCGAGTTTCGATATAGATGATCCACCACGAACGCGGTCGTCGGAAGCGGACCAGTGATTGATGTCCCAATCTGGACCAAAAAGTATTTGTTTATTCGTAGAGTATTCCATTGTGAATGCGAAAGGTGTTGGCAGGCAGGCGGTCGAGACCAGTGTTAAATAGATTGTGGGATTATAGCAAGCTGGGAATTGCAATCCGATCGATCCATAGATCGGAGGGTTAATTTACATGTGACGTCATTTGTTAAGTGCTAGCTAAAACTAGTTACCTAGTGACAGGAACCTATGTATCTAACGCTGGAGGTGCTCGATTCTTCAAAATGAAATTGTGGTATATTAACTCTATTACATGAATTCATATCTATCAGACATCATAAGGTTTCTTTTCAACATCATAAATGGGCGAGCATGCCAATTTGCTTCTCGTTCGCAGCCATGGACCGTATACCTTGAACAGAACAGGAATAGGGATCATCACGATTGCGATACATCCAAGCATTGTCCCCGCCCATTGGATCCCCAGGTTCTCCATCATTTGTCTGGAGAAAAGTGGGAAGGCGCAGCCAATAGCTGAGCGTAAGATCGTGTTTGCAGCAATAGTGGATGCAGCCCTGTTGATTGGGTTAGTCACTCGTTATCACGCGATATACAAGGCAACATACAACGTAGGATAGCAGTCAACAATGTAGTTGAAACACTGCAAGAAGATCAAAAAGATCCCCGCTCCGGTGAATAGTCCTGAGACTACAGAAGCCATCCAGTGAATAGATGAAGTGTATCCGGTCCAGCCGAACCTGTTGGGTATTAGCTCAGAACATCACAGAATGTTGAAGACTGCAAGAAGGACACTTACCAAAACATTCCCGCGGCAAACAGCACAGCTCCTATGATGGCAGGTGGAAGGCGCCATTCGGGTATGGGCTTATCACCGTTTGCAGCCAGCTTTATCCTATATGAACCCTGAATCAGGAGGATATAAACACCGCCAAGAAGTTCGCCGATGATAATTCCGACGAATGCAAGTCCACCAACACCCATACTCATTCCGTAAACGCCTTGGAAAACAACAGGATATGCGCCCAATAAGGCATACATCAACCCGTAGATGAATGAAATGTACAATGAGATCAGAAGCAGTATGGGCTCCGTGAACAACATCACAATGGGCCGGGCAAAGTTGTTCCGCAGAAGCTCCTTTACATCCACTTCCACTTCATCTTGCTTGGCATGGATGCCCCAGTTGCGAGTTTGTCGACGTAGGGTGGCTGCCTTGCGGACAAGGATGACTGGAGCATAAGTCTCCTCAAGGAAGGCAAAGACTAGGATAAACCCAAGGAAGACCATGATTGCAGAGATATACATTATCCATCGCCAACCTAGAGAGCTCATTGCAATGAAGCCACCCACAAACGGTGCTGAAAAGGGCCCGATAAACACCGCCATGCAGAAAATCGACATGACGACACCCCGCTGGGTGTTGTTGAACAAGTCAGCGAACACAGCAGGAACAACAGAAATCGGGCTAGCCGAAAAAAGGCCACCAAAGAAACGGCAAATCATGACCGTCTGTATATCTTTGGCAACTGCACATGCTAAGGTGAAGATGGCGCATCCGAAAAGTCCGAGAGATAGTGGCCAACGTCTGCCGATCAGCTCTGATCCCGGTGCCCAGATTGTTGGCCCGGCGGCGAAGCCAAGGACATAGAGTGTCACTCCAAGTGCGCCAACTTCGGTGCTTGTGTTGAACTCCTTGCTGAAGCCAGGAATAGCAGCCGAGAAGACAGCGCTTGTAAACGACCCGGCGAAGGTACCATAACATAAGATGCAAACTAGCATTATTCTATTGAGATATTAGCATGTGTATACTGATATTGACGAGGAACGATAGTAAACATACCGCCTAGATGTAGACCAATTGTATGGATGCAAAGGATCATTGGCTCCATCAAACTCCACGACATAGCCTTCAGAATCCGGGAGCAGAGGTGGAAAGTCTTTATTGGCACCCATAGGAAGCCATTTATCACGGGGAAGAGGCCCTCTCGTTGAGCCGACAGTTGTTTTTTGTTGCAGGCGATATGTGTTGATACGGGTAAGCTCGAGGGTGTCAATTTCCTCTATTGTGTCGTCGGATTCATGGCTGCGAGAGTCCATTGGATACTCGGTATCTGTATCATATTTGTCTGGGTGTTGAGTGATATGCTCCATTGTAAGCTGTCATGTCAAGGTTTAGGGATTAGACGAAGAATTTGCGTGGGATTATACAGAGCTCTAATCGAGGAAGGCAACGCAGTATATGTCCCTGTTTCGCTCAGCTCATTGATCACATTTTTTTTTCTCTTCCTAGTCTTCTGGGTCTTCGGCCTAATCCGCAATCCATCGTAAAATGGGCCCTGATTCTGGCAAATTGACCTCTACTAGGGCTAAAAATTAGTTTTAGTAGATCCATACTTTTCCGCTGTGGCTTTAAATGCTTTTTATATCCACTATTCAGGCATATTGCCCCAGTAGTGTAAGTCAATGACCAGTTAAAAATTAAATATCTCGGTTAGAATCGGAGGTGGATGACATCCGCTGTGAACGCCGAGAATAACCTACTATAGCCGCTATCAGTTTTGTTTCAGGCGAACGAAAAACTCTTCAATATGGCTTTGTTTTCAGGAAATTGATCAACAATGACACCATGTTTATATTGTAGACTGCCTCCAGACCGATTCCAACTTCCCACGTGAAACCGGTTTGGTGTGTTCCCTGTGCCGAAGCCGTCGGGGCGGAGACGGGGACCCAGTTAGTTCCACTATATTCGGGATACAACTATGTCAAAGCCGATTGCTACGTGTATATAGGTTAATCAATTCTGTCATATACCATTTTAGTTGAAGGAACTCTGCCAATTTTGTGTTGCAACAAATTTATTTCCCTGCTTGGCCATACCTATCATATACGATGATCACCGATCACAATCTTCCTCTTGTAGCTTCTTGCAGAGGTCTTTTAGTGTCCAGCCAGCCCAGTCGAAGTCGCTGGTCTCAAGATAGATTTGGCCGCTGAGTCGAACCCACCAAGATCCTTGAAAGGGGAATACCGGCATGAATGTGTTGTATGACTTGATCATAGTCTGCTGCATCCATTCAGTCACGGTCGTATCGGGTTTACCTTGTCCTTTGACCAGACTCCCGTTTCCCGAAGTGGGTTTCTTGATAGGAAGGAGGATGTTGACCATGAAACAGTCTGTCGAAGTATGGGCAGCGTTGTCCAGGATCACAGTCCCTAGAATATCTGCAACCCTCTGTCCACCGGTGCGGGAAAGTTGAATGCAGTAATTCCGAATCTCGGTCTCACCACCACACACCTTCTGTCTCCACCGGATAGCTTCAGGCACTGCTAAGAACGAAAAGTTGTCGGCTGTTCCAACGAACTCGAAATTGGAAACAAATTCTGTTTTTTCATTCACTGACTCCTTGGAACTGACACAAGATCCCTTCTCGGGCGATCGAGGAATGAACCCGTGGCTTGTTGGTAGAGTGCTTCGCATCATGGCTTGGTTGCGCTTGGGGACGTAAAACACAGCACATGAGCGAGGAGTAAACAGCCACTTATGGCAGTTGCTGATCAAGAAGTCTGGATCCAGGGATGATAGATTGAGATCGATTTGCCCAATTCCGTGGGCGGCATCAATCAGACTCAGTACACCCTCTGAACGGCAGACAGCTGTGAGTTCCTCAAATGGAAGTCGAAGACCCGGGTTGGACGAAATTGTGTCAAAGATAGCAATTCGCGGGCGGTAGCCTTCTCTCTGTGAATCGTGGATCGCTTTTCGAAATGCAAAGACCATCTCAGAGTCGTCAACTGGATATATGAGCCGAATCTCTCTGGTGCGAACCCTGCCTTCATTGGCTTCACAAACATAATTGGTCGTCTTCCCACATGCTCCATATATGATATCCAACTGAAGAATCTCATCTTTTCCGTCACTACTCCAGACCATATTTCGCATAACTGTATTGATTCCAGTGGTCGCATTTGGAACAAAGACAATGGTTGACTCTGGTACACCAAGAAAGTTACTCATGGCAGCCCGGGATTCGTCCAACAGTTCGGGAAAACGATATTTGATGAAGGGGCACGGAGTTGCCTCGCATTCATCACGTAGCTCATTTGCTTTGTTGCGAATAGCGACAGGTGACGCTCCGAATGATCCTGATGTAGTGAGCACATGAACTGGCATATAGAAGCCCCATTCTCTTTACCATGATTCAGATTTCGGTAACCAGGGCCAAAGGAAAAATGTCGGCGCATTTCATGTCCAAATGATGTTGGCTCATATTGACAGGAAGGTGACATGTTCACGTCCGTAATTTGTTAGAGATTTGAAAGATGACAATTCCAAGTTCAAACGCGACTTATTTCCCCCGCGATCCCCTCCCCACTTTCTCTTATAGAACTTGGATGCTACAGAAGAATACAACACTGAAAAGGCTCGGACCTCGGACATCCTTGCGATACGACAAGCCCGCCGATCAATAAATAGGATGGGATAATATTGGCCCACCCAATACTTGTCGACACGATCATTTCCTTATTTGGTAATTCTGACCCTGTATCCTCCATGATCCCTCAGTTGTCACTCCGCATTCTGATGCCCACATTTACTGTTTACCCCCACGGGTCCGTGCATTCAATACAAAAAGGTATGCCACAGTCCGGGAAATGTCAGTCATCTTATTATGCTCTCGCTAATGTCAGTCTAACAGGCCGCATCTTCCTTGGAGCCAACGATACAGATTCTAATCCATTCATAAGATATGGAGTCAGACAACAAAAATTCGGACGATGCGAAGCATCATGAGCACACCGAACCAGGCAAGGGGGTCAGGATGCCGATGGAAATGGGCACCTTGCAGCGCCGGCTCAAATCCCGCCATGTTCAATTCCTTGCCCTCTCTGGAGCTATTGGGACTGGACTCTTTGTGGGTACAGGTCAGATCCTGTCGTTGGCTGGGCCATTATCGATGGTGCTTGCGTATCTCATCACTGGATGTAATCTCTACGCGGTGATCAACAGTATGGGTGAAATGGCGACCTGGCTTCCATTACCTGGCGCTGTTCCCGTGTATGCATCTCGATTTGTTGATGAGGCGCTGGGATTTACTCTTGGTTGGAATTATTGGTATCAATTTGCTATTGGTGTTCCGATTGAAATCAGTGCAGCTGCTCTTGTGATCGACTACTGGCCCAATAACATTTCCTCGGCCGTGTGGATTACTGTACTCTATGTGAGTATTTTCGCCCTCAACTGCCTTCCTGTTCGGATATACGGCGAACTTGAGTTTGTGCTTGGTTCGATCAAGCTTTTAACCATTGTGGGGTTGATGTTGCTCATGTTCATCGTCACGCTCGGCGGAGCTCCGACACATGACCGCATAGGGTTCCGCTACTGGAAGAATCCGGGTCCTATGAATACCTATCTGGAGGATGGATCCTTAGGACGCTTTCTAGCGTTTTGGAAAGTCTTCATTCAAGCAACCTTTAGCTATGGGGGCAGCGAAATGGTGGTGATTGCGGCGGGAGAAACCGAAAATCCCCGGCGGAATATCCCCAAAGCTGTGCGACGTGTTTTCTGGCGAATTGCCATCTTTTATGTTGGCAGTGTTTTTCTTGTCGGTCTATGCGTCTCATCTAAAGATCATAGACTTCTCAACGCCATTGATGCCGGAGCGGCAGGCGTGGGGGCAAGCCCTTTTGTCATTGCAATCGAGAATGGCGGTATTCCGGTGCTACCATCCATCATCAACGCTGTTGTTCTCACATCGGCTTTTTCAGCTGGCAACTCTTTCTTTTATGCCTCGACTCGAATTCTATATTCCACAGCATTGGATGGGAAAGCACCTCGGCTGCTGCGATTTGAGAAATTTGGAGTTCCATATGCCTGTGTTGTGGTCACTGCTGCTCTAAGCTTACTTGTGTACCTCAATGTCGCATCAAGCTCGGCTGAGGTCTTTTTCTGGATTAGTAACCTAAGCTCTGTGAGCACATTGATCGTGTGGTCGTCGATTGCTGCGACCTATGTTCGTTTCTATCAAGGACTGAAACACCACGGCATCCCGCGGTCCACTCTTCCATTCCAGTCACCATTCCAGCCGTTCCTGGCCTACTTTGCAATAGTGTTCTCCTTGACTGTGGCATTCTTCAATGGCTTTGATGCTTTCTTTCCTGGCCATTTCAGTGCCAAGACCTTTATCCCACCTTACATTGACATCCCTATCTTTGCTTGTCTTTTCCTGGGTTACAAAATCCTGAAGAGAACAAAGTTTGTTAAGGTAGAGGACATGGATTTCTGGTCCGGCAGAGAAGAGATTGATCGACTAGAATCCGTGTGGGAAGAGCCAAAGCCTCGCAACTATCTTGGTCCGTGCTCGTTTTCCTTTTCTTTGGTAGCTTATCACATATACTGACACACATCTCACAGAGCGAATATGGTTCTGGATTGCATGAGCATATAAGCCGCTTGGTGCAATGGTCAATCTCTTTCATCGACATCCCGCATTTTGCTCCCGCTGACAGGTATGCTAGATCTATCATCAATTGAAAGCTCTAGTGGATATGAACGCAACACTCTTCTTTCAATCCCCGAAATGTCAAGCGGTCTTAATAGGTTTATTTCTTCCCTTGTGATATGACAAAGCTATCATAATATAATATGTCCAGTCGCTCAGCAACAAATGGCCAAAACTCCAAATACAAAAATACACAATGGTCAAGTAAACGACGGCCACACACATGCTAGCAGAATCAACCACCAAACATCATAAAGCTCATGAGTCCAATCCAGCCAGCCACAAAAATTGCCGTCACAATTCCCGCACCCACCTTGTCAGCCGTTGTGATTGTAGTCGTCTTTTGACTGGAAGCAGTAGTGTCGTCTTCACCTGCTGTTGGATTGCTAGTACTGTTGCCGCCAGTGGTCGAGGTCACCGGAGCTGTCTTGTTGAAATTGATTAAATTTGCGGTGAAGACTTTCGACGCGCTGATCTGTTCTTCCATTCCCATCCAGCCGTCCCATGTAGACTTATACCACTGGACACCACAAGTGCCATTGCTGTGGCCGGTACAAGATGCAGCGGCTGCCTGACCTGATGTTTGTAGCTTTTCTAGGATGCTGTCAAATGTCGATGGGACAAGTAGAGCAGTCGTTGCCAACCAGGAGGAAGTTAGTCCTTTGAAGAGGATCTCGTTATTATTGCAAGTTTCTGCGGGCTCGCAATAGTAATCTTCAATAATCCCACCGGTGATGAAAAAGTTGTCAAATGTGGCATTCAACAGGCCATTAACTGCTGTCAGCCATTGAGACTGGGTGGTTCCATTTGTCTATAGACAGAAGAGGTTAGTCTAACTACTTTGGCACGACAAAGACAACGTGAAATTTAAAATGGGCATTTCTCACATAGTTGTACATATACGCTGCTCCCATCAGGTAAGTGCCATAGTTATACGTCCATTGGGCGTTTCCCTGGGTCGCACAATCATTATCAACATCGGTGGAATCGGCAACATTCCACGTTGAGTTGCTAAGCAGAGGTGACGAGACAGACCAATCCCAGATCTTGTTAGCCCACTGAAGATAGATTGCATCTCCAGTGTAGCGGGCTAGACGTGCAGATAATTGGAATAAACCCCCATTCGAAATGGAATTTTTCATTGCATATCCAGACTGGTAGGGCCAGATTTGCCACCGTAGGCCACCACCACACGAGGATGTATCCCATCTTTTGATTTGCGTATTGAAGACGCCCTGGGCTAAAGAGAGCCAAGAGAATCCAGTCGAGCGGTCTGGGAATGAGAATTCAGCGGCGGTCATAGCCGCTAGACCCCAGAACATTTGGTCGTCGTTTCCCTGGTAGATAGTCGGTATTAGATCTTGTTGCCTTTTGAGACTCTGACTGTGCTCACCAGATAAGAACTGTAGTTGCTTGGCATATAGTCCCCGTCCGTACCTGATTGCCATTGCAAGCCAACACTTAGCTCCTCATTGTATGTCGTGTCGCCAGTAAAGTGCCAGTACTCTAAGAGTGCAAGAAATAGAGGGGCTCCTTCCCACCATTTGTCTGGAAAGGCCCCGGGGATTTGACCGGTCTCATTGCCGTAATAATATTTCATCATAGCGTAGGTCGACGTACTCGCGGCATCTTTGATCGATTCTGTTATGAAATCAAACGTTAGCTTCTCATTGCTGTTAGTAATTGATATGGAATGAGGATCCAGACTCCACCACGTACGTTCGCTACTGATATCCAAATCAATTGCGTGTGCTACCCCGAAAAGTAGTAACACAGCGACAGCGCCTTTAAAGGGGGAGCACCCCCCGAGCAAGTGCATCTTATCGGGTTGATGCAGGGGGAAACCGCACAAATTTCATCAATGAAAGATATCAGAGTAGAGGTGTGGACTGATGTGCCAAAGGTATCAAGGAAGGGAAGAAAATATATTATTTCAAATTGGAAATCACGAACCATTTTCGCTATGCCATTTTTAAATATAGGGCATGCGTAATCCTCGGCGCTAGCGTCGTCAACTGTTTCATTGTGGAGTATAAAAGCCTGTGGAGACAAAATGCCAAGCTTTCACAAGCTTTCTTTTGTCTGATCTTGATCGTCGCATTAGACGTGACCATGTGTCTCAGATCTCTTTGGGTTGCTTTTAAACTGCACTCTTCGCCTTCCCGACACTACCGGAGACTTAAAAAAAAGCTCTCTATTCGTTCGCCGGGAGACCTTCTAATACCTTCCTGGTTTCTCAAGATATTTTAGGCAAATAGTCCAATCGTCATGTTGGCCTAATAACATGTACTATATGTAACAGAATATATCACAGACTATATCATGGATTATATCAGTTGCGTCTGACTTCCAGACAAGGTGCTTGCCATTCTGGTGGGTTCGTTGGAGATAAAAGTCCTTTCGCTTCATATTTGCTCCGCTCGCACATTTTCTAGCGGGATTCACAAATCAGACGGATTCTTGGATTCTTCCTCCCCCTTGTGGGAAAGTTCCCTTCTCCAGCGGTACCCCCGGTAGAAAACAATCCATACAGCAGGACTACCCAATACCCAAAGGCCAGCGATGAATGTAGCTGTCCATCCAATGCCGATGGATTTGATGAGAGGTGGTGCAATAGCCGTGGCTCCAGCGCCCATAAGACAGCGGAATAGATTATTCGCCGCCGCAGCCGTAGCAACGCTTTGGTAGTTGATATCGATAACCAGAGTGCTCAGGGTGTTGAATGCGCTCGTGGTTGTAAGACCAGTGAAGAACAACATGACGAGGGGACCCGCCAGCGCAGTGCGATATTGCATCACCCAGCCGTAAGCTAAGATGCAAAAACTGGCCAAGTAGATCAATGGGAGAGAGATCGCCAGGCGCGCTCGCTCAACATTGAATTTTTCAATTTCCTGCTGCCGGTTCTTGTGAATGGTCATTCCTTGCAACTGTGCCTCGCGGCGGAAGTTCCAGTCCAAGAGTCGGCCAACTACCCAGCGTGAGCTTATGCTTCCAATGCCCATGGGAAGATAACACAGTCCAATTTGAATGGAATTGAATCCAAATCGAGCCGCCAACTCGGTCGACAAAGTGCTGATAATGGCCATATACCCTGCGTACAAAATAGATCCGTACAAGAGAACCAACCCCATCTCTTTCTGTGTGGCTATCAAGAGAGCTGAAAACGGATTTGGGCGCCGCTTCAGTTCCTGGATGGTAGTGTGATCGGCGATCTCTTGTTCGTTATGGAATCGTGATGTTCGGACGAATAACGTCCACAGTGGGCGATTCCACGAGGCTGGCGGCACTGACCCATTGCCCACAACAGCTCGACATGTTTCAGGGAAGACGATGAGGATTACCACAAGGCAAACACCGGATAGAATGACCAGGAACCAAAATATCGATCGCCACCCCAGAAACTGGTTCAACAGCCCACCGATAACGGGGCCAAGAGTCGGTCCTAGTGCAATTCCAATTCCAGCGTATCCAATGTACTTTCCTCGCTCGGCGCGGGTCGAGAGATCAGCTACGACAGCGCTGCCCAAGACAACAGTAGCACTACTACCCGAAGCTTGCAAGGAACGGAGTATTATTAGTGCCGTAAAGTTGTTTTGCAAAGCGAGGCCAATATTAGCTCCAAGACAAATGACAAACGCGATGATATATGCAGGACGGCGCCCATGGATATCAGAAAAACTGCCAATGAAAGAAGGTGCCAGTCCTTGAAATATCTACAGATGATCAGCTTCATATCCTCTCTCTATAGCTCAGTGGACATTACCAGGTATGTGGTGATAGTCAAGCTAATCAGCGACACAGAAACATTCATGTCGCTAGCCAAGGATGGGAGCGCCGGTAGATAAATACTGCTGGAAAGAGGTGATATCAGGGCCGCAAAAGATCCCGCCATAATAACGAACCCCTTTTCGCCAGTTGGCAGAACACTGTACGCGCGCACCAGTTCATCCTCAATCGGTTGTTTTTCTTGATCCGGTTCTGGTGTTGGGGATTGATTTGGCAGGTTCTTAGTATTTTGTCCATCGACTGCATGTCCTGCCCCGCACAAGGACGATGGACGCTCTGTTGCACAAAACTCCGATGGGTGCACGAGCTGCATGACCAGAGTGTTTATATTGAAACGTCATTTTTAGCGCAGAAGTTATATATATTTACTTCATCGCGATCACGCTTGCTTTCAAGCATGATTCTTGTGTTCCCTATGTTCTAGCGTTAACGGACCGTCACCGGGATGAAGGATACAGGCCGGGAGCTGAGTGGATCCTTGGCATCCGTATATGTGGATATGTGGTAAAGCTACTTGAGGAGATATGTAGTTTTTACTGTCTACACTTTATTATATAGATCTATGCTTTCTACTGGCAATGTGTGGATGTAGATAATTGGAATGGTCCTATGGAGTACACCATACAAATAGCGGTATGTAGGTAGTACTGTAAATACACTCCCATCCATCCAAAACAGACGAAACAGAAAGCACGAAATAGAACCACAAATCACGAAACTGGTACTGGAGCGATTCTGACTTCAACTGCGCCGGTGACATCTTTGATATCGTCAAACACGTCGTTTATCCTGGAAAAGTAAGTCGTGCCCTGACGCTCGTCACCTCCGGTCAATATTCCGAAAACTTTCCCATCCATTCTTGTTATCCATGCACCAGAGTCTCCATGTTCCGCGAATGGAAATGAATTCTCAGGCGTTGCCATTTTGGAAACCCATGTGATTCCGAGAATGTAGCCAGGACCCTTTTTGCTTTTTAGTCGCTCAAGCTCAACTGATTCCAAGCCGTGATACACAGAAGCCGTCATAGCAGTAGATCGCCCGGACTTGTAAAGATTTAACCCATCGAGAACATTCCCAATCGAGCCACCATAATATCGAGGGTTGGTCGGTTCGTTGCTGTATTGGAACGCCTAAAAACTCATGAGTCGGCCTGAGAAAGACGCAGATAACATCCAACTTACATTGTTGCCTGAGACACAATCTCCATGCATTTGTCGGTGGATTCTATTGCTCGAAATTTGAATCAGAGCCCAGTCAACGGCCACTCGACGCTTGTCCTCATCAAGTCGCGTGCGATTCATGCCACTTCCGGCAACGACATGCCCGAGGTAGTATGATCCATTCTGCAGCATTTCCGCATATCTGTCCCGTCGCTTTTCCAGATCTCGAATATAGTGGAGCGCAGCCTCATACCCATACCTAGCAGAATCTGGTAACCACCCATTGTCTCCTTTGTCGATCTCGGCCTTTGAGGCGTAGAAAGAATCATCCTTCAGGGCTCTAATTGACCGGTTCAGTGAGTTAATCGTGGTCCTCAGATCTCGGGGTGCTGGGTGATCAATTCGGAGAATGCGTTTGGCGATATCAAGGAACGAAGGACTGTCGTGCATTGTCAGGGGGTGTCGTTCCCACCTCTCAAACGCTAAAATGGCAATGTGAGCTAAAGTTCTGTGCCTGAAATGTGGCCACTTACCCCTTTGGGCATCGTCACTTTGAAGATAGCGATCTCCACGATACATCGGTGGCGGGCACACGCAATGGAAACAGGTAAGGGCATATGTATTCCAATCCTTTCGGTGTTTGAATCGGAGTTGCACAAAGCCACCCAAGGTGAAACAGCCTGCTGAGCTATTATGAATTCCAATGCTCACGCCGGGGTAAACCGATCCACTAGTAGCCTCAGGGGGAAGGATTGGATTCAGGACAAATGATTTGGTGCCGTCTTTGGTGAACAAAACATCCACTTCTGCTTCGCCGAATGCTGCAAGAATACCGTGAACGTATCGGGCTGCCGTAACGAACGAATTTTGACTTGTTTTGCACACACGGATGATGACTGTCACTGGGTTGGAATTCCGATGGGGGTTTGTTCCATACCGAAAACAGTCCAAGCCAGTCCAATCATCTTTGTTGGGACAACGGGCCACGATCTCCTGCGCGAGGCTCTTCCACTTAGGGGAGATGGAGTGGCTCGACTCAACGGGCGAACAATATATTCCATTGAACAAGTCTGTTTCAATCATCTCAACCGAGATTCCAGGATGACCGTGGCGTGTTAGCAGCCGGTTGATTTGTTTTGCAGCTCGGTACCACAATTCTGGCTGTGGTACGTTTGGCATTCTGACAAGCACGGTTGTGACTTGTTTAGGCTCGGGTTCAACCTTTGAGTGTCTTCCCATAAGCCCAATATCCTGATACCGCAGATGAAGATCACGCAAGACTTGTGCTGCATATCCTTCGATCTGAGACACAGTGTCGGCGTCATAATGAGGATCAGTTGTATCCGTATGAGCTGGTAACGAGCATAGGTAAGGGCCTCCAGCGCGGAGTGCTGACTGTAGAAACCCCGTTTTATCAATTGTAACGGGCCCGTCAAATGGCGAGGAGGTGGATGAAGTGGAGCAGAAGCCCATGGAATGGGCGCTCAATTGTGAAAAGGAAGAGGTAGCTGCAACTGAGGATGACATGGCGAAAATGTCAAAGTTGACGAGAGAGAGAGATGAGGCTTGAGTGAGCAAGGAGAAGTTGGTGCAGGGCTGGAAAAACAGATGCAGGACTGAACTAAGCGGATCAAGGTTGAATCAAGCAGGTTGAGGCCGAACCAAGCAGATCGAGGCTGAATCAAGCAGATCAGAATTCAATCAGGCAGATGGAGGTTGAATCAAGAAGATGAGAGTTGAATGAAGAAGATGAGATTTTGGAATCAAGAAGATGAATAAAAGGATGAAAAGCTCCGATCCGAAATCAGCATAAAAGCCATGTTGGGTTGCGGAATCATGAACCTTAGGTTCCAGAATGGGCACCGTATGAAAATTCTGAGTGGCTTTGAATTCATGTTATTCTGTATGCAAAAGGATGAATTTCGGAATTTTTAGCCCTGGAGTTGCTGTACCCAACCTCGGATCGCTCACTTTGCTCTTCATTTGCTCACTATTATTATATTAACGAAAGCATACGCCTTTAACTATGCAGCCCGTAGTGATTATTCTATCTAGACACAGGCCTTCTTATTCTAGAATTTGATGAATGCAAAATCGTATTTTTCAAGCCCACATATTGTTTAATTCAGGCCTACGAGGGTTTTTAGGGACCACCACGACAAACCGGCCTAATTGGGCCAACATATATATTGGGATTAGTTCTCCGTTCCCTAGAGATCTTATCTATCAAGAATACATACCCAGACCACATTCCTACAACCCACAAAGACATTCGAATGACTTCACAGCCTATCATGTCTCCCAAAGATAATATTAGCATGGCACCGATTCCATCAGCATCCAAGATGGTAAATCATGACACCACCGCTGAGGCGTCCATGTGGGTGAACTCCAACACAATATTATCGAATGGCAACCACTCCGATCTATCAACGCTATTCACCGGGGAGGGCTTCTAGCGCGACCACTTAGCCCTCTCCTGGAACTTCCACACCTTACAGGGTCGCGAAAAGATAAGGCAGTTTCTCGAGGCCAATACTGATGTCAATGGTCGATGCCAATTGCATGATATTCATCTGGATGTGTCTTCTGCCCTCCGATCCCCTCGCAAGACGCACCTTGACGCCCATGGAAAAGTACCTGGGATCGAAGCCTTCATCTTGATAAACACTTCGGTCGGTACAGGCCGAGCTGTTTTGCGGCTCGCTCATGAAAATGGGCAGTAGAAGGCTTTCAGCCTATACATCAGCCTGCGAACCGTGAATGGCTTCGAAGAGATGATTTATGGTCGTCGACCGAAGGGTGTGAAGCATGGGAGCAGCGGCCCCCGTCAGAATTGGTCGGAGCGCCGGAAGATTGAGTCCGAATTTGAAGAGGCTGAACCCGCCGTTGTCATAGTCGGTAAGTGAAATCAATGGCCTATGTGTTCTATTGTACCCACTAACTGATTCTCTAGGTGCCAGCCAAGCTGGGCTCGGTCTCGCGGCAATTCTCTGTTGGCATGCATCGTCTTCATCCACAATAATCAGTCGCGCCTGGCAGACCTCAAGACAATGAAGTAAACCCTTTCCTTCCAGATTATAGTTGATGAAAGCCGGTGCTGCCCCGATTTTCATTGCAGCAAACCACACGAATATGAACTGAGGGGAGTTGGTCAAATACATGGCGACTAGCTCTCCTGGCTTAATGCCTTCACCGATCATATATTGAGCAGATCGAAGAGTATAGTCGTAGAGCTCGCCATAGGTGTATATTCCATCCCAGGATCAGATGGCTTCCAGGTTCCATCTCTTCTTGCACTTCTCTTCAACAGTTTGATAGCAGGCTAAGCCGAAAAATACATTGTAGACATTAGGCCATAAGCTATCCTGCGTGTTATCCTGCTTGCTTCATATGATCTCTATTTGATTAATCTTCAAGATGTGCGATCTAACGATATTCATACTGCGCTATCAAATGTAATCAAGCTTTACCTTGAAAGCCTTTCTCCTAACAAGAATTTGCTGAACTCCCAACTTTCTGCGCTCTCTCATTCTATTGGCTTTATAGTGGTCCAGCTCTACAAACGAGGTTTCCAGGAGTTTCGGCAGCCAGCGTTGTCGGCATCATTCAACTCTTGGGGAGTCTTGTGAAAATATGCGGTGGCTACCTCGGAGAAGTGAAGGATGCGCGAAACGACATCGCAACAGACCGTCACGGATCTTGAATTAATTGTCGAGAGACTCGAGAAATGTCTTCAAGGTCGTTGCGGAACAACACTGGCTCTTTCCTCGAGGCTAGTCAGGAGCATCACTAGTTGTCATTCAGACTTTGAGACACGAAAGAAGAGTATTGATCCCGGTATCCGAGCCTTAAGATGTCCAACCTTGGAAGTGAGGGGCAATAAAACGCCACCTGAGATCCTCGGAGGTTTCGTAAATCTGGGGTAGCTCTCCACCTCCACCTTTCGTAACCCGCAATGAAATCAAATTCAAACTTCGCTTCCCTGCCAGTTGAACTGGTCGAGTTAATCTCAGGCTTTATCGATGCAGATGGCTTAATAGCACTACGTTTAGTCTGTCGTGACCTCCAGAGGAAAACGTTTCATCACTTCGCGCAACGGTTCTTTTCATCCATCAAGACCGACCTCTCTGGAGACAGTCTGCGCCGTATTAATACACTCTCGCAAAATACCGCCCTACGCCCTTATGTGAATGGGCTGGCCTTCACGCTTCAAAATGGTGTCGGTCGCGGCTTGGTTTGGGACCGTCATCCATGGGGTCCTATCTCCGCTCCTCTAGAGGTCGAACCGATTCGCTCTCTACGTGATAATTTGATCCAGAATCTGACTAATTGTCGATCATTCTTTATTTTTTGTCGATACCCCGAAGGTCATCCAGATATGAGCCATGTCACCATCACGGACGCTGTGGCTGTGTTCTTTGCTATGGTCCTAGATGCTCTACCAGTGACGGCATTCCATCTTATCTTCGCCAACAAATACTCCCGCACCTTGCTCATGGACATGCGACGTCTTCCTAAGCTCCTCTATCGCCAACCGGAGTTCAAGATTGTGTGGGGTAATTTACAAAAACTCTCTTTGGAACAATATCTCACGTTGGATAACTTCAGCTTCCTGCTTGAGCTGGTTCTTAGCGCCCCAAACCTCCAAACCCTTTTGCTAAACCTCGGCTCGCATGACTTGGCTTCCGAATTTATGCATGAACTGGCTGAGAGCGCCAGCTTTTCCCAACTGCGCGAACTCGCCTTGTTCCGAACATCCATGCGGGGGCCCGATCTCCACAAGCTTATCGGCAATACCCGCCCAAACTTGACTTCACTCACACTATACCATGTTTCCCTAGCACCAGGGAGCGATTGGACTCCATTTCTCAAGGAGCTGAGTCAGGGATTTTTGGCTTTACAAAGTATCTCGCTATATTATCTGTGGGCCTGTACGCCTGCTAAGGGTGTCTTGACATTTCCGGACATTCCAAAGATACCTTCGCTATGCACTTCAAAGGGCCAGCATCTTAACGTATTTTACTCCGAAGATATCAAAACACCCACTGTTCTTGGTGTCGAGTATTCTGGGTCAAAGATGTTACATGTGTTGAATTTATTACAGACAGAGATTGAAAAACCTTGCTCACAAAGAGAGCTGGTTACTTCTATGTGATTTTTGTAGATTTTACATTCGAACCGTGTTTGGACTTTTTTTCCTCTTTCTCTTGTGGCCATACTTCCTCGGAGGCTCCAAATAATATCTGCTTTATTCTGTTTTGTCATATGTAATTCCCACGCTCTGTTTGCAATATAACGACAGTATAAAGAAGTTGTGAAAGTTGAAGCTGCTTTTCTATGTCCTTGGACGATATAATATTCGTGGTGTATGAGGCCAAGCGCAATTTTACAACAGGTGGTAATGAGAAATCGACAGAGAACATTCTTCAAACCGCAGTTACCACTCTATTTTAATGGACATCGCGAGATCTCAAAGGGTCTTTCTCCATGTAGCAAGTAAACTAAAACCATCTCCATTTACAAGCAAAGATGTCGGTCTTGATATAAATTCACACCTTCTCCTGAGCTACATGAAACCCTTCATTTCCTCAAACATCCTGAAGTCTGAGTGTCACTTTCTCCACATTCCTTCCTGTGACTTCGATTAGTGTATTCTTGATATCTCCTTTAAATGAAACAGTCAACCGGATCTGTTCTTTCGGCCAAAGAGTCACATAGTTGTCAGACCAATAGACTGGTGCGATCTCCGTGCTATCGAGTGTATTGATAGCATTCAGACGAATGAAAACTGCCGGTCCTGCAGATTGATTTTCGAGCACGACCTCAGCATGAACCAACCCATCATCTGTTGGAGACTTTATCTCCAAGGTCTGTAGTGGCATGTTTTCTAGTGAAGCCTTCAAAGTAGCCGGCGTCAATGTCTGCAGCTTGGTATACTTGGCAAATTCGGTAACTGGCGTGGTGAACCAATCAGACTTTGACCAGTCCAAGACATCAGTGGTAGGAGAGAGCCAGTAAACATTGCGACTAAGGACGGCTTTGGATGTGGGGTCACTGAGTGTGAGACGGAGTAAGCCAATATCTTTGAGCTTTTTAACCCCCGCAAGCGAAGCCACCACCTTTGAGGAATGGGGCGTTGTCATGCTGTCCACTGCGGTTGCGGATATTTCGTTGCCATTTGAATCAATGAAATCAATATTAATGTGCCGGTTTCCGGTTTTTTCAAGCGAGCGGTTAATCAACCAGATTTTCTCGTTCTGATAATCATAAGCCACGTGCTCCTCACGCGCTCCAACTTTGGTGCCGAAGTACGCTCCGATGGGGTTGAGATAGTAATCAAACAACTGCCAATGCAGATTTGGCCAGGCACTGTTCAACATCCAATAGATAAGTCCCGTGGCAGGTCGAGTGGCATTCTGCTGCGTTGCGTATCCTTCAAACTGGGATCGGGTAGCCTCATAATCTGCCATCTGACTTTTGATGACGTAGTCTTCCAGGCTAGATGGCTTTCCGTATCGGGCAAAGAGAGCTTTGTTGTAGAGCGAGCGGTCGTAAAACTGCGAATCGTAGCGGGACATGTGATATTGTTCTGCATCTGGTTCTTTCCAGAGTGTTTCCAGATCGGCATCAGACATGAACTGTTTCATGCTACCCATCTCAGGAGTTCCAACTCCGGCACCCAATTCAGATCCAAAGCCAAATGCCGCTCCTTCTTTGTCGTTGTACCAGTAATTCGGGGGCACCCAATCGTATGGGCCATCCATCTTCATTCCAGATGGTCCAAGAGCGTCAGGGTAGCCGCGCTTGCTAGCTGACGCGATGATTGGGTTGGGCCAATCCATAGCTTTGAGGGCATCGAGATAAATATTAGTGGCCTCGTCATTTGGCCAGAAGTCCGAGCCAACCAAAAATCCAAGCATCGAAGCATGGCTTTGCATCATCTCTGCCTCGTGCAGCATTGATGCCTTCCCAATCGGATAGTCTGCCTTTCCCCATTTGACACCGTCGGCCTCGTCATTGTACTAGAATTTCTTTTGTCGGTGGTCTGTCATCTCAGGTAGAGTCTTGAAAAGACTTACCTCCCACCCTTCCCATTTATCACAGCATTCCCATCCCGCCAGGACCATCATGCCCATTTTATCTGCAAGGTCATAAAATTCCGGGTGTTCCTGCTTTCCCTCCAAGCGCACAGTATTGAGTCCCATGTCCAACATGTAGGCGAAAATCTTCTGTACCCTGTCAACATCGAATCGCATAAAGATATCCGGCCCATATCCAGCGCCGATGATCTGGAAAGGCTCGCCGTTGACAGAGAATTCGGTATCATTGAACTTGTTCAACTTGGATGATACATGGCGAATTCCAAATTGTTGGCTAATTGAGCTATCTGACACCAACTTCTCGGGTTTCTGGATGATGGTGTCGGCCTGTACTGTGTACAAAGGCTGCTGACCCCAAAGTGCAGGCCACCAAATATCAGGTTTGGCAATGGTCGCAGTTATAGACACAGTTTTCTTCTCGTTTGACTTCAAGTCAAAAGTTCCACTAATTGGCACAGCTGCGGAGCCATCTGGTCCTGTGACAGTGCCCTTGACCATTACCTGCTGAACAGTGGATTCGTGGTTGGTCAAATCAGTTCGGAAGGTGACCTTCACCGGCTTGGAGTTAGACTGAGTAAAATCGGTGAGGACCCGGAATGGCGACATTGATACCGCTCCAGTCTGAGAAATCTCCACATTTCGCCAAACGCCGGTGCCATTGTCGGCTGGGTAGGGGTTCCAGTCCACAAATCCCATAGCAAGATCGCGAAGATAGTTGGTTGGGAACGCACGTATGAGAAGACAATTGGTTCCTTCCTGGACATGTTTGGTCAAATCGTACTGATGGCCGCCATATGAGCCTTGCTGCTGGTCGTTCGATGCAATGAGCACTCCATTCAGATATATGTCTGCCTTAGATGTGATTCCGTGTGTCTTTAGGGTAAAATATTGACCGATAGATGGGTTTAGTGTAAACTCTTCTCGGTAAAACCAGGGTGCATCGAAGGTGGAGGGGTCGGCGATAGCTTCCATGTTGTCAGAATAGAACAAGTCCGTCTCGTTGTATACCCCATTCTCAATAAGACCAGCCATTACAGTGCCACGAGCACCAACTCGATACCATGATGAGACGTCTTTTCCCGATGTGGAGAGTACATCCAGCTTGTCTGATACTTTTGTCGATGTTTGGAGATGCCATCCCGGGATAACAGCAATATCACCGGCAGAGGCGACAAGGGGTTTGGGGCCTTCTATCGCTGCACAAGCACTGGCACTGAAAGCCAGTGCTATGCAAAGCTTACTCATGTTCGTGAACATGATCATTTCGTTTGCTCTGGTTCCTCAGACACCAATAGTGATACTGAGCTTGTATCGCAGAATGTAGGCGACAGCTTGTTCATTTAAAACATAAAGCTTGCGAAGTGGCGTTCAGAGCGTTGCGTCACACGATTGAAGGTTCATACGACCGTGGGATAAAGGTGGTTTTGTTTGGATGATCTTCTCCGACGACTTTCTGGGCTAGGACTAGTTCACACCGGGATTCCGGCAAACCTGCAATCTTTCCCGGTTCTGCGCAGGATCACCAGGGGAATTTCCCCCAACGGAGCTTAAGAAGCCTGACTAGTCGGACTGTGAGGATGACCGGGTTTCAATTCTGCTCCGATGGGAGATGATGGACTGGGCATATTCCTATTCTGGCATTACCAGGATCTTTTATTCTTAGTCCTCTTGGGATTTGTGGGGGTTGTATCCTGCCATACAGATCTTTTGGTAATATTAAATCCAAGTCTGAAATAAAAACGAATCTTGTTACTAGAATATCCGTATGGAGTACTCCGTCCCAAAGTGGAGACGGCAAGCTGTCCACGATAGGATTTTGTGATAATTTATGCCTGATGGATCGGGCATTATATTCAGGCCTTGAATTTATTCAGGCATAAAGGCATCAGGGCATCAAGGTATTAAGGTATTCAGGCACCAAGGCCCCAATCAGCTTTCGTCTCATTCAGCAACTAATCACTTCTTGTAGACGTCGGGAGACTCGTATGATTCTACCCTTTCAAAAAATTGCCTAGGGGCTAGCTGAGAAAAATAATTCCCATAAAGTACATAGCCTCTCTCAGGGGGCAAGAACTCCTAGGCTCTAACCCCTACGTGGTACGGCAACTCCTTCAACACGAGTGACGCCTGTTTTACGGCGACATGGTAGTTTCCCAGATGACAGAAAGTTCACAATGCCATTGTACTCTAATTCACGCGTTGCAAGAACAAGCGTCAGGGCGTGGGCCCTTACCGGAGAGGGATACAGGTTACACGCCGGAATGCGTCAATTGTTGCATTGCGTTCGTTTTCGGCCCTAGACTGCCCTTTCTGCGCCCCTTATCCACTGTCTCCTCTAAGAACATATGCGTCTCGGTGATTCGCCAGTGTTCTCGGCTGATCAAATTGATCTGTTTGACAGCTGTTCTGGAATGCCACGCCGATCCCTTATCGTGGAGCGCCAACACGGAAACCATGGAAATGAAAGAATGCATGTTGCACTCTTTGTGTCCTTCTCATCCACTCTTCAATCGAACCACAATGGAATTGTGGGTTTTATGCCTAATGCAGTCGAGTGTCAAAGGGACGCTGGTACAATTTCCCCTACAGGAGGTGCAAATGGTCTTAGGAGCAACGCCTTGTTACCATGCCAGTGCTCCTAGACAGTTGGAATGTGGCCGTTCAATCCACACACACGTATCCCCCTCTTTCTGTGTCTTGAGGAGTCTGAAATTGGCTAGGTGGCTTTTCTTCATCTTTCTGTGTCTTCATCACGACGATTGGGAACAAGCTGTACTGTCCATCTTTACCACGTCTTGAGCCTCATGGTTGTGTCGATCACATATTCACATCTCTTCTTTCAACAACTACGCTGATTTTCAGAGACGAGTCGCTATCGACCTTTGATAGTATTCTTGCGAGATTCAACTTGAAGAGGGTTGCTGTTTCGCTTTACTATCAGGTCAATCGACATATCAGCTGCCATGCGCGTGCTCAATTACGCATCACAACCTTCATGGATGGGTCTGCTGGCTGCAGCTCTGCTGGGCACTTCAACTGTGCAGGCGATAGAGCTGGATATTGATGACGGAGGTAGGTGCTCTAGTTTGTCTGCCTGTCTATGCGCAATGACTAATTCAAAATCAAAGATTCTATCCGAAAAGTAGCCAAAAATGTCGCCACCAACATGATGAGTTACTACACTGGTATGAATCCTGGTGACACCCCAGGTAATTTGCCGGATCCTTATTACTGGTGGGAGGCCGGTGCAATGTTCAACTCCCTTATCGATTACTGGTTCTACACGGGCGATGATACCTGGAACGACATCACAATGCAAGCCATGCTCTGGCAAGCTGGAGAGAACAAAGCATTCATGCCAGCTAACCAGAGCAAAACCGAAGGAAATGACGACCAAGTTTTCTGGGCCTTCGCTGCGATGACCGCGGCGGAGCGAAACTTCCCAAACCCCCCAGCAGATCAACCACAATGGCTTGAAATGGCACAAGCCGTCTTCAACACCCAAGCTCCCCGGTGGGATACTTCATCGTGCGGCGGTGGCTTGCGCTGGCAGATCTTTACATGGAACAACGGCTACAATTATAAGAACACCATCTCCACAGGCGGACTCTTCAATCTTGCTTCTCGTCTGGCGAAATACACCAATAATCAAACGTATCAAGAGTGGGCTGAAAAGGCCTGGGACTGGACTGCCGAAGTTGGATTCATGTCCCCCGAGTACCGCTTCTATGATGGAGGTAGTGACCTCACCGAGTGCAAGCCAATAAACCAGATTGAATGGACTTACAACGCTGGTGTATACTTGCTTGGCGCAGCTAACATGTATAATTTGGTGAGTGGATTCTACATGTTGGTGCCTTCCGATGCTACGACACAATATCTAACTGTTTCAACAGACCGAAGATCCCAAATGGAAGGATCGCACTGAGAAGATCGTTGATGCTTCCGGTGTTTTCTTCTCTCATGACCCACCCGACGTCATGTACGAGCGAGCCTGTGAGACCGTCAATACTTGCATGGTCGACCAGCGATCTTTCAAGGGATACTTTTCCCGCTGGATGGCTCAAACTGCCCAAATGGCCCCTTTCACATACGACAAAATCATAAAACGCCTAAGAGCCTCTGCGAAGGCAGCTGCCAAGACTTGTACCGGTGGCATCAATGAGAATGTGTGTGGTCTCAAGTGGACAGAGCAAAAATGGGACAAGACGAAAGACTTCGGTCAGCAGATGGCTGCTCTTGAAGTCATTCAAGCGAATCTAATCACGCGTGTGACAGCCCCAGTCACTGATGATAACGGTGGAACGAGTAAAGGGAATCCAAATGCAGGTTCCAAGCCCACAAAAGCGATTCCGCCCGAACTTGACTACGACATAACTACAGGCGACAAGGCTGGTGCGGGCATTTTGACCATTCTTGTTTTGATTGGCATTGGCGGTTCTACTGGATGGCTAATTTGGGAATGAACTTGATATGTTTCTTTTAATACTTCTTTTGGTTTTTTTTTTTTTTTTTTTGTCTTTTGTCGCTAACTTTGGTGTCAACATATATTTTGCCAATCTGTGATTTCTCTTACATTAATTTCGGGACGACGTGGTCGGTGGCGTTTTGTGAATATTTTTTTGGAATCTAACATATCATTCTCGCTCTAAATTGCCCTATCTCCTCGGGTATACCGGACAAGGTGTATCCCCGCATACTGTACTCTTTGGCGAGGCCAGGCCATTGACAGTAAGACCAACAAAAAGAGGGGCTGCATACGTTGCAATCACGCTGTACTTCTGTAGCTTCTTACCTCGGCGTGACTTCGGCTTTGTTCTCTGAATTGTGTTATTTATTGGTCCATCGAATGACTCCGAATGACCACCCAGACAAAACTTTGCATCCTTGACAATACAGCTCCTCAAAGCATGGGTTCAGTCATAGATTATTCTCAGGTCGAGATTCCCCTATTCTGTAAAGCGGGAGTGGTGGTCAATGAAGGCCCCAGTTTCCATGTTGAGGTACAGATGGTACCTGTGCCACAGCCAGGTAGGATCAATCGTTATTGAAGTGACAAACATTCCAATAAGCACAAGTTCACGGCCATTAACGCTCCTGTGTAGGCCCTGACGATGTTTTGATCAAGCTAAACTACACCGGACTTTGCTCGTCCGATATCCATATGATGCGAGGAGACCTAGGCCTCCCGCATATGTCAGAGTTCGGTGTGCGATCTCCAGGGCATGAAGGTGCGGGTGTAGTGGTCAAAGTTGGAGCCAACGTGAGAACTTTCAAGTTAGGCGATAGAGCCGGAATCAAACCGATCATGAATACATGCGGGTCCTGCTCACTTTGCTGGGGGGACAAGGAGACATATTGCAAGGGCGCAGTCCTAACTGGTCTTTTGACGGCAGGTGAGGCTAACGTGAATCATTCAGTTTGGATTGCGACTCATTATACCAGGTACTTACCAGCAATACTTGGTATCACCGGCACGATATACATCGCCAATTCCAGATGGAGTCCCCGACGAGATTGCCGGCCCCATTATGTGCAGTGCCAGCACTATCTATCGATCTCTGGTTGAGTCTAACCTTCGATCGGGGGCTTGGGTTGTTTTCCCTGGCGGTGGTGGTGGTGTGGGGATTCAAGGTGTACAGCTGGCCAAAGCAATGGGTATGCGTCCGATCGTGGTGGACACGGGAGAATCCAAACAGAAGTTGTCGCTCGAGATGGGAGCAGAGGCCTTTGTGGATTTCAAGGAAGTTGCCGACCCCACCACAGCTGTGATTAAGATTGCCGATGGGGTCGGGGCTCATGGGGTATTTGTGACAGCCCCTGCTGCGTATAAAGATGCAGTTTCGTTCATCGGAGACCGTATCGGAGGCATTGTTATGTGCATTGGTCTTCCTGTTGCAGGGTCGATGACGATGGGAGCCGATCCCTGTCAATATGTCTTCAAGAATCTTACCATCAAGGGCACCCTTGTGGGTAGCCGGAGTGATGTTGCCATGGCGTTGGATTTCGCACGGCGAGGGGCGCTACGACAAATTAGTGAAGTGTATCCAATCAATCGCATGCCCGAGGCTGTGGAGAAACTACGGAAGGGGGAGGTGGCCGGACGGATTGTGATCAATTTCAACTGGGAGGAGTAGACGGGTGAAACGTGATTTCGATCAAACTGCTCTGCGAATCAAATACTTCATTCGATTCAATAGCGATTAGTCCAACAAACAAGAAATAAAAAAGAAACACAAAAGGACACAAAAGGAAAATGCTCACACTCGGAATCGAACCGAGGATCTCATCATTACTAGTGATGCGCTTTACCGCTAAGCCATGCGAGCTGATTGGTGGAGGGTGCTGGAATAAGTGATAAAATAACTAATTCCAAAAAGTTCCAAAAAACTAAAACCCAAAAAAAATGGACTTGCAGGGAATCGAACCCTGGACCACTCCCATGCTAAGGGAGTATTATACCACTAAACCACAAGCCCAATTTGATGGAAGAGACATTCAATTAATGCTCTGTAAGCCTACAATAAATATGTACTAATTGTGGTAACCTCTAGAAAGAGCACCCGACATTCGAAGTCGATAGAAACCCTTTCAAAGGACTAAATAATAATGCCAAAATTTGAGAATTACGACTGTATATGTACCACCTACATGGGTATAATCGCGGTCCTATTCAATCATCTTCAAGAGAGAAAATATGTAGAGAACTCTGATATATATAGAGGCAATATGACGTGACGGTCAAATATAACGAGGGTGTTGTCGATCTCTTCGGACTCTACTCACCCGAATAAACCTTCGGCTCTACTTCGGGACTTTCCTTCCCCAAAATATCCAGGTGATCTGCAGTGGCGTGCAATGCGGAGAAGCTGGGGGACTTGAGTCTGAGCAGATGCAACTAGACATTGCAACTCCTTACCAGATACGTCTCCTAGACTGCCGATCCTCACCCCCAAAAGCTAGTTATGTGAGGAGGTGGCACTGGGCACATTACAATCGAAGGCATTATCGAATTAAAGTTTGAGGCCATAGATGTACTGCTGTTCCCATGAGACGACAATTAGCCGGCATACCCACCGACCTGTGGGCGAATGTCAATACTTAAAGGGACAACTGCCTACACATAAGACAAGAAAACGGCCCAATAGACTGCTCAAAAATGCGAGCACCTTTGATTTCCCTTGCAGCTTTGGCTGTGGCTATACAGGCACAGGAAGTATACTTGACAACAACCGGTTACTCCGCTCGACCACAATGTACACAATCGAATGTGGCACCGAATTACCATTTTAGTCCCTTCTCTTATACCCTAAATGAGACAGTTCGGTAAGAAGTACATAGATCTAGTTTACACTATCCATTGCTAATTAAAGTATGAGATATGCAACCTCGGTTCCGCCCCCGACAACAACACGGAAATATGGCCCACCCTATACCGACGCAGTCAAGCATTTAAGCACCAGCTGGTCGACCTCAACGTGGGGCAGTTGGATCCCAGAGCAAACAATTATCAGTGCAACTGACACGGAGGACCCATATGGACAAGCTGCGTGGTCCTCGATGTGGCTACAGGCGGATCTTCACAACTATGTATGTCATGTGCCCTGTGATTTCTACCCTTTGAAGTGGAAACTTATGCCATCAGACCACCACTGGGCTATTCTCGACAACTGTCAGTCCCACACCTGTGCCCAGTAGTGAGCTGGTCCTGCCACCGCGCGACTACTTTGGTCCCACAGACTGTTATAATTTCCCCAAAGACTTTGTGTTTGGAGTTGCAGGTAGTGCAGCGCAGATCGAAGGTGCAATTGGGTTGGATGGTCGATCACCTTCGTTGTTGGAAAAGTTAGTGCCCGACAGCAAGCCGAAGGACTATGTCACCAACGAAAACTATTTTTTGTATAAGCAGGACATACAGCGACTAGCTGCAATGGGTGTGGAGTATTACAGCTTTACAATTCCCTGGACGCGGATTTTACCTTTTGCTCTGCCAGGAACGCCTATCAATCAACAAGCTATTGATCATTATAATGACTTGATTGACACAGTTCTCGATGCAGGAATGACGGTAAAGAATATCGGATATCTCGTTACCTGTTAAGTTCCGGTGTTCTAACTGTCATTGCAGCCAATTGTTACGATGCTCCATTTCGACAGCCCATTAATGTTTGTTGCAAGCGACAATATCACGAAACGCCCAGATATTGGCTACAACAATGCCGGCTATCAAAATGAAACCTTTGTCGATGCATTTGTCAACTATGGAAAGGTATGTTCTCTAGCTCACGATTTATCAATCCTCACGCAGGTCTGACTTGGCTCACTTCCCAGGTCCTTCTTTCTCACTATGCAGACCGAGTCCCAATATGGGTGACCTTCAATGAGCCCCTGCTCTACGCATACAATTTTAAAGGAGTGGACCACATTGTCAAAGCACATGCTGATGTCTATCACTTCTATCATGATACGTTGAAGGCTACAGGCAAAATTGGTATCAAGTTTAACGACAACTTTGGAGTGCCTAAAGATCCAAAAATTCTAGTCATGTTCTGGCAGCTGATCGCTTCCAAGAAATGCAACTGGGTATCTTCGCAAATCCAATCTTTTTGGGTAAGCAATACCCAAAGTCTGTGCTAGAAACACTCCCCGGAGCCAAGCCCTTGAGCAAATCCCAATTGAAACACATCCGCAACACCTCCGACTTCTTTGGGATTGATCCATATACCGCTACGGTAGTATCCCCAGCCAATGAAGGTATCAAGGCTTGCGCTGCCAACCCATCAAGCTCGAATGAGCTTTTCCCGTATTGCGCCAAGCAAGAAACAAAGAATATTTACGGATGGAACATTGGATATCGCTCTGAATCCTACGTGTATACCACGCCGACACATTTCCGGGAGTATCTCTACTACCTGTGGAACACTTTCCGACATCCAATTTTGGTGGGAGAGTTTGGGTTTCCAGTATACGCAGAAGCGGAACAGGAGCTTTCTGATCAGCTTTTTGACTCCCCACGCAGCGTATATTATCTTTCATTCATGTCTGAAATTCTCAAATCGATATATGAAGATGGTGTTCATGTTATGGGGGCCCTTGCTTGGAGCTTTGTCGACAATTGGGAATTTGGAGACTACGCACAGCAATTTGGCATTCAAGCGGTCAATCGCACGACCCAGCAGCGACACTACAAGAAGAGCTTCTTTGACCTGGTCGATTTTGTGAAAGCTCGACAGCCGCATACAGAATGAGGTGGTCTATAGGGAATGCTAGGTAGTTAAATTGACAACTCTAGAATAAACTTGATGAACTAGCAGACTGAATCACGTTTTCAACAATAACCGTGTATACTAGTGCAAAAGGAAATTGGCCCATAGCATCTCCGTGACATATGAAGTAGTCCATTCTTTACGTCCGATTCCTCGTTGTGGCCCTATTTCCCAATATCAAAAATTGATGTGGCGAAGAAGCCCTCTCTGATCACCAAGGGATCTCTTTGCCATCGTAGTAATTTGCACCGGCTTGAGTCTCCGATCCAGAGATATGTATGTTCACAAATTTTCCATTCTGATCTGGTGTTGCCTTTTGTATGATATCTAGGACCTTCTCGGCACCTGTCTCAACCGGAAGGTCTGCTCGATCGCTACCAAGATCAGTGCGAAGCCACTTTTAATGTTAGTAAAGTTTGAGAAGTTTGCGATCAACAGATAACACAAAATATTTGACTCACGCCAGGGCTGATCGCAAGAAAGGTGAAGCCATCATCCGCATATTGCTGGGCATATTGAACGGTGAGCATGTTTAATGCGGCCTTTGAGATCTTGTATGCCGGTGTTTTCAGGTGTTGAAACGCACCGGCCATAGCTATGGAGCCTAAAGTGGTCGATCTTGTATTCGGATTAGCTTCTTAGACAAGTATAAAAAGGCCCATGTAGTTTCTTTCCGATCTTCTCACATGTTGATTACTGTTTTCTTCTCGCCTTTGCGCATGAGAGGTAGGAAAGCGCGCGATACAAGATGTGCTGCAGTGACATTGACATTGAATGTCTCATTTAGATTATCCCTATGAGATCAGTATCATAGCAAGACTTTTGACAGGGTATCCAACTTACATTCCTTCCAGTCCTGTTGGGGACCAGTCGCTCACTCCCGCGTTGTTCACCAAGTAGTCAAGTCCTTTCCCTTGCAGCTGGCGCTCTACAGCCGCCACAGCCTCTTTCACACTAGTTTCATCAATGACATCTAGTTTGACTATCTGAACTCGCCCTGACGAGGCACTTGCAATCTCCTTCAACTGAGCGGAATTGTCCTTGCGCGCGGTGGCGATGATGGTCCCCACCTGAGTTTTGGGCAATGTCGCTAGACGGGCGATCAGCGCTAATCCGAGCCCTCGAGAAGAGCCAGTCACTAGATACGACGCCATGGCTTGCGGAAGTAATATTCGCAGAAAGTTGACAGGGAATATCTTAACTGGTAAGATGGGATGACAGACTTCAAGTGTGATGATAGCCGTAGATAATAGGAATGTGGGAAACCTTGGAAGTCCCAACCTTGTGGGGACATTCTTTCAACATAGATGTATTTGTAATATGTACCTGAATACTTGTAGATGTATTTGTAATATGTACCTGAATACTTGTAGACATATATCTGTTATCTCCACTAATCTCCGGTCGGATATAACTTCTGGGAAGTTTAATAAGGATATGTATCTATCGAGGTATTTATGCAGACTGTAGGTATATATATTGTATTTTGTGACATCTAGGTCTTCACAATTATTACTTTGCAGTGCCATTTAGAGCATATTGCACCACAAGTCACTGATATTTCTAGGATAGTAAAAGGAAACACAACGCTAATAATGGGGGATGGAGGGGAAGTCAACTGCAAGTGGTCTCCTATCTCGATATGACGATCACGTGCGCCTTACGTCACCGAATTGAGGTTTAGATCGTCCACTCGTTCTTCTTTCTCTTTCCTCTCAAGCCATTGGTTTTACTAAGCTCCAAGCTCACGGACACAGCGGGGTGGATATTTAGGTGAATTGACGCCATGGCCGACTCCTTCACCCTGCCTTTGCGCCCCATCCTTGAGCAACGCGATCGTCCGGATACTCTGCCTGTGGAGATCGCGCAAATCAACAATCAGTGGGGCTCTTTTCGCGAGGTGAACGAAGATGTTCTTCGAAAGAAGATTGTCGAGGAGGAACAAAAAGATGGCCTGGATGAGGTAGAGGAGAGTGACCAAGATGTGACTGATCTTGATTCGACAGAGCGCTTGGAGCAACTGTACAAGCGGCGTGCCGAGATCACTCAGTTCGCCATGTGAGTCTAAAATGGTCTTGAAGTTATGTCCTCAGCGCGCGAGAATTGACAATATTTTAGGCAAGCCCACATGGAGACCATGTTCGCTCTCGACTTCGTCTCCCTTTTGCTTTCCAAGCAGGCCCCGCGTCAGGCCGAAACCTCCATGTCGGCCTTCCTCAAGCAAGTCGCACCCCTCGGTTCGCTCAATGCCGAGGTCGTGAACCCTCCCCCGAAACCAGAATCTACAAGCAAAGATATATCAACAGTATCAAGAGGATGGAGGATCCAGAATTTCAACGCGGCGGCGAACAAGCTTCTGCAGGCCGCTTCCCGACTTGAAACCGAAGTCGCGTCGGAAACTCGATATTGGAATGAGGTATTGGCTGTTAAGGACAAAGGATGGAAAATTTCCCGTCTCCCACGCGAAAGGCAAGCCCTAGGCGTGCAATATGGGTTCCTTGAAGGTGAGCGCATACCAATGGGACATTGATACCGTAGGAAGCATCTGCTGACCACCACCAAACACAGCCACGCCAGTTTTCCGCGACCGCGGCCTTGCTTCCTTACGCCGAGCCGAGGATGGGGCTTTGCTATTAGACGAAGGATTGATCCCATCTAAAGCCCGTTATGTCCGGGTACGCGTGGTACAGGATGGTCGGCTTTCGGGAAGCTCTAAACCGACGCGTTCCACGTTCGACGGGGACGGGACGATTGAGGATCGCATTCTGCAGGCGCGTGATAGTGTTTATGAAGAGGAACTCTTCCACGAACTAGTCCGAGAAGCCCGGGCAATCGCGAGCTTTGGCGTGACGACCCGTCAGAATCTCATTCAAATTCCTGCTTCGGATGACCTCGAAATTTTACTGGACTTGGTTGATACTGATGAAAATGCGTTGCAACCTCAAAATGATATCTCACAACAAGGAACTTCTCTTGCAGAGGGGTTGGGACATACAATCCGGATCTTATTGGCATATGCCCACCGTCAAAACTTGCGACGTCGGACTCTACTTCCGCCGCCCCTGACCCCGAAAACGCGATCTGTTCCCGAACATCAACTTATTCGGCCAGCTCTAGCTTATATCAAGCACATGTCCCATGTACGCTGGCTTCAGTCATTACTGAAGGACCTTTTCGGTGTTTTGCAGTCGGCAAATTTGAAGCCTCCAGCGTACATCGCAAGAGTTTTTTCGACAGGGAAACAAAGACAAACTTCTCCTGCTCAAGCAGTGGAGACCGTCATTGGACAGTTCCTTACTCCCTTGCTGTCTACATTCAGTGGGAAAATTTTGACCCCTCGGGGTTCTTTCTCAATCTCAATTCACACCAACCTTTCCTCACCACCCTTCGGCACCACCTTTGATGTGTCATTCAATATGCCCAAATACCCCGACCTTGGGTCTCCTGGCAAACTTTCCCAAAGAGAAGAAGTGGAAGCCGCCATCACCCATCTCTTGTTGCTTGATGTTGTATTCACTATCTCATCCAACGGTTCACCAAAGTCCGAGGGTGAGAAGGACCAAGCAAAACGTACCTGGGAAGCGATTTACCCTCAACATGGCGAACTTCTACTCTCTCCTTCCAAACCAGACAAACGAAAAAAGATGAAGGTTGCTCTGTCCCGTCATGAACTGTCTATTGAGATCTACACCGTGCGCTGTATCGACGGAACCGGGCGTGGAACATGTGAGCATCCCTCTTACCATTCGGCGCTGCACACTTGGAAATCTTGCCCTTTGGCTGGATCACATAACCAGCCCTCTTTGATGGACTTTGTGTCCACATAGGTGTCACGTGCGTGACCCACACAGAGCACAAATTGGTCGGGTCGAACCACTCCACCCTGGGCCGACTTGAGCCGATATTTTCTCACCTCTTCCATCAAATTGGGCTTGTGGTTTAGTGGTATAATACTCCCTTAGCATGGGAGTGGTCCAGGGTTCGATTCCCTGCAAGTCCATGTCTTTTTGTTTCTGAATATTTTTGACCTTAAGCAAAAGGCATTAGCTCGCGAGATGAAGTGGGCCAATGCAAATTTTTTTTTTCGTTCCCATTTACTCTCGCAAAATTCAATAATAGAAAGAGACTTGAATAATACCCTGTACAAATAATGGCCACAAAAGCTGAGTTGAAACAAACAAACTTCCGTTTGAAATATGAGCAAATCGAGAGCCGGTTTGGTCAATCTCTCATAGCTTCGAGCGTAGTGCATTGACGGCTCCTGGGACTATGAGCGTCTCTTGGAGTCTCTTTTCGCCCAGTCCGTATGCAACTGGGAACCAATCACTAACATCCTCACCCAAAATCATCAAAGCCAACGCCTCGCCACTCATCAGGCTGTTCGCCATGCCATATCCATTGAATGCAGCAGCAATCCATTCGCCGTCACCTTCCCGGTCTGTCAGCGTCGGTGATAACCGTCCGACCATTGGCAGACCGTCAGAGGAATAACCCATAATTCCACTCCACGAACTGACCAAGCGCCAATCGGATCTGTCGTGCTTGCCAAAGAATCGTGGGAGGACGATCTCCAAGTGTTCAACGGAGTGGTCGGCCACGAAGCTGTCATCTGAGGATACTGACTCCTCAAGACGAGTATTTTCGCCGCCGAAGTAGAAATAGCCGGTTTTTGCACTCTGCCCTAGGTAGTACAGTCCATACCCATGGCGTTTGGTTTCGGGATCATAGGATGGAGGATAGTGGAAACCCCATGAGACAGTTGTTCCCTGATTCGACACAGCATTATGCGGATCTTGAACTGTCATTGTGCCTTTGAAAGGATGGACAAGTCCTCTTAGGCGAGGAAGGAGATGCCCGCTGTAGCCATTGGTGCAATGAACTACAGTCCGTGCTCGGAGTGGACCGCGAGAAGTGCGAAGTGTATACGGATAAGCACTCGTGATAGGCGAGGCAGGCGTTGAAATGTGCCGAACGGATTCAACCGGTGTATTTGTCTCGATTGTCAGGCGACCTGGGTATTTTTTTAAGAGTGCCGCGAATACTGTGGTGACAAGACGATATGGCCAAACTGTTCCAGCAGGGAGCAGTGCTCCTCCAGATGCCCCATGGATTCCATACTCCTGAAGAAAAATGTCAGCACCGCCCTATGACTATATGGGCGACAGCACTCACCCTGAGCACAGCATCTGCATCCAAAATTGTATACAGTCCCTTCCTAGAAGGATGATCCGTTTCCAGGCGCGCGATGCTTTTCTTGAAGTCGTCAAACTTCCCCTGGGTCAAAAAGACTCGCAGCTTCTGTAGACGTTGCATCTCAGTCAACTCCACGGCATCATACTCTTCAACCAATTCCTGCATCCTCTCCAAATTGCGGAATGTGAAATCCACAATCTTGCCCGCCATTTCGACCCCATGAGTCTCTGCAAGGTGCATATACTGCTCTCCGGCATTCGCAGCCATCTGTCCACCATTGCGCCCAGTCGCACCTGAACAGAGCGTACGAGCTTCCAAAACGGTTACTGTGGCAGTAGGGTGGCGTTCCAAGAGAGACTTAGCTACCGATAGACCGGTGATGCCGGAACCAATGATCGCAAAATCTCGGTCAGTCGGTAATTTTGAGGATTGGACATCGGCAAGAGCATGTGGAATGTGCTGCCAGTAGGACTGGGTGGGATTGGCTCGCGGCAGGCCCGGGTCGGCCGTAACTAGACTAAAGACTGGACTGTGTTAACCTTCAGCTTATACCACGGCAGAATCAAGCGTGATAGCACGTCAGTCAACTTCGGGAATGGGGTCGATTGGGGTTACCTGAATCATTCGGCGCCATTACAAAGGATGTAAAAGGCTCAGAATTCACTTGTGCGGGCTAATACCGAATCCAGAACTTGCAATTGGTATTTTAATCGAAATTAAATAAGTCTTTCGAGAAAATAGGAGGTACTTATATGGATGTAGCCCTGGAGACATCGTGCGGGGTTTATCTTATCTCGTAGGGTTAAATTGCCCGAGTGGGAATAGAGTGAATCCTGCCTGGCATTCAATATCGGAATGATAGTTTCTACACCCAAGGACTATATGTTGCTATACTGTTTAAATTGCTTGATCTAAATCGATTCAATATTTTCTGGGGCTATATACAACGTATACATACAGGGTTGGGGATCTCCCATTCAATTTTACTATGGTTAGGAGTAAGTGCAATGATCTTGTAATGACTCTTAAGATAAATTAGCAGATAGTCCGTCCGTTATGATTCCACCTGAGCTATTCATGGATTTACTGAGATCTTGAAGGCGTCAAAGCTTCAACAAAGGTGCGAGGGAAGGAGAAGTCCGATTTGGACTGAGTGGACCGATTCAGAATGGCCCGTATCTGTGATTCATCGGCTGAAATTACTTTCATGCCAAATATTATCCTTCTTGAGAGAAAATATATCGGAGGCCTCCCAGTGATCCTATTTGCCTAATAATGATTAGCTATATATGTGTAGAAATACCGCCAGGAATGGAAATATAGTATGGAGTAGGTATGCTGCGCTTATCGCCCTACGATATACGAAGGCGATATAAAGCCTAGATAGGACAGAGAAATTGTATATGTACTACCAGGAATTGCTTGGTCTAAACCGATTGAATATTTTCAAGGACTCTATGCACAATGCTAAGCATGGGACGAGCTCCACATTCCTGCGTGCCGCCACATGGGTTGGAGAAGAAGCTCGACGAGGTAGCAAGGAGACATCTTTAAGCTTTAGAATTAGTATACGCAATCTTTATCCTGATAAAAATACTAATAATCAATATTATAAAACTTAACACTAACGCCGGGGGGTGATTCTATGGATAAACCTAACTAAACCTGATATGCAACTAACTCCTCCACGTTTGAGGCATGTAAATGGCGTAACTGCATTCCATATAGCATTCCAACTACGTATGATCGTGGAACGAAAATGCGAATGACTTGTTTTACGAAAGCATATCTTCAATTTCGAGGGATAAACTCGCTATAATAGTTGCAACATTTCTACATTATTTCGCTTCATATCTCCTGGATATTTTATTTATCTTACAATGAAGCTTTCTTCCATTATCCTGACGGGTTTTACACTGGCCACAACTGGCCTGGCAGAGAAGACATGTACTCCTAGCTTTGATTATTGCTCTGACGTCCTGATCAAAGACAAAGGTAATTTATTTCTCGTCAAGCATTGCTGCGTTACACTGATTAAGAAACAACAGGGTTCACCGAGGCCGATCTGAAGGATGTATTGAAGGGGTCAGATCTTGAGAAGGAGGATGTTAAGAATGTTCTATTCCATTGCAAGAACCCCGGCGACGTCGGACACCCCAAGCTTTGCACGAGTGGATGCAAAGACCCAGCGACAGAGGGTAGCCACTCGTGCTCAGCATAATTCATAGTTTTGCTGTCCACTCCAGATTCGCAGCTGACAATGCAGCAGCTAAATCATGCTGGTCGTGAGGGGATGCTAGTTACATAATTATGTCTGGTAGCAAAGTTTTGGTTATGAATGGACCTGAGGCCAGCTACATTCGGAATATGATTGAATTTAGAAGACTATGTGTATTCGCTCATAGCCACTGCCTTATTGTAAAGACTGTTTGCAGAAGGGGTCAACTCAAAAGTAGAGAGATGCTCTAGACAGCAGGCTGACAGTGCAGTAAATCGCATTTTGGAGTTGCCAAAAGGGGTTTACATATATGCTATCCGATCTAGTGTACAAGCAGATATGAGGGTTGCCTAGTATTCAGTATGTAGTCCGGTTTAGCTTGGCAAATGACGCTAAACATCAAACCATTTTCGGCCGAGGCCCCCTAGGGTCATTCGACTCGTTGAACACCTTTTCCTATGTATAGGAATTCAGCAGGATCGATATGGCAAGTGGTCAATACCCGCAAGTGCCAAAGCCCATTACTGATAACTTGGAGGCGTAACAAGACATAATATTCGCGCAAGCATCAGCCCATTTGTCCGCACGGGCGTGATGGGATCACACTGGGGTTTTAATCATGTCAGATCAAATTCAAGGATGCTCTTCGCCGTCAGTTCTGCTGTTGCTCATGTGCCCGGGGTTAGTAAGAGCATTAGTGCTGTAATTGTGGTGCTTAGAGCTTTCACTGGAGGCCCACCGGAGTTCTCTCTTATGCAGGATATAAGGAGTCCTGTGCGGCACTTCGCACGAGGCGTCAGCAAAGAGCTGCAGGGACGTGTCAGCGTCAAGAAACGTGGCCCGAGGCCCCATGTTGTGTGGACACATGCAGGTGGCGCGAACAAAAGTCTTGCGACTAGTGTAACATTCTCTTCTACCCACCGGAGACTCGCGGGCAAGGTACTTGAGTTCCACAAGTATTACCTCTGGACAACCAGTTTGTAATAGCTCGTTACAATTATTGTGCACCGAGTTCGTGTTACCAGTCAGACCATGTTTGCCAAGGTTAGTTGTATACCAGTAATTAATACTCTGTAGGATTAAACCGTATTGAAGTAGGATAATCATGAATATGATGAGGTCGATGACCTACAATTAAGAATTACAAGAATCAGCGAGGAAAAGGAGAAGATGTCATCGGGGCCAGACTCCGGGGGGACGCGGGAAACAAACAAAACAAACATCATTAAGTGACGTCAAGCAAAAGCACTCACCGCCCACACTAAACCCAAATTGACCAAGCGGTGACATGTGTCTTGCAGCCAGATTGTAAAGGAACGCAGGTACTAGAAAGGTATTGGCTCAATAAAAGGTCAGACCACTTTTAGATTCTGGGCAGTTTATATACAGATAGTTGTAAAGAATCCAGGCCAATTCATCTTTTCTCCATTCTCTTATATTCAAGTTATAGTACTTTAGCTTCAAGTTGTTTTGTGACGCAAAGCACCCACTTCTGCCCGATTTCTCTCACCGGATTGGGTTCAACCCCTCCACATCCCACCCCATCCACAATTGGAGCTCTACAACTATCGAGCTTCTTTTCTTTTTGTTTTCTTCACTTTTCATTTCATTCTTTTGATCGACTTGTACTTCAGGTCACCTTCAATTGATTCGATATGGAACCCACCAGGATCGCCACTCAACCGGCTAAGAGACGCCGCATCGGTGTTCTCACCTCTGGTGGAGATGCCCCCGGTATGAACGGTGCCGTGCGGGCCGTTGTCCGTATGGCAATTCACTGCGACTGCGAAGCCTACGCCATTTTCGAAGGATATGAAGGACTGGTCAATGGCGGCAACATGATCCGCCAGCTACACTGGGAGGATGTCCGCGGCTGGTTGTCCCGCGGTGGTACCCTGATCGGCTCTGCCCGCAGCAAGGGATTCCGTGAGCGTGCTGGCCGTATGCAGGCAGCGAAGAACATGGTCATGAGAGGTATCGATGCCCTGGTCGTCTGCGGTGGTGACGGCAGTTTGACTGGTGCCGATGTCTTCCGTGCCGAATGGCCCGGCTTGTTGGCAGACCTGGTTGCCGCGGGGGAGTTGTCTACTGAGCAGGTGGCGCCCTACACGGTGTTGAACATTGTAGGCCTGGTAGGTTCGATTGACAATGATATGTCTGGGACAGATGCCACCATCGGCTGCTATTCTTCCTTGACCCGTATCTGTGATGCCGTCGATGATGTCTTCGATACTGCATTCTCCCATCAGCGAGGCTTCGTCATTGAGGTGATGGGCCGACACTGTGGATGGCTTGCATTGATGTCTGCCATCAGTACCGGCGCAGACTGGATGTTCCTCCCTGAGATGCCCCCGAAGGAAGGCTGGGAGGATGACATGTGCTCCGTAATCACCAAGGTGGGAATTACTCCAGCGTTGTTCAATGTCTCCTTTTTTGTTGCTGACTAGTGTGGTTTGATAGAATCGAACTGAGCGTGGCAAGCGTCGTACGATCGTTATTGTCGCCGAGGGAGCACAGGATCGCCAATTGAACAGGATCTCGAGCTCGAAAATCAAAGATATTCTCACAGATCGTCTAGGATTGGACACTCGAGTCACCATTCTAGGTCACACCCAGCGAGGTGGAGCGGCGTGCGCTTATGATCGCTGGCTGTCGACTCTCCAGGGCGTGGAGGCCGTTCGTGCCGTGCTCGAAATGTCACCCGAGTCCCCTTCACCAGTTATCACCATCCGCGAGAACAAGATCATGCGCACCCCTTTGATGGAGGCAGTTCAAGCGACCAAAGATGTGACGGCGAAGATCGAAGAAATGGACTTTGATGGAGCTATGAAGCTCCGTGATCCTGAATTCAAGGAGTACTACAACGCATATATGACCACTGCGAAGATAAATGACCCGAAGATGATGCTTCCAGAGGGCAAGGTATGCAGATAATCCCCCAGCCCATCTGGGCTTCACGCTCCCCAATCTCCCCAAATACTTACTCTTTTGCAGAGAATGCGGATCGCCATTATTCACGTCGGTGCTCCCGCCGGTGGTATGAACCAAGCCACCCGTGGTGCCGTTGCATACTGTCTGACCCGTGGCCACACCCCACTGGCCATTCATAACGGTTTCCCTGGATTGTGCCGTCACCACGACGATCAGCCAGTTAGCTCAGTCCGCGAGGTTACTTGGCTGGAAGTTGATAACTGGGTCAACGAGGGTGGCTCAGACATTGGAACGAACCGCAACCTGCCATCTAATGACATGGAGACCACTGCCAAGTGCTTTGAGCAGTACAAGTTTGATGCCTTATTTGTTGTTGGTGGTTTCGAGGCTTTCACAGCCGTCAGCGAGCTGCGCCAGGCTCGTGCGAAGTATGATGCGTTCAAGATTCCGCTTATCGTGCTCCCAGCTACCATTTCTAACAATGTCCCGGGCACTGAATACTCCTTGGGTAGTGACACCTGCCTGAACACCCTGATCGACTTCTGTGATGCCATTCGTCAGTCCGCCTCCTCTTCTCGCCGCCGAGTGTTCGTGATTGAGACCCAAGGTGGCAAATCTGGATATATTGCGACCACAGCTGGCCTGGCTGTGGGTGCCGTAGCGGTATACATTCCCGAGGAGGGTGTTGACATCAAAATGCTTTCGCGCGACATCGACTTCCTCCGCGACAACTTCGTTCGCGACAAAGGAGCTAACCGTGCCGGTAAGATCATTCTGCGCAACGAATGTGCGTCCAGCACATACACTACCCAGGTGATCGCCGATATGATCAAGGAAGAGGCCAAGGGCCGCTTCGAGTCTCGTGCCGCTGTTCCCGGTCACTTCCAACAAGGTGGAAAGCCTTCGCCAATGGATCGTGTTCGTGCTATGCGTATGTCCATCAGGTGCATGCAGCACATCGAAGGATACGCCAACAAGAGCCCCGACGAAATCGCTGCGGACCCTCTTTCTACTGCTGTGATAGGTGTCGAGGGATCACAGGTGCTATTTTCCCCCATGGGTGGCGAAAATGGACTGGAAGCTAGCGAAACTGATTGGGTGCGCCGTCGCCCCAAGTCCGAGTTCTGGCTTGAACTACAGGATGTCGTCAATGTTTTGTCTGGACGTATCCACGCTAGCAAGAACGAATCCTGGTCCTGCTATGAGAGTACGTAACCCGGCCAGGACCCTGATTATTTGCTTGTTCACCCCCATTCGATTTATCTTCGCGCTGCTCGTTTTCTTCTTCTCCTTTGGCATTTAAGGATCGACTCCCCACGTACAGTGGTCATTTCTGGAGCCCCTTCACTACGGATGTTAACGATTACCCCGTTTCCTACTTTGCAGATTCTTCGTCAGTCGGGCCTATCCCCTCGGCTCCCAACTCCCCATGAAAGGACTTCCTACAGGACTTCAACTTCTTTCCAACCAACCATTGACTCCACGCCAATGACGCACCCGGGATATCCTTGAATGTTCTTTCCAAATACTGGCCGGTGAGCCATCCGCTAACTTGTGATGTTGAGGGCGATCGTACTAGACGTCCGTTACGCTTTGTACGATGCTATGCAATAAGTCCTCCAGAGCCAAGGATGGTCTACGCGACATTTATGCCTGGGAGTTTGGGTGACTGTGCTTTTTATGATTTTCTACCCTTCTCGAACACCGTTGGTCTACGACATAAAGTGCGTTGTAGATAGAACCATCAATTTCAATCATGCAATTATTTCAAATCAACGCTACAGGCGAGTGCTATCGCATGGATCAAAGAGGTAGTAAAAAGACAGTACTATAAGAGTGAGAGCGTATCAGTCGTACGCTGACCCTGAAACAACACTAAAACGAACCCCGGACAGATGCATTATTCCATGGTTCAATGTGGAGGTCAATGACTACGGATGCACCGCCTTCTCCAGCTCGTCGAGTAGTTCCACAGTCTCAGTGGGGCTTGCAATCCAAGCAGTTGTAGATGCAAGACGGGCCTAATAAAAAAATGATGTTAGTCTGACCAGTAGCCAAGGAAGGAGTTAAAAATTCCCCACCTTAAAGTCATTAGCCCCAGCCGACAAGAACTGATCGCCAACATGTAGTGTTTTGGCCGGATCAATGCCACCAAAGTAGCGCTGACAGGCGCGCACACCCCATGATTTGTCACCAATATCGACAAAGACATCATTTCCACCGTTGAAAGCACAGAATGGCAATCGCCCCCCAACAGCCGAATGTTGGACCGTGTGCTGCACCACCAACACAGTCTCTTCCAACTGTTCACGGCTGATTCGGACCCCGTTTACGGGGTAGACACCAACCGCGCGATCCTTGCGCAGAATAGCAGCAGGTAGTTTCATATTTTCGACACATGCACGCAGAGCAGACTCGGCAATATCAAGAAGCTCGGCAATATCATTATCACTCCAGGATTGCATTTCATCCAGCAACCATTCGCTCCGCCGCACGTAGACGAGCCGGGAGTCGGAGGTCGGGTCGAAGCGGAACAGATAATTGCTTTCGCCGCCCATGACAATCAGTCCTTGTTTCTGATCCTCCGTGAGAGTAGTTGAGTTGTGAATCGCATCGAGCAGACCATGTAGTCGCTCATAATACTTTGACGCCTCGGTGTACCCGGCCGCCGTCACAATGCCGACCTTGCGGTCCTGTTCGAGGATGCGCAGAATCCGGGGAATGACGGGATTGTCGGATGTGAGACAGGCACCGTCGTCATAGAGTGTTACATCTCCATCGAATGTGACTAGTTTCACATCGCTGGACCGAACAAGACCCAATACCTGGGCGGAGTTTAGGATAAGTCGGATATCGTTGAATGAAGGGGCCACGAAGCGTCGTCGGCTGATAAATCGCTGCTGGTCTTGATACTTGAATGCATCTTCTAGATATAGCTTGGTGAAAAAGGTACCGATGGTGGGTACGAGGAGATTCAATTTGGATTTGCCAGGGGCATTGCGTTCGTAGTGTTGGACTTTCAAAGATTAGGAATCATCCTTTATTTCTTGGTTTTCACTACTCGCACTTACTGTGATCGTGCATCAAATTCTCTACATCACGCATAATCTCTGCATAGCGATGGTGGGTGTCCGCCGCGACTGTCTTCAGCACCTCCCCATTTTCCGTGTAGATGGCGGTGGGCTGGGAATGCAGGACAAAAGGGACGGCCAACAGACCCTAGAGGGGTTAGAATCGGACAATATAACATCTTTAAGTAACATACTTTGATCCATTCAATCTGTAGACTATTAGTCAACTTGAGACATGTGCCCTGGAGTGATAACTTACAAGTTGATCCCGACGATGGGTCTATACGACTGCGGGGTCAGTGAGGGGCACATTGCTTGTCTGCAGACATATTCGTACCTTTAGGGCATCTAAGAGGTATTAGCAATAATGAGTCATGCAATAAAGACAGACGACATACATTCTACTCTGTATCGCGTTGTCATGATTGAATGTTGGAGAAAGATGGTGCCTGCGAGGCCGATTTCCAAGGATAGCTTAGCGCGTGCACGTCCCTTCGGTGACTCACTCGGAGCTCGGAGTATATAAACACGGAGTATGAGGATAATGTTAGCCCTGCTCGTAACGCCTGCTCGTAACGCCTGCTCGTAACGCCTGCTCGTAATGCCTGCAATCACTATTGGTCTCAAAGTGCCTTGAACATAACCTTTTTTCGCCTTTACAAGGCGTCAGTAAATTGCAAGGCCTTCCGGGATGATTCCGAGGGCCGAAAAACCCTCAACACTGCCACCTTGACTAGCCAACTCATATCGGAGTAGTAGGGGCTTGGTCGCAAATGCAATGTCCGAGATCGACGAGTAGAAATATAAATATGTGTGATGGCAACCTTTTTCATACTTTCACAAGTCACACAATCATTGAATATCAAAGATCCTTCCAGTGGAAAGTAGCACCGGCGAATTATATACAGCAAAAACAATGCAAGCTGCATCCCCATCAACTATGAACACGCCTGGACAATATGAGGATCCACCAATGTATTACCCGTCCGAGGAATCCAATTACTTCATCGATGAAAAAGCCAACACTCCCCTGATCCTCCGACCCGAACAAAACGAGCCTGGATTTGCTGTTGCATCTGCTCTCAGCCGAGGCCTACAAGTACCATCCAGATCCAGAGCCTGCACATCAGGATTCGAGTATCCAGATGAATTATCTCATTACGGCATCTCCAAGGAAGACTGGACACAATTCACACAAGGGGTCTGCGACGAAGCAAAGCTTTCACGTCAGCAATGGACCACCGTGGTTGGCAAAGGCCTGGGTGTAATGGCAGTGGGTGGACTGATGGTCGGCCTTCTGGGCGCTATCCCCGCGATATTCGTGGCCCGTCTCACCAGAAGGCGAAAAGAACAACAAAATTTGATCTGGGCAATGGCTGGAGCCCGCGGTGAACGCCTTGCTCGACATATCTCGCAGTGGAACGAGACTGTCTTTCAGCCTAGCGGTGTTTTGATCCGGGTCGATTTGCCGGATGAATACTTAAATGACATGAAAGTTATGGATATTCGCACGAGAGGTAGTCCCGAAAGATCTCTTTGGGAGATTCGGGATAAGGCTGCGTGTAAGGCGAGAATTGTGATCATCCCTCTGGATGGGTTGACGTCAACAAAGCATTTCTCAAGTTGGGATAATCGGGGTTGAAGGAACGGACAAAAGAGGCCGGGAACAAAAGGATATATGTTTATTTATGTATTTCAGCGGGACCAGTAAAGGTTTAAGAACGGGTTATGATAATTTAAAACGGTTTATTCATCATCAAAGTGTCATTATTCGAAAAAAAAAAGATAAACCTTCTCTCATGACCAGCAAATGGACAGTAGGGATATCCAAAAGATGACAAAAAAAAAGCTAATAGTCCAGGTAACATCTAAACCCGACCCTCTTTATCCTGCCTCTCAACATGCTGAGCCATTCCGTGTGACTGCACCGCCACCTCCATCTTCTCATCCACAATTTGGTCTCGTTCATCGGCATCCTGGTTACCATACCGGCCAATCTTGTACCACGGCAAAGCAAAGAGACGATCCATACTCTCCAGGGAGCGGCCTGACGTCTCCGGAATACTGAACCAGACCCAGGCACCACCGATAATGGTAATGGCAGCAAAGCACCAGAAAGTACCCTTGGGGTCAATTCCACCCTTCGCGACGGGGAGAAGCATGTTGGGAACAGCCCGCGCATTGCCATATTGGTTGGCAAAGTGGAGAGTCATAGCCAAAGAAGTGCAAAGAGCACGGATACGCAGGGGGAAGAGCTCTGCAGTCAGAAGATACTGCATCGAATTCCAGCCCAGCGCCCATCCAAATCCAGAGACGTATATCATTGCAATCGCTCCCTCACTAGCGCCCTTCTTGCCCTCCGGTACCATGTAGCCCTCGACAACTCCCATGTCGGGAACTGAAGTCAAGAAGCCGGCGATATAGATCATGGCAATTGCTTGTAGAGTGATACCAAGAAGAAGGGCTCGCTTGCGTCCAATGACATCGACCAAGAAAAGAGCACAGATGACTGCGGCAACCAGCTTGACGATTCCAAATACAGCAGTGACCAGCAGAGACTCGTTCTTGCCTGTGACTCCTAGCAACTCGAACAAATCCGGGGCGTAGACAGTGATACTACCGGCACCGGACCACTGTGAAAGAAGTTGGGCCATGAAGGTGAGGTAGACTCGGTAGAGGTTTGATGGGACCAGGAAGGTTTCCTTGATCACGCCGATCGGGCCAGACCCTAGTGTGGCTTCCATCTCGGCTTCATGTGATGTTTGGATAACGGATATTTCACGCACGACGTATTCGTCATCGATTGGTAGGCCGCGAATTTTCGATAGATTGGAGATGGCCTTCTCGAGGTTGCCGCGTTTGATGAGATAGCGGGGTGATTCGTATTGGAGGAAGGAGAGGAGGAAGATAATGCCAGCAAACATGATGTGCAGACTTGTGGGGACGAGCTATCTTCAAGTCAGTATTGGTAATATAAGTGTGATTTAACGAAGATCAGACATACCCATCGGTTGTGAGTTGTGTCTCCGAGATTGAGCTCGCAGCCATAGTTGGCGAAATATGCAAGCACTATACCCAAATAGACAAAGCCTGTGAAGACACAGGTGCAGAGACCACGGATAGAGGCGGGAGCCTTTTCTACTTGTTAGTTGCTATAAGATATGACCTAGATAATGAGCAACTCACAATTTCAGCAAGATATACAGGAGCAACGACAACTGTCTGGCCCACACCAAGTCCAGCAATAAAGCGACCAGCATAGACAGCACCCAAGCTGCCACTGTTACCCATGAAAATTGCGATTCCCACGATCCAAATAACACAAAGTTGGCGAGTAGCCCAGATACGACCGATGCGATCACAAACTAAGAAGGCACTGTATAAGAACAGAACATCTTAGCGACATGGGATCTAACACAACAGAGAACAAGGACAAACTCACAAAAGAGCACCCCCAACAGATCCAATTTGGACCATTGCGGTAACATTTCCTTTGATGTTGGTTTGTTCCACTTCGCTGTACGAGTCATAGTTGATATAATGTTGAAAGTCTTTTGAGTTGAATGCGCCTGAGATCAAACCCTCATCGACACCTCGGGCAGCGCCCATCAGGCCAAATGAGATGACCGCGAACCATAATCGCCAGTTGAAGACCTCCTTAGGTTCGCCGAGGTCTTTGAGGCGAAAGATATTGACCGGTTTCTTTGCTCCGCCGGCCATGATGGGCAATGTAGTCGAATGCGGGGATATATAAGACAAGCCGGGGTAGTAAAAAAAAAAAAAAAAGGAAAGCAAATGTGAGCCCGAGGAAACGGACTTTATAGCTGTGGGATCCCGGTCTATGATATGCGGGGAAAGCCTGGGGGAGGGGGAAGGGAGCGGAAACTCCAATCCGAGGAATCCTGAATCCTGTCAAGACCGAGGAAGAAATTCCCTATAGTATTGAGCTGTGGACTATACACATGATACACCGGGATAGGCTAAGCTCTGGAGGAAAAGCGCCAAGAGAGCTTGGGTCTCGAGTCCCATTTGACGGCGTCGCCGTTCACTTCCCGGGGCTATTTCAACGGGACATGGCCGAGTACCCGAATCACCACATGGTCAGACATAATTTGGAATGAGATCTGCAGTCATTGCAGGGTCGCTGCAGCTCACCTTTTTCCGTGTCATCGCATCTTCTTTCTCGGGTATTCTTGACATTCTACTCAGTACGCAGTACTGGAATATCTAAACTGCCAAGGTTATTGTCTCCTCCATAAAACTTTGACAGTGAGTTTCGGTCAACGTCCGAAGCAAAATGTGTGTGTGTGTGCCGCATGTGGCTTGCAAGGATCATGAGGCCCACCAAGGGAGATGCTAGCCTTTTTATCGCGGGGGTAAAAACTGGAGAGCTCCATCCTTGATGATACGAAGACAGTGATTGGTTCATAGAACAACACTATCCTGTTGTTGGCCTTTGCTTGGCGTGGGGTGCCGCTTTGACGAGCCGATCTCTATATTCCTCGCATTTTTTGACGAATCGTGACCCGGTGAAGACCGTGCCGAGACGTTCGGTAAATTTTAAAGTCTCGGTGAGACATATGTCTAGGTTCTTTAATTTCCTGGCGACATTGTTTTTTTTATTAATCTCTGCTAGCTACCGATGTTAGGAAGAGACTCGTCATAGCTCTAGACCATTTGGTCCGTTACTCGGCGTTGATTGCCACAATATCATAGTCCTTGCAGGACATATCACTTGAAATTAGGAGCAGATTTCGATGACCTTTTGCAGGCTATATATATTATCACAATTGAGCCGAATCATGGTGGATCTCAAGAGTGATAGGCATCAAAAGAACGAGTTACCTCGCGATTGTACGCGCGTTAAAGCCAATGGAACTCTACGATGAGCGATTTCTTTGCCCGAGAATCGGAGGTCTAAAAGGGTAATGTGATTCAATTGGATGTTCGAGGCCAAGGCTAGTGTGCTCGTGAGTCCATGACATCGGAAAATAAGACATAGAACAAAGGTGATTGGTTGAGCTAGAGAGGTTATGGTCGCCAGCGGAACCCGGGATTCCGCCAGTCCATATCCTGAATCTGTTGCTGTGTTAGTCCCGACAGGGCGCTGTGGACATCGACACGCGCACGGCGCCGATTGTCCCATATGATATAGACCCACAGGCCGGCCCCAAGAAGTAGGGTGGTGCTTGAAGTTGCCAAGTTGAGCCCATTACCAATAGGGTAATTAGGTCCATCAAAAGGCAAGAATGACCAGGTGCTGATCAGCCCGCCAATGTTTCCGAACATCACCGTAGTTCCAATAGCCGAAGATCTCGCGGTGTCGGAGATCACATTCGCCGATGCGTGTGCAGTACATAGAGCGCCGAAGGAAAAGGCTCCACATGCGATAATAAAGGTAGCCCCATATCGTACCATCCCGTCTTCGCTCGCCAAGAACATCATGTAACCTATAATCCCATAATAATTAGCATCAAACCAGGTATACTCTGCAATCCCTCTATGGTTGCCCAAGGAGTTGAGACTTACCAGTCATCATTAGCGGTGGGCTGATAATGAAGAAGATGAGGCGATGATCAAATCGCCAGCTGAGGAACGGAAATAGCAAAGTGACAAATGCACCGACGACATAAGGAGGCACTGTGTGCAACTGTTGAGACACCACAGTGGCATCGGGGTAGATAGTTTTGACAATGGTAGGCGCAAAGAATCCAAGACCCTGAACAGTAATGTTGTTCAACATGAAGATTAATGCGGTTACAAAGGTCACTGGGCTGAAGATACCACGCAGTGTCTTGGCTAGATCAAGCTTATCGAGGACCTCCGTCGTACCAACACGTTCAGATTTGACACGGGCAATGGCCAGATCTTTCTCTTCCTGGGAGAGCCACCTGGCTGTTTCAGGTCGGTCAGTCAACGTGAAGAATGCGACGACAGCAATTCCAATTGTCACGATGCCTTCAATCGCGAAGATCATACGCCAGCTGCGGAGAGAACCAAAACTATCGAGTAAGAGGATACCTGAAGCCAGAAGGCCACCAAACGCTCCAGCGAGGGGAGCCATGACAATATATAGCGACAGGCGGAAGGCAAGTTCACTTCGTCGATACCAACGTGAGAGGTAGTACGCGATTCCAGGCATGAGTCCTGCCTCGAAAACGCTGGGGAGTTGTCAGCATTGTCGAATTTGCAAAATCTAGGAGACGTACCCCAAAAGGAAGCGGACACCAGCTGCGCTGTTCATGTCCGTGACAAAAGCCGTCGCGACCGAACAGATACCGAATCCCAATGTCATCGCGGGAAGCCACCATCCAGGCCCGACCCATTTGCACATGACATTACTGGGGATCTCAAAGATAATATATGAGACAAAGAAGATCGAGAGCACGGCGTTGTAATCATAGCCCTCGAGTCTGAGATCTTTGTCGAAGCCGGCCAATTTAGCGTTGCCTGTTCCAGGAAAGAAACGGATTAGTGGTTGAACTGGAAATAAAAGTTCGGGGATGATAAGAGGGGCTGGTCACACACCAACATTGGCTCGATCGATGAAACAAAAGAGATACATGACTGCGACAGTTGGGACAATATATAGATCGATCTTGAGTCGCAATCGTGACTCGGTGGCCTTGTCAAATTCCACTAGAGGCTGGCCATATTCGTCTGTCGCGAGGTTGCCCCTTTCTGCTATATCATAGGCGACTTCCCCTATCATATGGTCTTTATGGTCTGACATGACCTTTTCATCGATGACCGTAGTGCCTCTCTCGGCGTCGGCCATGTTGGAGTACCGGACAGTGAATTAAAATTAAGCTAGGGATGGATAAGGGGGCGGTCGGAAATTCCGAGACAGGGATCCAGGCTCACAAGCATAGACCGAGGTGCGACCAGGTATTTTATAGCTCAACCAGAAGCACAGTTGGACCAGCCAAATGATGAATCTGGGGTTGTGGGGATCACGGATTCAATCCCGAACTGATATTCGGCCTTTTCATCAGCTGCAGTCTCAATCTGCCGCTAAGTGAAGATACTTTAGTCTGCCACTGGCAATAGTCAGGAATTCCTTGGCAGTTGGGAATAGCAGTGGGAGGATCAAGTACCATCAAAGTGGCTGTTTGCAAGGTCCAATCACATTAATTTCTAACGGGCGAAGTAAGCACACGCGCTTGGAACTTCCCCACAAAGTGTCCGAATAGGGGTTTTCCCCAGACTTGTGGATCCCAAGACTGGCTATATGGTATTGTGGGGATTGTACATGTAGGAAATGCCGAACCCCTCATCCGAGTATCTCTTGGGTGCCATAGTGACCAGCCATAGCCTCGGAATTTGTTAGGCATTGTGATTCTTCAAAACGCCAAGTTTTCCAAGAAACATAACTTAGAGCATGGGCGAGGTCAATGAGCCGGATCGGAGGCTATCCCGAAGCTGCTCCGAAGATTCTCCCATCGGAAGATTTCAGGCTATTCTCAAGAGTGAGTTCCGTAGTATTTCTAAACTTTTGGCGAGAAAAAAACAGATCCGATGTGTGATGTTTGTACCCGTGTAATATGTAGAATATGTAGAATACAATGTCTCTGGGTTCTTAAGCCCTAGGGTGAGATGATGACACATTACCACGTGACTCGGATATAGACGGATAAGTTTCTCGGATTAAGCGGATGAACTGCACTGGAGTTCTGTGAGATTTGATACCTACTTATCGATGTTTGAGGCATCGGATAAAACCCCCGCGAGTTGGAGAATCCCTCGTGCATGCCAGGAATGCCGCAGGCGTAAAATCAAATGCAATGGCCTGACCCCGTGAGATCCTTCAGTTTATGTGCGGATAGTGAATACATTGGGCTAATATAACATCAGGTGCAAAACCTGCCAATTGCGCAATACATCGTGTATATATAGAGACTATATTCGCCATCGGCGAAAAAAACATGAGTATGAGGAAGTCGGCGAGAGGAATTCAAGTCGTCATGGCTCCCCGAGTGGAGTGCCACCATCGGGGCGGCGCACAACCTCCGTCATGAATGACTTCCCAAATAGTGTGTCTGCAACACATATGGCATCGCCGTCATGTCAGATGCAGCTATACTATGGCCCTACCTCTCATTTCTCTCTCATGCAGCATATCTATCGAGATCTCGTCTCCAATCCTACCTCTCAGCCTGAACCGTCTGGCGGGGTTGAGGAAGCTGGAGCTGGCTTGGACCTGTTTAGCTTCCGTCGCATTTTTTTCGGAACTCCAGATTTCCATGAGACCAACAAGTCACTCGGGACAGGGGATTTGTCCATGATGTTCTTGCCGTATGACCTAGCCAAGCTTTTTCTATCGCGGTATCTCTCCAGCCTTTATCATCTGATACCACTCCGGCCCAAGATATATTATGAGCAATGTCTGGACCAAATGTATAGCTCTTCGCCCACAGACCATCTAGATGTGTTCACCCATGCGATCATTCTCCTTATCATGGCAAGCGCGGCACTCGGCACGGATCATTTTGCTTGGGGTGATGTGTTGTTCGAGCGTGTTAAGGGTTCACTGACCGCGTTTGATGACGCGGTAAACCTTCAGACTATTCAAATATCAATGCTTATGATAAGTGATTATCTTCTTATTTATATGTGTGTGGACTGACGGTGGATTTCACGCCAATTACCAGAACGAACAAGGTCGACCCAACTCAACGTTCTTGCATTTGGGTTCTGCTTGTCGCAAAGCCTTATCAGCAGGTCTGCATAAAGATGTTCCTCATGATATTGCTCAAACGCCGGAAAACATTGAAGAACGACGGGTGACCTTCTGGTCTATTTACATCTATGAAACGTACATTTACCATCTCCAGTCTGATCTTTGATGAATTCGCTAACCTCATACATAGCTGGTTCTGTTATCATGCAGGTCGTCCAAGTTCCCTTTCCCTTAAAGACGTCGCGATCGAGTATCCGCAGGATCCATTTATTCGATTATTGGTGCGGCTTTGCAAAACCATCACTCGGTCTGTTAATGAGATATATGGCCAGCGACATGAATCTCTTCTGCATATGTGGAGAGTTGCTCGATCCATTGCAGATGACATACGTGGTCTTGAAGCACATCTAAAGCAAGTTTTGGGCCATGGGCTCGACGATAGCATCCAGGCGGGATCCCTTGGGGTTCGACAAATAATCTTCATTACCTGCAAGTCAACAATCGAGATATCATTTAGACACACACTGACCAGAGCTAGTGTACAATCACACGCTTCTTCTCACATTTCGCCCGTTCCTGATATTTCGCGGCCACTGGCAGCGTGAGAGGAACATCACACTCAACCAGTCTAGCACAAATGTCACAAATCGTCCGAGTGAAGCACCTTCCTGGCTCAATGAAGCCTGCAATCTTGCCATCACTGCCGCCCAAAAAACCCTCCATCACCTATGTGAAGCCTCAAGAGTCAATGATCTTGTTCTGGTAAGCAATCCACACGTGATTGTAGAAAGCCCCGTTAATCATATCATAGGAATTGCGATACCACGGGTATTTTTTCGGTAGTTCTGTATTTACTCTCATCTATGAGTTTCTGCACAACCCGAATGTCGCGCCTGTCTATCTGCCATGGGTTTATGCTTCATTGCAAACCTTGTCAACCATGCGAGCTGGTGACCCGATCGCAAGCACAATTTCAGCCGTACAGACGGTGCTTCGTAATATTAATCCATCATACGAATGGTTACCTTTACTAACACCGACTGAGAATAAAATTGCGCCCCCAGGAGGGACAGCCATACATCAAGGCCTCACCCCCGACCGTAGGCATCAACCAAACAACGCTGCAATCTTCCAGAACCCGCCGCTGGGAATGCGGTCTGACATGCTGGCATCTCCTTGGAACTTTCCGCAGGTACAAAATCCGGAAAACCCAGAAACTAGAGGGTCTGTGGGCTCCGGAGAAGACTTGCTTGATTTCACTCAGTCTGACATGGGCTGGGATTTCGATTTCTCTACCATGGACCTGGAGGCGTTCTTTTCGGTTTATCAGTCGAATAATGCTCCGGGCCTTTGAGTGGGGCCTTGTACCAACCAAGTTGATAACCTACACATAATACAATTCATACTGTACCCATTTGGCCTCAACCAAGGGGTCATTTACGGACTTGATCCGTTTACGTGGATCTACTTAGGTACCTATATCCGAATAGTGGATCTGATCGAAGCTCTGGAAACTTCAGAAAGAGAATTACAGCCAATAAACAGTAGGTTTGAACCAAGTGGGTCGATAATATATCCGAATGCATATTTCCGAGGCACTCGCCCCAGTGATATCCTCGCCAACACGATATGTTTCGTAGTTTTCTTGCCTGCCCGAAGGAATTTCTCCTATATATAAATTCCACCACAGCGATATGTATGTGATATAATCTATGGACCATGACCCACTCCCGGCAATATGGATTTAAAAATGTAGATTTGGTAACAAATCCGCGATAGTATAAGAGTTCTTCTACGCCTCGAGATCATGGTATTTTCCTTCAATCTCACTTTGACTGATATCATCGTCAGTAGTCGTTCTTTTCATTCCAGACATATACGCCTCCGTCATGGATACTCCATCCTCTGGCACAGCGACACCAGTTGATCTGGAACATGGAGACGGCCAGATCCGCAAACAACTCACAGTCACCTTCCGCGATCTGAATGTCCGAGTCACAGCACCAGATGCTGCTTTAGGAAGCACTTTATGGTCGGAGGTGGATCCGCGACAGGTTGGGGCACTGCTGAAGCGCGGTGACCGCCCAAAAAGGGTGGGCATAGTCAACCATTACCGTGCAGTTACCATGTATTGACTTGGCTTCTAGACAATTCTCAAAGATGTTACAGGTCAGGTCAAGCCAGGGGAAATGGTATGCTCTAATAACTCGATAATATGAATGTAGTGACTAACCAATATAGCTTCTTGTGCTGGGACGCCCAGGCTCCGGATGCACTTCCCTCCTTCGAGTGCTCTCCAATGATCGGGATAGCTTCGATGAAGTGATAGGCCAAACCAGCTATGGAAGCATGGATCACCAAGCTGCCAAAAAGTTCCGTCAGCAGATCATGTTTAACAACGAAGGCATGGAATCCTAACTTCGGATCCATGGAACTCAATGCTAACTGCACCGATAACAGATGACCTTCACTTCCCAACCCTTACCGTCAACCGTACAATGAAATTCGCTCTTCGAAACAAGATTCCCAACGAGCGCCCAGAACATCTGAGAAACCGCAAGGACTTCGTGCAGAACCAGCGTGACGACATCCTGGGGTCACTTGGAATTGGACACACGAAGAAGAACTTGGTAGGAAACGAGTACATCCGAGGTGTTTCAGGAGGCGAGCGTAAGCGCGTCTCTCTTGCTGAGGTCCTGGCTGGGCAAAGTCCAGTTCAAATGTGGGACAATCCTACTCGGGGATTGGATTCGAAATCAGCGGTGGAGTTTGCTCGAATGCTCAGACGCGAGGCCGATCAAAACGACAAGACGATCATTACTACTACATACCAAGCCGGAAACGGTATCTATGACCAGTTCGATAAGGTCCTCGTTCTGGCTGAAGGTCATGTCATTTACTATGGCCCTCGTCGTATTGCAAGGAAATACTTTGAAGACCTCGGATTCATCTGCCCCAAAGGTGCCAATGTCGCAGACTTCCTGACTTCGGTCACTGTTCTTACCGAACGGACAATCCGACCTGGCTGGGAAGCGAAGGTGCCCAATACGCCCGAGGACTTCGAAAGCTGCTATCAAAATAGCTCCATATGCAAAGATCAAATGGCCTCTATTGTGGACCCTGAGAAGCTGAGCTACGAAGCCGAAGATCTCAAGCTGGCAGTATCCAGCGAAAAGCGCAAACAGCATATTCCTCGGGAAAGCAGTGTTTATACAGCGAATCTGTGGGATCAGATTGTCGCCTGTGCTCTCCGCCAGTTTCAGATTATCTGGGGTGATAAGCTCTCGCTATTTGTTAAAGTTGGGTCTGCTATAATCCAGGCCCTGGTCTGTGGAAGTTTGTTCTACGACTTGCCAGAGGTAATCAAGAAACACTCCACCCGAGAAGATTTAAGAAGACCAAGCTGACAGATGAAACTGCAAGGATTCGAGCTCAATCTTCTTGCGTCCCGGTGTCTGTTTCTTCCCAGTGTTATATTTCCTCCTTGAAAGTCTGTCTGAGACAACTGCATCTTTTATGGGCCGACCAATTCTTTCTCGTCAGAAGCGATTCGGATTTTACCGCCCTACGGCCTTTGCCATTGCCAACGCCATCACTGATATCCCTGTAGTCATGTTCCAGGTGACCTGCTTCTCGCTCATCCTTTACTTCATGTCTGCTCTCCAAATGGACGCAGGAAAATTCTTCACCTTTTGGATAATCATTATTGCGCAGACATTGTGCTTTGTACAGATATTCCGGGCCGTTGGCGCCGTGTGCAAACAGTTTGGAAATGCATCCAAAATATCCGGCCTACTTTCCACCGTTTTCTTTGTCTATGGGGGTGAGTGTTTGAATATAGCCATTGATATGAAACCTTCAAACTGACGAGTTGCAGGATACCTCATCCCATTCCACAAGATGCATGTGTGGTTTCGTTGGATCTTCTACCTCAATCCGGGAGCATATGCCTTCGAAGCACTCATGGCCAATGAGTTCGTTGGACGCAAATTCACATGTATAGAACCCGACTATCTTCCATACGGCACCGGATACTCCAACTCAGCCTCTGCCCACCGCGGATGTTCGGTTCTTGGAAGCGACCATGACGGTATTATTGATGGGGAGAAATACATTCAAGAGCAGTTCAGTTACTCGGTCCATCACATCTGGCGAACCTTTGGTATTCTCATGGGATTTTGGATTTTCTTCATCTTTATGACTTCTTTCGGGCTTGAATTCCGGAACAGCCAGAGTGGATCATCTGTTCTGCTTTACAAGCGCGGCAGCGAGAAAACTCCCGGAAAGGAAGTGGTCGAGAAATCAGAGTCTCCAAAAGGGACAGATGCTGGCGCGCTTTTGGGCTCGGTCAAGCAATCTACTTTTACATGGAAAGATCTCGACTACCATGTACCTTTCCACGGGGAGAAGAAACAACTTCTGAACAAGGTATTTGGATTTGTTCAGCCCGGAAACTTAGTTGCCCTTATGGGAGCTTCTGGAGCCGGAAAAACAACATTGCTGGATGTGCTTGCCCAGCGCAAGGATAGCGGAGAGATCTACGGATCAGTTTTAATTGACGGTCGCCCAGTTGGAATCAGCTTCCAGCGCACTACGGGTTACTGCGAACAGATGGATGTGCATCTCGAGACAGCTACCGTCAAAGAGGCATTAGACTTTTCCGCCGTTCTTCGCCAGCCATCGACGGTTTCACATGAAGAAAAGATTGCTTACGTCGAACATATCATTGACCTCTTGGAATTGCGTGATATCAGCGAAGCACTCATTGGAGGTAAGTTTGCTTAATGTTTTAATGCCACCGGATAGCGATGCTAATAGTTCACAGTGCCTGGAGCTGGACTCAGCATTGAACAGCGCAAACGCGTGACCCTCGGCGTTGAGCTTGTTGCTAAGCCCACATTGCTGTTCTTGGATGAACCTACCTCCGGTCTTGATGGGCAAAGTGCATTCAACATTGTGCGTTTCCTTCGCAAACTGGTTGATGGTGGCCAAGCCGTGTTGGTAAGTTCTAAATATATTATAATATCGGTCGTACTAATTTGGTTAGTGTACAATCCATCAACCATCTGCAGTGCTATTCGATGCATTTGATGGTCTTCTCCTACTAGCCAAGGGCGGCAAAATGACATATTTTGGAGAAAGTGAGTCTCTACTGTTGAGGTAACTGGTCAAAATCAAGCAACTAATAACTGATTTGTGACAACAGCTGGCAAGGACTCAACTAAAATCTTGGACTACTTCACTCGGAACGGAGCACCGTGCCCTCCAGATGCCAACCCAGCAGAGCACATCATTGATGTTGTTCAAGGAGGTGGTACTACAGATAAAAAAGATTGGGTCGAAATCTGGAGCCAGTCAGAAGAGCGCAAGCAAGCACTCTCCCAGCTTGATGCACTTAACGAATCTAGCAAAAATGTTTCCGACTATGTTGAAGATACTGCTGACTATGCGACCTCGCACTGGTTCCAATTCAAGACTGTCTCTAAGCGCCTCAGCATTCATATCTGGCGCTCACCAGTACGTTCCTGCAATGTTATTCCAAATTAGACTGCAAAGCTAACTATTATATAGGACTACATGTGGAACAAGATTATTCTCCATATATTTGCGGCACTTTTCAGTGGTTTTACCTTCTGGAAGATTGGAAACGGTACTTTTGACCTTCAGTTAAGACTCTTTGCAATCTTCAACTTCATCTTCGTCGCCCCAGGCTGTATCAACCAGATGCAGCCATTCTTCCTACATAGTCGCGATATTTTTGAGACCCGAGAGAAAAAGGTGAGCGCACTAGTGAAATCCTACTGTGATGCGATTATCGCTAAAACTGGGTTCTATATAGTCCAAAACCTACCACTGGAGCGCCTTCATTGTAGCGCAGACGCTGACGGAGATCCCATACCTGATCATTTGCGCCACATTCTACTTTGCATGCTGGTACTTCACCGCAGGCCTTCCATTAGAGGCCAGTGTTTCCGGGCACGTTTATCTTCAGATGATTTGTAAGTCACGCGAAGTCTTCAAGGATCAATTCGCATATCTAATAGCAACAGTCTATGAGCTTCTATACACTTCTATTGGCCAGGCAATTGCGGCGTACGCACCAAACGAGTATTTTGCGGCTGTGATGAATCCTGTCCTGATCGGTGCGGGCCTGATCAGTTTCTGTGGCGTGGTGGTTCCGTACGCCCTGATGCAACCCTTTTGGCGATACTGGATTTACTACCTGGACCCCTTCAACTACTTGGTTGGTGGGCTGTTTGGCGAAGTGGTCTGGGATATCAAGGTCAAGTGCGAACCGTCGGAATTTGTACAGTTCACCGCGCCGTCTGGGCAGACGTGCGGACAATACATGACCGATTTCCTCGCCACGCAGACTGGTTACCTAGCCGATGGAAACTCGACTGGGACATGTTTATTCTGTCCGTATTCTGAAGGTTCTGATTACGCGAAAACGTTCAATCTTCAAGAGAAATACTATTCGTGGAGAGATGCGAGTATGCCCTGACTGATTTGGCCTAGTCTGCGATGCTAACTATTTGTTCCTAGACGGGTATCACTGCCCTGTTCTGCATCTCATCGTATGCTTTGGTGTTCTTGATGATGAAGCTCAGGAGCAAGAAGACGAAGAGCGCCCGTTCTGAATGAGTGATCGCCACCAAGCTGACCATAGGGCCTTGGTTAAGCTAACATCGGCATCATTCATGTTGCTTTCAACTTCCGTGAGGCTTAACCACAAAGATATAGCCCATTTTGTTATTTACTTTTCTAGTTTGTTCCCCTTGGCGTTTATTACTCTTGTGTCATCAGCCATAGAACCCTGTGTTTCTGCAGGGCCTCATTATATAGTTCTCTCTTTTATTGTTACTTTTTTTTTTTAATAATGTTATGTTTCGTTTATTTCTATCTAGGTGGTACTTAAGCTATACCAGACCGTCACATATGTTGAGATAAAATCCTCGATAATCCACTGCTTCAAAGCCCATCGGTAGCTACCCCAAGAGCAGAGTATGTCACACCACACAATAGAAAAGACACATTAAGTTCCTTGTGTTTCTTTCTTGTATATCCGATTCATTTTACACTTCCCATGTTGTGAAGATGATCACCTGAGGCGAGGAAACTGAATTTGCACAATATATATTTCATGCGTAGATGAACAGATATGGTTGTTATTTGTGTCATCCCACCAGACTAATTGAACACCTTGAAATATTGGATGCTTGAGAGTTAAACGTGACATAGGACATGATTTACCAATTGAATTTCTGTCCATGCGTTATTGTATCCGAGCCGAGGCGTTGGCCTAGCAGCCAACGCTTGATCCTGGGAGATCGACAGGCATGCGGGTGTAGAGAGACTAGTGGCATCCGAGACTACAAAACGGTCCAAACGACCACTTCTTTCATACTGTATCAACGCTCCTGGTTGCTTTGAATATGCGGTTTCACATCCTTGCATTATTCCCTCTGGCTGCTAGTGCGGTCAACATCGTCTCATCCAACGATGATGGCTGGGCGGAAGTGAACATCCGCGCTCTATTCGAGTCCCTAGGAGCGGCAGGGCATTCAGTTATTGTATCTGCGCCCGCCGAGAACCAGAGTGGCACGGGTATGTTATGTCTTCCCCTCTATATCCCCTCTTTCTATATCCCCTCTTTGATTGACACGCCGCTACAGGGTCAAAGCAAAAAGAGCCGACTACCTTGACTGAGCCGTGTGAGTTCAATAGCTGCCCTTCTGGCAGCCCGGCCGTGGGATTTAATTCCTCAGAGGTTAGTATTGTGTCCGCTGTTACTAGAACGGTAGACTGATGGTACAAAAAGCCCCGACTGGGATATGTCAATAGCTACCCGGTGACATCGATGAAAGATGGCATCGATTCGCGTGCCCCTCAATTCTTTAACGGCCCTCCTGATTTGGCGGTCGCAGGCCCGAATGTCGGCCGTAACATTGGCCTCACAGTTTACATTTCGGGCACAGTGGGTGCCGCCACCTACGCTGCACACGCTGGAATCCCCGCTATCGCCTTCTCGGGCGCTACCGGATCCCAGACTTCATGGGACACCGCGCGGCCTCACTACAGTGATGTCTATGCCGATTTGGCAACTAACTTGACAAACCAGGTGGTTGCTGCTGGCAAACCGTACCTACCAAGCGATATCTGGCTGAACGTCAACTTTGGAAAAGTTTCTGACTCCAGATGCACAAATCCGGCTGATTTCTCTTTCGTCCTCTCTCGCATCCAGATTGCACTTCCATTTATTACGCCGGATGATGTGACCACGTGCGGCCGTTCGAGATTGCCAAGCGAACTTGAAGTGTCACTAGCGTCTGGATGTTATGCAAGTGTCTCGGTCGGGGTGGCAGCGTCGAAGAGCGACGCCAACGCTACGATGCAGGGGGTTGTTTTGAAGAACCTGGGCAATTTGTTGACTTGTCTACCATGATTGGTGTAAAAATGCCAGTGCCAAGAATGTGGAGATCAAGTTGCTCATAACCACGTGTTGTATTTAGCTATGCCGTGTTGCAGAAGAGAATATTGTTAAGTGGCTGTAATACATATAAAGACCGCTACTGTATACTAGCATCCAGGCTAACTGCAATTAAGGGATATATGAGCCGAATAAACGGAGAAATTGCAGGAACTGATTGAGATATTTTGCATCGGAGAAACCACAGGAAGATACGGCGAATCACCGGAGCTATCGATGGCACGCGTGAAAGGCAATATATTCTGCAATGCAAGTTTCAAGCGGGACTGTTATCGTCCACTATACTTCATCGGGATTCAACCCCGTTTTTACCGGAGTAAACCTCTCGAAGGAAGCGAGATCACCGCCAAGATAAGAGACATGTCGATCTTACGGGATGAATACCGCAATATAAATATTTCGAGGAACGCTATTTGGTTATAGCACCAGATGACTGTATTCGCTTTCTATTTCAACATGATTCCCCGACTTATTGCTGGGTTGACTGCTCTCACCGTGCTGCCTGTGACGGCTAGCCCAGTTTTGTCGCGTCGAGGAACAGTTGCATCCGACCAACTTGTTGGATTTCCACAGACAGTTCCAGCTGGTGCTACTGGCGACCTCTATTTAGCATACCAGCCAGATCTATATGTTGTCAATGGCTGCGTGCCTTTCCCGGCCGTAGATGCAGACGGGAACACCAAGTGAGCGAGAAAATTGCCTTTCTAAGGAGTTACTAGACTCCCATATCTGACAACTGACGTAGTGCCGGTCTCAAACCAACTGGAGATCCCAGTGGTGAATGCAATCAAAGCACGGGACAAATATACGGTGAGCTTCTTTAGGAGTACCTATTGAATTGCCTGGGATATGTTGACTAAGGGGCTTCCGTTTGCATTTAATAGTCCGAGGCAGTTCTTCGGGTGACAAATATGCCCTGATGTATTCTTGGTATTTCCCCAAGGATTCACCCTCGACTGACCTTGGCCATCGCCACGATTGGGAAGGAGTTATTATCTGGCTTTCCGACGGGACAAGTACTACTGCCTCGAACATCCTGGCCGTTTGTCCGTCCGCACATGGTGGCTGGGACTGTAGCACAGATGGCTATACGCTTGATGGCACTGCATCTCTGATCAAGTACCAGTCCGTTTGGCCTGTCAATCATGCTTGCGGCCTAACAACTACCGTGGGCGGCACACAGCCGTTGGTTGCCTGGGAGTCAATGTCAAGTAAGTTGCCTAGCATGAAATACCCTGAAGATCGGGGAGCTATGAATCTAACCCGGAACGCTCAGCTGTCGTACAAAATGCCTTGGATACAACGGACTTTGGATCAGGGAACGTTCCTTTCAACGAGGCCAATTTTGCCAATAACCTAGCAAAGGCAACATTCTAAGCCCAAGACCAGAAAAGGGCTTGGGCACCCACTGTAGGCATGTGGTCAAGAAATAGTGATTATAAACGGCTTGATGTCGCCCGTTTAACATGAAAAAGAGAGCACCACCGGATGATACCGAAGCGCTATCGTGGCCAGACTTTGGACGGTCCCGAGAGTGGGAAGAAATAATGTTGCGATGCAAGATCCCGGCATGTATGCGCGATACATTGCAGCGCTTTTATGACCAATACCACATTTCGTAACATTGCCAATTGGCCTGAGTATGCAGCTGCTTATTACCATGATCCAATTCCTCCCTGAATTTAGCTGTCTTTTGTCCATTTGCGAGACTGCTTTTTATAGCAAAGTTTGATTGCAGGGACCTAAATTCAACTTACGAGTAGACAGAAGCAGGCGTAAAGCAAATTGGTTGTTTGTCAGATTACTTCAATTTATACTCTACATGGCATTGGAAGAGATTGACTCATCGCAACAGCAAATTATTGAGTAAATCCAAATCTTTTGCAACAGTAGGCAGCCCAAAAGTAAGTAATCCACTACTCATACAGCCCACAAACGTGATACCGCTGAGTGTCACAATCAAAATGACCGCACTACTATGAGAAAGATCCACAGTTCGAGTGTCGTAAGCGTCCTCAAGGGGCGGCTGTCCATTGGATAATTGGTGTGTCAGTAACGTTTCGAGAGACTGATGGAGCTGCGAATGCAGCATCAATAATTGAGTTGGGTCATCTAGATCGAGACCCGACATGCCTGCTTGCTCGGGAAAAGTGAAACGACGTTAGTCAGCGCTCCCTTAGAGTAACATGGCAGGTCTTGAAGAATGTGCTTATAATATGGGTCGTTTAGATGAGACAGCCTATTATTGTTCCGGAGCGTCCGTCGTTCGGGGGCTTACTTCGATGGGGGCCGAATTGCCCATCAAGACGGCCGACGACTATCTACGTCAGGATTAGAGAATCTTGCAAAAATAGAACTTGCGTGAAAGAAATAGTTAGGAGTAGTACAATTGCGTCTCTTCGTGTTTGGACACCGGAAAATCAGATAGGGGTCATGGGCATCATTGGCGGATTTCACCCAAGTTTGAGAGGCGGGAAGAGTTTAAGACACAGGGGGCCGTATTCTAACTTAGATAAGGTAACGGAAGCCAGGCATAAGAAGGCATATGATCTGTCTCAGCTGTCGAAGCATAGCCAATGAACTGGCCAAAAAAATGTGGCGAACAGACTTTTTGTACTTTGGGACGGGGACCACCGAATTCTACATATATAACTCTACTCAAAACCAGTGCAATGAAAAAGCATATAAAATACTTGAAAAGTCTCATATTGATATCAGTTACTATGTTTCATCAATAGCACTCATTTCCTACTCATACTTCGGATCCCTCATTCTGGGTCACGTTTCACGTGAACCTTATATCGGACGAATTTAAGCAGCAGTTGGAAGACACTGAGAATACCACTCGTTTACCGAAGAACACGCTGCTGGCGACGCGCATGCAGTTGGTCCCTTCCAATCACCTCCTCCGCACTGTCCGTAGGGAGTCTGGATGGCTCCACCACCACTAGGAGAAGTGGTGGTAGTAGCCTTACTACTGGAAGTTTTGGTGGCAGTCACCAATGTAGTGGTGGTGGTCTTAGATGTTGTAGCTGTGGCTGTGGTGGCGCCATCGGTAACAGCACCTGTCCCTGTCACTGGTGTACCAGAAGCAGTGATTGCTGAAGTGGCTTGCGTGATTGAGACGGCACCACTGTAAAGAGTTGGTCCTGGGACAATCTGAAGAAGCGACATTAGCAATGGACGGGATACCAGATAGGCCTAGCATCCACTAATCACTTACATAGGTTGACAGAGATGTATAGATGTTCACGAGGATGCCAGGGTCGGTTGGACTATACAGATCAGTACCCAAGACACCCGCTGGCTTGTCTGATCCTGAGCCGGTGATTTGTAGGTTGAAACACTGGGGATAATTCTGGGTCCCACCCTCAGAGCCTGCGCCATGGAGCGCAATGCTTTTGAATAAGATTAGCAAAAACCTCTGGAAAATTCAAAGAAAATTACCCACATTTCATGTCTCAAGACATAATGCCCAGGTGCGATGTCGGAAGGAATCTCGACCATCCATCCCGACTCGTGGGCTATGAGTTGATCATCGGCCCAAATGCCGGGGACATCAGTTCCGTCAACTAGTCCGACACCGCTAATCTTGAAGAACTCAAGCGTGGTTTTGTCCACAGTTTCACAGCCACCTGCGCCACAGCTAGCGAGGTAATCGATGATCGGTCCATGATGAGATTCTGGCCAGTTGGGAGTCCATTGGAAGAAGACTCGGTCACCGGCCGCTACGACCGCGTGACCTTTAGCATTCGTAGCATTAAGATGGCAGATAATATCCGAAGTGTCGTACGCATCTGGGTGAAATTAGAAAGGACATCGATTTGGGTCAAACAGGACAACAATGGCATAACATACCAGGAGCAACGAAGCCATTGGCAGTGTTAGGGGTACCCCAAGCTACCACGTCTGGAGGCGAGTCTGTGTAAGGATAACTTCCTATGTCCCATCCATCGAAGGATACACCGTTAATGACTATGTTGGTGACATGGCCATGGGCCGCAACGAGAGACGCAAACAGAGCGGGACCGAGAATGCTATACATTGCGGCTGTATCCGAATAACCAGGTTGAATAACTTTAAGGCTCAAAGAAACAGATATGTTGAGTGAGAAATCGGTAGCAAATGTGAGACTCTCCCTGTACTTGTCTTTCCTGGTAAACCTGCGCAACGGCCATATTTATAGAGAGCGAGAGGGGTATATATCGGCACAATGTGTTGTGCTTCCGTGCCAATATTCCTGAATTACCCCGGATTCAGAATTTTAATTACAAGAAATAACCAATGAGACCAAACGGATACATCAAACATGAATTTGGCAGAAGTAAAGTGATCATTCTGCACGGATAAAGACCAGCCACGGGGTAGTTGTGCAGGATTTCATAACGCCACCAGCGGATGTCGTGCTGACTCCGTGTCGAGATAGCTCAGGATAGAAATCCATCAAGAAGAATAGAATCACGAAATTAAGATGAGGGGTCAGGCGCATCAAGTTGTGATTCAAAACTGACACACTGGCCCTTCTGGGCTGTCAGTAGGCGCCCTTGGCACTAATTTGGAAAAGTCACTGCTGAAACAACACATGGTACTGTTATTTAAAAGACCTCTTATTCCGTTATACATTCAGGTTGTTTATTGCTGATTTAGTATTCCATGGTCTAAATTAGCAATTGAGTTAACTGGAGAAAAAGAAGATAAAAGGAAAAAGGAGAAGGAATCATGGATGCGAGATACCTTCATGGGGCAAGATACTGTATGTAACTATATATTAACAGTCATGAATCAGGTGCCAAGACGGAGACGATGACCGAAGGTAAGGTAATGACTCCGCGAAAGTCGTGCGAGTTGCCGAGTTGACCCAAGCTAAAAGTAATAAATAGTGCCATAAGCTTCACGTTTCCAGCGCGCGGTCCCAAGAAATGAACCCGACATAAATATTCTTCAAGTGGGAGAGTTTGATACTTATTCAGGAGAAATATAAGCTTTTGCCTTGTGATATATGACCGTCAACAAAATGTGGGGTTGGGTTGTAGGTGCAAGTACAGGTACATGTAGCTAGCTTGATACCTGTGATTGGACATTAGATATCGTAGATGTACTTGTGCTTAACAGCATAGTTGACTACCTAATTTAAAGACTCGGGAAGTAGTAAAGCCGGGACTTTTGAAATATTATTTGTGTGATATCGGGAGATCCGTATATCTAGAGTGCAACTTTTCAGAAGAACAAAGATAGTCGAGGATATACATGTAATTGACGACACCTAAGCTTGAAAAGTAAACCAAAAAGCACATTGCATACCAACGCAACTCTCTTGGGTATCTAATAGACGTAGCGGAAGTTCAAGTTCTCCCGATCCGTCTTATCCTCGAATGCATGAATGAGGGTCGGATCGGCGGCAGTGAGACCAGCCTCAGCCAACAGCTTATCCTTCTTGGCGTTCTCGCGCTTGAGATGGAAGCGGAGGTAGATGACGGCGGAAACCATGCAAGCATAGCAAGCCAGATGAACACTCCAAGCAATGTGGTACCGTGGTTGATCCTTGTCAAGGAACACTTGGGGACCTTATATCTGTTAGCTGGGAATTGAGAATCCTCACAGGGAAGCTGAAATACTCACCAATTGCGTTACCAGCAGCCCATGAAACGAATGTTGCAGCTACCACGGTAGACTTCTTGGTTTGACCAGCAATGTTTCGCGACACCATAGATAACGTGAGAGTTTGGGCCGACCAGAATGACATCGTAATGTAGTAACTAATAAGAAGGCCCACTTTGGTGGGTAAAGTGGTGTTTTCGACCGTCATAAGGACAATAGTTCCAATGAAAGACCTGCAAGCTGTTAGTACAGCCTCGCTGCAAAAGGAGCAATGGGAAATACGTACGGGATGATGAAGCACAGCATCACGATTGTGTTCTGTTTATACTTCGTCACCAGCCATGCAGACGACAACAGAACGATAATAATGTAAGCACCAAGAACCATGGCAAGCAACTGAGTTTCCAATGTGGTGAAGTGGAAACCCTTAATGATGATGCCAAAGAATGCGCCTAGACCGCTGGTAGGTAGAGTGGTGAACATTTGAACAGCACAATAGCACCACATCTGAGGATCACGGAACGCCTCCCACATCTGATATGCGTGGAACTTTCTGTTCTGAATGCCCGTCTGATTAGAACGAAGACGTTCCACCATAAGGCGTTTGTCTTCCTCGCTGAAGCACTTCGCACGCATAGGTGAGTCAGGCATCCACCAAATGACGAAGAGTCCCCAGATAACGGAGATACATCCATATGTCAGGAAGAGTGCTTGCCAAGACTTGAGCACCGTGTCTCCTACAATAAGGCTGAAACAGTACGCCAACAAACCACCGACAATCTGCTGTGCACCGTTCATCATGTACCTGTTGTATCATTAGATTAATATCAAATCTGTGTGATAGAGGAGTCTCCACATACCAGTATGTTACCGTAGCCGCTTGTTCCTCTCGTTTATACCACATCGAGGAAAGAGTCACGAAAATAGGCTGACAACAAGCCTCAAAGATACCCAGAAGGGTACGAACAATAACCAACCCAGTGAAGTTCTTGCAGACTGAATGGAGTGCCAGAATCATACCCCATAGGCAGATATTGATGCCTAAGTACTTGCCGATTGGAACCCTTTGGATGATCCAATTGGTGGGGTATTCGACGATGAGAACAGCGATGTAAATACATGTGGTCAACCAGGAATACTATTGATAGGAACAAGTTTAGCGTGTATATGGAGATGAAAGCTTAAGAAGTATCACATACCTTCTGGCCATCCTCCAGATTCGTGTCCGTCCTGATCCCCATAATAGCTGAGAACGACATCGTTCCCTTGTCCAGAGCCTGTAGGAAATATGTGCAAATCATGATAACAAGCACACGGCGATCAATGAGACGTTTGAGGCGCTTATTGGTCTCATCGTCAATTTCCACCTGACTGTGGGCAGCATAGGCTTGGATTTCCTTGTCCACACGGGTGATATCCATGTTATCTTTTGCGAGGTCATCGCCCGAGAGAATCTTTTCGACATGCGAGATGTCTTGCTTGCTCTGGTACTCTCCCATGTCAATTTCGGGTTGTTGCTTTTGCACTACCTCGATTCCCTCAACAGGTATTGTAGCATCGTGATAAGGGGCAGCCTCAATCCCCTGCTGGGGGTCCTTTTTGCCCTCAGTCATGTCAAAATGAAGAATAGTAGGTACAAAAATGGAGTTGACCAGGAGACACAGGAGACAGGAAAGCGAGATGTTCAGTCGGACTTATAATTGCCGTGGGCCTTCGCTGCCAGGGCCGTGCATCCCAGCTAAAACCTTGAAACTTGCCCTAACTACATGTAAGGTGATTAACCGACTAAAAGAATCATGTGGCTTGTAAATCGCTAGGATTATCATATTAACCGGGAGTCAAATCGAGTTAAACCACGTCAAGCAGTCACCCTCCGTCTTTGTTTCCCCGGCTTTCTTGGCAAAGGAGGAGACATCACGCTAGTCTTCTCCCCACGCTCGGCGATTCCGGGGATCTACTACCCCGGTGGCCGAAAGTTACTCGCTTCTTCCGGTGGGTATGGGTAAACTCAGCTTCAAGGTATGTTTGTCATATGCAACTCGGCTTTCTCTCACCCGAATCACGCTTTGTCCGCGCGGGGATCGCTTTGTGGCGTTTGACTCTAAGTCTCATTAGTGGAACAACTTTTACCAACAAATATGAGTATTTCACCTCCCGGAGCAACATATTATTTTGTTTCCCGGAACAAAAAGTCGAGGAAAATCTTATTCGTCGAGAACACAACAACCCGCCCAGCATCACACAATGTCGTCCCCTAAGCCCACGGGCACCCAAATTCACACCACCGTCAACCTGTTAATCGACAATTTAGTCAACATTAAAGACGAAACAGGAAGATTCTTGCTGCCACTTCCTGATGGGCGCATTATAGATACAAAGTCATGGCAAGGTTGGGAGTGGACACACGGCATTGGACTGTACGGCGTGTGGAAGTACTACGAGTTGACGGGCGACGAGAGACTGTTGCGCATCATCGAGGATTGGTTCGCTGCTCGTTTTGCTGAAGGCGGGACCACCAAGAACATCAACACAATGGCTGCCTTTTTGACTCTCGCCTACGTTTATGAGAAGACGGGCAATGTCATCTACCTGCCCTGGCTCGATGCATGGGCTGAGTGGGCGATGCACGAACTCCCCCGCACCCGCTACGGTGGGATGCAACACATCACATATATCACAGAGAACTACCAGCAGCTCTGGGATGATACTTTGATGATGACTGTCATGCCCCTCGCGAAGATCGGAAAGCTTTTGAACCGACCCCATTATATCGAAGAGGCGAAAAAGCAATTCCTCACTCACATCAAATATCTTTTCGATACAAAGTCCGGTCTCTGGTTCCACGGCTGGACGTTTGAGGATGGCGGACACAATTTTGCAGATGCGCGCTGGGCTCGTGGCAATAGCTGGGTCACAATCGTCATTCCCGAGATTATCGAGTTGCTCGACCTCCAGCCAAATGATCCTATCCGTCTTCACCTGATAGATACTCTTGAGGCACAGTGCGAGGCCCTTCAGCGTCTTCAGTCGTCGTCTGGCGCGTGGCACACCCTCCTCGACCACCCTGACTCGTACTTGGAATCCTCTGCGACCGCTGGATTTGCCTACGGTATTCTGAAGGCTGTTCGGAAACGTTACATCAGTGCTCAGTACCGCCCCGTTGCTGAGAAGGCCATCGCTGCGGTGATGGGGTATGTGGACGAGAAAGGAGAATTGCAGAATACCAGCTTTGGCACCGGGATGGGTGACTGTCTCGACTTTTACAAGAAGATTCCATTGACCTCGATGCCTTATGGTCAGGCTATGGCTATTATGGCTCTGGGAGAAGCCTTGCGTGATCTGTTGTGAAGAATGACCGTCTTAATGACTGCAATGGTGATGAAACGTGGGCATGACTTAAATCATAGAGCTGTAAATAGGGATTTTCCTAGCATGAACTGACTTTGTAGATATTGAAATAAAATGATATAAAAAGAATTATGGCGGTCTTTGATCACTCAACTGGCCAGCGGCTCTGCACCTTCTTGCTCAGTCCAGAGATCGCACTCTTCATCGGTTGCATACTTCCTCTTGAGGATGCCTGTCTTGCTGATCTCCACAGTGACATCGCCGACTACGCGAATTGCTCTGTCTGTAATTATATGGCGTGAAGCACCCACAGTCACAATTGTGGCATGAGTGTATAACATGGCGGATCGTCTCATGGATTTGAAAGCAAGGCCAAGCAGCTGTAAAACAGATTATTCGTCAAGTTCCTAATTAGTGCAGCTCACATGGCATTTATACTGTCGAATTTGATCCGCATGAACCGAAAAGCAACGGAGACGGAGTCTGCCGATGTACGAAAATATCCGCGTCAATAGGCACGATAAGATAACAGATAAATATTGGAATTGACACATTCTCTGACATGAGGAGAGCTCCGATATTGTGGAGTATAGTGGTGAAAGGGTGTTAACATTCAAACAGCTGATCCAAGCCTAGACACTAAACTAGAAACTAGAAACTCTTCTTCAGCCACTGAGTCTGCGAATTGCAGTACCCAAGCAGACCAGCCAGACCCCATTCCACACCCATGCCGCTCTGCTTGTGGCCACCAAAGGGAGTATTTGGCCCCAAATCAAAGTGACTGTTTACCCACACACAACCGGACTGGAGTTGATCTGCCATTCGAGTTGCGCGTTCGAAATCCTTACTCCAAACAGAAGAGCCCAATCCGGTCTCCAAAGCATTCGCACGCTCAAGGACTTCGTCCTCATCAGACCATTTCAGGACGGGCAGAATGGGAGCAAACGGCTCTTCTTGTACCACCCGCGATGTCTCCGGGGGATTGTCGATAATTGTCGGGTGGATGAAATACCCGGAAGAGTTCTCGATCGTGCCTCCAAGCGCAGGTTTTAGGTTTTCAGTACCAATGCTGCTGAACAGGTCTTTGGCTTTCTCATATTGCATCTCATTTTGAACAGGCCCGAAGAACGTATCCGCCTCGGTGCCTTGACCAACCTTCAGGGTCTTGACAAACGCGACTAACTTTTCCAAGAACTCATCGTAGATATTCTCGTGGACATAAAGTCGTTTGATCATCATGCAGATCTGCGAGCAGCAGAGATAGGAAAGCGTTCCGATCTTGGGGATAATGGCATCGATATCAACATCGTCGCAGATAATTGCGGGGTCATTGCCACCCAGTTCGAGTGTAAATCGCTTGAGAGTGGTAGCACATGCAGCCATGACTCGCTTTCCGGTGGCAATCGATCCAGTAAAGCTGATTTTCTCAATTCGCGGGTGAGCAGTGAACAGCGGACCGAGGGATTCATCGCCGCTCAGACATTGAATCACGCCAGGAGGGAAGAAGTTGGTGGCAAGCTCGACCAGCTTCAAGTCGCAATAAGGCGTGAAAGGAGATGGCTTCACAATAATGGTGTTCCCGGTGTATACAGCGGAGACTATTTTGCCGACGGCCAAAAGGACAGGAAAGTTCCAGGGGACAATGGCGCCCACCACGCCGATGGGTATGTGGCGTTGAACAATCTTCCTATCTTCGGTTTCCTCGATGACAGTGTCGGGAATCTCAATGGCAGCGAGGCCGCGAATCCACGTAGTTGTCATACCCAATTCCATGGATGATTGAGTGAGTGGCTTTCCTTGTTCCATTGTGAGGGTTTGTGCGAATCCGTCGACATTGGCATCGATGGCATCAGCCCAGGCATGCAGGGCTTTACGTCGCTCTTCAAAAGAGGTCTTGGCCCAGCCCTTGAATGCATTTTGAGCCGCCTCCACGGCCTTGTCAAGATCATCCTGGGCGGAAACAGGTACGGGTGGATTAGGCTGAGTGTTGGCAGGGTTGATCCCATACCGGGTTTCCGATGTCGTGGTCAACTCATTGTTGATCACATTATGGAATGTCTGTTTCAGCAATGATAAGTCATGGCATTGGTCTCACGCAGCTTTTAGAGATACTCACAGAAAAATCTAACGGTTTGGCGTCGGTCATTTTGAGCAGCTTCAACTTTTTTAATACTAGGGCACAAAGATTAAATAGATGGGAAACAGGGATTTAAATAGCCCTCACCTATCGCACTATCTCAGCCGAAGCGATTGATGCCACGTATTTATAAGTGGAAGCATCCCAAAGTCGCAATTGGTTGCCCGAAGTGCTGGTAAATCAGCCCCAAACTGTGGACATCCCGTATGTAGACATCACTGCATGTTCTTTGTCCAAATCCTATCTCTAAATGGCACTTTTTGGACGATCTCTGCAGTAGTTTCCCGTTCCTTTGTACTTTGGTCATCTCCTCTCAAAATTAGCGTCTTGGCGGCGGGGTACCGACATCCCCCTCACTTTCCTCCTCCCAAAACGCCAATGAACAACCGCAGGAAGCTGCCAGAGTGAGGGCACGGCATTCCCAGTGGGCACGGGATTCGAGCGCGGTACTCCGGGCTTGACCTTTTCGCGACTCAGGTGTTCATGAGACAACCTTGGAAGCGGTGAAATCAGCTGACCAGACGCATATCGGCATCTGGGCCCTATAGTAGATAGTCTCCAAGAGTCTCCGACATCGATGCTGACACTTTTATAAAGTCTGTGTGACCTTTTCACCTATGTAGGTAGCAACAGAGCACTGAGCTTGGGAGGTAAGCAGCTCATCACACCCGGGCCTAGTATATATAGAAAAGCATATACATATGGCCGCTTTGAATCTTGAATGCCCTGACAATAATGGTAAAGATTTTAATCATACCCACAGTCTAAGACAGATCATGAAGATGCCCAGGTGAAATATGAATCTATGTGATTGTATCACATTGCCCCTGGGTGGGGCCTTCCTATTTTAGCCGCCTTTCCAATATAAGGGCGCTTAACGAGGCTCATTGGTCCGACCCCATGAACCACCAAATTAATCTCTTGCAAAATATCCCTTACACGGATCTCGGCGCACACGATGTTCCACTCTGTTGATGTAGAATAAACTTCATTTGGACTCTTATCAGGTAACCGCTGAAAATGACCAAATCGAGGGGCTTGACTATGTAGACAAGATCACCCCCAAGCACAGTCATGGTCTTTTTTGCTGCGAGATTGACTTAACAGTTATGCATTCTTTGTACTAACACATAGGCACCGAACCTATTTACAGGTGGGTACAGCTTCGTCATACGGCTCCATCAATGACCAAATTCTCCATAATAAATTTCTCCAACGTAAATTTCTGAATAGGGCCGATGCCCTAGCCCTGTCCAGCGACGAGTATTTAAGATCACTCAGGAGAAATCTGATTTAACCCTTGAACCCTCATTGGAGTCAAAACGAATTCACCCGAATCATATGCTATCATTTTTGGCATATAGTCACTTCAAGACGGGTGGGAGAAAACAATCCATCCCTCTCGCCACTGCGCCTGTGGCTAAGATACAGCGACCACTGCCACTCAAGAAATAACTTACCATTTACATAGAACCTAACCCGCTGCAGCTTCAGGAACAATCCAGGAACCAGTGGCTCCTACAAACGCCTGGTAGTTCCCGCCGCCACCTATCGCCTCCCCACTTCAGGGAAGGCTCTGACTGGTCCAGGTAACTATCAACCCTCCCAAATATGCGCATACCCCTGTTCCCCCCCCATAAAGCACAATATAGTCTCTATGATGATTGACCTCTTCCCTTTCTGCAAAGAATTTGTTGAATCTGTGTCTATCTACATTGTTTCATTCTGGTCGTCTGAGTTACTGAAACTGTTTTTAATTTGTCATCACACCATTACATGATTTATGGCTAATTGGTCTGTTTTGATTAGATTGTACAGGCGCGGCTCATGCTGCATGGCTACATGTTAGGGTAGGTCCAAAGCTACCGAACCAGATATATAAGAGAATTGGAAGACCGTATCGCTGGATAGGGTTCGCCTTATCCACAGATGGGAAAAACTGGGATATATAAGGATACTCGTTGGTATATTTAGTTTAGCCCTTCGCGATCAATCAAAATCGTTACATCGTTTTTCTTATTGAGAGTCCAGGCTGTTTACTTGCTCTTCATTAAGCGTACCATGAATAGGGGTGCTATTTCGGTGCTAAGGTATCTAGCGCTCGATTTGGTACCATTTCTTGATGCCTTGAAAGAACTTAACCCACAAGTCCTGGTAAGCTATACATAGAAATATTTCTAGGGTTGTACAATGCCAAATCTTACCTGGGAAGATCCATGTATGAGATGTCTTGGCAGGAGCACAGACCATGTGACGTCATCCCCATTCTCGTCATTTGACATAGGGAGACCCCTATGTCAACTTAGGGTTGTCAACCTCTGTCAAAATCTTGTTTATTCATCCTAAACACGTAGTCTCAATATATATCCCTGTCTAATTTTGATCTGCAAGGAAACTCTACCTGTAAAATGTTTTGCTATTTTAGGTAGAATTTTTCCTTCTGGCCTGTGCGAGCTGACTGGAGACATCTAAAGATGATCGTCCTTCGGATGACGCGCCGGCTGAGCGCCTTTTCGTCAACATCTCTTGTGTTCGAAGGCGATATGATGTTGATGATGATGCTTGGCATACGTTTTGTTCGACGTTGAAAGTAAATACAGGTATCACCATATCTCTAGAGCTTATTTAAAGACTTTGATCTCGACCTATCTACCAATTCAAATCAACTTACTATACTACAATCTTGTGTTCAATATACAATCTATATCAGACTCAAAACCAACTTCATCAATCTAACTTCATCAATCCATCACAATGTTTCACCGTCGTCGCCCCGCTACCATAACCACTCGCACCACTAAGCCTACCCTGATGACCAAACTCAAGGGCCGAAACGCGAAGTCGCGAACCGTGAAAACCACAACGACAACACACAAGAATCCAGTCCACGGTCATACTGCTGGTCATACTAGCCACAGTGCTCGTACTGGTCCTACCGGAGGTCGCTTTGGTCGTAAGAATGCCTATGGAACACCTGCTCATACTCGCCATCGGCGCAAGCCCTCCATTGGTGACAAAGTCTCTGGCGCTATGTTGAAGCTGAAAGGAAGCTTGACGCATCGCCCTGCAGTCAAGGTAAGCATCGAATGACTTTGGTTTAACTTGGATTCGAGCTAACATGTCAAAACTACCTAGGCTGCTGGAACCCGCCGCATGCATGGCACGGATGGACGTGGCTCACGCCGTGTCTACTGATTGATACCCCCATGACACTATCACGAGTTACGAATAATTGTTTAAGCTTTTGGATTTTATTTTGTCGTTTTTTGAGGTACTCTGTTTTACCTGTACGATAACAGCCAGACATTTCAAGTTTATTGTTAAATAACCCCAAATGGATCCCACGATTGAAATCTCAGATCTAGAAGTAGACTTTGCTTTATTCCCCATGCCAGAGAGGTCTCAATGAGCCGTCTTTCCTTTGCAGTGTGATAGTGATACATATATATTAGAGGAGTCTAGTGAACTTATTAACCCAGGCCAGTAAGGATAAATGAGTTCTGCACGTCTTCAACTAAGTGAAACCTCAGGATATTAGATTTCAACATCTGTTTATATAGCGTACCCCACCTTTGTTGTAGGTGTATATGCACACATACCATTGATATGATTGCCACAGGAGATATATGGTTATACTGCTCGGAATTACAGTTGATAGAATTTGTCTTGGATAATAATATCTGAGATAAAGAAGAGAAATCCAAACAGGGATTGAAACCTCGCCTTTTCTCCAAGACCGGCCCGGTGCGATAACGGCGGAGCGATGCCCCACCAAACTTTTACATAAGTGCGGGACTCCCCGATCATTCACTTGGACACAACACCTGTGGACCGTTTCAGCTATATCAATTTATAGAATGCCGTCCCTTCAAGAGAGCAAATTGGCCTTCATTGGCGGTGGCAATATGGCCTCCGCCATCATTGGTGGCCTGTTGAGCAAAGGCGTCAACAAGCAGAATATCTCTGTCTCCGAGCCGTGGGATGTCAATCGCGAGAAGATGGCCGCGCTCGGAGTGCGTACCACCACTTCTAATATCGAGGCTGGAGGTGATGCCGATTTGGTCATCATTGCCGTCAAGCCCCAGGTTACCAAGGGTGTCTGCCAGGAGCTCGGTGGTGCCTGGTCACCCCGCGCGACTTTGCCCGTTGTCGTCAGCATTGCCGCGGGTATTACCCTTGATAGCTTGAAGGGGTGGTTGACAACGAGCGATAGTCGTACGGCCCACACCGTTCGCGTGATGCCCAACACCCCCGCCCTAGTTGGTGAGGGTGCTTCCGGCGCTTTCGCCAGCGCGGATGTCACATCGGATGAGAAGGAGCTTGTTAATGCTATGCTCGGAAGTGTTAGCAAGGCTACCGAGTGGGTGGACCGCGAAGAACTTCTCGATGTCGTCACTGGTTTGTCCGGTAAGTCCCCCGCGCCAAAAGCCACACGGCATTTCATTGACGCGTATCAATCTAACCCAATCAGGATCTGGACCTGCCTACTTCTTTGCCATGGTTGAGCACTTGGTTGCAAGTGCAACTGCTCTAGGCCTCTCCGAAGAACAAGCTACCCGGTTGGCGACCCAGACATGTCTCGGTGCTGGCAAGATGTTGGTGGAGAGCCCCGACAGCCCTGCTCAGCTGCGTAAGAATGTGACTAGCCCCAACGGCACCACACATGCTGCTCTCGTGAAATTTGAGTCTCTCAACTTTAAGGACATTGTCGACAAGTCTGTCCAGGCTGCCACTACCCGTGCTGCGGAGCTCGGAAACACCCTCGCCAAGCCATAGAAAGGGCAACTCAACAAAAATAAATAGTTGGAATCTGTGTAATGATACGAAAAATAGTCATGCGCAATGGAACAAATAAAACACAATGGAATTAGCCCCTATTTAGGTGGACTTAGTAGACTTCCTAATATTAGAGCTACGCCTCCGACCTGAAGTGGCCCGTGCGTATCGCCTTCCTGCCAGAAACTTGGAACAGCTCGATAGCCGGAGCTTCTTCTCAATCCACAGTCATACTATGTATGCACAATAATGGTTTCTTTTTGGCCCTGGAAGGTGAGATATATTGTCGGTTATTGTGCTTTACTGCCGCTAACATTACCCAGGGCGATGACAACTCTGCGGCTTCCTTTGAGAAGACCCTATCCACGCTGTCGACCAAGATCGCCCAGGCCACCGCGCAACTCGACCAGCAACGTCAGTCCTCTCGGCGCATCAAGGCTCTCTGGACGCTTTACTCGACATTTGCCTATCTATTTTACTCTATCGTTCTCGCCCTCATACTGGGCTGGGAGAGCTGGGGAGTCAAGGAATATGCAGCTATCGCAGGCGGGCCGGTGCTGTACGTATTTCCTCACTCCGCACCTTCCAACGTCGCTAACATTCAGTTTTTACTCCGCAGCATCTACGGTGTGCGCACTCTGAGCTCCAAGATCTTCGACTACCGAATTTCTCGCATCCAACGCCGCCTTGACGACTTCCACAAGCAGCGCGAGGAGACAATCGAAAAGCTCAAGGTTGCAACCAAGTACAACTCCACCCAGCAACTGCTAGAGAAGTATGGCGGTGAATCCCCCAAATCCTCCCCGGGTGCAAAGGTTCAGGACGAGAAACGCCAGCCTGCCCAGCAGCAACAGCATGTGGCCCGCACCGGTCTCCCGCCGCCGCCCACTGCCAACATCCGCCGTCCTCCCTCCGCACCGCAAATCCCAAACGATCCGCCATTCCCCAGCTCTCCTTCTCCTCCCCTCGAGCTATCCCAGGGCCCGCGAACCCCACAACAGACCTCCTTCCCACCTCCGTCCCCTCCCCAAATACCCACCGATCAACCCGGCTTTGCACCGAACGCATTCACCCAGAACGGCGAGTACATCGAACAACCACACTGGTACGACCGTCTTTTGGACGTTCTACTGGGAGAAGATGAAACACAACCCCGCAACCGGATGGTCATGATCTGCACCGCATGCCGGCTCGTAAACGGCCAGGCCCCCCCTGGTATCAAAACACCGGAAGAGCTGGGCCGCTGGCGATGCGGCAGCTGTGGGGCTTGGAACGGCGTGGAAAGCGAGACAACACAGATCCTCACCAGTTTGCGACAAGATGCTGTGCCCGCTGAGGGAACTTGGGAGCCTGTGCCGAAGGCGACGGATACCCCGTCCTCCGAGGGCACGGAAGAGGGTGTAATGGTTGCTTCGAGTGAGGAGGAACAAGTGGACTCCCTTGGCTCCGATGCGGAGGAACGGACAGAAGATGAACCTAAGCCTGCCCCTGTGCGGCGGTCCAAGCGCGGTGCAAAGGGAGATAAGACACAGTAGTAGACTGTCTTTCACTACTTTATTTATTTGGAAATGGCAATTGGCTACATTGCTTACGATGTTATCGATCGTACCTAGTTCAAATCCAACACTTGTCACATGGTATCTATTTATCTTAGCAAAATCCAAAATCATACAGATCATTCGCCAATCCCCAAGTCATTGGTTTCAAGCTCATGTAGAAACAATCGGGTGCAACGTCAAGTGCTCAATAACAACATTTGCAACCTTAACTTCAGCCTCTTCGGCAGAAGCACAACCCTCCACCAGTGCAATCTCAGCCTGGTTGACCACCGCCGAGCACCGATATGTAGCCACACCACCAGACTCGACCCTCTTCCTCTTAAAGACCAACGCACCTGCTCCCTTCACCATATTTTGCGCGATATTCCGAGGATGAACAACATTAACCCCATCGGCAATAACGCGCTGGATATACCACACCAGACCAATACGTTCGACGAACGCGTGACACACATCCAGATCGCCCCCACAGTCAGTAAAAATCGCCCCAAGAACACTCTCGATGATATCCGACAAGAATTTATCCGCGCGCAGACGGGCGAACAATTCCCACGGGTAATGGGTTCCGTGTTCTAAGGCATCACGAATCTCACCACGGAGACCTTCGTGCCGCTCGAGACAAGCTTCCCGGGCGGATTTAATGTTAGGGCCATGGGAACGGAGGAAACGCCATAGGTGGATCTCGTCATACTGTGGTGCAAGGTTTGTATCGCTGTTGGCGAATTGGGTGACGTGGGAAGGGTCGTCTGGTGCGCATAGCTCCATGCAGAAGAAGGCGAGGAGGTTGGCGTTGACGACAGAATGTTTGAGCAATGTCATCGGACCTTGGTCCATTTCCACAGGGTGGGCTGCTATCACTGCCATGACGACCATGTCGAGGACGGCATCGCCGAGGAACTCGAGACGTTGGTAGGACTGTGTTGATGTGTCGTACTCACAGGATGCGTGGGTGAGCGCCTCCGTTAGAAGGGCGGGATCTTGGAAAGTGTATCCAATCAGACCGGCCAATCGATGGTGGTTGATCAAGTTGCTCACGCCTTTCCCTTCTGGAAGGATGAGTGGTGAAATATCATTTGTGAACAGATCGATCTCCGGCAAGAAGCGATGGAGACAGGCCTGCGCTTTGCGGATTCCGCCGTCCACATATGCTGCGCCAATGAGAGATTCTACAACATCTGCCAGGACCTTGATCGAGATGTTCCTCTTGGCTGTCGATGGGTCCAACTTGTTCCTGATCAACGGCGCAGCCCATTTCCGAGGGGTGAACCGGTTCGTTAGAATAAAGCAGTCAATACCAGTGTCAAGAGCTGCACGAGCAAGGCGAGTATTCTGTATGAGCTTGTCACGACTCTCCGAGAGGTAGCCCTCGTGCCACTTGGTGTTCCTGAAAAAGAGCTGGCAACTAACGGTGAATTTGAGAACAGAGTCACCAAAGAACTCGTATCTCTGGTAGTTGGTACTGGCCTGTGCAATGGGCGCGCTGATAGCCGTAATGACATGGTCGATATTTTGGATTCCGACTCCTTTCAAAATGGTATCGTTTAATTTATGTGCGACCAAAGATGCCTCCAGCCGATCCAGAATGGCAGAGATGAAAAGTCCAAAGAGACCCTGTTTTGCTGGGAGCTTGTCGATGATGCAAGCCGAAGCAGGTAGCATGTAGGACTTCTTTAGTGCATCTGCCTCTCCATCTTCGGCAATATTTAGGGCTCGCATCTGGAGGAGATTTCGTCGACGGGGAAGTGAGAAACATTCGATTCCAATGGGTGACGACTTTGATACCTCAGTTGGAACGATCCATCTGCTAAATGTCCGCGGCTCGCTGAATTTGGATTGGTCACGGACGATACCAGTAGGCGGCAAAGTTGGATTTCTCAAGTAGGCATCCATTGCAGGCTCTTTTCCTTCGTGCACCGCAAGCCATTCTCCCAGATTTTCATGTGCAATATCGGGAACGAATAGAGCCACAAAGTCACGGTCGTCTCCCTGCTGGCGCGAGCTAGGAGCTTGTAGATAGAGGGCTGTGATCCTTCTCATTTGATCGAGTTTCTCTGCTGTCGTCTCAAAAGCCGATATATGCGGATCAAAGTAAAGTTTCGTGGAGGTTTCAGGTTCCCAGTAGAGAGGAATGGGGTGCGGCATCGGGGTCAACCGTGGCAAAATCAAGGAGACGGCTAGATCTCCATCGACAGAACCGTTGCTACACATCTTCAAGCGTGTCTGACACAGCTGACCCGAAGCCCAGCCTTGTGCAAGTTCTACATAAGGGTCATACTGTTCCGCGGCTAGGATAATGGACGGGAGAGTCGTCTGTTCCGAGAACCTCAACTCTGGTTTTCGTGTCAATGGCAAGAGATTGTCGTTGACCAACCCATACGAATGCAAAGCTTTGTAAGCTTGGAATGCAGTCTCCTTTCTGGCTGCTCTCTCTGTCCGCCACCAGGATTTCCCTGTTGTTCGTCGAACCGTCGGATGCACAGAATTTGGTAGTGTGACTGTGCCTAAAAGCAATCCCTCACTGTTCTCTTCAAAGGAAAACATTGGTCGGTTGTCGGAAAACTCATCAACTGGCAAGACCGCGCAAAAGTGATGTAAATGCTGCACTGCATCGTCCGCCGTCAACAGAGCACTGCCAGCGGATGTCAGTAAATATCAAGAGAAGACATGGATTCGACTTACCTGGTCTTTTCCACCCAAAGTCTCTCATTGACGTCCTCCTCGGCAGCTTCAAGTTCATAAAGTTCCCGACGCTTTCGCTCCTCATCCTGATACGCTTTAATCATAACTTGCTCCAGTTCCTGCCATTTATGAAGGCTCAACAACTCATCCTCATTCGAGATCATGACGGCATATGTAGATTCTCGATGACGAGCACGCCCACGCCGCTGAACAAAGGACTTGAGGTTGGCAGGCTTGTCAAAACAGATAACCAAGCTGCAAGCGCTTATGTCAATACCTTCTTCGAGAACGTCAGTAGAGACAATGAGGTTTTTGCGGCCAGCTCTGAACTCATCGAGAGTATTTCGTTGCATATCCCGATGAAGTAAGTCACCGAGACAGCCCTTGCGGCTTCTATCACTCGCCCAACCAACATAAGCAGCACACTGGAAGCGATCTCTAGTTTTTGGATGAAGGGATAAGATTCGAGCCAACACACTGACGGTTGCTCTCTGCTTAGCAAAGAGTAGCCCGGAAAACCCAGGTTTATCCATTTTGTCAAGGAAGTTGAGAAGCATTTCAAGTTTGATGGATACGTGATTACTCTCCTCGGCTGAACCTAGTGCAGGAATTGCAAGCAGCAGTTCCAAGAGGTAAACTCTCTCCATTTGATCCAAATGTGACATCTCACTAGCATCTTGGATTGAACGCTGAAGCTGGTCAATTGAGGCACTGATGAAGAAGTCGGCAGCCCAGCCGCCCAGCTCCTCATAAATGTGACGGCTGCGCGCCTGGAAGATCCTCAGTTGCTCGCTACAGAATGTCTTACCTGTAGTTAGAGCCTCGGTAAGCTCCACAGTCTGATCCTTTGATCGTAATGATTCGATCCAAGGGTCGTCTTCTATGTTATAGGCTCTGCAACATTCTATGAGGGATGAAAGTAGTCGGCTTCCAAAGCCATACCGTGTTTCATCAAAAGGTATGTAATTGACACGCTCTAGATGAGGGCGATGAGTATTCTCCAAAAGCTCGGTGCGGTGGACTCGTGGAGTCTTGCATACTGCATTCAAGTTGGACTCGATCGTCCTGGGGGGAAGATAGTCAGTTGATGGAGAGGCTTATCACATAGTAGATTGACTAACTCAAGCTCGTTCTGGCTCGAACGGACCACAGGGCTAGCAGTGAGTCCCAAGATCCGAGGTACGGCATTTGGGCCGAACCTCAGCAGGGTAGGATGGTAGTGATTTTGCATAATCTTATTAGCCGGATGGCGTCTCGTACAATGGTGGGCTGAATTACATGTTATATTAGTCTGGATTCCTGTATGCGTTGAGATGTGTCACGTACCCTCGTCAAAAATAAGGAGAGAAAGTCGGGACATGCGGACAAAACCATGGCCTAAAGCATCAGCAAGGACAGCATATGTTGAGACAACCACGCGGACATCCTTGAGTACTTTGTCCCAGATACCCTGTTCAGTCCATCGATCGACATTGTCTAGACCGGTCAACACTTTAGTTTTCACAGAGACTATCTGGCTAGTGATAACTTCATGTTGTTGAAGGCTCAATGCGACAGTCGGGGCAAGAAACCAGACAAGCTGTGACACATGTGAGCCGAGAAAAGAACATAAGGATTAACGAATTCATTCACTTTGCCTGGAGAATTGCATTTCTCAAGCTCATCTATAATCCGAAGAATAGCACTAAAACAAAGGTCAGGAAAATGTGCCGATAAAGGAAGTGTCACCCCCAAACATGCATATGAGTCTTTCCACTCCCTGTGTCCATCTATCAATAGTCAGTACATGTATTCTGAGATCTCAAGCCCCGAGAAAACATACCGCGACAATGATATTCTCCTTGCGGCTAGCATCTAACATTTCGAGCTGGTACCCACGAGACCGGTAAGCGGCAGCACCATCACTACTCAGACCCGTGGAATCCATGATGAATAACAAGTCCAAAATAAGAACATAAACAGTAAGACGCTTAGTGTATTGTAAAAAAAAAAAAAAGGAGATGAGAGGAATCTCAAGAGATAGGAAGCTGTTTGTTGGCGGGGGGAGCTACGGCATCCGGCAGCGGCCATCGCGCAGCTTCCGTCCAATAACCATCGAGGCCTGTCCGATTCCCTTTTAAGCGTTGTATACTTCGTTTACAATGTCAAGAGACTGAATCTTGTCCAAACTTGACACATCACGTTGCCCTTTTCAATTTTTCTTCTCCTCTCTTCGCCCTCAAAGGAGTCTCCACCTTCATTAACCTCTCATTTCATCTTCATCAACTTCGAACTTTGTCTTCCATCTTCCGTCGCCTTCCCTCGGGGGACGAGCTGGCGGTAGATGGTGAAGTCGCGGGCTTGCGTGGTGAGGTCCTTGGAAGTGGTTGATGGGATTGTGGTGGTTGGGTTGGGTTAGATTATAATCGACAGCCATCCCATTTCGGTCTCCCTGATATAGATCTGATTTAGGGGCAATGGAGGGGCAAGTCCGCGGTTCTTTTGATTGGTGCGGGCTGTTGTATATCGCGGACCTTGGCCTCCATTGACACACTGCACATGCACTATTTCGATTGGAGAAGTCAGGCTAGTTTGTCACTGTTGAACAAGGGCCAAGAATAGTGTCTTGCAGAACAAATTGCTTGCACTGCAGGGTGCTACGATCTGCCTGCTTTATGGATTGTTAGATAAGCGCTTTACCTCGTCCGATGGCCCTTTGACCGTGCGGTTAGTGTAAGCAAGCCCGTGAGAAAGAGGACTGTAAACATTATTTTCATTTTATTGTCTACCGTCTCACAACACCGCTATTCAAAGATAGCTTTCAGCGCGGGAGTATTCCTCCAAATCTGTAAACTCAATGTCTTTGTACAACCCGGTGGGGTATACTTCGCAATGCCGCGTCTAACCCATTTTTACCTTGCTTTTGTTCTGATTAAATACCCAAATATATAGGAAAGGATATACTGTCTCTGGAAGAAGAGTAGTCACAATAATCGCGATGCTCCAAAACGATCCCACATACTCCCAGTTTCGAGGGATGTTGAGATACCGCCATATGAAAAGACCATAAGCCGTGAAGCAACCTAAATACCGCATGAGCCTGCAATGACAATTAGTAAAACCTACTAACCACGGCGCCGGGAAAAGCAAGCTGCGTACCAAATCTCAAGGGAATGGCCCAGTAGCGAACGATGTTTCACCAGCCCATACACATACACCCACCCAGCCGGAAGTTGCAAGAGGATACCAGTCCAATATGCTGTAATTTGCTCTCGGTCGTCTGGGTATAGATATCCCAAGTACCTCAACCCTGCTAGAGCGGTTATACAGTATACAAGCATCTCTCCGGCAATGCGCTTTCCTTGATCGGGGCCATGGACACGCCAGAGAGCAAGCGCGACAAACGCGAGGTCTAGCTCAAACCAAGCAAGAAAGCATATTCTCTCCAGCCACGTTGATGTAGTAGCAAAGGCGTAGTATAATTCATACGCCAATGTCAAAGACCTAAAGTAGACAGTCAGTCACCCAGTGTAATATACCGTGAGAAGTTTGCCAGCGTACATAACCTTGATCGATCCGGGCAAAACCCCATCTTTAACAGCTCGCATCATAAGAAACACATATAAAAGGGCGTATATTACCCCGCAGGATATAATAAGACCATCCTGGACGAAAAGGTAGCTCTCGGGTGGGTTTAGACGCGCATCGGCGGGTTGCACCACCAGGTGGCGGATATACTCCGTTAACCAAAAGTCAGACATATCTTCGGCGATCGACAGAAAAGCGAAACTATTGATCCAACCAAGTTGAAACAGTTTTGAGATGCCTGGGATAGACCTAAATAAGAAAGGCAGAGATCTTACAGATGCATATGACATCATGATGATGACATGATAAATATATCTAGAGCCTTACAAAGAAAATACGATTGATTATAGAAGTCTAGAGGCATACACTTATCAATAGAGAAGCGGTCCTCTATCTCCAAATTTTGACGATCCTCTTCGTTCGCCTCTGTGCTAGGACATGTTAGGGATATCAAGTAAACTGATCCAATATCCCCAGCTCTAGTAGCCCTACAAAGCCCGGTTAGGAAATCGTGGGACCTAGAAGACAAAGTATTCCTAGGAGCATCGAGCTTAAAGTAGCAATAATTATTAGGTGGCCGAATAGCAAGCTCTATTATAGCGCAATTAATTACAGTCATTTTACCAGAATTGAAGATCACATTGAAATGCCAGCCTTTTCTTGATGGGGCCATCTAAAAGTGACTAAAGCGGAAAGGGAAAGCAAAGAAGTGGAAATCATATACATAGGGGAAGGCTGTTTGTACCGTCAAAATTCTTACATCGAGGTAGTTGCACTTGGTTGGTTGGCTGGATCGAAATAACCGAACTGTTTACCATGACCATCTGCTAGAAGGCAACATGCAAGAGACCTTTGGCAAACTTCTGGTTCGCAAGGCTCATGCACAAGCCCCGATAATTCACCGGCACGTTGGGACAGTACTAGAATACGGGGCCAAGTGTGAGGTAGCAGGCAAACTCTGTTGGCCTGTTGCCGCAAGACAAACATTCTTCCAAGGGGCTGAAGGCCAAGCCCCAGGAACTTGATCGCTGCCTCCCAGCCGATTACTCACCACTCAAACAAGGCCCTAAAGCTGCACGAATCGAAGCCCTGACAACAGACACTAAGACGTTCGGAATGCTGTTTCGCCGAAGGACTATTGAGTAATGGCCGCAAATGCTAGGTGCTGTTTGGTTACTTAGACACCAATGTTTCTCTACCCATGTCACATCCCATTGATTCCCCAAGGATGCTTAAGTCGTTGCCTAATTCCGTTAGTAAAGAAGAAATGATGACAATCCCTCGATTCCTACGCTTTGTCACTATCATGTGAGCAAAATTAATAATATTGGATCAGGGCCAAAAAAAAGCATTTCGTTCAAGCTTTCTAATCTATCTATTTTATAAAAGCGAAAGATGTAAAACAACTCCGTATAACGTTGGACATAGAGTGCAGTCGATTGGTGGCAAGGCTAACTAACTAGTCATATCCGGCATAGCAACATAGCAAGGGGGGGCGGGCTGTCTTATAAGAAGGGTCTCTCGCACTTAGCCTAGAACACTGTGTCATCATTTATTTTCCTTCCATAAACCAGTCTAGACCTATTTCTCTCTCGATGACTACAGCAATCCTCCGTTGGCCGACACTGGTCCTTGCGATCCTTTTCCTGACAATTATTGGTCAATCTCAAGCCACGCTCTGCACTGCTGTGTGCCAAAAGAGCCCACAGAGTTGTCCAGATGGTGAAGTAAGATCTCTTATTCTCGTCCAACTTATTCTAGTCTCGATGATGTACTGACCATGTCTTTTTACTCTTTCTCAGAGAGCATCAGGCTCCGAGGTTCGTCTTCTAACTAACCGATCTTTTGCAACCGGTACAATTTTAACTGGGTTTGTATACACAGGGCTGCTGGGGCTGCTGTCAGCCTGTCTAGTACCAGTGCACGATCATAGCAAGGAGCTGTAAGCGAGCCACAATGGTTATACTGGTAGCCAAGAGTTTGACGAGCAGGATGAGCCTCTGACATAGCTCTTTCATCAATAGTTGACTTCGAAATTTTCATGACTTGACGGGATATCTTCATGATCGCAAAAGCTGGACAGTGATTCTGTGATGGAATTTCTAATATCTTTCTGGTTTATTTCTCTTGACTTCTTTTGTACGGTTGGAGCTATATCATATTTCGGGACGGACCGAGTTGAGACCCCTACCCTTCGAACGTACGTTTCCACCAAGTAACCGAAATGTTTATGAACAACCCACTGGCTACATGAGCTGTAATATCTAATCAAGCTGGTAATAAAATTAGGATTGTTCCACAGTAAGGAGCGTGAAGCGCATCCGCCTTGCAAAATTACAAAGCTCTTCATATAGTTACCTATTCAGTCTTGGTGTTTGACATGAAGAATTGACTCGTGGTTCAACAACGTTCCATTCTCCGAACAGAATTAATTATTAGTCTAAATGACATCATTAGAAATAAGAGTGTCTCCTAACTTATTATGTATACATATATCAATTCTCAGCTTCGGTGCTCAACAAACCATGAACTGAATGGCTCATTATCTCCTTTGTAGCACTCATAACGATGGCCTCCTCGCAATATCTTGCCCTCACCGAAACCGAGCCTGCCAATTTGAACAGCCGCATCGGCTGATGATGTTGACACATCCCGGACAACGCCAGACAACTCGTCTAGCTCGGGACATTTCTCAGTATTGCGTCCAACTAGCAAAGGGAAAGCCTTATCGCCAGAAAAGGCGCCGAATCGTAGCATCACAAAGGAATCTAATCTCTCAGTCCATCGTGGGTAATAACCAGCGTATAGTGACAAAGCTAGCAGTGGTAGCAAGTAAAGTCCCATCAAGATGGAGACTACGATGATTCCCGCGGATGAGATTGATGGAAGATCCATATCAGTGCCCAAATCTTGGTTGATATACCATCTACCCCCCGACTGAAAAGAAATTCCTGGTTGGCAAGATAAGCGGCAGATGTGAAGGCATTCGAAATCGAATCCGTGCCTTGTTGAAAACGATCAATCCATTCGGCAATCTGTGACCCAGCAGGGTACCAGGTGCCATTTCCAGATATCCCAGCAGCTATACACCCCAAAGAGGAAGATGCAAACAGATTGGTGAGTGGGGCGTTCGCAATGCAGGTATATCTCAAGTTTGACGGCGCCTCACCCGTGACCTTTTCGTCTGCCTCAAGAGCTGCGACAGTTGCCGCAAATGTGTCGACAAAAGACCCAGGGCCGAAGGCTGCTAGGGCGGCCACTAACAACGGCCCTTTCTTATCTGTTGAGATGGAACTCAGCGATGCATCTTTGAGAGCGCTTGCTGTGTTTTCATCACGGCGGCGATAACCATAGTCATCTGGAAATGACTGAATTTTATCTTGCTCTACACAATGCTGGTCACAAAGATCCAGGGGATCTTGATCCAGCAAGGGACCAGGGACACCCTTGTTCATATAGTTGGGCAGTTCAAAGAAGCCGGCCGTGGTGTCCACAGTGATTCGGTAAAGAGCCTTATTCCCTGCACCTTGACCAGAATAACCACCCGAGGCGTACTCTTCTTGTGTCATATTGAGATAGAGGACCTCGGAGAAATCCTGCCGGGTACGTCCCACCCGCCAAGGTGATTCCGTCATATTTCCTGGCATGCATGCAATAACGCCCCAAGAGTAAGTAGCGTACCACGAGTACGAGGACGAATACTCCGCATAAAATCTATCGGGGGGTGGATGGCCGGAATTGCAGGCGGCTGGGAAATCAGACTCTCGTATGAGCTCATATGTAGCCGTGGAGTTCACACGTGGGGCAAATTGACGAATCAGTCCTGTATTGAAACCACTTGGAATCTGGGAATAGAACGTCTGAGGAGACATATTGTTGAAGGTCAAAAATGGTACTCCACTGTCGTTACTCCACAGGTTAGGTTGGTAGCTATCGCCGTTCGCTTTGTTGAGGGCATCGCGGACATCCAACACGTCCTTGCCGTCTTTTTTTGGCTGTAAATACCCATAACCACTCCCCTTGAAGTCATAGACAGCAGCTCTCTGCTGGGGATAAGTCCGGACTTTGACACACTGTGAATTGAGAAAGAGAGACTGGATCGGATACGTGATGAGGCCAAACACCCAGATGAAGATTGCGACGGCCAGAAGTGTGCTGCCGTGTTGCCTCCATCTTCCACAAATGAGTGCTCGATACAGCGAAAAGTCCATCCACTTGCGGTCAGCCAACGTTGTGACTTGGCGTAGCCGGAGGCCCATGGAATCTTTTTGATTCTGCGCAAAGATTACAGCGGCACTAGCACACACTGCGGAAATCCAGGGAAGAGTAACGACTTGAATGAACGTCTGGATCGTCCGCACAGAACGATAAATCTGCCGGTCTTGACGGAAATCGGCTTGATTCCTATCATCGTAACCGTAGTATGAGCTTTCGATCGAGTACCCCCAGGACTTGGCTTTGACGGGGCGGAATGACAGGGTAACTGTCATGGCCCAGGCATAGACGGCGAGCCCCACATAAAAAATTGTGAATAAAGATACCCAGGCTGATCGATGAAGCAATGTACTGTGCCCTCCTAAAATTTGTCCCGTTGACCGCGCCTGGCTATATGATGGAAGCTCCTCATCATGTAGTGGGGACAACTCGGATGAGGAATCGTGTCCAGTGTGTTCATGTTCCTCGTGCTGGGTGTAGCTCGGGAGTCGCCGCAGCGGGACCGAGCTGGTTGTCTCCATCTTGCGATTCGGGAAGAAAATCAAAACTAAACTGAAAATGAAAACTCTTAGCCCTTAGCAAATGTTCTCCTTTTTATTCCCCAAACGCCACTGCAGCTAGAGGCTGGGCATAAGCTGCTAACCGAGCGCCCTGCGAGTCGTGGGGCTCTGAGCGCCCTATGGTTACATTAATAGATCCATATTTGGCAGTTTATGTAGCGGATGTTTAAATAATGCAGTACTATTGGCCAGGGTTTACCCCGGCTGTAAGCACTTTGGGCAGTTTCGGGCGTTCAGCCCCTTTTGCCCTGCAGTTCTGCATTGAAGAATAACCCCGTATGGGCTCACATGAAAGATCCTCTGTTTAATTATCTCTTTAACCACACCTACCATGCCTAAATCTAACCATCTCATTATCAGATTAAGAAGGCTATTAACAAATCAGGATTAGCCTAATATCGCGAAAACTACGCGAGAATTTGCGGTCCCCGTCAACTTTGACGAAAACCTCTGTCCATAACCTACCGGTCGGTTAGTTTTGAAGAGAAGGCTTTATAATATATTGTTTACTTTCATGCAGTAGGAGCTTCGATAAATCCCTGTCACCAAATGTTCATTTACGACAATTGAGTATGCCATCAAATATTTGGATCATTGTACCTCGGCTGGCTCCTATGAAGTTGTGTCGGCCATTTCACTTCGCCCCCTAATTCATGAGCAATATCCAACACCAGACTCGGATTACGCGCAAATTCGCGGGCGATGATGACGACATCTGCTTTCCCGGAGGCTACGACATCTTCAGCTGTCTTGCCATCCCGGATCATACCCACGCTTGCAGCAAGGAGCCCCGGAACTCCGTCCTTGATTTCTTGCGACAGATGTGCCTGATAAGCTGGACGAAGCGGAGGTAACTGTTGATCAGGCACTAAACCGCCCGAGCTCACGTCTATTAAGTCGACCCCAAGGGGCTGTAGCAACTGGCATAGTCGGACGGATTGCTCAGAGGTCCAAGACTCTCGGTCGGGAATCCAGTCTGTGGCGCTGAGACGATAAAAGAGCAAAGTTGTGTCCGGAATAGCGGCACGAATGTCCTGTACAACTTCCAATGCGAATCGCGTACGATTTTCGAAGCTGCCGCCGTACTCATCAGTGCGCTTGTTGGTCAGAGGTGAACAGAACTGATGAATGAGATAGCCATGAGCACCGTGTATCTCGATCACATCAAAGCCAGCTTCTACAGCAAGCTTTGCAGCATTGACAAAATCGCCAATCGACTTCTGAATCATTTCCTTGGTCATCGCGGTAGGCGTCGGCCAAATTCCATCATTTTTATAGGGGAGATTGGACGGCGAAATCAGGTCCTCTGGGAACCCATTTTCTTCTTTCCTTGCTGGCTGGTGGCCAAGCCACGGAGCAGTCACACTAGCTTTCCGCCCGCAGTGCTGCAATTGCACACCAGCCTTTTGCCCCTGGGAGTGGATAAAGTTGACCACGCGCCGAAATGACGGTATCTGGCTAGCTGTCCACAGCCCTGCATCTTCCATTGTGTTTCGACCTTCAGCTGAGACAGCTGTGGCCTCGCAAATCGTGAGTGATGCTCCTCGGGATGCGTAGGAACCTAGTTGCACCAAATGCCAATCGGTCAACTCGCCCGTCTTGGGGCAGGAGTACTGGCACATGGGAGAGACCCAAATCCGGTTCTGAAACGTGGTCGAGCGGATGGTGATTGATTCGAAGATTCGGGGAACCGGTTGACTCTCATCGTACATGGATAATAGAGACCCTGCCGGAGGCGACTGGACGGGTGTAAAGAAGCCATGGTCTCCCGGCATGGGCTCATTGATACTTAGATCTTTACTTCTATTTGAGCCTGCCATTCTAGAAACAAAATCAATCGACGTGAAGTAATCTTTTGTATTTCAGGGGCCAGCATCGGCAGTCGACGGAGGGAATCGTATCAGTACCAGGTGACCTCGGGCGTGAACAGCCATTATCTATTTGGCCTTCAGATTCTCTTGAAGGTTATTGATTTCTAATCGATCAAGGGGAATTCCAAGGGTATTCGTCGCAAAGCAAAGAACTCGATCTAGCTTCTTCGGTCCAGATCGGAGTGACTCCGGAGTGACTAAAATAGGAATAGGTGGAATTTTCGGCTACCAATGTAGTTTAGGTAGCTAGTTAATGAGTTAAATTTCAACTTGATATCGCAATAATGGTACTCTATAAGGTCTTTCGAATAGCATAATGATTTTTTTCGGTGGCCTTTTACCTCTTTAGAGTGTTTATATTGGAGAGAAATTTGTAACTGAGAGAACGATATATATTTTTAGCTTACCATCATTTTGCAATATCATGACTAGGCGACTTTTCGATCTAATCGATTTAGAATTCTAAAAGACTTCCACGAGAAAATATACAGAAGAAATAAGCGTGATAAGGATATGGTTGTTGGGGTATATGTGTGGAATTTTGTTGAGATGGCACATAACTAGGGATCTCCAGGTGTTGGGGATTCACATATGAAAGGTATATGTGGTTTATGGTTTATTTAACTTCAAAGCCTAACAGAAATTGAGAAAAGCGCTCCTAGGCTGGGTTTTTAGAGAGAGGGAGAGAGCTAATGTTTAGAGCACAAAAAGAGAAAGAGCCAAGACGAAGAGAAAATCCTGGGGTGAACGTGTATTTTGGTACCTTTTGTATGACGTACCTATACAAAATGTACCTAGTCTATTCCGGTTCACGATTTTACCTAGGAAGCTCATATTAGTCAGATCCGAGGGCCAGACCGTTATAACATTCCTATGTTCTCCATCTAGAAATGGCCATTTGGTCAGCATGTAAATCCAGTCTCGGCGTATTCCGCCAATGAATTCTTACTCAACTCATGAGGTCACCCCATTATATTCTTCCCCGCACGCCCCAGATCTTTCACTGTATAGCCAATGATAAGATGAAGAAATACAAAACGGCTTCTTTTTGATATTTTTCTTATTAAATTAAACTAGTATGAGAAGCCGCCCCCAAACAGAGAAGGTACACGACCCGTCGGTCCAAGGGGTGTGTAGCATTTAAACTGCGGGGGTGATGCTCTTTCCCCATTCCCAGTTTTCTTAACTCTCTTCCTCATTTTATTCATAACAAACCTACATCATGGGTGAATGTCCTGTTGCACACAAGAAGAGCAATGTTGCGGGTGGTGGCACTCGGTATGGTCCTTAATTCTTTAATTCAAATTCCCTCGGCACATTTTATATACCTATATACCCCCTCGCGCGGCTATGATTCGAAATACTGACCTGATCATCCAGCAACACTGACTGGTGGCCAAATGCCTTGAAGCTGGGTATTCTCCGCCAACATACCGATGCCACCAATCCTCAGAGCAAGGACTTTGATTATGCCGCTGCTTTTAAGACCCTCGATTATTGGGGCCTCAAGAAGGACCTCCACGCCCTTATGACCGACTCCCAAGACTTCTGGCCCGCTGACTTTGGTCACTATGGTGGCCTTTTCGTTCGCATGGCCTGGCATAGCTCGGGAACATACAGAGTCTTCGATGGACGTGGTGGTGGTGGCCAGGGCCAGCAGCGTTTTGCACCATTGAATTCTTGGCCCGATAACGTCTCCCTTGGTAGGTTTTCATTAATAAGCAAGGTGACAGTCCAATCTAGAATGCTGACATGTATCCCCCATTTCCAGATAAGGCACGCCGACTACTTTGGCCCATCAAGCAGAAGGTGAGTGCTACCCATAGCCTTATATGTTAGATTTATCCCTAATTTTGTACCTAGTACGGCAACAAAATCTCATGGGCAGATCTTCTGCTTCTAACTGGCAACGTTGCCCTGGAATCTATGGGCTTCAAGACATTCGGATTTGCTGGAGGTCGTCCCGACGTCTGGGAAGCCGATGAGTCGGTCTACTGGGGAAGTGAGAACGTCTGGTTCACCAACGACGCTCGTTATGAACCCGAGACCGAAGAAGAGAAAGCGAAGCAGAGCGATATCAAGACTCGCGATCTCGAGGACCCGCTGGCCGCGGTCGTCATGGGCTTGATTTATGTCAATCCTGAAGGTCCTAATAGCAACCCCGACCCTGTTGCTGCTGCTAGAGATATCCGTATCACATTCGCTCGTATGGCTATGAATGACGAAGAGACCGTCGCCTTGATTGCTGGTGGCCACACTTTCGGAAAAACACATGGTGCTGCCCCTGCTGATAATGTTGGAGAGGAGCCCGAAGCTGCTGGCATTGAGTCACAGGGTCTGGGCTGGAACAACAAATACGGCTCCGGAATTGGCCCTCATGCTATCACAAGTGGACTGGAGGTGACCTGGACCAGCACTCCCACCAAGTGGAGTAACACTTTCTTGGAATATCTCTTCAAGTTCGACTGGGAACTGACCAAGAGTCCCGCTGGCGCTAACCAATGGGTGGCCAAGAACGCGGACGATATTGTTCCCGATGCCTTTGACTCAAGCAAGAAGCACAAGCCTCAAATGCTGACCACCGATCTTTCTCTGCGTTTCGATCCTGCCTACGAGAAAATCGCCCGCCGTTACCTTGAGCACCCTGATGAGTTCGCTGATGCATTTGGCCGCGCGTGGTTCAAACTGCTACACCGTGACATGGGTCCTCGTGCTCGCTGGCTGGGCCCTGAGATCCCCAAGGAGGTCTCTCTCTGGGAGGATCCCATTCCTGCTCCTACATACGCTCTGATTGATAATGGCGACATCATTGCCCTGAAGAACGAAATTCTCGCAACCGGTATTGAGCCCACCAAGTTGATTGCCACTGCTTGGGCATCGGCCTCTACCTTCCGCGGCGGTGACAAGCGTGGAGGCGCCAACGGTGCCCACATCCGTCTCGCCCCCCAGAAGGACTGGGATGTCAACAACCCAGCCCAGTTGCAGGAAGTCCTCAGTCTGTTGGAGAACATCCAAAGAAGCTTCAACGGTGCCCAGAATGGCGAAAAGCGCGTCTCGGTGGCTGATCTGATCGTGCTTGCTGGATCTGCCGCCCTCGAAAGATCCGCTGGTATCCCCGTTCCCTTCACCCCTGGCCGCAACGATGCCACCCAGGAGCAAACCGATGTCGATTCATTCGGCTGGCTTCGGCCCTTCGCCGATGGCTTCCGCAACTACGGGCACTCGACTCGCCGCGTGCGCACCGAGCAGCTCCTCATCGACAAAGCGCAACAGCTGACTCTCTCCGCCCCTGAATTGACCGTTCTGGTTGGTGGTCTGCGTTCTCTGAACGCTAACTGGGATGGATCAAACCACGGTGTTTTCACCTCCCGCCCTGGCCAGCTGAGCAACGACTTCTTCGTCAACTTGCTCGACATGAGCACTGTCTGGAAGCCAACTGGAGACGACAGTGAGCAGTTTGAAGGTTTCGACCGCAAGACTGGCGCCAAGAAGTGGTCTGCTACCCGTGTTGACTTGATCTTCGGTCACCATGCTGAGCTCCGTGCTCTTTCTGAGCTGTACGGCAGCGCCGATGCTCAGGATAAGTTTAAGAAGGACTTTGTTGCTGCCTGGGCCAAGGTTATGAATTTGGACCGTTATGATATCCCTTATTTCCCTACGACCGACCGTCCTCGTCTGTGAATAATCTGTTGATCACGATATCGTTCCTGTAGTGTTATTTAGCTGAACCATGAGTGAACCCTTTTGTTTCATTATGACCGCATCATTCAAATACTCAATGTATTGGCGAAAATTCTCCCGTTCCAGAAAGTTGCCCTTTTCTGCTGCCGTATAAAGCCCTGGTTCCTTGACTTCCAGCCATTGGCCTAGAGAGAGAGATCACTGACGGATGCTTCTTCATCTGAGAGTGAGTCCGAAATGATTTGCAAATTTGACCGGCCCAACGCACGGCCCAGCTCTCAACGGTAGTCGGGTCGGTGCGTTGGGCTGAGTACAGTATGATCGACATACGTACTGGAACTCAAATTGGTGACCTGCATTGACAAACAGGCATATTCTGCCAAAAGGCGCAAATTTAATTATGTCCGCACTGTGTAAATGCGATTAGGCCATCGTATTCCTCCAGAGAAGGCTAAAAAGTACGAGATCTCGGCGAGAGAGAGAAACACAGTGTAGTATTCGATAAAATCAGAGAGGACGGGAGAGGGGAGGAAGGAGAGAGAGTTTCAACGGCCTAATCAATCCTCTTGACTGACACCGACCAGGAATGTATCTCAAGCAGCACTCGACAGGCCAACCCAGACCTTGGACAAAGCGAGGGAAATAGACTGCACGACTCAAAAGGACGCAAACCGCTGTGAAAAATCAAGCCTCGCTCCTAGAACTTCTCTCTAGCTAGCAACAGAACCTGATGAAGCAGTTTGTCCTTAACCATCAGGAACTGAAGCACCTAATCCATGTAGGCAAGCGCGAGCAGTTTCCCCTTTTAACGACAAGTTAACGCATTAACTTCTTATAGACAGTACAAGAAATACCGCCGCAGGTAAAAATACAACGGCCCGTGATTCTTCTTGATGCCCTAGGGAAGATATCACACATCCACTTCGACTCCATCCACTCCAGCGAGGCCTTTCTCGCGGTTCTAAGGATTCGATTTAAAGACCATGTCGTGAGCGGAGCCGGTCTCACGATGTTTGACCATTTTTTTAACTTTTGAGATACTGCCGGTGACCACTATATAGATATCTCAAGACAATGGCCGACGGTCTTTAAGGCTGGTCAGCATGTCGAGATGAGTATGATATTTCGGTGGCTGAATGCTCCTGATGGCTGTCTGTCCTGTGGGATGCAAAGTACATCAAATAGAAATGGCACTGTCTTAGAGTGGTAAGATAGATCTTGCTATGTTCGTTGGCCTGTCCAGCTAATGAGTTCCACTTGAAGTGAGAAATGTGGCATGTGCTACCAGACACCGAAGTTGAAAACCCAAACTGCGACACAAAGCGGTCTTACTGGATCAGGAGACCAGACATCCCACTCGAGTTGGGAATTGGAAAGAAAACCTCAACCTTATGAAGAAGTTGAAGACTTGAGCAACAACTTTCGTCGCGTGCACGTTTTGTCAAGAGACCGTTTGCAATCGAACAAGCCTTCTCCACAGATGCCTGACTATCGCACCTCAGCTACAAATACCGGAGATAATTCTTGTCCTTCCGATCCAGATGCCTACATCAGGCGAACTACTAGACGCTCGATGGAGGTTTGGTGGCATTGCGGTAATTGTGGGAATCTAAATAACCCCGCCCTATCGCCGAATGGATGCGGAACTTGTTTGCATGTTTGGTGTGCGCATTGCTGTGAAGCGGTCAGGAGTATGAGATCGAATGCCCCGACGACTGATCTAGCTGTTAGATTAAGGCTAGAGGTATACGTGTATCCATCCATCCATCCATGCTGTACAATGTGAGTTCGTGAGAAACCCGTCGCCCGACCGAGACCTAGCGATATTAAGCATTTGGTCTTCAGGCCTGCGGACAGAGAATGGCCTCTAGTTTCTCTTTTGTTGCATCGATTTGGTACACAATTCATGAGCGTCAGATTCTTGGTCTTAATCATTTTCTTTGAAACTTCAGTTATTCTTAATGCAACTTTTGAGAGTACTCCGTATGCTCATCGTATCTACACCGTAGCATCTGGCTCTTGAACTGTTAGATAGGCTCGATCTACGTGTCGTCCCCCTCACCGTTTTGGGTATATTGGATATCGGAGCAGTGAATATAAACTTTGGTTTTGTACCTGTATAGTAGACATGTCTTCATTGTGTATAGTACCTTGCCCCGTGCCCCTGAAGTTAGATATTCCGAGTCCAGCGGGTGCCAAGGGTTCAGCAGATCAACATCAATTCACTCCCATTTTCCTCTCTCTCCTCCGGACTCCGAACTCCATATGTCTTCAGAACCAATACCTGAATTCATCCTAGCGAGGCCTGGGCTCCAGTCACGGAGCGCCACCAACGAGAAAATGTGATCAGTGCACAAATTTCGGTTGAGTTTCTTTGTTTGACATCCCGACAATCCCTGTTTGGAGCATCGATAGCCTCGACATTCGACCATTCGTTTAACATACCCAATAAATTGTCGAACCAAAGTCATTAAGGGGGCCGGCAATTCGGATTCTTCTAGGATTTTAATTTTGCTAGAGATCATTTATCCCAATAGTTTATAATCCATCTGCGATTCATAATCGTCCAATGAACTGAAAATCTGCCCCAGATCCCCGTATGCTAGCATCATAGACCGTATTTTGCCGCATTTCTCTTTTATGTGACGGAGGATGATCCGCTAGTGGCATGGTCCACCCTCGAGAGCAGCAATCAACCTTATTTGCTCCCACCCCGTGCCCTAAGACGAGAGGCTGAAGGCCAAGTCTCCATTCTGATAGTATCTGTCAGCCAGGTGGGACCTGTGTCTACGCTGTGATTCCATATACCCTTTTCCATTCCCACCGGTTGATGTATCCGCATGGCTCAACCTATTCACACTCCATGGATATCACAATGAGCAGCCTCCCTGTAGAGGTGAGCGCTGTTATAAATGCAAACTTCGTGGTGATCCAGGTCGTGTGTATGTTCGCTATCGGAGGGTCGAATTCAGTGGAAGTTCTGATTCTCATATTCGAGAAGTTCAAAAGGTATCGTGGGCTATACTTCTGGAGCATGCAAATTGCGGCCTGGGGAATATTGTTACATACCTTACCAGCTCAAATTGCCTATGTGCGACTGGCATCTCCCATTCCATTATCACTCCCGTTCATCGTCGGCTGGATCTGCATGGTGACTGGACAAGCGGTGGTGCTATATTCAAGACTACACCTTGTCGTGACCGACATCCGTCATGTACGATGGGTACTATGGATGATCATAACCAATTTTCTCATCCTCCACGTTCCCATGTCAATCCTATATGTTCTCAACCTTGAAAGTCTACCACTTTACCGCCCAGCGGCAATCTACGACCGCATACAGACAACAGGATTCGCCATCCAGGACACAATAATATGCGCCATCTACGTCCGCGAATCACTCCGAGCACTCAAGCCCGTCTTCGAAGCCAAAGGCCCCCAAGGGCGAGGAATCATCTACCGAATCGTCATCGCTAATCTCTTCAGCATCCTGCTCAACGGATTAATCCTTGCCGCCGAGTTCAAAATGCACTACATCGTCGTCAGCTTCAAAACAGTCGTCTACAGCATCAAACTGAAACTCGAATTCCACGCTCTTATGCAGCTCCGGGAGCTGACACGCACGTATCCATGCGCTCTATGCCAAGGGGCTCATGGCAGTCCTCGTGGGTCACCCGAAATCAATATCTTCGACATGTTCATGCGTAATCCCCGGTCACAGCATACCGAGATGCAAACAGTGTCCGGTATCACGGGGGCCTCGAGCATGGCCGATTCAGCGCGCTGCTCCACATATCATTTCCACGAGGCAATGCCCCAGACGATATCGACTGTGGATTCTGATGAGTCACAGACGAGTGCTCGGCCTCGGATCCACTCGTTGGATACGCATTCTACAGTTGAAATCACACTGCTCGAGCGCCCGAAGTAAGAGCAGGTTTTGATAAACTTGAGGGACATCATTTCGCGTGCATGATTTCATATACTACATGATGAACTTCGACTGAGGATAGTCGAATCATCAGTCATCATTGGGCGGCCACCTTTTTCGCTTTATACCCTTGTCGTTATAAACATGTATGTTTTTCTTGCTTTTGCTATCTGTTTTAATTTGTACTTCTTCTGTGGTTTGAAAGATTTACCCTTTCATACAATATACTGATCGAATTTTCATGTAACGTCCGCCTCTTCGAACAATTTTGGAATGCATAGTGTATGGCACAGCATCATGTGGTTGTAGCGCGATGAAATAATAGCATAAACGTGAACATGGAATGCCAAACAGGGTATCAGTACGAAGATGTTTCCCCGAATGAAATCACGATGAAAGATGACCTATACCCGCAACACGTCTGCCGAGGCCTGCTTATGCATATGGAAAATATCTCACACCGATGTAACAAAGAGACTTGTCATATCCACTGAAGCCATGGCAGCCTCATGAAGGTCTGAATGATAGCGGAGATCGTTCGAAGGAGGGGAAATGAGAGTGCCCGCCGAGGTTCTGAATGTGAGCACGGGAAGTAGACAATGAAAAGGAAAATAAATGAAGTGTGAGATAGACAGGAGTGGGTGACTGAATCCCCTAAACGAACACGGGTGACTGGTTATTTTTCTTTTTCGAGCTATCGAATGGCTTAGTGACAGGCGGACCACCCGGGGTTCTCCCATTCGCCAGGGTTGTAGATCGGCCTTCCCCGGATAGTGACCGTGCACGAGACAAGGGCGGATGCTAGCACTGGCAATAATAGGGAGAAAGTCTTCTCTATTTTGTATACAACCTTGACTATTGCTTCTCCTAAACATCAAAGGTACTTGCATATCACTAATAAGTCGATTGGCGAGGCTGAAAACTCCCCTATATATTTACCTACACTTGCGAGATGAAACCTTTGTATTGACGTGGACGCATTTTTCATCTAGAGAAGATACCGGAAACTATCAATCTCGCGATCTGTCTTGTTCGATAGCTCATCCTGTAACTCAGCCCCCACAGTCATCTGCCCAGGCGAACCATACAGCCTGTCTCGTCGACGGTTCTCCCACTTGTAGTATGAATACAAGCACAGAAGGAAGAAAAGGCTCAAAATCAAGCCTGACATAGAAGCTTTGATGCCAGTCTATAGCAAACAATCATGGCGTTAGTTTCATATTTTTCAATGGAAATTCTAGCAGGAATCAGATGACCACTTACTGGGTATGATGGCTCCTCCGAGGCAAGGAAAAATTGAGGGCCCACGATATTTCCCACGCAATATGCGATAAAGAGTAATGAACTAACGACACTCTTCTTCGAAAATCCGGCCACATTAGACGTAATGATACTCAAAGACATAGGAAAATTGATCGCGTATACGACGGCTAACGTCAAGCCAACCATCCGCCCAACTTGATCATCGGGGTCAAGCTTCCAGATGAGGATTAGGCCTATAATAGAAATAATTGTGATGAGACACATTCCTAATATACGGGAGGATGGAATGAAGGTCACGGTAATCGAGGTAATCAGCAAAAACACGATCTGGGCGGCACCCTGGGGCATTTGCATAATAAGGGCCTTAAGATCAGTGAATCCGAACCCGGCGGTGATAATCGACGTAAACTAAGATAGTATAAGCTTTGAGCCCCAAGGACGATAAGGTGGATACTCACGCTTGTAAGACCACCGTTTGCTAGACTTGAGGAGAAAGAGTTCACAACCAAAAGCCACGTCTGGGGGTCTTTTAGGGCCTCAAGAGCCTGTGACCACTTGAACACGCCAGTATCCATGACTCCGGTTTTGTTCGTCAATGTTCGCTGCACAGCAATAGCACGCTCATTGGGTTTCAAAAATATGGCCTTGGTAGGCGAGTCCGGCAGCATGGCAAACAAGACCAGGCCATAACCTGAAGTGACGGCGCCGAGAATAAGGAACAAGAGTTTCCAGTGGGCAATTGCTGCCGTATTGATAGTCCCAATACCGTAGGCAATCAATCCACCAATGAGTACAGCAACGAAGTTTCCGAAGAACCAGGCAGATTGTCTGAAGCTTGTTAGTGAGTGTCAGGTCCACCGTGATTTGTAAGTCTTACCGTAGGGGCTGTTCCTCACGTTTATAAAACATTCCCGTAAGCAATGTGAAGCCCGGCGCAATTGCCGCCTCGCCTACCCCCAAGAAGAAACGGACGGCCATGAGCCCACTCCAATTAGAGCAAGCAGCATGACACATTAGGACCCCGCCCCAAAGGAAGCTGATATCGTCAGTCTCATCGTGGGCGCTACGGGTCGATCGTTCAATGAGGAAAAACATACACTGAGACTGCGATATATTTCCCAATGGGAAGTCGGACGACAATATATGAACTAGGCCTGTTGTCGGGTCAGTATTCGTGGTGAGAGGTAGATGAAATCTGAATACATACCAACTCCAAGCAAAATACCCAAAATAGAAGATTGCAGACGCCCATGAATATTCTGACCCGTGCATCTTCTACAGGTTCTTGTTAGCATATATTCCTTGGCCCACGGCTGTATAGGAATAAATACCAAATCTTCGCGTAAACCAAACAGGGTCGCCTGACTCAGAGCAAGCTTGTCGAGGAATTGGAGGAAATATGCGACTCCCATCAACGGGACCAGACTTCCTTGGATCAATCACCTACACATATAGATATAGTCTGCCGGAATACTCACATAAGATCGAGCTTCCACAGTACTTTCCGCTCCTCTTCAGGTGTTGATTGAATAGCGAGCACTTGGCCAAGATCGAGGTCCCGCCCAAGTGGCTCGCCCCCTTTCAAATCCTTCTCATCTAGGTTGGTATCGTAAGATTGCATCGCGAAAATGACACAAATGCAAGTCCACTAGACGAGGCACATAGTGCCTTCTTATTCAAAAGCCCACGAAGCCGGTATCGCTCTTGACTTCTTCGCCACAAAGCTCGATTCACTAGTCATAAAGCCCGGTGCTTTTCCGTGGTGGACCCTATTCCATATTGCAAGGGGAAGAAGGTCAAATTCCCTACCAATTAGAACATATGGTTTAGTTTTAGGTTGTTATCAGAATTTCCCCGCGATGTTGATCCCGGAGAACAGGCGAGCCTGCCAATCGGTAATCCATCTCGGCACCCCACAATACGTTGGCAGTCAATTAAAATCCCGGGGTTTCAATCAGCACGGAGCCGATCTGGGGGGACATCCACTTCCCCCTCAGCGGATGTTAAATACGGCAATTGACTTCGCCGTCAATGATCGGCGTCTGATATAGGGGAGGGGTCCAAGCGATGTTGTTATCTATGAGCGAGGCGTTCGAGATGCGCTACCTGCGGCCATCAAAAATAGTACTGTGGCCCATGGCGTTCATAGCAGAGACGTAGCTGTCGCAGATAGGCTTATTGGTTTTCATATCCTTATACACGGCATCCCTAGTCTATGCGTTAGCGAAGCGTATCACAACGGAAAATCGCTAATTATCTTACCATTTGTATTCAACTATGTAGCCAGTAGCCGTCCCAGCAGCCTCAAAGCGTTTGAGCACTTTCTCGGTGAATGGCTTCAGCGTCTTTACAGTCTCCCATCGAATATAGTATTTAACCGTCGTGGAGGCAGGAATTACATTCGGTCTATCTCCACCTCGCAATATAACCCCATGGATTCTTTTGCGTAGGCAGGATCTGCCGTCGCAACATTGAAATCTTTACAAAGGCAAGACACCATAGCATCTAGAGCATTGATGCCCTCCCACGGAGTACCCGAAGCATGCGCCGGTTTCTCAGTGAACGTCACCTCAACGTTGTCGTTTGCGAGATACTACCCCGCGTAGGAACTCGAGTCAATAACACCAGGAGCTCCAGAAAGCACCGGGAATAGATGGATCATGAAGCATGCATCCACGTCTTTGTATGCTCCCGCGTTGATGAGCAGGGGCTTTCTACCGCCACCCTCCTCGGCAGGAGTCCCTAGCAGCGGAACTGAGTATTCAATTTCATCCGAGTAGAGATGACCCATTGCCTCACAGGTAGGTGGAAAGGCCGCGACCGAATTTGTAGCCATCGAATTGTGTCCGGAAGGGCATTGTATTCTGCATTGAAAGCCATGGTACGTCCCCCCTCGCCACGGCTGTGATCACCTCGACCGTCGTCTCAATGCCACAAGCCTTTTTATGAACCTGGTATCCGGCCTCGAGTGACTCAAAAAAAAACGCAGATATTATCGTGGGCACTGTTTTCGTTGAATCCAAGCTCGGGGTTAGACCAGATCTATCGAATGTTAATAAAATCAAGGTGTGCCTGCCAGATATACTACACACCAGACATATCCCAAGGGGGTAGCTTGAAGGATTCCGCGGTGGAGAAGCAAGACCCGTCTCATTCTAATATGCAATCTACACAGCGCCCACTAAGATCCGTAAGTGGACCCCGTAAATAAACTTGCAGAATGGGCCTGAATAGGTCTTTGATCCAAAAAGATCCGCATTTCAACAATCTGCAGATCCGACTCGTCGCGGCCTTCCAAATCCAGGATGTTGAACTCGCGGACTCGGACCGCGAACTGGTCAGGGTCGGCGACGAATGTTGTCTCGGATGTCGCTTCAAACATGACCGTGCGCTTCATTTGGATGTTCCCCGCTAGCGGGGCATAGAGTTGTCCTTTTTGGGCGGTTTCTTCATCTGGGCCGGTCCTCTTGTACGATGTTTCGACAGGCCCTATGTCCCTCCCAAGATCAATATCCCAGGCGAGATGGACCTGATGATGGAATTTACAGATATGACGGCTGCGCACTTCCATGAGAGGAACTGCCTGGCTTGCGGCTGTTGGTGGATCGCTGCCGATGAGGATGGGAGCACTGGGTGTGAAGAAAGGGGTGATTTGATTTTCGGCGGGAGTGAGGCAGTCTAGCGCTGGTAGAAATCGTTGGAGAAATTTAAGACCCGGTGAAGCTGTGGGAGGGATGGACTCGTAGGGGCCATGGTGGATTGTGACGGTGCTTTCCATACTGCATCGACTACGAGAGAAGCTGTTTTGTTAGATCTAGATGATTTCCAACTGATTTTGATCAGTGATAGCATGTCATGGCGACGTAATATTGTCATTGAAGTAGTTACATCATGAAAACCAGCAAATCGTGGGTGTCGATAGACTGAATTAAATAATTATTGTGGCCAATGTAAATATGGCACACATGAACACCATATCGATTTGGCGGAATTTTGTATAGTGGTTTGGTTGAACCACATGTTATTCTACAGTCAGCAGGAATTGACAGCAGGACTGTTTGAATCTCGCGCTGGGATGCAGAAATCAGCATGCATCAGATTACCGATGCGCCGAAAAAGCTGCGCAAATCATTCGTTGAGCGAGCAAGATGGAATCATGAGATTCGGAATTCCAATGAGCGGAATGGGTTTGTTTTGGAAGACTTGCTGAGACGACTTTCTTGGCAAGAGCAAACGAAGCAGGTGTATAACGGTATCGATTACTCTCGAAAGGCTTCGCCATATGGGATCAGCAGAAAGCCGGCGGGAGAGTAAACAACCAAAGCCTGCGTGGTTGCGCCCCTGGGGGATTATTTAGACATGGAAAAATTCATGATCAACAGTCCGATCTCAGGACGGATGCATGCTGTTGGCAGTCGAGCGAGTAGATGGACGAATTCCGTGCTCAAAATTCGGCAGACTCTCCACAGACAGTGTATCCCAGCCCCTTAGTCCCCGTCGCGGCTCCCGTGGGGCTGCATGAGTGACATCCGATGTAATCTGGGTAGGATCCACGAAGCCAGGGTATTCTTCATGGTCGGAAGAAGTGGGTTGCGATCGAGAATTCTGCACAATATTGACCAGCTTCCCGAGCACACCAAACTCGAGCTTCAACTTGATACTGTAGACCATGGCTTTCAACGTGGTCTGCAGGTTGAAATACCCAATGTATTCCACAACGAGTAAACCAACATCGAGCAATATGATGACAAAATTGATAGCTAGCAATTCATACATGATTCGACACCGCCGTCGGTCCTTGTCTGGCATCATTCTGAGTAGCTTCACGGTCTCGGTGATGTAAATTCCTGATATAACAATCTCTTGGGCGCAGAACCAGGCCAGTTGCAACCGCTCCATGACATTGTATCCCCGATCAACTGGCGGAGTGGTAGCGTATGCGTTATAGAAGGTGAGAACGGTCGTTGGTATCAGGAGAAGTATCGCGTCGATGATGATCAGCCAAAGAACAAACCGAAGCAGTTTGTTGCTCTGGACGACCAAATGAAGCCGAGAGTATAGTACTACCGATTGGCCCGGGACCATGACATAGAAGCCAATGGTAGAGATAGTCAAAGAGAGCCATAATGGTGCTAGAGCAAAAAAGCCCAGCAGGTAGCCAATGGCGTGAGGGATTACTCCGAGGACTACCGAGAGCAGAAGCGTCCAAAAATAGAGTCCATGATAATGAGTAAAGGTCAAAAACAACAATATGAACAATTCCAGAGCGTTGTATAACGCGATGGACGTGAAGACAATCATCAATGTCCGCACTGCCACATTATAGTCATGTCCTCCACGGAGCGCGTCGGGAGAATTCGAGATGTTTGAAAAATCCGACATTTCTCTCATGGTCACCGACTCAATCAGCCTGGCTAGTTATTACATTCAATGGTGGAAAGACCGTAGAAAGGGTATTTCATGGCCTGCTTGGTGAGAATCCCGGTACACTGTGCTTGAATTGTACCAGATCCACAGCCATCGTAGTTGTGCTATTCCGAGCAACCCATTTGCGCCAATGGTGTCTATGCTGATTCCAAAGTATCGAGGGTTCCGGCTATTCGGGCAAAAATGGGGGGGGGGGGGGGGGGGGGGACTTCGGAAGGGATTGAATGGAGGATCTGATTGAATGGAGGATCTTATCGTCGCAAGTTCGTTTTTCGAAGGATGTGGAGGTCAATTTGGAGTTTCTTAGGACGAAGAGGTCAGAGACTCAAAGGAAGCAAAGCCAAACAGTATGTAATAAGGTGAGTGGAGAGGGCGAGAAGAAATCCCCAGCGTATTTGCCCTCGGATGCCAAGCTAGACCGAGAAAGGGAACCCTTGGGAACCGCCACACCGGAACTTTGGCCTTTTTTTTTTTTTTTTTTTTTCCATTTTTAGTTCTTTGGGGAAATGAATGTACAGGATCATCGCCCATTTCAAATTTCAAGGTATATTCTCGTATAACAGCCCTGGAGGGTTTACCTCAATTGCCGAACTTTCATGGCTGAGGCTGCAGTGGCTGCAGTACCCAGATACCGTCTAATATCCCCACATTTCTACACCTTTGAAAAGGGATGCAATTTCTATCTTCGCCATTTTACGCTAACCTCCGTATATGGTGGGGGAGTGGGTTCACTCACAATTGGCCAGTTCTGTGGAGAATGACCCGGAACAACCGTGTGTTCGCTTTCATCTATGACGGTCTTGGGCGCCCCCAAACCGTGTTGATCTCTCTATAACAGTTCAGTCGGCGTGGAAATGCTGGAAAACATGTCCATTATACGTCTTCGGCCCGTAGGATCTCCTGGGCGTCGCAGATCTGTTTGCACAGTCCATGATGAGCATCATCCGGACTTCCGCTATGGCTTTGTCTGAAAAAGGGACTTGTCATTCCTGCTACCACCCTGAAATATATTTCCGACCTTTGATCTTTCCGCTTTGCACTCAGCTTTAGAGCGAACTCTTTTAGGCCCAGAATGTCAATATTCTGCATTGGTCTTCTCGGGTCACAAGGTGGATCCCCATCGGCTTCAATCTTATCGACCTTCCGTAGACTGTTTTCCCTTTATGGAATATCGAAACAGCTAGTTTCTTGTGATACTAGCTGTCGACTTTATGTTTCAGCGACGTGTGATCGGTTAGTGAATTAGTGCAGTAAAGCTCGCTGCAGACACTTGGCGGAAATTTGATTGTTGGAGGTACTGGACTCTATGAGAAGTTGGAATTCTAGACTAACACCACGCATGTGATGCTAGGGACTAACATTCAAACCATAGTGTAATAAAGAACGGTGTTCCGAATCCCCTTGATTATACACACGCAGCCTTACCTTAACGTGCCACTAATGAATTAGCGTATCCTTCGGCCTGGGATCTGCATGTACAATCCCTGCAAATGTGACCTAATTAACGAAAATCTCCTGGCTTTGAATTGTCCATTCAGCCGTGTTCTGGATACAAAAAGAGGCATTTTCTTTTCAACATTGCAATCAAATCAACACTGTGCCTCTCCTAAGCATTGATGATTGAATACTGGGGGATGTGCATTTCCAACATATCATAAGCTCCCTATGGGTACCGCGTCATTTTAAGTGCCTTTGGTTGCTGCACTGCACAAGGGGCATTCCAGCTGATCGATGCGGGGCATCTCCAAAGTCATATATATATTTGACGTGTTGCTTGCCCCTCCACCAATTTCTTCAACTCTAGGCGAAAGGCCTCAACATGGAATCTACCGGTAAATACGATTTTATCATTGTAGGAGGTAATAATGCACCAGACACACATGCAGTCTCTCATGCTCACACTGGAACAGGTGGTCCATCTGGTTGTGCCCTGGCTGCAGGGCTGGCCAAATCAGCCCAAAGACCCCAAGTTCTACTTATTGAAGCTGGTGGGCGCAATGATGATAGATCTTTGCGGGTGGACGGAAAGCGCTGGACGACATTCATGCAGGAAAGCATGAATTGGGGGTACAAAACCATACCTCAGGAACATTGCAATGGGCGTGAGCTCGACTATTCCCGTGGTAAAGGCCTGGGAGGTGGCTCGGCAATCAACTTCGGGGTCTACGCTGTAGGCGCGCGGGACGACTACGATGAGTGGGCATCTATAGTGGACGAGGATACCTTTGGGTGGAAGGAGATGCAGACCCGCTTCAAAAATTTGGAGACCTTCAGTGGTGCTGTCACACTCTCGAAGGATCGGAAATATGCCAATGCGGTTGCTTCCGATCACGGCAATTCGGGTGCACTACACGTCGGGTATGCAGAGGATTGGGAAAGGGACTTGTCACTTTCGCTAGATGCATTCGAAGCGGCTGGACACAAGCTCAACCTGGATCACAACTCGGGTAACCCCATCGGCATGGCCGCCACTATCAACTCCGCTTGCAAGGGAAAGCGCACTACAGCTGTTGACTTGCTTTTGGATGCTCCCGATAATTTTGTGATTGTCACAGACAGCCCAGTACAGCGGGTTCTATTGCAGGGCAAAAAGGCTATTGGAGTAGAGACTCGGGGCAAGCAGTGTATGTTCCATTCTGAACGTTTCCTATTCACTTCATCTGATGTGGTTTACAGACTTCGCTTCCCGGGACGTGATTCTCTCTGCAGGTTCACTCGACACCCCGAAGATCTTAATGCATTCTGGAATCGGACCAGCTGCAGACCTCGAGAAGTTCAACATTCCAGTAGTCAACGATCTCGCCGTCGTTGGTCAGGGTCTCCGAGACCACTATTTTGTTCCTCTGATTTTTGCCCGTAACCCCGAGACAAATGACCGTAATTCATTCTTCCAAGACCCCGCCGCCATGGAAACTGCAATGAGACAGTGGGAAGACAACAACGCCGGCCTGTGGACCCGATACAGCTGCCAGATCGGGTCTGGCTGGTTCAAATCAGACCGCATCACCTCCTCACCCGAATTCAATGCACTTCCAGCATCCATCCAAGAATTCATGAACCGCGAAACCATCCCCCACTACGAGATGATTACCCACCTCCCCATTCATTTCATGCTGCCCGATATGTTCAAAGATTACAGCTATCTGGGTCTCGCAGCATTCATGATGAACGAACAGTCCCTTGGGGAAGTGCGCCTGCAGTCCTCCGATCCAAACGTCCCGCTACTGTTCAACCCGCGGTTCCTCGAGCATCCTTTCGATCGTCGTGCCTGTATCGAAATCTACCGACACTTGCTGGAAGTTAGTAGACAAGAGGCCTTTGCGAAGGACACTATCTCCACCCTCATCGGGCCCGCGTCTGATTCCGACGAGGACATCCTCCAGTTTTGGAAGGACTTCCTCTCTTCTAGCTGGCATATGACCGGCACAGTGAAGATGGGCAAGGCCGATGCCAGTGACGCTGCTGTTGACACGCATTTCCGCTTGCGGGGCATGGAGAACCTCCGCGTCGCTGATATGAGTGTCGTTCCTGTTCTCACTAACAACCACACCCAGGCTACTGCTTACGTGACTGGTGCTACTTGTGCTGAAGTTATTATCAAGGAATATGGCCTTGATGAACAGTAAAGAACAGATAGGATTTCAGGGTATCGAGAGGTCAAGGTCATTCACTAATCTTGATAGCCCAATGCTATTGCAATTTCAGTCTCTGTCATACCAAATTTTTCTTTCTCGGCCCATACTGTTGCATAAAGAGTTATAGCCACACACCATGACTGTTTGTCCGCTTCATGACATATATCCGCGGTGTAGTGTATACGAGAACAACTTCACTGAAAGTGACCGGGATTTGCCTTTGCCTGTGAGAACGGACATGTAACCACACCTCTCGCCTTAATTACCTCAATATCAGATTTCATCTCCTCCGCTCCGTGCTCCTTCTGTGGATCCGGCCCGATCGTCATCAAGTCGTATCCTCCTGGTTGATATCGGTCTCCTCGCGACCCAGGCACCTTTCCTCCCAGTGCTCTAACAAGCATCGCGCCGAGTCCCCATTTTGACGAGAAAGCCGGTTTAACATACCAAGGCTGCAGGGTTTTTCTTTGGAAGTTATATAGACGCGTTTCTTGGTTTGGCATCTCGTCCACTAGTTTAATGGACGAAGAGCGTGGAAGTGCAAGATATCGCAGGAATACCTTTCGTCCTTCTCTGATGAGGGCCAGTAAGAACCAAAGGACTGGGCCAGGGGACTCAAGACTGTAGAGGTCAGTAAATCAAAGTGACCTCCACAGTTGAATGTGAGGCAAAATTTACCAAAGGCTCGTTCTCATGACATCGTCCAAGTCATTACCCAGCATCTTCCGGACACTTGTTCTTATGAACCCAGGCAGCGATGACAATGCCGAATCAACGTAGACTCGGACGTATTGATCGTTCGTCACCGTGGGCTTTGCCACTTCCTCTTCATATTGGATTGTCCAGTCTCTCAATTCAATCGCAAATTGCAGGCCATCTTTCCATCCATCGGCTTTTGAAGGAAGCACATCAAAGGGGATACCCATGTCTTCCCCCAAGTTCTTGTGAAAGATGCCGAGAGCACATTTTTCAACGTCGGTAAGCTTGCGCCATTCTTCTCTGTCAACAACGTTCAGGATCTCAGCAAGACCGTCACCCAGAGTATGGAGGAGATCATTATCCGTGATTTTGTTGGCACGGCGATAACGAGCATGGCTAACGACGTCCCTGGTCAGCGAACAGAACAAGCTTCTTTACTTTTGTCTCGAAATGAAGGACACATGAGTTCGGGGGTGCATCGAACATACAGAAAATTCATTCTGGCCACAGCTGATGAATAGCGATCAGAATTCCTTGGTTTAGACTGCACCTCTCGCAAGAGGATTTCCGTATCAACAGCGCGCTTCCCCGAATTCCGCTTATTGTTTTGGCCTGTAACAGCGAAGAGTTTGGACATAGTCGGGATACCTCCAGCCTAAGAGGAATCCTTGAACTTAGCGGCATTCCCAACGGTGCTAATCGAACCGGCCACAACTCCCTGTCGTACCTTCAATAGAGCAAGTTTGCGAGCTTTAGCAAAAGCGTGTGGAAACTCGAGCTCCTGTAATTGGCTCAGGATAGCGTGTGCTTCTTTTCCTGTCATTTCCGACAAGGCCTTTTTGCCAGGTGCGAATGGGGCCTCAATATTTGCCATGCGGCGGTATCGAAGAATGGCAACCAATGCTATGTAGCTGATGAATGCAATGGCAATCGTCAACCGATGTTTGCTCCATAGGGTACAGAGCAAGCCATTGACGTCCGACATTCTGTCAACGGATACTTGAAGCGTTTGTTCTGTGTCACTGGTAAGCATTTGGTGCACAAGTAGAGTTTCCCATTTGCCAACTTGCCGTCTGAGGCTTGTATCTGGGGTGAGAATTATAGATTCCTTTGTCTTTGTGATTTCAGATGAAGAAAAAAAATTCAAGGTGAAGGAAGATATTTAGTATATATATCTTATGTGTGTCAAGGAAGAATACTCCTGAGTACCGAGGCTCCTGGTTATGGTGGATCACCAACCCAACAAAACGTAGCATGGTGGAATTCAGGAATGTGAGATATTAATGGGCTCTATGTTGTTGGGCTCGGAATTATCGAGCCAACTATGCTAAGAACGTTGGAAACTTCCAATGGGACCTCGGAGGCATCACGATGATAATGTAATCATTAGGGCTCCACCAGACACCTCCAGGGCTGCTGCAAGATTGGGGGCTACCCATGTACATAGTCAAACTAAATGAATTAAGTATCGTCATTGGCTATGCAACTAAACTATGCAACAGATATGAATGATACATTAAGACATATATTTCCCAGTTTTTATGTTACTTGCCAATCTCTAGTAGGGTTGTGTGATTGATCTTACTTGATTAACCTTGCATTAATTCATATTTCATTGTCATTCTTAGATAAATTTCGCATCAAGGCTGAGCGAAAGGCGATTTCGACATCAGATCTCCGGAAACCGGGCGCTCGACCTAAGATAGCCACCCCGCGAAGGAGTCCTAGCATTGATATTAGAAACGGACTTTCACATGAAACCAGTGCGAAAGCTCACCTATCAAGAAAGATTCAAGATCGAGTATGCAATGTGATGGTTGTTGAGGTAATGTGGAGACTGTGATATCTGTGAACCGTCAGTTCAAGTCTTTCTGGTAAATGAGAACAACTTACCAGTCTGCGGGTCGGAAAACGATGTGCGTTGAGTGCTCAAAAATCCAGATTCCAGCTCGGATTGACTGAGGCTCGGTGCTAAATTATTTACGGTAGGAAACAAACCAGATCCCTCCAAGTCCACACCTTGCTCTCTAAGATATCCTTCCACATCGCGGCAATCGAACCACTGGCCGCCGAATCCACAAAGCTGTAGATTACTCTGGGTCTGATGGACTGAATTCGAGTCCCCGAGAGTTCCAGGCATGGGTAGAGTACCGAGTATTCTTCGAGGGAGCCTCATCTTCGGGGGATAAATAGGGTTTCCTTTTTCGTCTTTCGTTGCATAATGCGTTCCAGCTCCCCCAATACAATAAAATGGTAGTGTAGAGATCTCCAGTGAACTGCCTCGTCCGGAACTGACCAGGTCTCTAAAGTAGGGGTGCATCTTTGCCCTATCCCTGAAACACGGGACAAGTCTGAATACTCGGAAGACTTCAAGCGGATCAGAGCGTGTATCATTAAATATCCGGAAGGCATGCTCCAGACTGGATCGTTTGAGTCTTCGAGTAAAGGAAGTTTCCAGGAATGAATATGAATCGGGGACATTGGCTCCGCCAAATTGATCGATGATTTGCACAACGGGATGGTCATGATCTAATCCAATATGTTCCTGTATGACACGCGGGGATCGACAAATGTCCCTCTCCCCGGTTTCTTGATACTGGTCGACCGCGGTTGCCGGGAACCTATCAGTGCATGTGGAGCTTGGTTCGACAATGACTTGGTGATCAGACATAGTATCATTAGGAAAACGGTCATCGCACTGGATATCCATGAGTGGTTGTGGAGTAGACTTCTTAGAAGTTTCTCTCAATGAAATGTCGTCGACGCTAGTTCCCTGGACAAAGTCCTCCGACGATGCCAGAAGACTTAGAATATTGTCAAAATGCTTGAGAAGGTCGCAATGGGTGTCTGATAGACTCGATTGAAGCGTGACTCTGTAATGTACAAGCGACTCTGTAATTTTTTGCATCTTATGTTCGAGGAAGGCCACTTGCTTTTGTGATTGTTGAAGGCTGGCTTCTTTTTTCAATCTATATGTTTTTTGAGCACGGCGGATTTGGCTTCGCCGATCCTGCGGGGGACATCAGAATGTATCATCCCTAATGTCTCTTATTAATTGCATCGAGACTAAATACCTCGGACAGTATGGCTTCGGGTGCATCGAGCCTGCGCCTTCCCGCACTCCTTGGCGGACGCTTTTGACCCATCGCTGGCTTGGTTGTCGGATCTGGCATGTTGATTCATCCGATATAGCGCCGTAGATCAAGCCGAGGGAGGTGTTATATTAGCACCAAAAAAGCTTTGTGTGAGGTGGCGTTGAGCAATATATTCTCGGTCCCTAGTTATCCGTTGAAAAGGCGAAGTGATAATGTAATCCGCCTCGGTCCCCACCAATGGCGCAGTTGAGACGGATAGGCCGGTTGGGTCAAATTGTTGGGGTTCCATTGGATAGCCTCTCTCGTTGTTGTTGAATAAAAAAAAAAGAATAAGAATAGAAAAAGTACTTGATACGACGGACAATGGAGATACACAGTCTTTCTTCCCGAGGTATTTCTGATGCAACCTGAACATCTAAATCTCGAGTCTACACAGATAGAATTATTCACATCATTCTAAATCTACTTTGTTAGGTTAGTAGGAAATGGCTAGCCTGCATGTCGTAGCTATCTGTGCATTTAAGAAAAGCTTGGAAATCATATCAGGCTATGTCATATACATACAACGGATTATAGTAGCTGATAGAAACAGGTAGGTAGGTATAAGCGCTTGGCCTCAAAGGATTGTGTCAGACAGCTTCATTGCAACGGGTGTGTTGAGACAAGGCCTAAAAACACAGAAGGATACGAGTATAGTAAGAATCATAGCTCACCCAAACCAGACAGCATGGAGCAGGTCAAAAATCCCAGATCGGACTAAAATATACTCAACAGGCATATATGAACCCGACACCAGGCAGCGAAAGCCCCTTGGGTACGCAGGTATGTATATCCGCAAGTTGTGACCAACCCGATTGAGCAAGGAAGCAGGTAGATCGAATTGAAGCGTGAAACAAATGCGAGAATAATAATGAATTTTCCCCCATCAATCTGCCACAATCGAGGCAGGAAATCTAAAAACACCACCGGTTCGCGAAGCCGAAATCAAGGGGATGGAATCACTCACTGCGCCGCACACCATTACGCAAAGGGTAAACATGACATAACAGTAAAGGAAAAAGACGCAGGAGATCCAGCCAAACAGGAGAGCTAAAAATATGACATGTGTCGTTAAGCATAACGTAACACCGAAGCTGAATAACGCACGATCAAAGAAAAGACACAGGCGCGGGTATCGAAAGGTGATCACAAAACACAGGCAATCAAGACGGCGATGAAAACGACATGGCGATTAGTTGACCATAGGAAGACCGTGGGTAACCTCCTGCTTGTTCACGCCGTCATTTCCATCCTGGTTGTCATCTGTGCGCACCCGCTTATTCTGCTGGAAGCTGTTGTTGTTCAGGAAGGCAGTGTCGTCAGGGTGTTTACGCATGCCCAGTGTGGCGGCAGCGATGCGGTTCAGAGAGTTCATGTCATCAGAAACAGAACTGGGGTGCTGGCCCTGGGGGCCGGGGGTGGGCACCGACCCCGATGGGCTAGAGTTCTGAACTCCGGCAGAGGCAAGCGCCATCTCGGTGGTGCGGGGCTGGCTCAAATCGATGTTGGCCGGCAGCTCGGGGACTTCACCCTGAGCTTCGAGGAGACGCGATTGCAAGTTGATGATGTACTCACGTAGCTGGTAGTTCTCGCCCACCAGGGACTTGACCTGTTCCTTGAGGGGGTCGATATTCTTAACCTCTTCCTCCAGCTTGCGGATGTAGGTTTCCTTGCGCTGGCGGAATGCGCGCTGTTATGATGATTAACGAAGTACTTTGTGCACGATATCAAAAGGACATACCTGGGCAGCACGGTTCTGGGCAGCACGCTTGGAAGTGGACAGCTCACGCTTCCCATAGCTCTTGGAGCCGCCGTCAGATGGTGGAGAACCCTGGGGTTGTGTGGGGGTTTGTGGAGCGCCGAGCATGGCACCAGAGATAGCAGGGTCAATGTTCGCCTGGTCACGGGGGCTAGCATTGTTAGGCTGCAGGTGCTGTTGCTGGCCTGGAGCACCCTGGGGCCGACCGCCCAGATGGTGTTGAGCAGCTAAAAGCTGGTCATGGAGGACTATAGAATTATGTATCAGTAATGGGTCACAATCACGTGCGACGCGCACCCCTAATCGCCCCGGTGAGATGAGGGACGTGATCGGGGTTGGGTAGTTTTCAGCCTCAAACCCCGCGCATCCACCAATCCCTCAAAAGGAGTGGCAATCAAACATCAGGAGCGCTGTGGACTACAATCACGTACCCTGATCCGCATGGTCCTACGGTCAAATGTTAGTATAAATCCATAGAAATAACAATTGTGACGCGGCAAGACTAGATGGAGACTCGACGCGTCAAAATGTCGAGCCCCGTTCCCAACACGCGGATAACACGACATGACTGCCTTGTATCCAAAGTATCGAGGAAGTACTCAACGCGGGACCTCATATAGATCTGATGACAAACGCGTTCAAGAAGGTATGCTTACCTGAGCAGAAGTTTGCATGCTTGGATGCGGCGCTGGCGCCAGGGCAGGCTGCATTGATTTAAGAAGAAAGGAGATTGTTGATGAAATTGGACAGTGACCTTGCACGGCACACTTAGTTTCCACAAGATTTGAGGGCAAAGAGAGCTGCTTTGCTGATAACGAAATACAGCCAAAATGAGGTAAGCAGTTACAGATCCGATGCTGTAAGCAAAATGATGCCCAGGTGGAGGAGGGGGATTACTTAAGGATTCTGAGTCAGAGGATTTGGGCGATCCTCGATTTATGTAAGGAGTTGGTAAGCGAAGGCTTCGCATTAGGCAGGCGGTGGGCTAGGCGGTAGCCTTTATATTGGAAATTATCCAGCATTCTATGCCGCCAAACTTATTTGATACTGCATAAGCTGGCTGTGACTGGGTTACACCACAATGTCATTATACTCGTCATCCCCTGCCAATCATATCCTGTCATTGACCCATGGACATATACATAAGTAGACCTATTGCTGACTGCATTCCGCCTGCATCCGGCCTCGGAACGGGTTTACTTATTCCCGTGAGTTAGTATTACGTCATACATATTGCTTCTCTCGACATTTCTGCCTGAGGCAACATATGTTTCACGAACAGGCAGCAGGAACTGGACAATCGTTCTATTCAATTGCGGACAAGTTAGAGGCATAAATCGTACCAATATTGATGATGACTATGTATCTGCACATCGCGTACTAAGTTAAAAATTCTATATTCCTGTGATCTCGTATCCATCCCTCAAAACACAGTCAGCCACTCATGTCCCTGCCCCTATATGCCGACTCTGTACAACTCTGGAGCACTACTGTTGCTTCTTCATGGTACTATTGCTAGGTTGGGCCTGAATAATCCCAGCTCCGATTTTGGCTGACTCGGTCCAGCCCCGCTGGTGCATCCAGAAACGGGCTGCCGGGTCTGCACCATGCAAGGACGTACGCCGAGCATCGTCTTCAAGAGCTGTGCGTGAGATACCAGTTGACTCAGCCGCGAGGGTGATATCATCCCCATCCTTCTCCTCATCAGCCTCGGCATTGATTGTAGACTCAAGATAGCGCTTGCGCATAAGGTAACGCTCAGCGCGCTCCCTGCGGGAATTGGGAGGCTCAATTCTGGCCATACCAGCCCGCACAGCATACCGCACGATAAGATACAGGTGCTCCGAAAAGAAGATTGTCAAAAGCAGAGCCCAGCCTTTGATATCTGTCGGCTCACCATTGGGCCCGTGCTGTGCGTTGCCACTGAACATGTACACTAGCGCAGCGCTGGTGATACTTCCGACCCAGGAGAGGAATCCCAGGCTATCGAGCCAGGGTCCAATCGTGTCAGTTCGTAATGGCACAGGTCTGCGGAACTCCATGCAGATCTTGAAGAAGTCTGATCGCAACTCGATCCAGTTGTTCACAAAGAATGAGACGGGGACAAGGGGCCATGTGGGTGAGAAAAGGGCCAAGTATCCAAATTGAATGCACATCTCACGGAGATCATCGGTCACATCGTACTCGGAAAGCTCGACCTCGTTACGCACACGCGTGAGGAACTGCACTTCCTCGGCCGGATCATCGAAAGACACGATGGGTCTTTCGGGCGATTCTTTGTCGCCGTTTCGGTCCATCTTTCCATTGCGCTCCCTGTTGTACTTTTTATATTTGCGGAGTGCATGCTGCTTGATATAGGGCACGATAGTCTCCATGGCGAAGCCAACGATCTGGGCAGTGACAGTGAAGTAAACAACCTGGTTTCGCAAGCGAGCAGGGTCGATCTGGAAGAGCGATTTCTTTACGACGGCATGTTCCTTTGACACGAATGGCCGAACTGTCAAGTGGAAGACATCGAGGTAGGGGACAATTCGGCTAGCAAACGGCACGTAGACGAAGGCCGTCAGGAAAATTGGCATGTAAGACGTGATGAAGTTGATAACAAAGACCTTTTGGGTCAATGCAAAATCATACGCATCCTTTGTCTCATGGTTCTCATAGTCATTAAGTTTCGTTGCGATAGACGTCAGAATAGCGCTCATGGTTGGCACAAGCGCTGATACAAGAATGGTTGGGATGAAAATCTAAAGGGTAAGCTTTGATAACAGAGAATGGGAATGGTCACCATACCAAATATGTCTTAAATGGACCATTGTAGAGCTCCGAGATGAAGATCTCGATGGCAAAACAAGTGGCAATGATAGCACCCAAACCAATTGCCGCAAGCAAGGCGAACGGGATTTGAAGTAGCTGCCGTTGCATGCGCTTAGTTGCCGGGAAGACGCCGCGCATCTCACCGGTACCCTCATCGCAAACCTCCTTTTCTGCCTTGAACTCTCGTCGTTTGGTCCGAACGGCTGAGACGTTCTTGGTCTCCCACCTGCAGCTCAGATCAACCTCCTGGCGCTTCCAGTATTCCACAAAGATGATGCACCAAAGACAATTGACCATGGTATAGATAATTGAATATCCGCCGAGGAGGAACCAACAGGAGAATCCAAAGACAGCTGGGAAAATCAAAAACCGGAAGTATGACTGCAGGAACGCGAAGTAAAATCCAACCTGCTATCCATGTTAGCCAGGCCAAAGGACAACAACCACTTAGTACACATACACTTTC